GGTCAAGTACACGCCTCATGACGTGTGACATTGTGAGCAAAGTTGTTCAGTTACAGTTGGTAAATGTAGCACTTCCCTTGTGCCCGGACATGCCGTCGTTGCCGTACCCGATCATCCGAGCGAGAAGCCCTTTGCGGCCGTGTCAAGTGGCGCCTAAGCCCAGATCCACACATTGAGCCCCACTGCTCGCTAAGCATAACACTGAAAACTGTGGAATTGCCCGATGGACTTGCCCTCTGTGCGGGCCAAGCCGACACCAGCATTGCCAACCGTGGGTTGCAACCTCGAAATGGATCTTACAAAGCTCGCATGTGCCCACAAAATCCCGGCTTCATGATTCTTTACAATCGCAATGGTGCTAATGATTTGATTTTGGCAACCCCCTCCCTTCGTGGCCGGAAATACGACTTTGAAGGTTCACAGTGGAGCTGTAACCATCGTGCTGGAATCAGACATCTCTTGGAAAAGGTAGATTGAACCTCACCCACAGGATCCTGACTGAGTTGTGGATCCGAAGCTCACAACGCTAGTTTCCTTAAACAAAGTCAGTCTTATCGATGTTGATTTCTAGGGAATAGCTCGGCTTTTCCGTGCCCTTTTTACTCTCTATATCCGAGACGGTACAGTAGCAGGGGCCGGTGCGTCGGACTCAAGGAATCATGCATATCCGTCCCCGACCTTTGCATCCTTTTTCAACACACCGCCGGGTAGAACGGCTTCCACGTTCCCCAATAATAAGCGTTTTTTTTTATGCCCATGGACCATCGGATCATTTATCGCTTCAGAACTAGAGTGCCACCAAATCCCCGATGGTTGCATTAGATTGCTGTCAATGCTTGTCATGTCTTGCGATCGTGATATGCAAATCAGGGGCATGTTTCATCAGGCCCTGGCTATGTAGCCTTGGCCGTGATAGATCTCAACCCCCAGTTACCCTGGATGACATTCTCTACAGCACCCTTGAAGAGTCAAGGCTCCGCCTTTCCAGAAGATGACTTTGAACGTCGCTCCAAAGTCCAAAGTGTGCAGGGATTTGAGATGATGAGTTCGACGAGGACGGCATGCGACATCGCAAGGTGCATATGCGCATGTGTGCTGTGTACTCACACAGTGTATATTGTATACACTATACACGTACTGTCCTACGCAGTACGACTCCGCAGTGCATGTCGCATGATACAATAGCGATAGCACCGTCTAATTTCTTGCGAAAAGATGCAAGCTGATCACCTCCCGTTGCTGACGAGCTTCTCGTCAACTCTAATGTGGTTATAGGTGCCGATCTTGAAGATCATTTCCCCAACTATTGTATCGGAAATTGGGCTGCAGAAAGACGTTGCCAAAACAATGTCCGCTTCAAAATGCGGGCTCTGGGGGGTTCAAGCCTTCGAGGAAATGACTTGTGCATTCAGCATCCACCATGTCACCTGGAATCAAGGAACTAAGATTGTGCAAGAAATGATTTGGTGCAACGTCGCATAAGCTTATCTCCACCTTCAGGCACGATTCAGGTATTCCATTGAATTCGTTGGTGTGTTCAGCATATACCCATGCCCATGCACACCTACTACTGTACTTGGCCATGTGTGTTGCTTCTGTCCTTCGATATGGCCGCACAGGATCGTGAAACTTTGCTAGCCTGGAAGGAAACGATGGGATGATTACAAAGCTGAATTTATATTGTCTCGAGAATGTCCAAATCATCGACTTTGGGGAAATGCATGGAGCAGGTTGCATGACCCAAGGCAAACCCCGAAGGCTTTTTTTTTTTTTTTTGAGTGGGCTCTGCTAGCATATCAGCAATGATGAAGGATGATCAAGAATCACATTCTGTTACCGTACTAGGGGTGGACAACTGCACATACATCATGGGTATTCCACGAGTCCACCGGGGGCGATTCATTTCTCCATCTTCAGTCCCTCACGTCGGAGGCACTGGATTGATGCACCCCGTAGAGCGCACCGTCTGTTTCTCTTGGCCTGCCAAGTCTCCCAAGATCTTGGCTTTCCATGTTGGGCTCGAGAAAAGCTGGACAACCAGTCAGTCAACTAACTCATGATGATAGGCGGTACTGTTCCAAAATGGTCGGGTCAGACCTTTCTGCCAAGAACCTCTCCAATTTAATCTGTCGTATTACTCCCCGCGGGAAACAACTCACTCAATATCCATAATGGTATCCTCCAGCCTGATCTCCTGACTGAAAGCACGGGCAACTGTCACCGGCAAGCCTAAATCCAATCTGAGTTTGTCCAGCTTATGGTCAGTTGGTCGCCTTGTCCACCCACCAGGGCTTGGAAGGAAGTTAATTTAGCAGCGGGGGTCACCGTGCTTAGCCACTCATGATTTCTTGTCCTCCCTTCAATCCCTAAAAGGGTGGCTTGACCCGACCGGTGTGTCTCACTTGTCGATGGGGAGAAACAGATAATAATGTTCCGCCATTTACTTTGCCGTAGGCAATAGCTGACTGGTCAGAAGGATTGCCATCCTTAGTCCTATGACTCCAGATGTGAGAACTGAGAAGCCCGTGTGGAACCTTACCAACCTTGGTACGCTGTGTAACTATGCGTCATCTTCTATGCAGCAAATTATTCGTTCCATCCATGATCAAGTTGATATGAAAAATCAAAACAATACACATACACTCGCGAGTAGCGACTATAGCATTAACATACACTCGTGGCTGATCAGTGACTGCTGAATCTCAATGTACAATGTACTGTACATTGATGGACACTGGAGTTTTAGACCGTGTTTCAAGCTTAGATAGTTCTCAGGTGAACTGTATGTGATTTGTCAGACGGCTATTCTTTCCGACCCATGCATGACTCGTCTGCTGCCCAAGCGGGCTCTGCAGTTCCCGAGCGTCTCGCTTATGCTTAACCCCGACAAGGTTGGATTGCCCTCCATTCTTTCCTTCTCGGACCCGCCGATCCCATCGATTGTGGAATGATCACGCCTTGTCTAACACATTTTGGTGTTGGGCATGACCACCTCGCACTACGGATGTACATGTCCACCGATCAGTTTGCAAAGATCATCTGGCGACTTCTCACATTGATTGACTCGGAGAGTAAGACCATTTTAGGGAAGCCTGTGCACAACGCTATTTGCTTTGAGTACCTAGTGCAAGGTGAACCAGCAATACTGGAGAATTCGACTGGATGGACCCGGTCTTTCGCCTCTTGTCTTTCCGAATACGATCGAGGAGCCCCTCCCTCTCGGTCCCATGTCCTCAATTCCGGCTGTGACCCTCTCCCCTTGTTCCTCGATCCCACCCGTCCTATTCATGTTCATTAAACGGGCTCCGGGACCGGTCATGGTCATGTTGTACTGTAGTAAGCTGTCTTTTTCAACCACCCACTCTTCTAGAGTTATGGTAAAGTTGAAATTAATCGAGTCAGGGCTCTCATTCCAGCTCAAGCACTTTACCTGGTCTATATTGCGCCATTATGTGGTGGCACAGGCACTTGTCTTAGAAAACTCGACAAACAGGATCAGACGGGCTCCCAGTTTGTTTAAACAACATATCCACTTAGGAACTCTCACGCGTGCACGGGCGGTATACACGACAATCTGATCCATATGTAAAACACTCACACCTTGCATGCCCTGCCTTTCCCTTGCCATCCACCTTCGTAAGAGTTCTGCTCCCACAGCACAGGCTTGATACTGTCACATTGCCCTCCCATTTGGACTCACATAGCCCAATACCCACGCTAGAACCTAACCTGTGCTTGGTCTTTGCTTCACTGTTGGGGAGGGTATGACAGGATCCGCTCGGATATGCGGCTTTGCGGATCGGGGTTCGCTCTCACCGAAGCCGACGAGCGCTGCATTAAATTATGAACAATTTCAACCCGGGTGGGGACTGAACAACTTTAAGGGGAGGAGAAATTGCGCGGATAAGTTTTTACCAGACTTTGGAAACCTCCGTTATGTAGCCATCATAGCGGTTTCCCTCTCGGCTACCCAATGTTTTCTTGGGATACATCCCTCGCCACAGGGGTTCCAATGTGTACCAAGGTCCAGCGGAGCCTGACGTTCACACTCCAGCGCACAGCGACAGACAGACTTCCAATACGGTGCATCTTCATCATAAATGGATGCCTGCGGGAGGTCCACGCGGACTGTGTCACAGACTAAAGGTTGATCAGAAATGATAGGCTGGAACGTCCCCCGCTACAAGGGCCATAGGCTCAGAGCTTATGCATGGCTCAAGGGCTCATGCGCCACATCGCTGGCGCTCTCTGGGCGCCCTCTCGGTTGCATCAAGTCCAGAGAGTTCAATTTGACAAGGGTAGCCTTTCCTGAAAATCGCCCGTAAAAACCATTATTAACCTGCGCCGTCACCTGAACGGGAACCGTCCTACCGGAAAGGGAAGCACATGCGGCTCAAATGGACTCCAGATACTGGGGATGTATTACAATTGACTTGTAGATCATGTGGTCCCGGCTTTAACAAGATCGGATACCACTAGTATAACTATGTGGACAATTAGATGCTGATCAGCAACTCAAGTACCGACAGGTAATCTGCAGTTGGTGGCTGATTGCCTCTTCAAAAGCGTGACGGTGAATGGCTTATGAACACTCACGAGGGTAAGGTATACTGGACCGTCCATGGAGGGCGTGTGTGTCAGAAAGATTAGACTTTACTGTCGACCTTCCAAGGTCATTGTCAGATGACGAACACGGGTCGCCTGACTAGATGAGGGCGACTTTCTTATTGTCTTTCGGTATTTTCGTTTGCGTCGACCTCGAGCCAGACTAGACTCGTCACCGGCACACGCATGCACTACCTGCAACGACTCAAACTTACACAAGTGCATAGCACTGGCCACTGTTCGGCATCTACAAGACCAATATACAGTGTCTGTAGGGTCAACTCACGACTGCTTGCAGGCAACTGCTTCATCGACTTGATATCATACAGAGATAAATAGAAGTAGACTATTGTACATTGACCAAGACGTTGCACAATGCCTTTGGGTACGCAACATTAGCAATCAGCCCGTCCATAGTAGCGTGGGAACGCGACAACATCGCGAACACTAGAGACTCCAGACAAGTAGCTGATGAATCGGTCAAATCCAAGCCCAAATCCTCCATGAGGAGCAGAGCCCCATCGCCGAAGATCCGCATACCATTCAAGATGACCAAGGTCTTCATCGGGGGAAAGATGTGGATAGCGCGGCTCATTCCTTGCGGCCATATCAGAGTCACCCTCAACGTGACGCTTGATCAGGCCGTATTCCCGCATTTTTTGAATGATATTAGGCAGCCGATGCTCGCGGAGAGAGCCGCCGGCGACTTCGCTGACTTCAGGAAGAAGCAGATCAAAACAGGCAACTGTGTCACCCGGCGACTCCGCATTGTTGCATGGGGAAGGGGCCATGTAGAAGGGTTTGATGGCCGTGGGATAGTCGGTCACAAACACAGGCTTGCCTTGGTGCAGAACCTCCACGATGTACTTTTCATGCTCCGTCTGTAAACCATCTTCCCATGTCGGAGAGTGTTCAAATACCGCGCCATTTTCGGCGACTGCCTGTTGAAGCATTTCAATTGCCCTCGTGTAGGTGAGACGGTGCCATCGTGGGCCGTCCATCAGTCGGTCCCATCGCGCCTGTAGATCCACCTTCAACTCGTCTATTTTGGCTTCGTGACCCGACTCCCCCCTCGCTTCGCTGTCAATATCTCCCGGCCCACAGACGTGGTGGACAATCGACGAGTCAGATCGCGAAGGAGGTCCTCCACAAGGTTTGTCAGTGTATCAATATCGTTCATGAAGTTCGCCTCGACCTCAAGCATGTAAAATTCGCTAAGATGGCGGGGAGTGTCACTCTTCTCAGCCCGGAAGACAGGGGACAAAGTCCAGACATTCCCAAGCTCCGCCGCGTATGCTTCCAGATGCAGCTGGGACGATACTGTGAGGTACTTTGGTGTTCGGAAGAAATGCTCTGCATCACCACTGGACGATGTGACGCCGCCGCGCGGAAGAAGAGTAAAAGTTTCTCCAGCTCCTTCGCAGTCGGAAGATGTAATAATCGGAGGCTGCACCTGGGTGAAAGGGCCCTCAGGGCGAGAATGGAAGACACAGCCAAGCTGAAACAGACATTCTGACCGGAAGCGGGCAAGGAGCGACTGGAAAGGTGTTCGAATACGAAGGTGAGGAATCTGCCGCAAGAAGTCTGGGCTGTGATACTTCTTCTGTATTGGGTAGGTCTGGTGATGTTGGGTTGAGAGTTAGAAGGAGCTTCTTCGGCATGTTGCTGTCTTCGGATCACTCACCTCTGGGTTTGCGTTCCCCACAATGTTCACTTCGGTCGCCTGTAGCTCGTGTGTTTGCTCCTTGCCAGGCGGGCAGGCTTTCCAAATACCTGAGATTTCAATGGCGGCACCCGTAGATAATCTGCGTGAGAATGCGACCGTGTCAGACCGTTACTGATTCATGCGGAAGAAGGTCGAGTTGCGCGGCTCCTGGATGAACCTACTCCGCAGCTTGCGAGGGCTTCAAAATCGCCTGTACAGGCTCGATCGTCGAGCCATCTGAGATTTCGGCAAAAGCAAACCGCTTTTGCTTTCGGACCGATCGAACGAAGCCATTGACCTTGATCTCTTGATCTTCCAAGCTACACGGCCCATCCGCTTTGCTTGCCTCGAGGATCTGAGCACATCTTCTGGTAATGGGTCTGCATCTTGACAGAGCGCTAGCGTTCAGTCGGGGAGCAGACGTGACAAAGGTTCGACGCCATGTCTGCATGACTGTGCCGGAGCGCGTGGTGCGTGTTTAATGAGAGGATGATTTAAGGTCAAGTGGGTTCCAACTTTCTGCGGAACGGAGCTATCTCTCGGAGAGCGGGAAATCTTCCGCAGGTCCGTTGGAACACCCTCCGCTCAAAAAATATACTGATGCAGCATCATAATAGGCACAACGATAGATAGTAGACTATAGGATCTATAGTCATGCTATCGAACTTCCGGTGTGTTAGGCAATTTTCGTTACGTGCTGGCCCAGGGCAGGGGAGTCAAATGCTGCAGTAGCTACGCCCAGAGCATCCATTGACTTCGACCATACTAGCCAAGATTCGCAATACCAAAGTAATCAGTTTGAGGGGGACTTCATGCTGCGCATAGCTAGAATTAAGGCAGGAATTGGACCATCATTAAGAGCAGGTGTCAAGCTAGAAAAGCATCAAAGGGAAAAAAGTATGTGGGTTTAGACCTGATATCTTCAAATCCTCCTGTTCATGGCAAGCTACTGGCTTGCACAAGTCAATTCTGTCTGCGACGATCGTAAGCCTTTGTCTCCTCCTCGATAATATCAATAGCATCGGATAAGACACCATTTGAGGCCGCTGCATAAATTGCAAGTCGAGACCGCCCTCCTTGCTCAACAGTCCCATAGCCCAGGTCAATAAGTGACGATACGCAATGGTCCATTTCGCTCTGCTGAACATCTGTGCTTGAGGCTTTCGGCAAAGTGAACTCAGATGACGAGTTCGTTTCAGCAGGAAAGCTACCTGGAATGCCAAGCGAGGAGGCGTCCCTGGATCGCCGACGCTCTCTCTTGTCTAAGCGAGCCCATGGTCTCGACCCATACGAATTTCGTGAACTTTGAGAATTCACACACGCCGAATTCATGTCGAAACCCCTCTCCATTGGGGCTGCATCAAGTCCATGAACACCTGGCACCCCGAGAGGCGCGCTGGTGGGCGCGCTCGGATGCTGCACACCTGAGGCCAGCTCGACTTGAGGGCTCGTGAGACATTCCTGCGATAGGTGCAATGCTTCTGTGTTGGTACCAAGAGACAGCGAAGACATGTCCCGAGTCTCGTGCATTTGCCACGGATTTTCGGTCACCGTACTTTGCTGGCTCGAGACCTGTTGAGCCTCCGTTTGGAAGACAGGAGGGAAATGGCTCAGATTTGGCAAACGGGAGTGCAGTTCAGCGGGTTGTGATCTAGTGCCGATCGAATCAACAAGATGGGACGCTGTTCTCGGAGATGAGACCTCTTTTGAGCCACCGTCTTGACTATGGTCGTATAAAGAGCTCCAGTCGGGCTCTTCGATAGGAATCGATTTCTGACGACTCTCACGAGGAGAAGCGGGTTGTGCACTCGACGACTCCGCAGGCTGTGGAGGCTTTCGGCACTCCTTATTGGAGAAGGTTTCGAAGAGAGTTGCTCGCTGGCTTGGGACATATTCAGACGACTCGTTGGGATCAACGATGGAATCATCACTGAACTCAAGGTTGATGGCGTGGCCATCAATATGAACTCCTTGCAATACATCCATGGCCGCCATGGCGGGATGGATAGAAGGGAATTCGATGAAGCCAAAGCCTGCATGATTGCCAGTATCCGAGTCCCGAGGAAGGCGTACTGTCACAACGAACCCTTTCGATGAGAAAACTTCCCGAATCATTTTTTCAGTCACTTGAAACCCAACATTACCGACAAACAGGACTTTCTTTTCGGAAATCTCGGTGGGCTCCTTGTTGTGATCATGACGGACCGAGGAAGTTGCAGGTCTGCTTGACGACTGCCGAACGGAGGGTCTTGGTGCATGGCTTGGAGATGAGATTGTGGTGGGCGGTTGAGAATCATGGCCTTGAGCAACAGAATGCAGAGGATGGTGAGTATTCTGAGCAGGTTGGGAAACTACCCATGGCGCCCAAAGAGGGACATTCGAGTGTTGCTGATGAGAAGCATAAACGGGCCATGGCGTCGATGGTGCCGCAGGAGTTCGTTGAGAAAATTTAGGAGGATTCGAGTCTGAATAGGGAAAGGTGTTGCTACTCCATGCGGTGTCATTTTCTAGATTAGAGAAGCCACACCAAAGGGTATCACCCTGTGCTTTAGAGTCCCGAGAAACAGACACCCGAGAATAGGATGGCACTGGCACGTTGGGTCTCGCGCCTTGAACATCGCATGTAGGAATGTCAACTCCCATGGCCTGAGGCGCGGATGGTGATGCTGCGCGCCCCATAGATGTAGTAGAAAATGCAGAAGAAGCTCCCTGTGCTCTTTCAAACCACGAGTTCAGGCCATTGGTGCTGAACTGATTCAACTCGGTCTCAAAAGCCGCGTACAGGGCTTTGCTGGCCTCATTGAGTTCAAACGCGATTGTTCTCAGGCCGTCGGCGGCGCTTTCAGCAACAGGACGCCCAGCTTGGAAGGCATCCTCTGCGAAATGCCGTCCGTTTTCGGGTATGTGTTGGTACGCAGTACGCATGTGTACTTCAATGGAGGCGAGGAGATGCTGTAGTGATGATCGCACATTCTCCGGGACTGTTCTCTGGGCAGTCCGGAGCTGTTCCCGCAACTCGGGCAGTCTACTTCTCAGCTCGGACTGTACAGAATTCGCCCCATGAACAAGATGGTAGAGGAAGGTCGTGGCAATGACTTCAAGTGGATGCTGTGGCCTCCGTGGATCGGGCGTCGAAGAATTCGCCGTAGAGGACGTCTCTGCATTCGCGTCTCTTGGCCCGGTGTTTTCTGCCGAGCTGAGAAGATTTGCCAACTCGGCCTCGAATGCTGCCATGAAAGGCTGATCTTCGATTTGCGTATCGTTTACAGTCGTGCGGTGCGATGACTGTGAATCCTTGCTAGACTCGTGGTTGTCTTCCTCATTGCTTTGCTCAGCAGATGAATCTCCGGCTTCGTGTTTTGACAGAAAGTTACTGCCAGGTTTCTCGAATTTTCTCCAAATCTCAGTAATCGAGTTGGATCGATGAATATCAAAAATGTGCATTGAAGTGGGCTCGGCACCGAGGTTGTCCGGAGTGTTCTCCTCTGGAGGCTCATCCAGCCGTTGGGAGAGCTCCAATGAGGATCCGACCTGCACAGGAGGATCAGTCCTGGGAGTAATTAAACACCAGGCGAGTTTGCAGAGTATCTCACCGTGATTTGATCACCGTCATCGGCATCAAAATAGGTGAGTCTTGCTCGTGGATGACTAGCGGCAATTTGGTCATAGTCCGTCGCAGACACTTCTACTACACCATGCAAATTTCGCCCATCATCAGGGACGATCTGCACTTCAGATTCTGAAGTCGAAGGCGCATGAAGATCCCGAATTTGAAATGGTCCCAACATTGCGCCTGAGAAGGCCGAACCTTGCCGGTAAAGTCTAGAGCAGGGAGGTAGCGGGTGGAGACCTCGAGTACTGTACTGTGGCGTGCAGATACGTAGATAAAAGAGCCAGGTCGAGACTAAGTGCTTATCTGAACCGAAGAAGAATCACACCAGTTACAGCAGGAGAAGCGCCGAGGTCTCTCAAAAGTATCTGAATCTTCTGAACCGATGGATTCTGAGGGGGTGAAGTTATACAAGGACTGAAGTTGGTCGTTATGAGGGGAGGTCTTCCAGGCAACAATGGAAGAGAGGCGATAACGAGCACTGTCCGCGCGTAAGGATCACCTGATTGATGGCCGAGCCTTGGGAGAGCGGGCAGGTGATCTGGCCGAGTCGAAGCCGACCACAAGAAGTGGACCTGCCTTGATGCGACACCTTCAACTGCGGCCCTTGCGTCGGCTGAGTCAGAAGAGATCCTCAATTTCAAGGGGCATTTCAGCTCCAGTAGGTTGTCCTGTTGAGACACCTATTTGATATATCCAATTGTCATATTGCCTTGTTGAAAAGCCGGACCAGTGACTCCCGTCTCACACTCCCCCACCAAGGCGACTCTTTTACGCGCCATCTTGACAAACGCCTACATACTTCAAGACCAGGATAAGCCAACTCATCTGCGCAGACTGCAGAGAGACGCGTCGGTGCTAAGCTCGCGGCAATGTCGACGGAGAGTCCACCGCACCCTGCCCTTATTTTACGATATTTCGAAACTTGAGTGACAGACAACAGCTGGTCACGAATCAGTTGATCGCGATTTCCCAATGGCTAAAGACACGCCGTCGAGGAGCCTTCAAAGTGCGGGCGCTCACAATATCCAAAATATCGTTCTCGGAGATCTGCTTTTCAAGCCGTGGTACCAGTCCATATACCCAGAGGACTTAGTCCCCAAAGATGCCGAATACCTTTACGTATGTCGTTGGTGTTTTCGATATTCCTGCGATAGGGTTGCGTTTGCGACTCACACGCATGCTTGTGCCTGTCGCACCAATCCACCAGGCATTAAAGTGTACGAGCATGGTGGCTACGCTGTGTGGAAGGTCGACGGCGAGAACAACAAGCTTTACGGACAGAATCTATCCCTTTTTGCCAAGCTTTTCCTCGATCACAAAACAGTCTTCTTCGATGTCGCGACATTTCTTTACTACATCCTCACCTTCGCCGACCCCGCTAGCCCAGAAGACTATCACGTGCTTGGTTTCTTCTCCAAAGAAAAGCTGTCTTGGGATTCAAACAATCTGGCGTGCATTTGCATTTTCCCACCGTACCAGCATCAGCAACTGGGAAAACTTTTGATGGGGGTGAGCTATAAGTTGAGTGGATGGGAATATCCAGGCGGGCACATTGGAGGTCCAGAAAAACCCCTCAGTGAGTTAGGCCAGAAGAGCTACAATCGCTTCTGGGCAGAGCGCATTGCGCGGTTTGTCCTGTGTGGTAGGCGAAATGGCATGAATGCCGAAGCAGATGCCACAAAACCCCCGAGGCCTTCGCCGACAAAGGCCTCCAGAAAGAAACCCCCTCGGGAATATCTGTCTGTCGAGGAAATTGGACAGGGTACAGGGATGCTCACAGAAGACGTGATCACAGCTTTGAAAAGCATGGGTGTGATACGACCTGACACAACACCGAAGAAGAGGAAGCTTGCTAGACTCATGGGTGACGAGGAGCCCAGAGAAGTTCCGAGAGTCGCGATCCATAAAGCAGATGTATGGGAATGGGCAAAAGCACACTCGCTTTCGCTTGAAGACCCAGTGAAGGATGAAGGGTTTTCCACTGGTTATCCGGCCGTATTGGTCTCAGAATCTGACGACAGTACGTCGCAAGACGGATGACGGAATGACCATGGCCTTTGTCTGGGCTCTGCTAGGTTGTCCCCCGACACCAAGGATAATGAGTCGACTCCTATGATAGATATTGTCCTACCTTGGTTGGCTTGATGTGGGCCGTTCCACCTGAATCAAAGGGCGCTTGCATATACATAACAGAATTCCATTACCTACTTAAGATCTATCCGGACTCAAGCTGGTACCTGGCTAACTCAAATGATACATGAACCTCCTCAGATTGTAATTACAAGTTTTAAGTGAATTTTTTTCGTTTTAGACCAAGCTCTTGGCGGAAAGGGTAACACCTGGCTTGAAGATTGTCTATTATGTCACACGGTGATTGAAAGTGAATCAATGAGTCGTTTACTCTTCCATTCCGCCGGGGCCACTGGACTTGCTCATTTGGCGAGCCTTCAGGAGCTCATCACAGAGCAACAGGTTTGAAGCGATACCTGTACTAGAAGCGACACAGTTCCGAAGCACGCGGTAGGAGTCGAAAACGCCCGCCTGAACAGGGTCCATGGGAAGACCAGTGTTCAAATCCAAGCCGACAACCGCTCCATCCTTGCACTCATCCTGCATGGCAGCCAAGGAATCCTGAACGTCGTGACCAGAGTTTGCAGCGAGTGTCTTAGGAATGACCAAGAGCGCATCGGCGAAAGCGTCCACGCCCCACTTGGCTTTGCCCTTCACAGTCTTGTTGAACTTGTCTGACTTCAGGTGCTGGGCGCAAGCAACCTGGAATGCGCCAGCTCCGGGAATGACGCAGCCATCGACAATGGTGTTGTAAACGGAGCGGAGACCGTCTCGGACTGCATCCTTGACTTGAGCAATGGTGTGGGCATTAGGTCCCTTGATGAGGATAGTCACAGACTTGGGATCTTTGACTTCCTCCACGAAGGTGTACTTCTCCTCACCGAGTTGGTGCTCGTAGACCAAGCCGGCCCAGCCAAGAACCTCGGGCGTCATCTCCTCAACACTGTTTTGAGCGACGCCACCGCAAACGAGTTGCAGCCGCTCCATGTTTCTCCGCTTGGCTCTCCGTAAGGCCATGATGCCGTTCTTAACGAGGATGTCCAGACTGAGAGGGTCAATGCCCTTCTGGTTGATCACAACAAAGCCCTTCTTTGGGTCACTGCCACAAACCAACTTCTTCAACTCCACGATCTTCTGCAATTTCGCATCGACAAACTTGCGCTCACTTTCCACCAACTTGTCACGCTGTTCGGCGCTGGAATAGTAGAAACCGGAGTTGATCTCAGACTTCTCATACTCAAGACTAACGTTCAAGGTCAGGATAAAAGCATTCTCAACACGCTTAGGCATGTCAGGATGACGAGCACCGTGATCCAAAGCCAAGCCACGAATGAGCTGAGTATCCGATGATGTGCGGTGCTGCATGGTCATGATCTCAATCATGTGCAGATCGGGCTTCTCAGGCGCACGCTGGATGGCCAGAACAGCATCAACAATGTCGGGAGTGAGTTTCTCGGCGAGAGAGCTGTTCAGCTTGGTAGAAAGGGAGGTGCGAGCTACAGAGAGCAGTAGTTCTCTGTCGATAGTTTTCTCGAGCTTGAATTGGTCCAAGAACTGCAGAAGAGTTAGATATAGACCTTAAACCCCAACTCATTTGATTTGATCATATGTACCTTCAATGCCTCGGTCTTTGCGATCTCATAACCATCTGTGATCACACGAGGGTGAAGACCTTCTGAGATATGGCGATCGGCCTGTTTCAGGAGCTCTCCGACAGACAGAACAACCGATGTCGTACCATCGCCTGTGATATCGTCTTGAGCCGTAGCTGCTCGAGCAATCATGACCTTCCCACAATAATCGTCAGTGAATTTTGCGTCGGACATCGAAGGAAAATTGTCTTACGGCCGTCGGATTTTGAATTTGCTGTGATCATGTCAGCGGTTTGTTTTTGGGAGTCCTCGCACTCGACACTCACCATCTCGCGCAACAACACATTTCCATCTTTGGTCAACTTGATCTGTCAGAGTAGATACACGTTAGATGACTTCAGTCTGGTTGTCTGCCCGAGTTAAAAGGGGCATGTCGATGCGTACTCCACCGGAACCGTCCACAAGCCTGACAAATTATTAGCCACTTTATAACCATTGCATGGTATTTTAGAAGCTCACATCTTCAAGGTGCCCGAAGGACCCAGGTTCGACTTCAAAACATCTTGCAGACCTTCTCCGGCGCTGATGTTGACCTTCAAGGCCTCTCCGCGTCGCTGAAAGGAATTATTAGTGCGGGTCACGGAGGGGTTGTTCGGAGGGTGCAGCAACCATACCCGGGACTCCGCCTTGGGATTGAGCAACTGTGTCGCGGACATATCTTGCAGGCTGAATGAATGACTGGAATTCGAGCCCAAAAGATCAAATCGTAATGGGTTGTCAGTGAAAGCTCGCAGCTTGTAGCCCACAGGAGTTTGGATGCCCGCAATGGAGAGTAAAGGCGGTGAGAAGAATTTGGGCAAAAAGCCCACATTCACGGATTCGCACTAGCGGCGAAAAAAAGAGCTCTCGAATTCTTCATTCAGTTTTGCCCGTCTCCCGCCCTTTCGAACGTCCGACATCAGCAACCCGCGGATACGATTATTCGCGTGATTCCTGGGTCTTCGCTGTTTCGATATTCATTAGGCCGTTCTTGCGATTTGAATTGGCCCTTACATCAGCGCCATGGCGGATTACCTTCTCTTCGAGAGCCCCATGGGCTACTCGCTCTTCAAGGTCTCTCTTCAGGGCGACGCCGTCGGCAACCGCCTGAAGGAGGTCCAGGCTGGCGTCAATGATCTTGCTAAGTTCGGCAAGATGATTGATCTTGCCAGTTTCTTGCCCTTCGAGTATGTTTGAACATTCCGTGTACAAATATTACTACAGTGGCCACAATGTAGAAAATTTCGCTAATGCCGTGAAGAAACAACAAGCAGGCCCTTGGTGAAATTAACGACGTTTCCGAAGGCGTCGCATCTGAGACTCTCGTTTCATTCCTGGATTTGAATTTGCCTAAGCCCAGCAAAAAGAAGAAGGTGGTCCTCGGTCTTCTCGACAAGGGCCTTGCCGGTAGCATCAAATCCGCTTTCTCCTTCGTCGACTGCGAGACCGGCGACACCAGCGAAGTTGTTCAAGATCTTCTCCGTGGTATTCGCTTGCATTTCCCGAAACTGCTGAGCCAACTTCGAGAGGGCGACATGGACACTGCTCAACTTGGTCTTGGTCACGCCTACTCTCGTGCCAAGGTCAAGTTTTCTGTTCAGCGTGACGACAACCACATTATCCAGGCCATCGCTATCCTCGATCAACTCGACAAGGCGATCAACACCTTCTCCATGCGTGTCCGTGAATGGTACTCTTGGCACTTCCCCGAGTTGTTCAAGATCGTTTCCGACAACCAGCGCTATGCTCAGGTCGCTCTCTTTGTTCAGGACAAGAAGAGCCTGACCGATGAGAGCCTGCACGATCTTGCCGCTCTGGTCGAGGACGACAAGGATGTTGCTCAGAGCATCATTGATGCCGCAAAGCGCAGTATGGGTCAGGATATTTCTGAATCCGACATGGAGAACGTCATCGCCTTCGCCGAGCGCGTCGTCAGCATTTCTAAGTACCGCAAGTCTCTCTACCAGTACTTGGTTTCCAAGATGAGTGTCGTTGCACCCAACCTTGCGGCGCTGATTGGTGAGATTGTCGGTGCTCGCCTGATCTCCCACGCTGGTAGCTTGACCAACCTGTCCAAGTACCCTGCCTCTACCGTTCAGATTCTCGGTGCCGAGAAGGCTCTTTTCCGTGCCCTGAAGACCAAGGGCAACACTCCCAAGTACGGTTTGCTGTACCACTCCTCCTTCATTGGCCGTGCCGGTCCCAAGAACAAGGGTCGCATCTCCCGATTCCTCGCCAACAAGTGCTCGATCGCTTCCCGTATCGATAACTTCTCCGAGAGCCCGACTACCAAGTTCGGTGAGGTTCTGAAGCAGCAAGTCGAGGAGCGCCTGGAATTCTACTCTACCGGTGCTGCACCCACTAAGAACGAGGTCGCTATGGTACGTCAATGATTCACCTACTGAACCGAAAATTGAAATTTAACTGACCATTCAACCACAGAGATCCGCCATGGATGCCGTCCTTGCCGGCATCGACGTCGATGTTGATGACAGTGACGCCGAGATGGAAGATGCTGACGTCAAGAAGGAGAAAAAGGAAAAGAAGGAAAAGAAGGAGAAGAAAGAGAAGAAGGAGAAGAGCGACAAGAAGAAGAAGCGCAAGTCCGATGTGGGCGAGGGCGAGTCTGAGAAGAAGAAGAAGCGCAAGCACGATGCTGACACTGAGCCTTCAAAGAAGAAGCAAAAAGCATAAAAGCGCTTTGATCTGGTATCTGGAGTCTTTGTCACGGCGTTGGTTTCTTCTATATTGTGTCTTCATGTCATATTTCTTCGATCTTGTTCACGACTCGATGGGCTTGGGAATCTGTAAATTATTCGAATTAGGCCCTCTGTGGCAATAAGAGTATGCTCTACTTCGTGTTTTGAAATTTTACTGTTCAATATCTTGGAGCCTTTCGGAAATGTTTTCGAAGCATGGCTGATAAAGTGCGATTTCGCTTGACCATGCAGGTAAGAGGCATACTGGGCAGTCCCCGTCTGGTTGATTGGATTGGAATTACCATCCACCGCCGATGTCTTCAATGTAGCTTTATTAGGTGACGTTCATTCATCTGATACAGACTGGCAAGGGTTGACGCTATTTTGAACGGAGGCATGTGGAGATGCCTGTACGCGCAGAGCGGCCTGGGCGAAACATCCATCCACTTCCAATTAGCAACCTTGAACCTTCCAGTGTTCCCGCTCCGAGTAGGCACTCAATTGTTGATGTTTACAGGTATCCATTAGAACAGGTCAATTCACGGCCGAGGTCTATATTCACATCCTCGAAAGCGACGTGTACCTTCTGTGAGTACCGCGAGATTCAAAGCCTGGGCAGGCTTAAGGTATTCCATGACAGTCCACATCAATAGTCACCTGTCCAGTCAATCCAGATATTTTCCCGCTCGCTCCAATACGGTAGCGATCTATCCATAGTTCCGTACCTGGGCCCTGGCAAGGGCGGGTGACGTGGAACAAGCGTCAAGACCAGATACACGTGATATATACGTGATCCCTCTCAGATGTACCTCTCAGAAGACCTCTGGGTAGCACTTTCTTAGAAGAATCCATCTCTTTTGCCTCACGTCATTCAACAAGAGTAGCAACCCCACTTCAATTTTTTCTTTAAAAAAGTCTTCTGGATCGAGGATCGGGAAGCTTGCGATATCTCTCATGCGGCAGCTTAGCGCCTTTGAAGCTGCTGAATGTAAGGTCCAGCCGCTGGCTCTTGGACACGGCGCCGAGAACTTGACCTGCGCGCCCCAAAACCTCCCGTGAACATCTGTCTCGCAGGAAACGACAACATGTCTTCGGGGGTTGAAGTAGCCGCTTCTAGCCCTGTACATCTGGCATCTATCGCTTGCTGGCTCCAGGTCTGAGTGTTGTAAGTGCTGAGGATCTCGGCCAGGAAGTTAAGCCACGGCCGCATGTCTCCCGTAGAATCGACCAGGTGCAAGGCAGAATTGGGTTTGTGCCTATCCCTAATCTTTAGGTCCGGTAAAGGCTCTAGGAGAGCCTCGTGTGCGTTATGAGATTTGCCATTCTTATGATTGACTTGGGATATTGGAGAGGACTTGTGATGGATGGCGTGATAACGAAAGGGGATGAAAAGACATTGTGTACGTGCAGAATACTTTTCAAAGTGGATGAGCACCTACGTCTTCTACACGCGTGCCTTCTATCTTGGATAACAGCGTAGAAGGCAACACAAGTAAGGGTAGTGCTACTTCAATAAGAAAGTTTGAGTACCTTATGTCCCACCACTCGTTTGATGGAGATTTTGCTTCGGCAGCGTCCTATTTGGCCGGGGTTGCACCGTTTTTCTGCTGGTCTAAAAGAGGCCTCTGCTTTTTAGGTCTCCTCCTTTTTCTTCAAAGATCTCCGGAGATATTAAGAATTGTAGTTTTCTGATTGCTTCTTTTTCGTAGGGGTAGACTGCGCTATATTCTTTGCTATCCCAGTTTAACGACATATGCAATATAAAGAGAAGACAGCCTAGTCAGAAGGCAGGGAAGGAGATATGATGCCCCAGTTGACTGGGGAAAGGAACGAGGGACTGGCAGGACGACAAAGTGCCCAAGGAGCTGGGTGAATGGAGGCCGAGTGTAGGGAGTCCTATAACCTTCAGTTCCCCACAGTCGAGGGCACTGAATCTGAGAGAAAGAATATTTGTTGATAATATACACTAACGGCACAATCTAGCTAGATTGACCACGAAACAAACCAAGGACCCCCAGTCCAGAACCTACCCTGATGTTGCCCACGACCAGACTGCTACGGCGAATGTTGGTGTGACTTGACACTATTGGTAGACAAACAGTCGACGATAAGGCGCGTGACAGCGCGGAAACCAGCTCAGGTCAATGGTCTTGGCCCAACCTGAACTTGATATGATATTGCCTTATTCTAACAGGCTGGTCCAAATCAGATAGGCCACCGGGCATATGAGCGTACCTGAGAACGAAAGAGTCGACCAAATGGCTAGGTAAGTAAGCAATAGTGAGGTGAGCGCCCTCAGGGATGAATGAAGGTCTTTCATTGATCTGCTGTAAGGCTATTCTAGAATCGAGAGCCTCCTAGTACTGAAAGTAGAGTTGGGAGAACTCAGTCTACGCTAGCTTTATTCTGGGGAAGCCTGAGTGACGGAGATTATGCGATATACGCCGTCAACATTCAGAGGAGTAAGAGGCTTCTTGGATAATTCAGGAGTTCGGAAAATACCCCCCAGGCCCTACGGGCCCAACCATTTCACACTGTTGCGGCCACAGAGCCTCTGATATTGCTGTAGGCGTGAAAACATTGGAGGAGTGTGAGGACCAGATGTGATTGACACGGGCATGAGATGGATATGTAATTTATGTAAATGAAGAAGGGCCTCCTGGCTCTTAATAGTGGCTATCCAGAAAACCGGACCCCCGGTCAATAATGCTGGGGTAGGATATGGAAGGAGATCAACGGCCGCTTGTGTTCAATTTGCAACATAACCGCCGGATATATTGGCTTGAAATAGTAAATGTATCCGATAGGTAAATGTAGCCCGACAAGTACCTGGATATGCTTACCGGTTTATAAGGACCACGAGTGCGCAATTGGCAATGGGAATCGGCAAGAAAAGCCCTAGAAGCCCCCAGGGCAAATGGCACCCCCAGAAGCATCTTGATGTGAGGCCGTTACGTACGAGGAGTCGATGCTTCCAAAGGGCTTGCTTCACAGTCATTGAGAGTCTCGAACCCTAAGTCTTAGGTTTTTTGCTAGATTCCTTAGTGTCGTCCTGGAACCGACCGTTTCCTTTGTGCTAAAATGAACAGAGACCGTCCATTCTACAAAGCGTGTCAAGAGTCAATATCAGAGTAACAAGACTTGACTTGATTCTGTCCATCATCATAGGCATCCCTTGGTATATCGGTAAATTCAGGCTTATTGACTGTGTGATATAGTATCCTCAAATGAATCTTGACTGTATCACGGTTAGATACATACATAAGGTGGCTCTTTTGAGTCGCAGGAGCTTTGCCGTTTGGGCTTGGTCCGAGCCTTAATAGGATTGTGAGTTACGCAATCCGCAAGATTGCCCGCCCCCAAAGGGTTAGTTGCCGAAAAGGTCGGCATTGGCTTGTATTAGCCATTTTGCTTCAGGGCAATTGCCCCTCGGATAAGATCTGCTTTCGGATCATCTCCAGGTGGAGCTGCTGGAGTTGCCGAAAGACAACCTCCTGGCGGGGATGGAGTTTCACACGTTGGCTGACTTTGAACCCTGTACGTCGTTTAGATTTGCCTCGGCCAATGGCGTAATAGCTAGCCGTTCACAATCTCGACTTTGACGGCTCTTGTGCGCTACGGCTCGCTCCAAGTCCCGGCGGAGGATGGTTGGAATGCACAACTATCGCAGTGAATAGAGGCCTGGGGCGGCCGTAACTGTGGGTCTAGAGATTCTGCCGATTTCTTTTCTATTATACGGACATTGAAACTGCTATTGATCGCCCCAATTTCTCGCCAACTCCTTCACTCTCACCCCAGCTCCCGGGTCCCTTATAAGTTATACCAGCTCTCGGACCCCAATAATCCTACACGAGCTAAGCTAAAGCTTAGAGAATAGAGACCTCTCTGATTCCTATATACTACCGATACTTCATCGATCGATCGATCTGTTAGAAGACTCTGTTAAATTTCTTATCAAGGTCAAGGTGTTATAACTATGAGATAGCCGTCCGATATAGAACTGTTTAGATTTCTTGAAGAATTAGTCTTTATATTAATCAGGTACAGTATCGACTTACCCACCCCAGTTGAGCAAGTTGAAAAACTTGCATCATTGAATGTGTCCAAGCGGGTTCACCCAGTGAGGTTGCCACTTCGTCCTTCATGGGCTTCAAATTGGTCGTAGTAGCAAACTTGGCGCCCCGTAACTCAAGCTATTGCCAGCCCCTAACTGCTAATTCCGTCAACAGAGTAGCCAGCCCTAATCTGAGAGGGCTGATGTACCTGTGAAGTCTAAGTGAGCCACGGTGGGGTCAATGGTAGGAATCGGCTCAGTGAGATGCTCTCCACCTGGGTGCTATCCGCCCTGCCGCAATCAACTTAAATGTTCGGGCTTGACAGCCCCAGCCTTGTCGAAATCTGCCCCTCACCTTGGATCTCCGCATCAAGGCGATTGATCGGCAGCGCGCAACGTGCTATATCTTGCCTACCCACAGACGCTTTTGATTCAGGAATTATGGAAAAGCGCATCTGATGGCACCTCCTCCGCGCACCGGGCCAAGCACATGAGCTGAAGGGTCTCGAACCTCTCCCCACTCTTGTCCCGCCTCAGCTACAGGAACCTGGATGATGATAGCTCACGATGACGGAATCCTTGCAATTCTTCTCGCCCAAACGCAAACGGGAACCCTCAGAATCGGACTACTACAGTCCATCTCCATCGATAACGTCCGATCATTCTATCGAGACCTCCCATGAGGGTCGCATTGTCGAGGAAGCGGATATAGGCAGCCACAGCCCTCGTGCGGCCGTCGCGGGCCGCTTCAAGAATCTGAACATTAGAAGCGATAATGGTACAATACCAGTGCACTCGACTATTTCGCCATTATCCTCGAAGTCACCATTGCCGGAGCTTGCCCCGTCAGCACGAGAAAGCAGTGAAGGAAAACCTTTTGGTACAGCCTCATCTACGAACGTCCATACCGTCGAGTGGACTGCAATTGAAACCCAGCAAGCGAGCATCGACAGCGAATGCCAGACACTACCAGACTCAAATGCTAGACTCGTAACACCAGTGTCGACCCCTTCGAAAAGGAAGATCAAGTCGCCTTCCCAATCGCGCTGGAGTCCATCTTCCAAATCCCCAAGAAGGCGGTTATCTCCTTCGCCTTCAGCTGTCTCAGAAGTCGATCCGCTCACATGGCATGACGATGAAATCACTGGACACAACCCGACTGACCCCAGCGATGATGGGTATGGCATCAACGGGATAGGGTTCAAGCCGACCGCGGCTATAGCATGGGCTCGGGCCCGAAAACGCCAACGACAAGTGGAGGAATGGAAATCCCGCGAAGCACGAGAAGCTCGGCAAAAACGCCAGGAAAGACGCCACGAAGGCTCAAGTGACGGAGAATCGCGAGGTGCACACAAATCTACGGTTCAAAAACGGGTGAAATTCGACGAACCGGGCAGTGGCTGAGCACCACTTTGCCTGACACTGCCAAGACTTAAGAAGGTCTTCCCGAAAGTCTCACAGCGCCTGATATCATTGAGAATCAATGAGTGATACATTCAAACAATAGTGCAGACTGCTTGCTTTATGATACACGACAGCGAATGACAAGGTGTCAAACAGTGCCCCGAGGACCAGCATCCGGGATATAAAACGTGAAACATATCATACAATGTCCATGACGGTGGCTTTTTCTTCCACTTCCATGGAGTCGCCGCATCATCACCAAAATTTGTAGTTGGATGGATTCGTCCAGCTCTTTTTGCTCTTCTCTTCCTCAGCTCGGCGAGCTGCTTCCTCGGCAGCTTTCTCCTTATCCCGCTGCTTCTTTTCCTTCAACTCCTTCATTAATTCCACGGCCTCTTTCATTCCATGCAGCTCTTGGATGCGTCTTCGTCGACACAGCTCATATGCTCCGAGGGATGTAACGGCGAAGATACCGACAGCCCAGTTGCCAGCGGACCATAGTGACCGGAGACCTGGTGATAGAATAAATTATGAGTCATGATGCACTGTAGATTGAATGAAGTCACAAAGTCATACCTCCGAAAACAGCTCGAACGCCACCGATTCCAAAGCCCGCGCCGATTCCAGTCAAGAGTGATTCACGAGCGCATGGAGCCTTGTAGAATGAGGAAATCTCAGAAAGAGAAACATTGCCGACCACTTCAGAGTAGGACACATCCTTGGTGTCCTTGCCTCGCGGCTTGTACGTGGCAGTAGCGAGGGCATTGACGGGTTCTTCGGGGTTGCCGAAGGCATCCCAGAGCTTCCCGACTTGCGATTGCGGGAATTGGTGCTTTGGTTGCTTAGGATCGTTGTTGGGAACGCTGGCAGGTAGGTGACTACCCGGCTCCTGTGAAGAGCCGGTTTCTCGAGGATCCTCGGCCATGATGGTCAAGCACAGCGATTTGGGCTCACTCTGGTCACCATACAATGATGCGGTGGGTCAAATTGATGATAAGTCGGTATCTCGATCGCACGGATCATAATATGATCCGCTCAGGCCCGATATGGATAGATATTCCGAAAGTGGGCCCATTAGCCTGGACGCGTTCTCGGGACGTGCTGATACGCGAGCGCGTTGGGAAAAGCAATTGTGGTTTGCTCCGAATGACCGTTGAACTGGACAGCTCCATGGAGCCTCGATTCCAGGCGTCTAATTCAAGCTGATTCCGGTCAGATTCACTTCCTTCCACGACTCCGAGATACACGCATCTGAGAATTACACTACGCCCGTCTACAGATTGATGTTCACATTGTAAAGCCCTCTCGTCCCCGCTGGTTTCCACAAGCCCAGCCGGGCACACACCGTCGCAATGCCGTCGCGCAAACCCAGCAAATTTGGGAACAAATTCCGATCGACCGCAGCATCATCGAACTTCAAACGAACCAAGACAGTTGAATTTGGGTCACTTCGTTCCAGTGAGGCAACCTCCCAGGATGAGAAATTCGAGGCCATTCGATTGGCCAACAGTATCGATGAATCCCTCGGTTTCCCCCGTTTTGAATCTGGAGAGACCAGGGCCGGCTGGTTGATCAATATGCACAGCACTACCATCCAGGATCCGAATGTGCCAGGTGGTCGCGCAGGCGTTGACTACTATTTCCTGCAAGATGATGGAGGGAGCTTCAAGGCCACGGTTGAATACGACCCCTACTTTTTAATTGCGGTCAAGAAAGGTCATGAAATGGAAGTAGAGGAGTGGTGTCGAAGAGCTTTCGAAGGCTTGATCAAGAGCTTCAGACGCTTGGACAAGGAAGATTTGAGTCTCCCAAACCATCTACTGGGACACCGGAGGACTTTCATTCGACTGAACTTTGCCAATGTCCCGAATTTGCTCGAGGTCCGACGAACCCTGCTGCCATTGGCCGAAAAAAACAGGAAGAATGCAAACGTGATGGATGCATACATTGAAATGACAAGGTCCGGTGTCAAATATTCGTTGACAGGGTCTAGATCCCTTTTTGCTGACGTTCTGGTTGGTGCAGTGCCTCAGCCGGCTATGATCTTTTTGACGACGAACTAATTCACGAGCAACGACCTAATGGCAACACGCAAGCAAGTGATTTTATTGTTGACATCCGCGAGTACGACGTCCCATATCATGTGCGAGTCTCAATCGACAAAGGTCCGTATCACTGGTTTGCTCGTTGTTAGCATTTGTCTTCCTTGCTCATGTATCCTGCCGCAGATATCCGGATTGGAAAATGGTACGACGTCGAGGCGAAACACGGGGTGATCTCCCTGAAGTGTCTCGAAGAACGGCTACAGCGTGCAGATCCTGTAGTCCTGGCCTTTGACATTGAGACAACAAAACTGCCATTGAAGTTTCCAGACGCAGTGATCGACCAGATCATGATGATTTCATACATGATCGACGGCCAGGGATTTCTAATTACAAATCGAGAAATCGTGTCAGAGGATATCAACGACTTTGAGTACACTCCGAAACCGGAATACAACGGCCCATTCATCATTTTCAACGAGCCCAACGAGAGGGCAGTGATTGAGCGATTTTTCGAACACATCAAAATCGCGAAGCCTACTGTCATTGCCACCTACAACGGTGACTTTTTCGATTGGCCTTTCGTTGAAGCAAGAGCAAGCGTACAAGGTATCGACATGTACATGGAGATTGGGTTCCGCAAGAACAGCGAAGACATCTACCAAAGCGACAACTGTGTGCACATGGATTGTTTTGCTTGGGTGAGTCGTGATAGTTATCTTCCTCAGGGAAGTCGTGGCTTGAAAGCCGTCACTGTCGCAAAGTTGGGATACGATCCCGACGAGCTGGATCCAGAGCTTATGACCCCCTACGCCAGCGAACGGCCGCAGACCTTGGCTGAATACTCCGTTTCAGATGCCGTCGCAACCTATTATCTGTACATGAAATACGTGCACCCTTTCATTTTCTCTTTGTGCACAATCATTCCCCTCAGTCCAGATGATACGCTACGAAAGGGAACTGGAACTTTGTGTGAAATGCTTCTCATGGTTGAGGCCTACAAGGGTGAGATCGTGTTGCCCAACAAGCACAAGGACCCGCCGGAGTCTTTCTACGAGGGCCACCTGCTGGAATCGCAGACGTACGTCGGTGGTCATGTTGAAAGTATCGAAGCTGGGGTGTTCCGAAGCGACATTCCGACTGGTTTCAATGTCGATCCTGCTGCGATTGACGAACTCATCCGAGACTTGGACCACGCCTTGAAGTTTAGCATCGAGGTGGAAGAGAAAAAGTCTCTAGACGATGTCACCAATTTCGATGAAGTCAAGGCTCAGATTGCTGAGAAGCTCCTGAATCTTCGTGACAACCCTACTCGAAACGAGGTCCCGTTCATTTATCACTTGGACGTCGCATCAATGTACCCCAACATCATGATCACCAACCGTCTTCAGCCCGATTCGATGATTGATGAATCGGACTGTGCCGCTTGCGACTTTAACAGGCCTGGGAAAACCTGCGACAGACGTATGCCTTGGGCCTGGCGTGGAGAATTTTTGCCTGCCAAGCGTGACGAGTACAACATGATCAAGCGAGCGACGGCAAACGACAGATTCCCGAGTCAAAGGAAGAATGGGCTGCTACGATCATTCGACGATCTTAGCATCGAGGAACAGGCCGGGGTTGTTAAGAAGCGTTTGCAAGACTATAGCAAGAAGATCTACCACAAAATTCACGACAGCAAGACCATGATTCGAGAGGCCATCATCTGCCAAAGGGAGAATCCTTTCTACGTTGACACAGTGCGAAGTTTCCGTGATCGACGGTACGACTTCAAAGGCAAACAAAAAGTCTGGAAAAACAAGACAGAGTCTCTCCAATCAGCTGGAGCGTCCGCAGCAGAGATTGACGAGGCGAAAAAAATGATTGTCTTGTTCGATTCACTGCAACTTGCCCACAAAGTCATTCTGAACAGTTTTTACGGCTATGTCATGCGAAAGGGTTCACGATGGTATTCAATGGAGATGGCCGGTGTCACTTGTCTTACAGGAGCCCATATCATTCAGATGGCTCGAGAGCTTGTGGAGCGTATTGGACGCCCCCTGGAATTGGACACTGACGGAATCTGGTGTATGTTACCGGGCACATTTCCGGAGAACTTCACATTTACCCTCAAGAATGGCAAAAAGCTGGGCATCTCGTATCCCTGTGTCATGTTGAACCATCTTGTTCACGCACGTTACACAAATCACCAGTACCAGGCACTTGTGGACCCTACAACTCACAAGTACGAGACTTACAGTGAGAACTCGATTTTCTTCGAAGTCGACGGCCCTTACCGCGCGATGATTCTGCCGACTTCAAAGGAAGAAGACAAAAACTTGAAAAAGAGATATGCCGTCTTCAACCATGATGGATCTCTCGCTGAACTGAAGGGATTCGAGGTCAAGCGCAGAGGAGAGCTGAAGTTGATCAAGATTTTCCAAACCCAAATCTTCAAGTTCTTCCTTGAAGGCAGTAATCTCGCTGAGACGTATGCTGCTGTGGCTCGAGTTGCCGATCGGTGGCTAGATGTGCTTTATGAGCATGGTGCAACTCTCGCAGATGAAGAGTTGATTGATCTTATCTCAGAGAATCGCAGCATGACAAAGACTTTAGAGGAGTACGGGAACCAGAAGTCTACCTCGATCACGACTGCGCGACGTCTCGCGGAGTTTCTGGGCGAACAGATGGTCAAAGATAAGGGACTGAACTGCAAATACATTATCTCGTCGAGGCCGCGAAATACCCCCGTCACCGAGAGAGCAATCCCAGTGACTATATTTTCCGCAGAAGAAAGTGTCAAGCGGTTCTTCTTGCGCAAATGGCTCAAAGATGACCCTGGTGACATGGATCCTCGATCTATCATTGATTGGGACTATTACCTTGAGCGACTGGGGTCTGTTGTCCAAAAATTGATTACCATCCCCGCTGCTCTGCAGAAGCTGAGAAACCCGGTACCCCGTGTCGCCCATCCGGACTGGCTGCAGCGAAGAATCAACCAAAAAGATGACAAATTCAAACAGAAGAAAATGACCGATCTATTTGAAAAGTCTGAGAAATTGCCTCTCTCCTCAATATCTGCCAACATCTTAGATCATCGTGTTCAACACGCGGGGGACTTGGTAGATGAAGTCCTTGCTCAGTCGACCCAAAAGCAAAGAAACTCGCCTGAAAGCAAAACTTCTCAGAAACGAAAGCACCCCGAAACGGTCTCCAAGGCAGCAATTGATCCTTTCGCCAACCTGCCAGCTGCAATGCCTTCTATAGACGACGACTATGAAGGATTCATCAAGTACCAGAAGCAGAAATGGAAGATTCAAAAGCAGGCTCGAATCCGTCGACGTCAGCTTTTCGGGGAGCGAACCAACGTTGCAACCGATGGGCTAAGTAACTTCTTCCGCAATCAAGCGCAGATGTTATACATTAGTACATGGCAGGTCCTTCAACTCTGTGAAACGGCTCGCCCTGGTATTGTGCGTGCATTTGTTCTTATCGACCAGAAAATTCATGCCCTCAATGTCAAAGTTCCGCTGCAGTTTTTCGTCAACTTGAAACGCGATTCTTTGCCAGATGTTGAGGTACCAGACTGCAAGGTGGAAAAAGTGAACCACACCCTACCCAATGGACATCCATCAGTCCATCTCTTCAAGCTCTCGCTTTCGGAAGACACGTACCTCGAGGAGTCTGACAAGATGGACGCTTTGTTCCAGCATCCGAGTGTTGAAGGCGTCTATGAACGGAATATCACAGCTAGCCTTCGCGCGGTACTCAAACTGGGTAGCCAGTGCACCTTTGACGAGAGTCACCGCGGTGTCCTCGGCGATGGATTGGAGAAAGGTTTCGACCTGTCGACCCTTCTCCACGCCACATCAGACCAGTCATATCTGGTCGACTCTCCCCTGGCGTACCACTATCTTTATCATGTCGCCTCAGGTGATAGACAGATCTTTGCGCTGTTCTCCACTGCCAGCAGCCAGGCGCACATAGTCATCCTGAATCGGACAAGAGATGCACAGGGTCTGCCTAATGTGGATAAAATTTACTCAGAGCTGCTCTCTCGGAAGTTGCAGGACTCCTCTACGGAAGAGTCACAGAATGCCTTTGAGTATCAAGAAAACATTCGTTTCAAGACCACTCAGGTGATGACTCGTCGAAAAGCTCACTTGGAAGTTGGCGACTTGATCCGTAAACTGAGAAGCGACGAGACACAGCCTGCGATTATGGTCATTCAGTCGCAGCAAAAGGACCGATTATGCCACGATATTCCAATCTTGAAAGAGTACCCGACACTGGCAGTCAAGCCGGAAGTGTCTGACATGGATCTGCCACCTCTCGGTTGGCAAGCGTTCATCGCTCGACGAATCGTAACACACTATTTGTATCTGGCGGCATGGATCCAGCACTTAGCTCTGCTCGCACGATATGGCGATGTTCCGCTTTGTAACTTGGAAACCGATGACCCTCGTTTCCTGATCGACGTTGCGTACGCGCGACGTCTGCAGCAGAGCAATGTCGTTCTGTGGTGGTCAAATGGACCTCGACCTGACCATGCGGGCTATGAAAAAGACGATATCGTGGGCCCGCTGGAGAAGGTGACCATGCCTTCAGTCAACACGCCGGGTGCTTACTCAACCGTGTGCATTGAATTAGACATCCGAAATTTGGCAATCAATACCATTCTTACATCTTCCATCGTCAATGAGATGGACGGGAGTAACACCTTGCTGGCCCCGTCTGCCAACGGGACAGATGACTCGGGGGTCCTGTACTCAGAAAAGGCTTTCGCGTCAGCCGGCGCCCTGGTCCTGCGAGAGATGGTCAAGAGTTGGTGGACCGAAGCATGTGCGGGTAACAGTATGGCGGACATTATGGTTCAACATCTGATACGATGGGTCGAGAGCCCTGTCTCATGTCTGTATGACCGATCGCTTCACAACTATGTTCGCCTGCTTTCGCGAAAATCCTTCCAGCGGTTAATGGCTGAGTTCCGACGTGTTGGCTCCAATGTGGTCTTCGCCAGTCCCACTCGGCTTCTGCTTCAGACGACCAAAACAGAGGTCGGCAATGCCTACGCCTACAGTCAGTATGTGATCAAGTCCATCCGAGCCAATCCGTCGTTCCACTTTATCGACCTGGACATCAAAGAGTACTGGGACTATCTCGTCTGGTACGATGAATACAATTATGGCGGCAAGGGATGTCAAAAGGTGGTCGAAGCTGAGAAGCAAGAGCTCGAAACCGTGATGCATTGGCAGCTGAGCCGCTTGTTGCCGATTCCAATGCAAACCATCTTCCATGATTGGGTGGTTGAGTTTATCGAGCTCATGCATTCAGCTAAACACCCGGACCTCCAAGAGAATGAAATCTCGTCAACACCACGCCTCACGCAGATCCCCATCGGAAAACCCAACGATGTGGATGACGAAGGCTTATCCGCCATTCTTGCAGAACGATTCTCCAAGCCACTCAAGAAACAGATTTCGGGTCTGATACGCCGCCAACGAGATGAGATGCTCCACCCTGAACTTGTCTCCGACTATGCTTTCCCTGTGCTTCCTGGAGTGTTGGTTGATCCCAAGGGCGACAAACGGAATCCGGCTCTTGAGCTGGTCAAACTGCTGATGCAGGTACTCAGTTTGTCCAAGACCACGACTCTGGAATCACGCCTGCTTCGTCGAGAGCTTTTGGCACTCTTTGAGGTGCGTGAGTTCAGCAAAGAGGGACGCTTTGAGAATCCGAGTGCCACGTTGAAACTTGCTGAGCTCACCTGTAACGCCTGCTGTTTGATCCGTGATCTTGACCTATGCCGTGATGAGGATGTCCTTCCTGAGCCCGGTGCTGATAATGACAAGGCGCCCAAACCATGGCGATGCCCATTCTGCCAGACTGAATACGATCGATTGACCCAGGAAGAAAGCCTCATTGGGCAGGTGCATAGCCTCGTGGTTGAGTGGCAAACGCAGGATCTCAAATGTTCCAAGTGCAATGGACTCAAAGTGAGTGAGTTCATGGAGCATTGCTCCTGTAGTGGCCAGTGGACGGCGACGGTTGATCTCAAGGAAACGGAGAAAAGGCTGCGAGTGTTGCACAGCGCAGCCAAGTTTCATAGCCTGCAATTGCTCCAGGGAGTTGTGGAGGAGGTATTGGCCCATCTTTAGACGACCAAGCCAAATTATTGATTCTATTCGAATCAGATCGAAGTACTGTATTGGGGGACCTATGAGTGTTGTTGCGTTCTTCCTATTGCGTGCCTATTCCCCCTACTGTTTGTTTTCATTTCTGAGATGTTCGAGCATGGTATCCCGGCGTTCTTGCGTTTCAACCAGCATACTATTAGTGTTGGTTATCTCAGTCAAAACAAATTATTCAGTTTCCTTTGCATACTTATTTTCCCCTTCATGAAGGGTGTTGTGTACTGAGCTTGCCGCTGCTAGGTAGAGTTGTAGATCACCCGTAATTAGCTGTTGACGATCCTTTTTTGCGTTCCATCCCAACGGGAGCAATTGAAAGAGTGGCGGTGTCTTTGATATGCACAAGCTTCAGCACTATCTTGAGGATCCTAGGTCTTCTGTGGCAATTTCACTAAGATACCTATGAAGGCCAGGTGAGCCTTCCGACGCTATTTGGTATTGTGATTTTGTCTACTCATCCCGCCCAGACGAGTCGTTCTTGAATGCTTTTCTCCGCCGTCTTGATCGGGCGTGCGAGTGGATTATCATTATTAACTATCCGCCCCCTCCCCCAATTCCCCTCCTTCCCCTCCTCTCCTCAACCTCCGCGGCGTGTGCGTGTTTGATTCGCGCCACATAATCGTCATGGCGCAGCCCCAGAAACCTCAGATTCAACCTTGTCGCTATAAGACTGGCAAGACTCTTGGTGCAGGCTCCTATTCTGTGGTCAAGGAATGTGTGCACATCGACACCGGACGGTTCTATGCCGCCAAAGTGATCAACAAACGTCTGATGGCCGGGCGGGAGCACATGGTATGTGACAGGCCCAACGATGGGAGAGTTGCGCATAATGATGTATCGTTGGATAAGTTACTTTCGGTGTGGCAAGATGCTAATCCGAGCCTTTCTAGGTTCGCAATGAGATCGCAGTGCTGAAGAAGGTGTCGATGGGTCACCAGAACATCCTCACCCTGGTGGATTACTTTGAGACTATGAACAATCGTGCGTGGGTGTGAAACTCTTAAAGGATGACCGACTCGATATCATCGACTGACAAATATCATGGGCACTCTCCAGTATATTTGGTCACTGATCTCGCGCTCGGCGGAGAACTATTCGATCGCATCTGTCGAAAGGGCAGCTACTACGAATCTGACGCTGCAGACCTCATTAGAGCCGTCCTCTCAGCTGTCGCCTACCTCCACGATCACGGTATCGTTCATCGAGACTTGAAACCCGAGAATCTGCTGTTTCGCACCCCCGAAGACAACGCAGATCTGTTGATTGCGGATTTTGGTCTCTCGCGAATCATGGATGAAGAGCAATTCCACGTTTTGACCACAACCTGTGGTACACCGGGATATATGGCCCCGGAGATCTTCAAGAAGAGTGGTCATGGAAAGCCTGTGTGAGTGCCACATCTGTCCATGTCAAATCCTGTCGCGATCCCCGTTGCGGAACATTGTCCACGGCCCTGGCATTTTTGTTTTTATTGATCTGATTCCTGGTCTGTGCAGTGATATCTGGGCCATCGGAGTGATCACCTACTTCCTACTCTGTGGCTACACCCCCTTTGACCGAGACTCCAACCTGGAAGAGATGCAGGCCATCCTCGCCGCCGACTACTCATTCACTCCGCTCGAATACTGGCGCGGTGTATCACAAGAAGCTCGCAACTTCATCAACCGATGTCTTACAATCGACCCACAAAAGCGAATGACCGCTCACGAGGCACTCCAACACCAATGGGTCAACCCACCGTACGACCTGACCACAATCGGTTCCGGAGAAGATCTTCTCCCCACGGTCAAGAAGAATTTCAACGCTCGACGTACTCTTCACCGTGCCATCGATACCGTGCGCGCGATCAACAAATTGCGCGAGGGAGGCGGCTTTATGATGGACGGGGTCATGAGCATCGATCCAAAACCAGAACGTGTCAATGGCCAAGAGGTGGTCGAGGAGAGTCATCAAAGCGGAGCTCCTTCGAGTAAAGGTGGCGATGGGGATCTTATGCAGATTGACAGTCGGGGTAATGCACGTGGACAGACGGAGGAGCAAATACGAGAGCAGGAACGAAGGGTGAAGGACATGGTTGCTGGACTCTGGAGTCGCGGCCACGGGAAATGAAGAGTGTAAGGAGTTGGCCCCCTTTGTCTGGACTCTGAAATATACAGAGCTTCCTGGCTGTTTTCTGTTGACGATGACCTGCCCAGATAGTTACCTTGAGCGTACAGCGATGTATTTCATTTCATCTTTGTATAGTTACAATGATCTATCCAAAGATACCCTATGAGGATTCTCTCGACGACAAGAGCTTACTTGAAGCGCATACTGAGCTTTACTCCCATTCTCAAACTCGGTCCGTTGTATGAATTCTTCGTGAGAGAACAAGCGAACAGTCGCCCCCGAAAGCCTTCAGAGGTGCCTTCAGAAGTGCCTACCTACACAACGGACTAAATTCAGGAGAGAGGAAAAAAAGAAAGTAAACTTCATTCATAGGTTGTATTCATCGATGCTCGTCGGGCCATGCATCTACTCAAATAAGAATGGGCCAAAAAACCCCCCGCCATGCACAGGAAGGACATGAAGTTCATGGACGCCGAACGTTCTATAAAATCAGGCTGATCCCAAGATTTCGGGGCCATCGTCCAGCGACAGCACCCACTCCCGCCACTCCTGCCAATCCTCATAACTAGCACTGGCTTTGTGACCCTGGTATCGAACAGTGCGAAAATCAGAGACCTGTTGCCAGGGCTTGGTACCGCCGGAACTGGTTCCGGTGCGAAGCAAACGGCGAGCCACACCACCGGAACCTCCGTCCCATCCTGCTTTGCGCATGAGACTCTCGATCGCCTCTTCTTTGGTCCATCCCTGTTCTACGGCGACGTCGGGGAGATATGTAGCCCCGTATCGTCGCCCGCGGTGAACGAAAGAGATGCGAATGCCGTGGGTTCCTAGGGTCCAGTCTAGAGCGTTGGTGCAGGGTTCGAACGAGCCCAACAGGGTGAGGGAGCATGAGAGTGACGGTAAAAGAGATCGCGGAATGGGAGAGAAGCGAGAATCGTCAAAGGCACTGAAACGGCACATTTGCGGAGCCACGACGTCAGTCAGGTCTCTACGTTTGAAGAGATGGAGAACGGAAGGAGTATCAATAGGAATGAGCACGAGCGACTGGAAGTTTGAAAGCATAAAAGGGGAGATCAGTATCACGTACGAAGTCAGGGCATAAGACTTGAGGCCGGCCTCGAGATCCTGTGCTTCGAATGTACCTATACAGCCTCGGAGAGACTTGTGGCCCCGTGACATGGCGTTCCAAGTGACGAATAGAGGATATCGCTGCCCGGTAGAGGTTGCTCTTGCGCTCACTCGTTCAGAACGAGCGCTGGGTGTTGTTGCGGCCGTGCTACTAGACGCCCCGGATCGCGAGGACATGTTGGACGCGCGAGACGGGGTCGTGGCAAGGCTAGATGAATCGGAAGAAGTTTCACTTTGTAAACGACTGATCACGGATGGTCTCAAGCTCCGAGAGCTATCCGACGGTGTGGCCCTGGGTGCAGATTTGCCCTCCGCATTGGTGGCAGCTTTATTTATAGATGCCTCTTCCGCATCCTCCTCATTATCCTCCTCCTCTTCTTCATCGTCATCTTCGTCGTCGTCAAGCTGAGCTCCCACATGGGCAAGTTTCTTGGAGTGTTCGTGTTTTTCCCACAAGGACTCTATGATGCTCAGAGCAGGAGGTGCTCGGTCTTCATATGACGCTAATAGTGTTTCAAAACAGTAGTAGCACTGCGAAATGTTTGCCATGGTCTTGTCAAGTGCACGAATGGCTATCTCAGGCGCTGCGGACGCTGAATATTCGGGATGAAATCACGGACAGCCGATCGTCTCGCTGCCACACCCTTTGGCTTTTGCGGTCACTGTGAGGATGCTCTTCCAACTCCTCACTGTATCCTCCCCAATTAAGATAGGTCGGGGAAGGTCTTATCAGGATCGTGGGGGAAGGTGTGGGGCTGCGGTGTAACTGCTTGGAAAAGCACAGACTAGACGATGGGGCAGCGGACTTGGGACTGCAACAGCGTTCGAATCGGACCGGGGCCGTGACAACAGAAGTAGAAAGCACGATTATGGAAGGATCGCCATGGAAAAGGGTCTGGGTAGAAGGATGGATGAGGAGGAAGACAAAAGACATCAGTTGATCTGCGGGGAAGTGCCTGATCGCACGTGATGACCAAGGAAATCCATGCCTTCCGAGTACTTACTTCACTTGACGCTGTCGTATACAACTGTACCATTTTATTGTCCATGTCCAACAGATGGAAATCTGGGTCATTGGTTTCCTGATTCGAAATCACCGTGCCCAATGGTCGGCCAACCTGCTTTCAACTACATAGAGTATAATGGGGTAAGGCTTAAAGTGGAGAACTCAATCATCATTTTGACGCCCTAAAGTGGATTAAAATGTTGTCGACATGGACGAATTCCTGATGTTGTTCGACTCCAATACCGAATGTTTCAGTTTGACCAACAAAATGGACAGAGATGCAACTACATCTATGAAGGAGTGATTAAGAAAGTGTATTCAATGTGCAGGTCAAGTGCTACGCGACATGCGTAACACCAAAATCACGTTACTTTTCTGATCGCTCCTGAAATTCAAAAGTTTCGCGCTGTTGAAGAGACGCCCAGGGAAAGCCAGATTATGGCCTCCGTCGCTTTTTATAACAAGAAAGAAGATATCCAAAAGGTGTGCAAAAAACAGAGAATAAAGGTGAACCCCAAAATGTCCTTAGGTTGAAAAAGCAGACCGGTATATCAAACCCCAATAAACGCACCACGTGGTATTTATCAAATCTGCCGACGCTTCGTTGATGATGTTGAACTCGCGAGATCCCCAAGTTGAGGAGGGATCTCTCTTCGTGACTTTCGTATGCAAGAAACAAAAAGGATTTGAAGAAAAAGACAAGATGAACAATAAAGATTGTTCGCTAAACCACTTATGCATCTGGCTTAGATAGGGAGAGGGTAGGTGCTAGCCCAGCCAGCAATTTCCTTGCGGAGCTCCAAGATCTCGGGGACGCTCTCGGAGGCAACCTTGGCCTTGAAGTCCTTCAGCTTGTTAGCCTCCTTGGGAAGCTCGCTTTGGATCTTGGTGCACAGGTTGATGGCCTGGTCGATGTAACCAGCAATGCGCTTGAAGTCATCCTCTCCCATTCCACGAGAAGTCATGGCCGGGGCACCAATGCGGATACCGCAAGGAGTAAGGGCGGACTTGTCACCGGGAATGGAGTTCTTGTTGCAAGCAATGTTGATCTGCTCAAGAACAGCCTCAACACGGGCACCGTCGAGGCTCTTAGGGCGCAAGTCGACAAGCACCATGTGGCTGTCAGTACCATCAGACACGAGCTTGTGACCGAGAGCCTTGAACTCGTTCTCGAGGGCCTTCGCGTTCTTAATGACCAGTTCCTGGTACTGCTTGAATTCGGGAGTAGCAGCCTGCTTCAGAGCAACGGCCAGAGCGGTGATGGTGTGGTTGTGGGGGCCACCCTGGTGACCGGGGAAGACGGAGAAGTTGATAGGACCCTCAAGATCGTACATGATCTCCTTGCCAGACTTATCGGTGCTGCGGACACCCTTGCGGAAGAAGATCATGGCACCACGAGGACCACGGAGCGACTTGTGGGTGGTGGTAGTGACGACGTCGGCATACTCGAAGGGGGAGGGAATAACACCGGCGGCGATCAGACCGGAGATGTGAGCCATGTCAACGACGAGGTAGGCACCAACCTTGTCCGCGATCTGACGCATGCGCTTGTAGTCGATCAGACGGCAATAGGCGGATGTACCGGCGACAAGGATCTTGGGACGGTACATCTCAGCGTTGGTCTCGAGCTGGTCATAGTCGATGATACCAGTCTCCAAGTTCACGCGGTAGGGGAAGGTCTCGAAGTAGGTGGAGACAGCAGAGATCCTGAATAGAGTGACACCTTTGTTAGACTTGTTCGGAGAATCAATTGACTTTGGATTTTGATGCCATTGGGGATGGATGACTCACTTTCGGGCAGGGGTCTGGTAACCGTGAGACAAGTGACCACCGTGGGGAAGGTCAAGACCCATCAGGCGGTCATGGGGGCGCATGAGAGCCTGGTAAACCTGCAAGTTGGCAGGGCTACCGCTGAGGCACTGAACATTGACACCCCACTTAGAGGAATCCAAGTTGAAGGCCTTGAGGGCACGCTGCTGGCAGGTGGTCTCAATGGCGTCAATGTGCTGGTTACCACCGTAGTAACGGGCACCGGGGTAACCCTCGGAGTACTTGTTGCACATGGGCGAGCCAAGGGCATCGAAAACGGCACGAGAAGTGAAGTTCTCCGAGGCAATCAGAACGACGGACTCGCGCTGACGCTGAATCTCCTTGGCCTAGAAGAGAACAAAAGCATGTCGTGTTAGTGGCGACTCGTCACAGACACTGCCATTGAAAGCACCGTAGAGCTTCTTTGGATGGAACGACTGAAGCTGGAAGGGGTAAAAGCTTTTCCTTACCATGATCTCAGCGACCTCGGGGTCAGACTCCTTGAGGGAGTTGTGCATTTGCTATGAGTCGAACAATGAGTCAACAGGGTGGCCTGGTACGAAAGATGGATGACTCGAATACTCACGTCCTTGTGGGACTCGGGCAAAGCGTAGGAAGACATGGTGTGGATGGATGTGATAACTTTTGTGGAGAGAAAAAGAAAAGGTCCAGGAAATCTCGAGGGAGATGAGAAGGCTATATAGGGATTGTCCGGGATGGCGAATTGCGAAGAAAAATGTAAAATGCTAAAAGGTGGGGGACCTTGACAGGAGGGGCGGAGAGAGTTGGTGCCTCAGGCTATGAGGCCAGGAGATGGCCACCGAAGAAGTCCGCCATCGGAGTCAGTCGCCGCCGGAGCGGTCGCTTCTCGGGTCCATCCAGGCGGTCAAGGGGATATTCGCCTCTAATTCGATTTGGTAACGGCGGGCGTCCGTGTTTGACGATATCGATCTATGGAACCGCTGTGGACTGGACCTGAGACTTTTTTCCACGGATTTCGAGGAGGCTTCGGCAAAAGAATGGATGCAGTAGTCTCAGATCGTGGTACACTGTCCAGTGTCCAGTGTCCACTGTGTCCACAATCCAGTAGTACAAGGGTCGCAGTGCAACACAAATAAGAGATCGCTAAATCGAGGCAATATGCTATTTCCTCCTGAACAACTTATCGATGAAAGTGGCAATTGCAAATATTAGAGCCCAATTTGTCCCCTGCGTCCCAACCCCCGCATAAACTGAGTGGATTCTGGCCAAATTGGTAAACTAGAACAATCAATGACAGTAATGGGTATTTCCTGCGGTCTGAACGCCATGTGAAAGGGTATCGCGCATTTTTAAAAGCAAATAAATGATCATGTGAGCCTTATTGGCACCGCCACATGTGCCTTGATCGTGATGGAGGTCATCGAGACAGGCAATGCGTTGTCAAGGACTCAATTGTAGCTCCCCTCCAGCCATCTAATCGTGTGTAATCTCCATTTGTTCCTGGGGAGCTTCGCGAGCGCGATTGCCAAAGTCCGAGATTACGGCATGTAAACGAGCGATGCGGTCTTCGAGCTCTGTGATCTCGGCTTGCTGCTCTTCCACCGACCTGTCTACGTCGGGAAGCGCTTCCACAACCGCGCGCGCTTTCTGTATGCGAACTTTGACGGAGCTCGTAGCGGTAGGAAGATCTTTGACATTGAGAGCGGGCGGACCGTTGGAGCCCTGCGCAGACAAGTCGGGTATGAGGTGAGCAGCGGAGGGATCGGTGCTGTGGCCATTGGATATGTTCGGCGCCGTGGGATGTGTTTGTGATTGAGAGTCGCCCGAGGGACCTGAAAGCCCTGCGTGGTCTTCGTGGACGCCGCTTGAGCCGCTCTGCGGATTCTGTGGTGTAAGGAGACGAAGTAGAATACCGTGGAGAGGCGGAACAATTTCAAACGTCTGTGGTGCTGGGAAAGGCACCACCGACGCAGGTGTCTCCGGCGCGTCCTTGGAGGGACTGTCCGGAATGACCGACAGCTTCGGCAGCGGAGTGCCTATGGTGGGGGATCGAGAAGTCATCACCAAGCTATGTCTCGGAGACTGGTGATCTGCGACACGGAGCGAAAATGAATACACAATAGCGAATGAGACTCGAGCGGTCGGTAACGCACTGGCGCTTTAGTGCAAGAGAGTCGGGGGATGTGAGTTTGTGACGTCGGGTGAACGGGCCCAACTCGTCACCGGGAGCAGCCCCTCCTTCACCGGCGCTCGTATTTTTCCAAATGCTCTGATTATTCCCCCGCCCCACCACTGTTCTTTACTTCACATCAGGTTCAGCGGACTTAAAAGTAAGTCGCAGCGCATTGGAAGCTCGCCCACTCTTGTCAATTGTCTTCTAGTTGATTGTGAAGCTCACGGCTGGTCTACAAATTACAGATCCCACTAATACACCATGGCGTCCGTCCAACACAAGGTCGCTCTGAGTACGATCAACCCCCTCAGAACCCCGTTGGGAAGTGACGATCCACGGCTAACAGAACACTCAAGTTGTCATCGATGGCTGGGGTATCGCTGGCCCCAACTCGCCCCCAGAGGGTGATGCCATTGCGGCCGCGGAAACCCCCTACATGTCGGGTTTCGCCGAGCCCAACTCCAAGACTGCTCAGGGTTATACCGAGCTCGATGCCTCCTCGTTCGCCGTCGGTCTGCCCGAGGGTCTCATGGGCAACAGTGAGGTTGGTCACCTAAACATCGGTGCCGGTCGTGTGGTCTGGCAGGACAGTGTCCGTATCGATCAGACTCTCAAGAACGGCGAGATGAACAAGGTCGAGAACATCGTGAAGGCCTTCACCCGCGCCAAGGAGGGCAATGGACGTCTGCACCTCTGTGGTCTGGTTTCCGACGGTGGTGTTCACTCCAACATTACCCACCTGTTCGGTCTCCTTGAGGTCGCCAAGGAGATGCAGATCCCCAAGGTCTTCATCCACTTCTTCGGTGATGGTCGTGACACCGACCCCAAGAGCGCTGCCATCTACATGGAGCAGCTGCTGAACAAGACCAAGGAGCTCGGTGTCGGCGAGATCGCCACCGTTGTTGGCCGCTACTTCATCATGGATCGCGACAAGCGCTGGGAGCGTGTCGAGATTGGTATGAAGGGCATGGTCACCGGCGAGGGCGAGGACAGCTCCGACCCTATCAAGACCATCAAGGAGCGCTACGAGAAGGGAGAGACCGACGAGTTCTTCAAGCCCATCATCGTCGGTGGACAAGAGCGCCGTGTGCAGGGTGAGTTTCTTCTCCATCTTTGTCTTCTTTTTCTTCCTCTTCTTCGTCAAAGTGCGACTGTTGGGTATTGAATGTGTGCTAACGGGCAAGCCAGATGACGATACTCTCTTCTTCTTCAACTATCGCTCCGACCGTGTTCGTGAGATCACTCAGCTTCTGGGAGACTACGACCGCTCCCCGCGCCCCGACTTCCCCTACCCCAAGAACATCTCTCTGACCACCATGACTCGGTACAAGACTGATTACACTTTCCCCGTGGCTTTCCCTCCTCAGCACATGGGTAACGTGCTCGCTGAGTGGCTCGGCAAGAAGAACGTCCAGCAGTGCCACGTTGCTGAGACTGAGAAGTATGCTCACGTCACTTTCTTCTTCAACGGTGGTGTCGAGAAGCAGTTCCCTGGCGAGATTCGCGACATGATCCCCTCGCCCAAGGTTGCTACCTACGACCTGGATCCCAAGATGAGTGCCGCTGCCGTGGGCGCCAAGATGGCTGAGCGCATTGGTGAGAACAAGTTCGACTTTGTCATGAACAACTTTGCTCCCCCCGACATGGTTGGCCACACCGGTGTCTACAAGGCTGCCATCGAGGGTGTCGCGGCCACCGACAAGGCCATTGGTGAGATCTACGAGGCTTGCAAGAAGAACAACTACATTCTGATGATCACCTCTGATCACGGGTAAGTTTCTCCCATTGGTCACCTGTAGCAGACAGGGAAGCATGGCGTTGTGCTAATGAAACTCGACAGTAACGCCGAAGAGATGCTCAACGACAAGGGTACCCCCAAGACCTCCCACACTACCAACTTCGTTCCTTTCGTGATGGCCAACGCCCCCGAGGGTTGGAGCCTGTCCAAGGACCGTGGTGTGCTCGGTGACGTTGCGCCTACTGTCCTTGCCGCCATGGGCATCGAACAGCCCGAGGAGATGACTGGAAGGAGCCTGCTGGTGAAGGCCTGAGCAGCAATATCTGGAAGTATGTGATCTTGATGTACATGATAAACGAATAGAAAATCAAGGGTTTCAGATGCAGCGGATTTTGATGTTATAGATATGGGTGCATTTTGTGACCCCGTCATTAGTTATGACCTGTGTAGGTTCTTTCCTACTTATTGTCCGGGGGTGAAACATGAGCCCGCTTTGCTTCTCATCTAAGGTATTGCCTTTCAATTGATTCAAGTTTCCGTGTCGTCTGAGACGTAAGAGATTGGCCACTCCAAATGCAACAAAGCCTGGCCTAGGCTCCGAGGCCTAAGGGGCAATCCATAGGGGTTCAGATTGCGAGATTCGTTATTGAAGGACCAGGCTTGAACGGCGGATTACACCCTTGTCTAAGATTGGTCCTAAAGGACCAAACCGCGACGGTGTGTAAATTGTTTCCTCTGTGTCACTAGTTTATGCGGAGGCTTGAGCAGCTTGCTGCTGTACTTGGCTTTGGACTTGCATGATCTGTGTGGCATCAATGATTAGTGTCTCAATTCAGATTAGAAATATTAAGGGACCTAGCTGTACCTCTGCGCGTTTTTTGTCGGCCGTATCTTGTTTCTCCTCAATCTCCTTCTCGATGCGCTTGCTGTAACCAAAGAAAAAATCAGCGCGGAATACTTTAGCGGCCAGGACGACATCGAACGAACATCTCTTTCTCAATGAACTCCAAACGACTGTTGACAGCCATGACAGCTTCTGTCTTCTCTTGTTTCAACAGGACAGGCCCAACGAGCTTGTATATATTCGAGTCATCGTCGAGCTGCGCAAATTCACTTTGCACGCCTTGGTTCTCCTGTTGTTGTGACTCTAGCTTTTGACGGGCATCGACCAGACCCTCGAGATCTGCAACGAAGAGATCAGCAATGTGCTCGCAACGAACATGAAACGGTACATTTTGCAATGGCTCTCACCAGTCTGTAGTTGCTGGAACTCGTCTGAGAGCGCCTGAAGCTTGTTCTGGGCGTCCATGGCGTCGGTTGGCGGGGAAGTGGGAGAAGGGAAAACCGACTATCTGCTGCCCGCTCCGTCGACACCCCAAATGGCTCTTCACTCTCTCGTCACCCTGCTCGATCTCTCACCAACCCACTTCCAGCCTTACCAACCCTTACAGCAGCTCCGGTCGGCTCGATCGCCTCAATTTACTGTCGCTTCTGGCTTAGCTAGATCCCGCCTGTCGTTCGCCGAGGCCGCTACGCTTTTCCAAGTCCAGAGAACCCACCGACGTTCTCCCCTCCTTCTCCCCGCTTCACCCACTCCGCATCCGCCGTCACCACGTCAGTTTAAGACGTGACGCACAAACCTACGATCTCCGCAGGCCAAGATGAGTAACACGGATTTTCTGGGCAGGGCTATCGATACGGTCAAGAAGGCCATCGAGAATGACAACGAGGGCGAATACGAGAAGGCCTATCAGCTCTACTACTCCGCATTGGAGTTGTTTATGCTGGCGCTGAAATGGGAAAAGAACCCCAAGTCCAAGGAGATGATCCGCGCTAAGACTGGAGAGTATATGGATCGCGCTGAGAAGCTCAAGAATCATCTGGCTTCCGCAGATAAGAAGAAGCCGAGCGCTGTTGGCGCGAATGGCAAAGTTGCGCCGGGAAGCGGGAAGGGAGGGTATGGTCTGCCCCAGCTATTGCCTTTTGTTTGCAATTTACGGTCGTTTCTGGAATCGGCTATGGCCATGTCTATCGGCGGCGAGTAACTGTATAGGGGCGACGTGAGGCTGACTGTTGCTTGCTACTAGGGGCCAGGAGGACGATAACGGCGAGGACGCGGAAGCCAAGAAACTACGATCGGCTTTGCAGGGAGCTATTCTTTCGGATAAGCCGAATGTGAAGTGGGAAGATGTCGCTGGTCTCGAAAGCGCGAAGGAAGCCTTGAAGGAGGCTGTGATTCTTCCCATCAAATTCCCCCATCTGTTCACAGGCAAGCGGCAACCTTGGAAAGGAATCTTGCTCTACGGACCCCCGGTACAGGAAAGTCTTACCTCGCAAAAGCCGTTGCAACCGAGGCAAACAGCACATTCTTCAGCGTCAGCAGCAGTGACCTAGTCTCGAAGTGGATGGGCGAAAGTGAAAGGTAAATAAACGGCCATCCTTGATTGTCGGCGCGCTATGACGCACGAGGCTGACGGATCTGGTAGGTTGGTCAAGCAACTCTTCAATATGGCTCGTGAGAACAAACCGGCCATCATCTTCATTGACGAAGTCGATGCGCTATGCGGACCTCGTGGAGAGGGTGAATCCGAGGCGTCTCGACGTATTAAAACCGAACTTCTTGTTCAAATGGACGGTGTCGGAAATGACTCTCGTGGAGTACTAATTCTCGGCGCTACGAATATTCCATGGCAGCTCGACGCTGCTATTCGGCGACGATTTCAGCGTCGTGTCCACATCAGTCTTCCAGACTTCAATGCACGGACAAAGATGTTCATGCTGGCTGTGGGCTCGACCCCTTGCCACATGACTCCAGCCGACTACAAAATGCTAGCGGAAATGAGCGAAGGCTATTCCGGTAGTGATATCAGTATCGCCGTGCAAGATGCTCTCATGCAGCCAATTCGTAAGATCCAAACGGCGACGCATTACAAGAAGGTTTGTGGATTCGAATCCATAGATTTTGAAGGAGGGCCTTTTGATGGCTGACATGGCGTGATTGCTTTCCTATTTTTAGGTGACTGTTGATGGAGTTGAGAAGCTGACTCCTTGCTCACCGGGTGATGCTGGTGCTATGGAGATGACTTGGCTCAGTGTTGAAGCAGAGCAGCTGCTCGAGCCTCCACTTGTCGTGAAAGACTTCATCAAGGCAATCAAGAACTCCCGACCAACTGTTAGCCACGAAGATTTGACACGGAACTCAGAGTGGACCGAGGAATTTGGAAGCGAGGGAGCTTGAACAATGGGTTTCATCATGCCGGAATTGTTGCTTCTGTCGCCGTCAAATCACCCTCGAAAGGTCATTCATTCATCCTGGGTTCGTTCAAGGTCTCAGGGCGACTTCAACCGAGCCAGCGCAACTGCCCTAATCGGAACAATAGCAATCGAGGATGGAATTCGATATTGACCGAACTGCATACTGGTGCTCTTTTGCATTTGTGCGCCGCCTCAACTTGGGTGATATTGTTAAATGCCCATTGGCTAGTTCTTTTGCACAGCCCAAGTATTCAGGGCTGGGTTTTCTTCTGTCTTCTGCTTTTTCTTTCTCCTTTCTTGTGATACTTTGTTAATAGTCGAGCCAGGCGTTGATTGGGCACACAAGAATTCTCTATTCCACCTTTGCTCATACATGGTCTTGCTTGGCCATTTAGCAGTGATATTTGCATGTCTTGAAAATAGTTCCTCGCTTGTTCTGATCTACCAGCTCTGCACGGTACATGTAGTTCGCACCTGCGTTGATTAACCCGCTGAGTATCTTTTCGAGATCGGATCCAAGCGGACGTGAAGTACTTGTTATGCGTGCTTCTATTATCATCGACTATGCCTCGACGTCGAAAGACCACTCATACTCTGCGCTACAACAGTCTTCTTACACTACGACGGCGCCCAAGGTGGCCTGAGCCTCATTGTCGCACTGGAGTTCATTGTGATGGACAAGCCTGGAGGCCAAGTTTGAAATTCGCCTACTTTTACAAGAGACTGAGTAATCATTGGGCAATGGGTGGATCTTATTGACCATACATCACCTAAATACAAACGTACCCCCAAAAAAAGGCACGTCAAATTGGCCGCATCACTCCAAAACACCGCATTGATCAAAATTGGACGTGTAGGGGAATCTCTCGTGGCAGCAAGTCAGAACGAGACGCTCAAAAATCAAATCAGACATCCGTCAAAGGCACAAATCAACTTGAGAAAAGCACGATGGGGAAAAAGGGCCGCCCTCGTTGTTAGAGGTGAAGAGTTTACGACCCGTACAGGCTCTTGCTGGATGTTTCACGACGCTTGAGTAATTCGCTCTTGGCTCGTTTTAAGCCTTCGCCAATCTTCTTGGTCTGGCCCCAGGCTTGACTCATCCGCTTCATACGGACGGTTGCCAGGACGAGTGAAACGGCAGTCTTGAGCTTGAGGCGAGGTGTTCTAGCAGTGTTTCGGTCACGGGCTTGGACGCCCATTTCAGAGATCATGCGAAGGTCGGCCTCATTGCTGAATAGAGTGGAAACCCAAGGTTAGTACTCAGTTCCCGAAATTGAAATGGACAGGAAAGGAAAAGAAAGGAAGACTAACCAAGCGATGCGGACCCGTTCACCCAGCTCCATCAGACCCTTGCTCCAGGCCAAATCACGACGGAATTTCTCTTCTCGTCGCAGGCGAGCACGAAGCCACATAATTTCCTTGCCGAGACCTCGCATTTCTTTCTCGTGCTGGCCCTTGCTGGAACCTTTGAGATTGGCCATTCTCTTCAGGGCCTCGTCGTAACGTCGTTGAAGAGCGTCGAGTTCCTTCCCAGCCATCTCGGCCTTGCGGGCACACAAAGTGCGCTCTTCTCGGATACGCTGTATTTGACTCTTGAGCTCGTTCAAACGCGAGTCTCGCTCAGAAAGTTTCAGAGCCAACGCCTCTGCCTCGATTGTCGACGACTTGAGAAGTTCATGGAGATCTCGTTGGTCTTCCTCTCTCATGGCAGCACGTTCCAGGTCACGATTTTTGGCCTTCGTCTCCTTCAATGAACGATGGGCCTCCGACAATTGCTTCCGAAGGTTTCGCAACTCATCGTAAAGTTTGTTGGATGGTGAGTCTCGTGGGGAATGTGGATCGTATTTGTTCATCAATGCCTCGTGAAGGTCCCGCTCGAGGTCTCCAACGCGTGACTTGAGAGACCGTGCAATGTTCTTCTGCTCCGTTTCCCGCTGGAGAAGAATCTTTTCGCGCTTGCGAGCCTCTTCAAGGCTCTGGCGCACGAACGACAATTCTCCGTGGGTGCCAGAAGTCTCATGGTCTACGTTGGGCCGCTCTTGCTGAAGCAACTTCTCGAGCTCCTGAACACGTCGTTCGAAACGCTGCACTTTTGCTTTTGCCGAGGCCAGTTCGCGGTCTCGATTGCCCGAGCCCGCTAGAAGCCTGTCCTGTAAACGATCAATTTCTGCAGAAAGACGACCCTCCTCGGCGGTGGCTCGCTCAATTTCTGTGCCTAGTTGCTTTTCCAGTATATCCTTCGCTTCCAACAAAGCGTTTCGATCATCCTGCAAACGCTTTGTTTCGCTTTCAAGGCGAGTCACAGTCCGTCGAAGTTCGAGTTTTTCTGAATCAAACCGCGCAGAGCTGTCTCCGTTTCCGGATTGAAGAAGTTGAGCTTGGGCAGCATCGCGCTCAGACTCAATCTCTCTGATAGAAGTTCGCATATCATGGAGCTCGACATGTGCGTTGGCAAGTTGATCACGAAGAGTTTGCCGATCAGCGATCGCCCTCTGTAGCTGTCCTTCAAGTTCAGATGTGCTCCTTTGTACGCGATCCTTTGCATACTCCTGCTCATCGGCGAGACTGGACTGCAAGACGACAATCTCATCCTCGAGCGCCTGCACTTTGTCTTTGAGTAATTGCTCCTCCCTTCGCGAGATACGCAGTTCCTCTCTCACGGAGAGCAGATCACTGCGCTGTTCGTCCAGAATTTGTCGTTTCTGAGAGAGCTCATCACTAAGATTTTGAATTTGGCGGTTAAGAACAGCTTCTTCCTGCTGATGACGCTGGTTCTCACTGTCGATGGCGCTCTGCAATCTGGACTCTTTCCCGGACAGTGAGTGCTCCGCTTGCTGAAGGTTCTCAATGGTTCGCTTGAAACCACTCGCTTGCTCCTCAGCACGCTCTTTTTGAGCCTCCAGAGCGCGTCTTCCACTCTCCCACCTGTCTTTCTCCAACGCAAAGTGACCTTCTTTGTCCTCGATCTCATGCTGAAGTGACTCAATTTCGTCCTGGAGTCGGTCCAGCTCGAGTTTATGTTGCCACTGCAGGCTCTGGCTATCTTGAGCTCTTGTCGTAGCTTCCTCAACAGCCGTTTGCAGCTCGCGGATCCGCGATTGTGCCCGTGTCAAATCATTCTGCAAGCCACCAGACTCGTCAGTTAGGGCCTGGTGACGATTGTGGAGGAGCTCCTTTTCCTCGGTCCGGCGCTGGAGAAGTTCGGTAGTCTCCTTGAGCTCCACTAATGCCTTCTGGAGCTTATCATAAAGCACATCCCGCTCATGTTTGACGGAATTCAAGTTGTCACCCAGCCTCTCCGCGTCACTCTGTATGTCATGCTGAGCGGATTGGTAACGTCTCTCGAGATGGGCGATTGTGTCTGTTTTGTTCTCAAGTTCTTTCTCAAGACGCTCGTTGATTTTCCGTAGTTGGTCGATTTCCTCTTCGAGCCTTCGAGCCTGGTCTTCGCGTTGTCGATTGACTCCTTTCGTAGTAAATGATTTGTCCATGATTTCTTCTCGAAGTTGTTGAAGCTCCTCTTCGGCGCGAGTTTTCGAGTCTAGAGCCTTTTTTATCGCATTGCTTGACTCTTGCCCCTCGGAGATGGCATCCTCAAGACGAGTTTGAAGCTCTCTAATCTGTTCTTTGGCACGGTCGAGCTCATACTGTACCTCTTCCCCGGCATTCGTCTCCTGGCCCTTTTCACGCAACTCTTGCAGTTCTTCGTCACGTTCTTCAATGGCGCGATCCTTTTCACGTCCAGCTGCTTCAAGGTCCTCAATTTCATCCTGCAATTTTTCGATCTCTTCTGAGCGGCTTTCTTTAGCAATTCGCACTTCCTCTTTGAGATCGCGAAGCTCATTGTCTCTCGATTCAATTTCCTCTCGCAGAAGTTCCATTTCGCGCTGCACTTCCTCGTCGGTCACTCTGCGTCGCGCCTTGTCCCTCATCTCCGTGAGTTGCTGATGGTAATCCTCCAAGTCACGTTCGGCTTTCTGCAAGCTTTGCTTGTATCGGCGGATATCGCGCTGCATTGTCAGACGAAGTACTTTGAGTTCAGTGTTTTCCTTGAGTGCCGCGCTATTGTATTCAGGCCCTGCCTTCTCGAGCTGCTCCTCCAGGTAGTGGATCTTCAATTTCAAATTCCAGTTGTCCTTATCAAGCCGGTCGATTATCTGTGGAAAAAATCAGCATTCATCTCCACGGAATTTCTCGGTGAAGAGCTCAAGACATACCCTCTCCTGCTCCTTCAGGGTCATGTTCTGCCCATCCCCCAAAACGCCCCTCCCGTCGCGTCCAAGAAGGGATGGCATCGGTGTAGATTGAGCGCTGCTGCTGGCAACACGCGGGAGAGGGGTAGGCTCGTCGACTGTCGCCTCTTCTTCGTAGATATCGGACATGTCGTTGGCGGGTAGTCTTGGGGTGTACGCAGCGCTGCGGCGGCTCGTCTCGCGCAAATGTGATGGTGTTCTCGGGTCGTCAACGCCTCGGTTCGAATTCGTATTCTTCAAGAAATTGTTCTTTGTCGCGCTTCGCATCAAGGGAGTGAACTCCCCACGAGCAGGTCCAGCAGATGGAAGTTGCCTTAACGCGCTTCTCGAGGACTTCGTCCCCCCATTTGCGCGCGGTGTGCCCGAGTTGGACACGTCTGACACGCGTTTCCGTCCATCTCCAAATCCTCTGATCACGTCGTGGTCCTTCGATGGTGTTGCGAACGAGTTCTCCAATGAATCGAGCGCGGAAAGATGTGTTCGGCCCGCGCTGCGAAACCCGTTGGTGAGATAAGTCGCGTTCCCGTCGATTTCGGTACGCGGCGTGTCGATATATGGGACCACCATTATGTCAAAACCATACGACGGATGATCATGGACAGTCAGCCATCCACCATCTCTCTCGAAATGCGTGAATTAGTATAAGAGATGCGAAGCGCTTGAGTTGAGCGTGTTGTGTCGAGCGCCCAACCAGAAGACCCGTCGGAGAATGTTGATGTCTAGCCGGAACGGGATTAGTGCACGAGCCAAATGTGGGTCGCGACTCGCCGCTTTTTTTTCCCTTTCGCATTTTGACGATGACTGCCATGAGGTCATGCTTAACGGAGCTGAAGCTTACTCTCACCCCACTGAATTAACTATGGCCACGGAAGAAGATATCGCATGGTTCAAGTCAACTTTTCGTCCGATTCCCAAGCCTGAGCTCCCGGACGATGCGATTGACTACTTCATCTATTATCTCCCCTCCCCCACCCCCGCCGAGGTAGACGAAGCGGCAGAGGCCCGAGCGCGACTCCAGGAAGTTCAGCGAAGCGCTGCTGAATTGATCAAAAAGTTGTTGAAGGATTATATTTGGCAGCGGGAAGCATTTCGCTTGGAACTAGTCAATGAGAACGGTAAGTGACTTTGACTACTTATAGCCTCATGCCCTGTGTCCTTTAGGCCATCTAGCGCAGCGCACCTTCTAATACATAGCCAGGCATCCCTTCTCTCCGTGGCCGGACGAATTATGGCGACTCCATCGAGGATGAATGGCTGATCGTTTACGTTCTTCGTGAATTGACATTTAAGCACACGGATATCTGGATTCGAGTTGTTGATAGTGATGGCGAATTCTTGCTTGTGGAGGCCGCGGGGACCTTGCCTGCATGGCTGGAGCCCGAGGTTGCGGATAACAGGGTGAGCAACATAACGCACATCCCATGCTGAAGCCTTGTCTGATTTTGTCCATTCATATCAACTCAGGTCTGGATTCACCAAGGTCACCTTCGCATCATCAAGCCCAAGCAAGACAAAGAACGCAAGATCACGGAAAAGATCGATTTGTCCGAGGCGCATAAGATTATCCGAAACGAACCAGATCGCTTCATCAGATCAACAATTATCGAAGAGGAAGCATTCTATCGTTTACGCAATTACCCTAAACAGATCAACGACAATCTTCATTCTGCGATCCTCACAGTTCCTCGCAAAGTTGCTTTCCTCTTACATCAGAAGCCAGCATACATCTCTCCAGCTGTGGAAGCCTTCTATATTCGAGACCCCATTGCTCTTAAGCCGTTGCGGACCAAAAATGCGTCCGACCTCATATTCGGCCCAGCAGACTTGGTTGATGTGAGCGTCAAATTCACGCGAGTGGGATTTGCCCAACTGAAAAGCCAAGAGTTCCCTGCGCCCAACACCTGGTCTTCCAAGTTGCCGCCAATGGACGACTCAAAGACGTATGCCCGTTCCGAGGCGGGCATGAAGCTTGCGTGTGGATTTGAAATGCTGCTTCATGACCCTCATCACCAAGACAAACCATCTGTGCGTGAGATGAAACTTCTTCTTGAGGATCTGGATACTGGTGATGAAAAGCTTCCAACCGACGAGGAAATCTCCCGGTTGTGGAGCAAGCAGGAAGATGATGAGAGTTGGATGGATATAAACTTTGACGACCTTGACAGAGAGCTCAAAGGAGGCAAAAAGTCTAGTGAGGAAAAAACAGGGGGAGACTTTGGGGACGCGAGTGCGCAAGAGAACTTGCAACGAATTGTGGCTCGCTTTGAAGCGTTCTTGAACGACAACTCAGCCGGGTTCGAGGGGGCTGATTTTATTGACGACTTCAGTTCGGACGAGGATGTGGACGATGATGACGAGGACGACATCAGTAGTGATGGAGAAGACAAGGATGCATCATTTGACGAAGAAGAGTTCTCACGCATGATGAAAGAAATGATGGGTATGCCATCAAAGTCTGGCCGTGCACCCGATGTCTCAGCCGCTTTGCGCAACCGAATCAAAGAGCTTGACGACTCATCGGACGAGGCAGACGACACTGAACAGATCGAGGAATTGTCAAGACAGATGGAGGCAGAGTTGAAGGGCACTGGAGTGCTTGATCTAAACAAACGACAGGAAAGCGTCATTGGGGATGCAACATCCTCTAGCGCTAAGAAATCGCCTTCTTCGGAGCTTGGCATAGGCGGAGATGGCGACAATGACGATGATGACGATGATGTCAACATCAATCTGGCCAAAAATCTTCTCGAAGCTCTTCAGGGCCAGGCTGGTGGTACTGGGCCAGCCGGTAGCATGCTGTCGATGCTGAACCTTCCCATACCAAAAGACGATCGCTCATAGAACTAGCCGAAGGCCATCGCTCAAGGGATTCCAATTATTACCGTGAGCCCTGCAAGCTCAATGTAGCAGACGACCTTGTGTGAAGACGCCTCCGCTCCCCATACTTCAAAGTCCCGCATCGAGCTGATCATATGACAGATCCGGCTGCTTGTTCAGAACGCAGATAGTCTCGGATCTGAATGTTCGGAACCCTGTTTCGACATCAGATCCAGTATCTGGCAACCGGCGATCGTCTAGCCGAGAAGCGTCCTGCTCCATGATGCGGACCGGGCGGGTTCTAGTGCGCTCGTACATAGGACTAAAGTCTAGACACAGCCTTTTCTTCGCCCGGTCAGTACGATGCCATCGTTGACTGGACGCATATGCTGCCGTGTGGTGTGCATATAGAGGGTAGAGGTTTGCATTAACAGACAAACCATCGGCCACTCCCGGATCATTAAACGCACTTCACCTCGGTTCTCGTGGACCTGACGGCATGTACTTCAAAATGAGTACCCTGTTAGTTTGATGCAGAAAATCTTACAACAATCATGGGGTATCGACCCAAGCACGGGTACAAACAGAGCTTGTCTATGATATTAGATTCCATGTGGGAAGACATACATACGGGTAGGTAGCTACTACAGTCTCTTCTTAGGTACCTACTACCTACATGTAGGTACCAGGTAGTGCTGTGGTCTGGTATTAAGGTAAGCTTGTCGGCATACCGTAGTCGGTTCCACTCCATAGTATCAGAGTTGTCGGCTCCCTTACTCATTAGATACGTGCTTCAAGATAAGGTAGTCGTGCCGTTCCTAGTGTTCTATATTTATTGTCCGGAACACTCTTATCACGGTGAGAAACACCTCAACAAATGTACAGTACGAATTACCGCACTGTCGATCTGATCTAACACGTGACCTAGTACCGGGCTTAAAAGCGTGGAGCAACCAAGATATCGCAATCCACGGGCTGAAGTACGCGTGCGTGCCATCGACTCGGAAACACCTTCCAATTTTGAGGATCTGCATATCCTCAATTTGGAGGGGGGGGGGGGCGTATTTACTAAGTAGTAATTAAGACTAACTTGTGGTACTGTATACAGTCATACACAGAGGCAGTCCGCTTTGTTCAGGAGTATGACTTGGGAAGGATTAAGAATGTTAACTTCTATTCCCTGCGCTAGTACTTAAGGTATTTTTGGTGAGGACCTTACTACCTTTCTGGCGCCTAGGTAGTTAATCTCGTCGGGCAGTACTTGGCAACCCCCCAGGTTAGCGGAGATCAAGACGTCGGGGATACTAAGAATCGATAAAGAACATGGGAACGTCCTCAAGGCAGCCATTTCGATCGCTACTCAGGTATGTGTTAAACAAGTGTGGTGAATACTGTAGAGCAGGTGTAGAATTGTTTGTAGATATACATGTACTATAACTATAATATAGATGGGTGCCATGGGCCCGACAAGGGAAAATTCACATGACTGGTCGTAGGCAGGTTCACGGACAATATATATTATTGTCTCGCCTTCGATGGGTTTTTACCTAATGGGGGCGAAGCCGCCCTCGAATCGAACCTGCAAAGTGCAAAACTGCAAACAATATCGCATACAGACGCAACACAGTAACAGTAAAGCCGCGGGTGATTCGCGATGACTCGACGAGTGGGTGGATCGTTATTTAGATGAAACAAACAGCGCGCTGTGGGCCGAGCAGACGGAGCTCCCACGTGGAGAACAGTTGCTTGGCGAAGTCGGCTAGAACGGAAGAAGTAGATGGAACGCCATTACTTACTGTTTGCCTACATCGAATCTGCTCGTGTGACCTCCGAACCCGACTCAAGGGTTCAGGTTGTTGTAGGGCTACAGACTCAGAAGGCCTCAACCAGCACATCTTCAGGTCACCCAGATCCTAGTAATTATGTGAAGTACATTCAGGTGGCTACCAGGAAGTAGTAGGTACTGAGTAGTAGTACTGTATCAGGTACCTATCTTATCATGAACTCCAATCAAGTAAATCAACAGCATGTGTACACTGTACGTATATACTACATAGCTAGAGATGGATCATGGGTATGCATTCACGCACTATGCAATACGATGCGGGTACACCACAGCTAATTGATCATTATTGATCCGACAACCTGAGAACCTGACCTCGGTTATTGAATCTGGAAGGAGGTTGTCGGGTTAGAGTATACTAACGATCGGAGATTACGTGGAATTCAATTCTAGCGTGGCATATTCATGACATATGAACAAGGGTTGATCACACCAGAAAATCCTATTCAAGTACAGAACCTCTTAGGCAGCGAAATGATTTCCACTTTTCTTAGACCGTTAAATGTCAAATTATGCTTTACGTCTTTCTGGTATTGCCACCAACAAAATACTCAATATGCCGACTGGTTTGGACTGCCGTTCACCTCTTACAAGCGAACCCGCAACCCTCCCGATCCACATTCCACGCCGTTTGACATGAACTCCCCGGATCTTTAGTTATTACCCAGTAAATACCAAAGAAGCTACAGGAAGGTTGCTTGCGTTCATCTCGCATCGCGTAAGCGATGTCTCAAGCACATGAAATGAGCGTTCACTTTCTAGTGTCTGGCCGTAAGATTCGTCGCGTTCGAATTGAAATCGGTGCCTTCCTGTTCAGAGGCAGTATTTGTCACATCTTTTACTCGCTTTCTATAATCAAATGAGCAACCTACGTTCTTTCACCATAGAGATAACATTGACATCCTTCCCATTGCTTCCTTCGACAGGACCTATATAGCACTTACTCTAATTGGGTACCACATCCCTCATTCCCTCGATTTGGCTTCCCCCACCCCCCGGATACGAACCGGGAGAAGGAGGTGGGTGTTTACACTTTGCAGCCTTCCTACCCGGGACGCAAAGCAATTAGAAATTAGGAGCCATATGGATATGGGATAGGCGAGGCTGGCTGCAGCCGTATCAATGCTATCATAAGCCACATTGGTTTTCAATGACATTGTCTAGATTTCACAATTAGATAGATTTCCGTTTCTCTGTGTATGGTAATGTCAAGTGTGGAACATCGTTGGACTTGGGGGCAGATTAAAGTTTTCCTCAGACGAGCCGAATGCGGACATTAGTTGGGGATGGCACAGCATGAGACAAATCCGTCTCTTCATTTGCCTGGCCGCTCGGAAGATGTTTGCTTGACTTTAACTCAAGACAGCTAGAGTAAGGGAAGTCATGACGCCGAGAAAGAACGACCGTGCGCAACGGGCTCGATGAATTTGTACCACGTATTCTTCCAAGTCGCTCAAGACACTATCCCGTGGATTTAGGAAATAAGGATAGAAAATTGCATGCGCGATCGAGCCATTTTCTACACTCTACACTCCACTGTGAGGTGTGTATTGACTTCAATCCAATTCGAGTCGAGGGATATACCCATGGCTCTAAGTGCAAATTGCCAGCTTGGAAATTGTGCTTCCTGCTTAGACATTCCCACGGCCCACCAATTCTTTGCGGATTGAAATTGAACGGAGACGGGTGGCCGACCCTACCTGGATCAGACGTCAGCCTCGGGATGCGACCGGTGTAATAAGGTCCTTGTCTTTTTTGACACGCCTTTGCCGGTAGAATGCAGTGTTCTCCTGTGGATACAAGCTTTAGATTTCATGACTGGAAGGCGTACGGAGGTCTTACTCACGGTTGTTTGGATGATTCTGCCGCCTCACCACCGAGGGACCCACAACCCATATTAGATAGCCTCTCTCTTCCTCCCATCTTCTTCACACCAATCAAGTTGCGTTTCACCTTTCTCTTTTCCTTCTCGTAGATCACCTACGAATAACGGTAGAATCGAACATCAATATGCTCGCAAGCCACAATCGATTGGATGACCACTCCTTGATCCGGGCGATTGGTGCAGGAAGCAGGGGTGTATTCCATGAACTGGCGTGGCCCCGAAAGAAAACAGAAAGTGCTCCTCTGAAGCAGGCTTCCAATCTCATTTTTGATCCCGTAGCTGTGATGCCGTCATTGTCTTCAAGGGGATGGATCATGGATAGGTATAGTCTGCGCCAATGCTACAGAAGAATTGTCGAGCTCACCACATGCCTATCGCTCTAGCATAGGTCAGCTGTCAGGGACACATAATGTGGCCGTCAAGTCCGAGTTATTTACGCAGTCCTTACCTCAATCGACCAGAGCCCATCATGAACAGAAGTCAAGAGAGCAAATCATCTAAGCGATGTGAAAGCCAGAGAGTGCATAGCCGTTTTCGGCACACATTGTCCACTGGTCCAGTGGTCTCTCTCTACCTCGCCTAGGGAGCTACCGGAATAGTGTTGGTTGACTGACTGCCGTTGCAGGACTTGATCCCGGCTATTTGTAATCCCTACACAGCGGACCGCCTGCAAGTTTAGGCAAAGAGGGCCGGCCGGGCAAGGTGGGTAATGCTATTCCCACGGGTACCTGGCTGCAGGATGGGGGGCTTCAAGATAAAAAGATGAATACATAATTATGTCCAGTACCTAACTGGCTACATACATCATTTGTGTTGTGGACGTTAAGATTGACTGAACATGGAAGGAGAAAGACATGCAGTGAAGAGCGAATTGTCTTGATTATCCCGAGCAGTATTGAGGTCTTGATTGCAACGCGAGAGGAAGAAACCAAGTGCAGATATCACACCAGGCAAATTCTGTAATGGTCGGACAGCCCCGACATGAAACAAAGGCGGGCTTAAGTCATTTGGAAGGAGAGAACAGGACAATCACAAAAGGGAAAAAAAACAACAAAAAGAAAAAAGAGAAAAGACTCGGCACCTACATGGAACAACTATAACTATCACCCGGGGAACTTAGTATGATGACAGCATCAATTTGTCCACCTTGCTACCTACGGGCACCGGTCATCAACCACGCAGTGCAGGTTTACTTCCCATTTTCCTCAGCTAGATATACAGCAGCGATGAGTCCAAAATGATCTTTTCATGCTTCATCTGCTTTTAATTCTTCACTTGATCGGTCACGGAGGTCAGTATCATCTCAACTTCAAGGCATGTGTATATCTATTATGCATGTGATCGTCATCTTATCCTACCGGACGGAATTCCGGACCGTCAGCAATGCATCCTTAGTACTCCGTACCTGGCCCTAAAGGCTCTCTGTCTCTTCCAACTTTGCCCGATCATTTACCGGCGTCGGAGCATGACTGGGCCCCGATCAGCTTACTTTACTGCCGGCATAATCCTATCCATCCATAGTTGAGGCTGCAGATTTAGCTCCTCTGGAGCCGGAAGTCATCTCCACTGCCATGCGGAGGCCGACCTGCGTTAGAAAGGATTCAGCCCCCTCTAGCTCTGCGCTGAATTTCTAGTATGCAGCCATTCATTGGGCCACCATGAAATAACTGTAATGTGTAAATTAATATGGAGATTGGGCCGCTGTCTGCTCCTTTCCAGTCACGCAGGCGTTCTGATTGGCGTGAATATTGAGACAGAAAGGCAGGAGACGTCCGGAGATTGCGGATCAGAGTCGGTAGGAGTTCACATATTACAGGCTAAGTCGAAGGGTGGCTTGCTTATGGGGAAGAATGTGATGACGAGAAATGACACCGTCGATAAAAAGCGAACAGTCGAGTGATACATCCACGGCCTCGATTCGAGGATCCTCAACGCACCCTCGTCGCGACAAGATGGAAGGGGGCATGAGGTTTGTGCCTTATCAGGAGGATGCAAGGAGGAATCCGCCCATCTAGAGAAAAAGAATGTGATTTGCTGACCAAATCCCGATCACGCGCCAGACTCGACAAGGCTGGAGGCAGTTCTTTTTGCAATTTGGGGCCCCTTTCGACGCGGCTGAATCAGATTCAGAACTACTTAGGGGGGGAAGGCTAGGTATAGTTCCTGCACGATGATGATTGAGCGACCGCTGGAATGACCAGCCTCGGCTTGTGCGTCACTGTGTACTTGTGTAGCCCTGTAGTGCGTGACTGCGGGCACAGTTTGTCCACAGGCCACAGAGTAACCGTGTATCACACAGTCTGGGTCTTCAAGGTCCGATTCGTGTTACAGTACCTGGTACCTACTCCAGTCCTCGTAAGATCACCCCCATTGGAATATGCTGGTTCTTGACAACTATGCATTTTGGACTAGGGTGAGCTGGATTTTAGTCAGTCCGGCCACATTTCGAACCGTTCATGAGAGCTATGGACTGATTGTTTAGTTCGACTGGGCATGTGGCTCTAGTCTGCTCTTGAGTAGACACTGGACAGCAACAAGAAATAAATCCCCTCGACAAAGGTACAATAGGTGCACGCGGTTCGTACTAGAGTCCCACATGAGGCGCTTGTAACCATGACCCGCTTCTGGGAGACGCCTTGAGTTTAATACCGTACCATCGGACGTCCAGACCCGGCCAAGACAGCAAACGGACGAGTGGAGCAGTGGAACAAGGATTTGTTCTATCCAGCTTCCATGCCTTCCATTCGTTCCACCGATTTTAAGCCTTGAGAGGTCGGAAAAGGAGGATTAGAAATCGGAAGGGTGAGCGATTTCGACTCGCTATGACTGCGCGTTTCTGGTGTAGTCCACTCTGAAGCTATGTCAGATGTCAATGTATGAATCACTCAAACTCTTTTGAACTGACAAGCTAGTCTCGATTTGTTCACAACCACTTAGCTATATCATCACCGAGGTAGATAACTACCGGCTCAAGGATTATGACGGGGATAAAGTCAGCTGATTCACGTACAGTATGTAGGGATGACAGGGTCGAGTACGGTACCCGGATACACTATTGGCAATTTGGCAGTGACAATAATTGTGAACAGGCACCCCCCCCCTTTCATCCGAGACCGAGGGACGGGTCATGACACGATCATCGGTTCCCTAATTCCAACTGCCATTGAATTGGATCGTCCATAGCCATATCACTACTAATGCATGAAAAATTGGAGAAACAGAACCTTTGGTGAACCAGAGTGATCTGTATTAATCGATGGAAGATTGGTCCGTCCTGTTGCTTCAAAATTGATGCCTCAGAAATCGATGCCAAAATTAAGACAGGCGATCCATGTCTTCTTTACAAAGTTTGTGCTGATACGAGTCAGTTATCGGAAATAGATCCGCACGATACCCTGGGTGAAAAGTACTTTTATTGTAGAATAAAAGTGAAACCTGAAACGGCTTGGGGGTCGCCGTATCATCATCGGCCGTGGCGAAAAGACTAGTGCCCCTCTTCATCTCTATTCCTACGGCCTCAAAGCACCTACAGTATGTAAAGTTCTGTACTCGTAAACAATCTCCGCCCGGCGCCCGCACGCAGCCTTATTCAATCTCGATTGACCTTACGCTAGGAAAGCATGCTTGATGCCGGGTATATCGTTATGTACAGTAACTCACTACCTTTGTAAATAAAGCACTAATAGCAATCTCATCATCCATCTTCAGCTTAGCACCAGGTTCCAGGCTCATGCTTTGAAGAGGAGGGTGTCAAATCATTCGACCTCCTCCCTGACACGCCTTATCTGAGGTATGTGAAACCGTGAATATCTCGTCGGGCGCCCTTCATCGGAGAGAATTCTCCTGGACACAGTCAGTATCCGCAAATAGATTATTCAAAATGATACCGCACTACGGTACTACAGTACCTCTGCGAGTGTGGGCCGTAGAGAATGACAGCCAGTCGGTCCTCGGACAGTAATCCCCCAATACGTGTATCACCGTACCATATCGGTACAATCTGTATCAGACGATGACGGTGCTAGGGTCTGGAACCGTAGTCTAGAACAAAAGAAAAGGCAGGAGACAAAAAAAAGAGGGTTCCCGTTCATTGATGCCGGTGCAGAATAGAGGAGTCAATCCACTCCCGGTCTCATCCTGATCTGGGTGCTCAAACCGTGCTTGTTTTCTATTTTTTTTTTCTTCTTTTATATGCATCTCTCACTTCTACTAGCTCCACAGTCCACAGTCCCACTTCTTTTTTTTCCCGATTCCTCTGTCGACCACATCTCGATCACCGGCGTTACTTTCGCCTCTTTAGCAACCTCTCTCCCACCACACCCTAACTTTCGCCCTCCACCTGCTCTTTCTTAGCCAGCTCGTGAGGGCGTTTGATTGATACGCACTCTGTCTCGTTTTAATCAACCACAACCTCCTCTTAATTCACGCTCCTCAGCATGCGCCGCTGCGATGGTCTAGGAAGTCTGCTTGGTTCTGCGTAATCAAGTCCAGACCATGGATTTCATCGTGAGTCAAGATCCCTGGTCTTTGCAGTCAGTTTCATACCAACCCACATCCGAGCATGAGTTCTAACTGCGGCCGGACATAGCTGTCTCTCACGCACTTTTGCGAACTGCATGGGCCGACCTCCATAATCTGCTCCCAAGTTCTTCCATTCGCATGTGCACAATGCCATCCCGATCTAGAACCCTCACCCGCCACTGCCTCTCATGACGCGCAAGGCCGCAAGTCTCCTAAAGTACCCGGTCACCCCATTGAATCCGCAGGCTCCCGGTCTCCAAGGATCGAGGACCACCCCTTACTTCATACGCCCCCAGCAAGCTGCCTCCCCAGAAGAGCGAGCGCATCGCGTGGGCGGTGCAGACGGCAACACATGTGCAAGCTGCACCCTTTCCCTCCCTGAAGGTGTCAGCAAGCAGCTCCCGACGGGAGCACCCGGCAGTCGGGATGCTCAGGGCACCAGCAATAGCAGTCCTGTTCTTCGCTCGCGTGAAGTTGTTTATTCATGCGGTAACTCTCACACCGACGCTGACGAGGATAACTTCGATTCGCATACCCATGCCTCTCCGCCGGACTCGTTGCGCTCCGCCTCGGTTATGTCCGACTCTTCCTCCTCCTGCCACACTCACATTCTGACTTACCTGTCTCTTCGCGGGCCCCCGAACCCGACCGATTATTCTCTTCTACGCCGATCGTCAATCCGTACCTTGAGCTGTGAGCTTCTACCCCGCGGTCTATCATCAGGTCCACTTTGTTTTGGCGACGCGTTGGCAGGCTACACAATCGCATACATCTTTCGCTTGCCGGATCCCATGGCGCGTGGTAAGCGGCGCAGCTACGCATTGATTGCGCTTGCTGGAAAGGATGCTGGCCGGGCTTTCCGTGCTTGTCCACTCATTTGGCGCGCATTTGGACGCATTGCATCCGGAATTGTGAGTGCGGCCGAGCGATACCAGGAAGAAGAGAAAAAGCGCGAGGAACAGACCAGTGCGGTCGCCCCAACTGGTGATCGACAGTACACAGCGGTGTCGTCTTTCTTGACCGGCCGGGCCAGAGACCTAAGCGGCAGAGTGCCCCGAGTCGGTCAGATTCGTGCGAGGAACTTGGCGGAAATTGTTGGGAATGAATACATTTTCGCTGAACTTCATGCCAACTTCGTCGCACTACTCCAACAATTGGGAAATATGTTTGGCGGCATGCCCATCTCTGAGGAACGCTTTGTGTGCAGCACACTTAGTGACGAAGCAAACAGTGCCTCCCATTCACCAAATCCACTCTCCCACGACCCCGAGCGCTTCAAACAAGGCCAATTCGTCAAACCTGACGGTGACGATCTTGACAAGTCCAAAATCGATATCACCCCGGGCCCGCAGCCCATTCCTATTTCCCAAGCTCGAACATCTGTCCTGGCATAACTGACCTTGACATCCCTACTACTTTGATTTCTTTCTCTTCGTTTGAGATACCCACCGGCATTATTCCATTACCTCACCGCGCCGAATACGCATCCGGCTGTGCGGAACCCTACCATTGAGCGTCTTCCACCATTCTCCTACATCCCATCATGCTCCTTGTCTGCCCTCTCTCCGGGTTTCCTTCGGGTTCATGTCACGCCGCTGTGGCCCGCCTTTTTCGCTTTGGTCATCTCACAACTTCAATCGACCAAATATTCATGATATTCGTCCACCGCTCCCTCCGCGCAAAACTTAGATTCGGGTATAGACGACGGCGTCTGCTAGATATGGTCAGGAGTTTCTTGGTGTTCTATGTGATCTCTGCCTTTCCCACCCCATCTTTCTTCCTGCGTGACCTGCAGGATGGGGTTTTCTAATTCATCCTTACAAAGCGTTCTCATTACTTCTGGTGTGTTTTTTGTTCGCCTCCTTATTGGATCCTAGTATGCCCTCTGAGGCATTTTCGTGTTGAAACGACCGCAGACTTTACAAGCGATTTGTATTATACGGGCTCTATATTATCTGATAACCACGAGTAATGATAGCTCGACTCACGGCCTGGATTTTAATTACTTGTCTTGGAATTGTACTTGGCTGACGTACTGTAGATTTGGACTCGTTCATGTACCTGACCCGCTACGATGGTCCAAGATTGACTTACTTTGGTGCACACTGCACACTCACGGCCATGCAGAGACAATCGGATTGTCAGCGGCATTTTACAGTCACTTCGGTCTGAAGGGAGGGGGATTTTTTCCGCCTGAATGGGGTAGAATTAAACAAATAGCCCCGTACTCCGTTGTATTCAGTATTTACATGCGCCGTTCAGTCGCATTTCCTAGTAGCACTAGCATTCATTCTGCGGGATGAGGTATGTACATTGGATGGAACGGACCGGACAAACCAGCTCCTTTGAATTGTTCCGAGCACTCGCGGGCCACAATCAAAAATCCCACCAAAAAAGGCATCACCACAAAGATTAAAGCCCGACCCCCATACCACCCCCAGCCTCAGATCCCTCCGTCAAGATGGTCGCCTTTGATAAGTGTGAGACTCGGCCAGCCAACATTGATGCCATTTTGAATGGCCTGGACCGCTACAACCCGGAGACCACAACCGTTTTCCAGGACTACGTGAGCCAGCAATGCGAGGACCGGTCATTTGATCTTTACGCCAATCTGGCGCTCCTGAAGCTGTGAGTGCCAACTCTGTCTTCTGCTTGTTGAAAACCCAATCGCACGATGCCCGTGGAGGGACCGTTAGCACTGTTTGCTATGACGAATGATCTACTCTTACACGTTTCCTATTACCTGACACCTGTCGCAAATGGGCTTGTTGAGAATTCCAATCTTTCTGAAAGAGCTAGCAATGGATAACCGTCGTCTCGGCGAAGCTCTTGCTGCTCACGTCGCTTGTGCTCGTTGATTTTGCACCCCTCTCTTTTTAAAAGCAAATTGCTAATCCGCGACGACTCGGGCTTTGTTCTCAAACAGTTACCAATTCAACCCCCACCTCCAGCAGCCTGACACCGTCACGAATGTCCTGGTCAAGGCTCTGACAGTGTTCCCTTCTCCCGCCTTCTCCCTTTGCCTCGCTCTGCTCCCTGCCTATACTCAACCATTTGCCACCACCTCTGAGGCCCAGGCTGCCTCCCAGAACTCGGACTTCGTTGAGTCCGTTCAGAAGCTCTCCCACCTTTCTTCTCTCCTCGAGTCTGCCCAATACACTCAGTTCTGGTCGACTCTGAACTCCGATGACCTCTATGCCGACCTTACCGCCGATATTGCCGGTTTCGAGGAGCTGATCCGTATTCGCATTGCCGTTGAGGTCGGCAAGGCCTTCCGCTCCGTCAAGGCCGAGGCCCTTGAGCAGTGGCTCGATCTGCGCAGCCGCGATGCCCTGAGCAAATTTGTTGCTGATGTGTGCAGCTGGAAGATCGAGGGTGACGTCGTTCGCGTGCCCACCAACAAGGAGAACGAGGCCCGCAGTGAGGTCAAGAGCGAGCGTGTTGGCGTTGACATGTTTGGCCGGGTCATTCGCCGCGGCTTCGAGCAGCCCGCATGAGTTACCAACTCTCTTTTTTGAGCAATTTTCCCTTTAACCGATCTCATGCATTATTCTCAACCCTCCCTAGCCGCCTATCTTTTCTCTCTTTCCATTCCCCTTCCTGTCGACATGGAAGGGCCATGAGTGGATATTTTTCTTACTTGTTTGCACAAAAAGAGACATGATTTTCATGAATCCCCGAGGTGTGATGACTGCCATAGACTCTCACATGGAGAGGAAGCCTCGCGAAGATGAGTCGGGATCTGGCGCAATGCGGCGTTGTTTCTCCATTGAACGCCTTCCAAGTTTTTGTGTTCTGAATTTGTACTACGTTTTCAATTCGATTGAGACGTAGAGGCTTTGATAGATGGATTGAGAGGGAACGACGGGGAAGGAGTGTGAGAGCGAGTTTCCCATGTTGATACCAGGGTAATTAATACCTCTATCGTGCTGGCTTTATTAAAACACCTAGCGTGCCTCAATGAATGAGTTTCCAATACCTGCTTTGGACGTACGACTCGTGTGCAGCAGAGAGCGGACACACAACATTCTTCTTTTACAATCCTCCATTCTTGCGGAAATGCCAATTGGTCTGTCTGGAGTCTCTGGACAGTCATGAAAGATTCATACCACAATAGCGAAGACCTGAAGATCTCAATGCAAAAAGAGTCGGGAAGATGCTTTGTGCAGAATGGGTATATGTATTGATATGCGTAATTTATTGGCCGACTCCCCCTTGAAGTATTGCTTCATGGTAGTTTAGGTCATTTCATCTCCTCCCATTGAACGCCGGCCCATTCTTCCCGCCAGCCAAGCTGTCCAATCTTTTCAGGTGCACAATCCTGTCCACAGACACCCATGATGATCGTGCCCCATTCCATGCCTGCATCACCCTCTCCGAGTCCAACGCCTTCACGGCCGTCCTCAAGCATGGAAATAGCATGAGGCACCAATTGCACCTCAAATACCCTAGACGCACCGCAGTACTCGCAGGGAGGCATGCTCCCGCCTCCAACAGTCGTGACTCGACCGGCGCTGTGCTCTGGATGCAAACGCTTGCCGACTTGATCTGTATAAGACGAAAGAAGGGGTGTTCCGCGGTATTCGTAGCGGAGGACCTGCTCGGGATTGTGCGCAAGTCGGGTAGAGAATTTCATGAACGCTTTATCCATCCCGGACTCGAACGTGTCTTTCATGTCAGCGTCGCCCTCGCCACCGGCACCTTCCTCTTCCATTGGCTCAACGCTGACGTTCTCAGGGACCGTAGGTGTGGAGGGCCGTGACATGGTCTCGTACTCAGCGTCGAGGTAGTATTTTTGATAAGGCGCCGGAAAGGCAGATTGCGCGGGCCACGGCGCCTGGGCGCCCATTGACTCGGGAGTCTGCTTGGTCGCAGTCCCAGAGGCGCTGATGGGGGCGGGCGAAGAAATCCGGACCTTATCGGCGAATGTTTCAGCAAGCTTGTCCGCGGAAGTCGTGGCAGGAGATTGGGTAGCGGGCGTTGCTGGCTTAGGCATCGCAAATGGATTGGCGCCCGCCCCCGCAGCCGCAGAGCTGGAACTAGGAGTGAGCGAGAATGGGTTCGCATTCGCGGAGACACTGCTCGTCAACGACGTCGCACCAAAAAGACTTGCTCCCAGGTCCAGCTTGGGTTTGGGCGGTGCGACAGGATCCAGTGTTGGCTTAGACTTCTCCTGTGGCTGCTGCTGCGGCTGCGGCTGCTTTTTCTTCTCCTGCGGCTGTGGCAGGGGTAGGCCGGGGAGACTGACCTTGCGAGTAGCACGGTATGCCCGTATACTGCCTGGCTTGCGATTACATGGTTTCCGAGGGCATCCGAATATGTACAGGCGGCGCTCATTGTTGGGGAAATGGTCGGGCAGATCGCCGTGCAATTCGAGAAGGAGGAGCATCGGGCTATTGCACACTTTGCAGTTGGCGTAATCGCCCGGGGGTGGAGTGTTTTCGTCGATCCATGACTGTTAGAACATAATCAATGTCGTGTTAGTGAGCGTGTCCGCATCCACTCTCTCGAGAGACAGGTAATGGCGCAACTTACTGGCCACCCACCCAGATGGCTGATTGTGTCTTCAATCACATCCTCGTCGGCGTAACCCAGCAGGACATTGGTCTCGGTGAGATCCTCGTCTGCACTGGAGTCGCTATCATACGGATCCATGGTGTATGATGTTATAGTCGCTGCAAGAATTCAATCAATCTCACTGCGCGCAGAAATTCGTAAAGAAAAAAAATGAACTTGGATGTCCCCCTCACCTGAAAAATGCGATAAGCGATACGGCGGCCCCACCCGTATTCCGCCGGACATGTGAGCAGACGGTGAGGCACAGAAGGACAACCGCAGAGCTCTGGAATGCTCGACGCCTTGATCTTTTAAAGCATTTAACCAAGTGTCTGATCTTATGTCCATCGGGTAACGGCTCAGCCACGAGTATGACATACCCACACAATGCCTTTTATAGAACGTGGATTCTCTTCCTCTTGATCGCAATCGGTCTCCCTGTAACGCATGCAACCCATCCTCAGCAACCGTTGAATGTCGTCACAAATGCTCCCGCAAAGCGGGTTGCTATCGTCGGTAGGTAACAACCAGATTAACAGCACAATGATATGCGACTCCAACGTGCGAAGAGAACCATTTGTAGCCACTAAAATATCATTACAGGGGCCGGTGCTGGAGGCTCTTTCGCAGCGTACGAGCTTCGTAAGCTCGCAGATGAGGCTGAGATAACCCTCAACGTCACTGTCTTCGAACGTGAATCGTATATTGGCGGACGTTCTACCACAGTCAATGTCTTCGATGATCCAGCTTATCCTATCGAGCTTGGCGCTTCAATCTTCGTCCAGGTGAATCAGAACCTGGTCAACGCTACAAGAGATCTAGGTCTGTCTATGAACGCCGCAAATCATGGTCGGCCACGAGAGAGCGAGGATTCTATCGGTATCTGGGACGGGAAGCAGTTTGTTTTCACATTGAAGGACTCGTACAGCTGGTGGAACATCGGCAGACTGTTCTGGCGATACGGATTCGCTCCGTTGCGTACGCAGAACCTCATGAAAAAGATTGTGGGCAAGTTCCTTCGTCTATACGAGGACCCTTTCTTTCCTTTTGAATCGCTCTCCGAAGCAACTGCGCTCGTCGATCTCCTCGAGGAGACTTCATCGACTGGGGACGAGTTTCTGGTCAAAAATAGAGTATCATCCCGGTTTGCTCGAGAGATCATCCAAGCAAGCACACGGGTCAATTACGGCCAGAACCTGCCGTTGATTCATGGTCTGGAGACCATGGTCTGTATGGCGACCGACGGTGCCGTGTCCATTGAGGGAGGCAACTGGCGAATCTTTGATGGCGCGATCAAGGCCGCCAGGGCTGACTGTAGGTTGCATACAACCGTGACCGAGGTGGTTCGCAATGCGGACGGCACTATGCGTGTTACGGCACAGTCGAAAGGTGGCCTTGGGAAGGAAGGTTCAAGTGATGACTTCGACGAAGTCATCATTGCCGGTCCTTTGCAGTATTCGGGCATCTCAATTACACCACCGCTAGAGCACGTACCGGATGAGATCCCCTATGTCAATCTGCACGTCACTCTGTTTGCGTCACCTCATTCGATTTCTCCGAAACGTTTTGGATTCGCTGAAAATGAACGAGCCGTGCCGGAAACAATCCTAACCACTCTTCCGGAGGGAGCAGACCTTGGCCAAAATCCGTACGGTGTTGGTCCCGCTGAATTTTGGAGTATCAGCACGCTTCAAACGGTGCAGCGAACAACAGTTGAAGATGGGCAGGAACTGTCGCAGCTTCACTACGTGTACAAAATCTTCTCGCCTGAGCGTCCAACAGCCGAGTTCCTCGCGCAAGTTCTCGGCATTGAGTACTCACCAAGCACTGACTCGGCAAAAGGTCATTCAGCAAACACCACCATCGGTGACCTGCCCAGCTCGGAAATCAGTTGGTACTATGAGAAGTTTTGGAATCCGTACCCCCTTTTGTATCCGCGAGTGACCTTTGAAGACATTCGCCTTGCCCCTGGTGTCTGGTACACCAGCGGCATCGAGAGCTTCATCTCGACTATGGAGACCAGTGCTTTGATGGGCCGGAACGTTGCCCATCTGATTTTCAATTCATGGAAAGACCAAGCTGAGTCTTTATGATTGACTATTGCCTTGCTTGGGTGGGTTGGTTTGGTTACCTAGAATCTGATCTGCAGGCTGCGTGAGGTCACTCTATGATGCAGAATAACCAGAACACGACTTGAGCCTCGCCCTTGTGAAATAATTTGAACATTTTTGACTTTATTTTCAACCACGTTGAATACTTCGCAAGTTCTCATCACCCGTCCCGTATTGACACTGAGTCCCGAACGAATTATGTGTAGTAAGCAAATACATGTAGGCAGCGTCTCTGGCATTTGTCTTCGCGTTCCAATCATCGCATTGTACTGGGCACAGGCTAGGTCCCCTGAATCAAGTCTTTAGACATGACGCGATGTCAAAGCCGTGCTTCAGGGCACTACTGGCCGTGACCAGCTAAGGGAGCTAAATAATGCCCATCTATCTTCCAAGGGAGCTAGGCAGGGGTTAGGTAGATTGGAAGGACGTTCGTATGGATTACACCTGCCCCCGGCACTTTAGTTCACAGACTGTTCCTTAGGTACCGTATCCATGTCTTATATGGTGTGTGATCGGGATGCTTCATATCAACATGTACAGTCAAGATGTATCCCAAGATATGAGATATTACCATGGGCAAACACTCTGTTAGATTTTATACAGTCGTAGTTCTGGATCGTGAACACGGGAAAAAACAACAGTCCAAGGCCTAGCACAATGAAAGAAATTGGTGAAGCTGAAGCTGAGAGCCAAGGAATTGAAAGATATCCGACGGATAGTTACTATACACAACAGTTGATCGACGAAAGGGCGAGGAAACGAAGAAAATAAGAGAAATCAACGAGACACTGTGAAGAATTAATCAAAGGCAAGACAAGAACGGTGTCAACAGACATGAAGCACTCAGTCACAATAGTCCAAAGCCGCGGCCAGACGAACAGGGCCAGCCACGAGGTTGCCGCCAATACCACCCTCATCAGCAAGAGCAGCGGTATAAGCGTTGGTCACTCGTTGAGCATTCTTCGAAATAGTCGAGCAAGTGCCGTCAGAAAGCACACTGCAAATTTTCATCCCCTGGATTTCAAGTCCCGCGTTCTGTGCCTGAATGATCGAGACATCAAAGCCGGACCAGCCTGTGTTGATGGTGGAATCAAAATCGAACTCCCCCCACGTGGCAGCGTAACTGCCCCAAGTGTTCAATGGGATAGCGCCCTTGGCAGCTGCGAAACCACCCTGAGTATTGGAGTCAAAAGCATAGTACTTGATGCCACCAGCCGGAAGAGTGAAATTGTGGCAGGCATTGCCATACCAGCCGTCCATCTTTCCATCGGGGCCAATCTTGTTCCAGATGACGACTTCCAGGTCGTCGGCTTTGGAGCCTTGAAACTGAATGACGTGCTTGTAGCGGTTTGCATCAGATCCAGACACTTCAATAATATTGCTTCCGTACGGACTGCCGACGTTACCAACGTAGGTATCGCCTGAGCCGGAATAGACTTTGCTGGGGACACCGAACCCGTCGGTGCAGTAAGCTTTGTTAGATGGTACTGCGGTCCACGCAGGATGCGCAGCGGCTACGGTCGAGATCTGACTCGCAATAGAGGAAGTCGGCACTGAAGGGAGAGCCACCGTCGAGGACGACGTTGGAACGGCGACTGGAATGTCGCTTGAAGTCGAAGTCGAACCAACTTGATCCGTTACAGGAACAACCATCTGAATCACATTCGAGATCGTGGCAGGGTCAATCGACGAAGTCGACAGGGGCGCTGCACAGTCGTAGACAGTATTGGTAGTCGTGAGAGTGACCGTGCTAGCAGCATTCTGACGACGAAGATGGCCTTCATGACGACCTTGGTGGCCATGACGAGCACAGACGCTGGTCGTCCATGTCACCAAGAAAAACAACGAGACAACACGCATGGTTCTGGCCGGACTTAAGCAGTCAAGTGTAAGTTACAGTAGAGATGGAGGCAAGTGAATTCCCAGTTTGTATACACTCAATGCCCGGGACAGTGGAATCCGGTGAACGACGGTAATTGGAAGAGATGGTAGAATGATGAAGAATTAGTAGTCTGAAGGAGTGGCACAGCGGAACTACGCTGGAAATGGACTGAGAATGGAAGGACAAAAAGGAAAGAGTCTTGCTGTCTCGATCAATATGAAGCCAGACAGCTCACAGAAAAAGTCAGCAGAGAGAGGAAAAACTCTCGCGGAGGAGAAAGGATCAGGACCCAGTTATCAACTCGTACCTAACTAGGGCAATCCGTTCACTTTCGTCGTTTCATGCTGCTGTAATCTCACTAGAGGCGCCCACTTCATTTGACTGGCATTAAGGCCCGGAACCTTGGGGGATCACTGGTCTGTCGAGGGATATTCCACTTAGCCCTAATTTGGGCCTCGTTCGCGATCGTCTCAATGGACCCCTGCTGGGGGCGGCGAACTGGCCGAGACGGGTTGGCACACTGCCTTGTCCACGAACCATGAAGTCTGATGCAGGCGCTAAAGGGCCTAGTTGACATCCGTCGTCTTGGTATGCATTTGCGATGAATGGTTGGCATATTGATTCAGAGAAGACTGGTGTCCCTGACCCCGTTTCAGCGCGCTCGAGGCGGCCCGCTCGGAAGATGACCTGCTAAACAATGCCTTCCCCAGACTCCAATATTGTTGCTGTTCAACCTTAGCATTCAGGAATGATTCTCGCTTCTGTCGCATTGTCCATCATCTTAGCAGAATATGTAAGATCTCTCGTCGTGGTGGCCGACACACAATCGAGTTGGTCTTCTCTTCGAAATCGAAAAGGAGTGGTTGACCTGTGGTTGCGCGTTCTCAAGAGACTAATGCACTTGGCGTGTCACTCTAGACAGTTGGTGTCATGCATGGCCCCCAAATCGTCTCGATGGCCCCCTGTTCGCATAGCAGAGACAAGCTGTGCCAGTCACATTGGACTGTCTGGTCCCCTACAATTGCGCAATCTAGTCGGGCGCGTACTCGAAAGGGAATGGGTGCGGCGCATAAACTAGGCACGGGGTTGGCTGCACGGATTGGCGTACTCAAGGAACGGAGGGCGCTAAAGTAAGTGAAGAACATACACAAGTCACCTGCATTTACTATCAATGTCACCTTTCACAGCACTCTACGAGTCTACACAAGAGGATTTCACCTGGGTGGTTTTCTAGTGAAAGCGCAAAACGCAGTAAAATCCGTTTCTCTTCCATGTGTCTCCGGGGTTTTGCAGTCGGGCCTAAAGTAGGCCAATCTGAGAATATCGCCTAATGGCTCTCTACAACAAACCAACTGACTTGAAGTGAACGAGTCAGTCTTGCCCAGAAATCATCGAGAAGGTCAGCTGGTCCTCCTCATTCAAAGGGGTTCGAACTCTTATCAATTTTCAAGCTATATCGTTTCAGCCCTACGAGAGCAAGCCCGGCTATGAATGGATGCAGGTACACGTTGCAGCTGCGATCGGTTTCTGGTAACGTGAATATGAAGTTTTTCTCGGTCCCCGAGGCTTCATTCAGAATAAAGCACCATGTAACCGAACTTAAATCATGATGTACGCAATAGACACCAGAGCGTATGGATCATCTTTGACAGGGCGATCAAGAAGTCTTGCAAATGCGAAATGTTACAGAAGATGAACTCATCCTTAGTATACAGTATGTCGAACTATCGCCCTGCTAGACTCATGGAAGACGTACTTCACGCTTCGCTGAAGTTTCACATCAAGAGTGTACGATAATAGTACATAAGTCTGCCCAGGCGATTTCAGTATTCGGCCTCGCTTTCACTCTCCGCGTAAGCCTTCTTCCTCAACTTCCATAAAGACTGTTCGCGACGCGCTGCAGCCTCACGGTGACGACGGCTGTTGTCTTCGACGACCGTCATCCAGGGCACGTTGCTGGCGCGCCGAACGCGCTCATGTAGGATTGCCAGAGTTTTCTGATGTTTCTCAGTGTCGACTCCGTCAATGCGACCTTCCTTTTGGTAGCGTCTTTCCGCAGCCCGTGCGGCGTAGTACTCCTCGCTGATAGCCCAGTTCGGGTTGTCGATCTGACCGCGGGCAAGGACCAGTTGGTGACCCTCCTCGAAGGCCTTCTCCAACCTCGAGGCGGGAATAGGCGTGGAGAGTTCCAGCTGATGCGACGTCACATTGACGGCTCGAATGAGAGCTAAGCCCAAGCAACTGGATGAGCTGGGATTCAAGGGAACAGATGTTCCGGCTCCAGAGTATAGATAGGGCAGATTCTCCTCGGGGAGTCTGACAATACCGTTGGCCAAGTCACCATTAGCTGGACGAGAAGCATCGTCAGCATTCGATTGCAGATCCTTCTCATCGTCCACGTCAAGGTCCTGGTCCATAGTTTCGTCGTCCAGGGTTTGAGACTCCCGATTTGAAGAGACGAAGCCCGCGAGAGCTTTTGTCGACTCCACTGCAACAACGCCGACGACAGCTCCTTCAAGAACTTCTCGGAGCATGCTTGGCTCTATGTGGGCTCCTAAAACCATGACACCTAGAATTCCTGGCGTACTCCCAGCATACTTCACAGTAATGGGTCTGGTGCGGGAAAGAGGCATCGCCTGCCAAAGAGGATTGGCAAGCCCACCATGGTGAGACATGTGGAAGTAAGACTGTATTTGCATCGCGCGTAGCTGGGCGCTCGAGCGACTCACGAAATCCGTAGGCTGAGATGGAAGGATAGTCAAAGCAACTCGAGCCTCGATTGCAGCACCGCCCAAGGGTTCAATCACCTCCGCAGGACCCTTCTCACTCATATAGACCACATCAGAAAGTCCAAGAGAGCGAATCAGCCAGGTGGCGACTTCCAAGCCCTGTCCAAATATCCAGCCCGGATAGTTGACTATTAAAGGACATTGAGGATATTTGGTGAGCAACGATCGATACTGTTCCATCAAATCCATCACAGCCAAAGCGTAGTGATCTGGGTCTTCTTTGGGAGAGGTAGCCCCAATAAAATGAGCACGCAAGATTTGTCCATCCTCAGTATCATCTAGTGACGGATGCGTAAAGGGGGGTCCGAAGAATGGCGCCCGCAGATGAGCGAGGTACACTTGGCCCATGGTAGCGAACTCAGGCTGACCAGGGTCTAAATCGAGGAATGCACAGCCATCGGAGTTGACAAATCCGTTCTCTACCTCCGGAGCAGGACTCAGGACGTGATTGAGTAAATAACGACTAAAAGTCGATTTCCCCGACGCTTTCGGGCCACATACTAGGACGCGCAGCTGCCCTTGCTTGTGGGAAAGCGCTTTCATTGAGGCGCTCCATTTCTTATCAAGATGAAGCGGGCGCAAGTGGCGCTTGAAAGAGTCGTCTGCAGAGGTGTAAAGCTGCGGCGAGATCAGATATCGCACGTGTAGAAACTGATGGCAAACCTCTATTTGACTTACCACCGAGAATGTCCTCCGCGAATTCTTCAACTTACCCTTTAAAGTCATCTTGTCTGCTGCTGTGACCTTCCCATTCCAGATCTTCTGATAGAGCGGTGAAATTTCGTGCAGGCGTGTCAGTCCGCTTTTACAAGATTTGATCTCGATTTCTGCTTCCCCATTCGACCCAGAGACACATTTGATGACGGGTAAAGAGTGGGTTGAGGGCGCATATACCCGATATGCTCGAGCGCACGGATGCAGTTTGGCACCCATAAGACTAATGACTCCCCTCTTCACCCATAAATCGTACTGTCCAACCATTGCCAGGTTCTGAAGCAAAAGTCAGCGCGACGAAAGCTGCGGGTAAGAATCTCGCGCGCCTTACCAACTTTTCTTTGACTCGGACGCAAATTTTGTCTTTGTCAGCGTAGGCCACATTGTCTTTATCGAGTCGAGCCTTAGACAAAGGAAAATTGTGAAGCTCCGGTGGTATTTCAGTCGGGGCCTCGAACCCGTCTGCATCCCCAATGACTGAGGTGACTCCATCTTCAGCTATCCCGTCGCTGTGCATGAGGTGAATTTGACTCGCCGCATCCTCTTGCCGATCCTCTCGACTGCCTACTGACGAAGGCAACCGAGATTTTGGCTGCTCGGGTGGTTGCGATTGCTTTTGGCGGCCATGTGTTGGGGGAAGGCTCGGAGTTGTCTCAATCTTCGTAGACGACCTTGTTCGGTGAGCTTTGGACTCCTTCGCATCCTCAATAACATTGCTCTCGTCATCGAAAAATTTCGGCTTTTTCGTGGGCGGTCCGACTGGAATTTCAACGATCACCTCGGTTTTTGAAATAGGCGCAGCTTGCGCTTGTTGCTGCCGAGCTCTGCGCGCCGCAACAGCACTTAATGCGCTGACAGGCGCTGGTAATGAGGCGTTAGCATAGGACTCTCAAGGCAATTTGGACACTCTTTGGCCTTACCAGCAGCCTGCTGCTTCTCCGCTTTCCGTTTCATACTCGTGTAGTGACAATGTCCTGCAAGAGCTGGGTTTCACATCGAACGACGATAATGCGCGGCGACGAACACGATAAGCAAAAAAGTTGCCGAGCGGTCCGTGCACGGCGGAGCAGAAAAAAAGACCCGCCAAATTGTTCGACACCGCGCTCGACGACGTTACTGACGACCACTCTGGAAGACCACTCTAATTCACGTCGTCCTAAGTGGTTCCTTCATTTCATTATCTGCTTCATCAGATTGCGCCAGGTTGTTTCTATTTTCCCCGTCCGCTAAGCGCAACCATAGTGCCATCGACCATGGCAGTTGCTTCTTCAACCTCGAGCGACAGCAGCTCGAGCCAATCTACCTCTCCCGAGCCTGGTCACAAGCAAACCAAGGCAGTCAAAGCAATCAACAAGAAAAAGGATGTGATCGAGGCAGATGTGTCAGAGTCTTCCGATTCCTCAGATTCATCCGACTCGGACTCGAGCTCCGAAGCAGGCTCGGATTCCGAAAGCGGTTCGGGCAGCTCCAGCGAGATGGATACTAGAGAGGATACGACAGAAGATTCTTCCTCGAAGAAGTAAGATCCCTCTATGTTTGAATATATTTGCTTGCCCTTTGATTGCCAGCTGCAGAACTGACACTGCGCTTCAGAGTCCATATCCCCGGTCCAAACCAGCCCTACAAACCACCCTCCGGCTTCAGATCCGCCAAAAAGCAAGTGCCCCCGTCCTCGAGCGCATCTGCTGCCCTCTCCAATCTGCGCGGCAAGCAAGTCTATCACATCACTGCGCCTTCCTTTCTTCCACTCTCAAAGGTGAAGGAGATTACCATGTCGAAGGTCTTGAAGGGCGAGCCATTGATAACGCTTGATGGCAAACAATACGGCATCCCGGCCGATTCTATTGAAGAGAACGACCCTGAGGGCAAGTCCTTGCTCACTTTCGACGAGACCACCCAGACGTATTGCCATAGGGCGGATCACATTCAAAGTCTCCATGTACAGGAATTGATAGGCCTGCCCATAGAAGCTGCTAGCTCCAACGCGGCGGCGATCGAGACGTTGCGCAATTATGTCAAGCCACCGCGGCCTCAGCCAAAGGGCATGAAGATGCGTTTCCGACCCGTTGGAAGTCTGCCAAGTGCACCGGAAACACTTGGAGCCAGCTCGGAATCCGAATCTGAAGAGTCGCGTCCCCAGATTTCCTCTGATAAGAAGGAGAAAGAACGCAAGCGAAAGCACCACCACACTGATGCAGATGCTTCGCAAGCTGTTGCCGAGCCTCGTAAAAAATCGAGAAAACACGCGCATGACCGGGCAGAGGAGGCAGAGCCGATCCAGAAGAAGTCAAAGAAGTCTTCAAAAGATCGTGAAGAGAAAAAGCGGAAGAAGTCCGAAAAAGCATAATCTGGTGTTGGGGGTTTCATTTCATTTAGCAAACCGCTATATATCTCTTGTATGACCAAAGAATTGACTTATTACAATTTGAGATTCTCAAGCCAGCCGGAGAATCAGATGGCACTCACACCTAGGATCTGAGGATGGTATGAAGATGAGCTGGTGAGAAGATATGCGGCCGTCCTCTGTGTGTGCTTCCCGGAGCCGTTGTCCCATTTATGCTTATCAGATGTCCCTTAACTATACATGACTTAACGTACTAGGTCTTATTATCCTCATGTATGGGTGTCTTCCCTGTTCGGCACCACCTATTGCACATTACATACTGATATTTTCAATACTTGTCATCCCATTCACGGTAAAGGAATGGCTCCAAACTCTATGTTTCAATCTGATCACACTTATACAGTCTATCCTAATTTCTCGAAGTGACCCATCGCGCGGATGGCCTCGACTGTTTTGGATTACATAATCTCATCGTCACCTGATGCGGACCTGGGCATGTCGTCGTCACATGCAATCACTATGATCATTCTGATCTTTGGCATTCGGAGATCCACCTGATGTATAATCTTGAACCTACCTTGACTCAGTAGGCTAGTGTCACACTCGCGGCTTTGTGCTTCGCGCTTTGGTTTCAGCCAATTATCCCCGCACCGTGTCTTTGACGCCTCGTCTGTTTCGAGTGGGGATGATCGAGGCGGGTCCAGCCTAACTGCTTATCGAGGCCGGCCGCGGAGCTCTTTATCGTCCCAGTAGTTGCTTCACTATGAGCTGCCTGACCTACTGACCTTGAAGTCCATCCGTCCATATCTGGCCACACGTGGTCTATTTGATATGCGCTGGCCATCAGAAGGACTACGCCCATTCTATTATCTGCGATTTGAGTCCGCCTGACGTGGACCTCGAGCTCGCTGACTTTCTCGAACGCCGCCGCCGGGTGGATTCCGCCATCGTCGCCCCGACCTGACTCCTCCAGTTGCGACATCCCTTCAAGCCTTCAACCTCTTTGCATCGATCGCTGAAATCTGAACACTTTGTACTTGGAATATAGCAACTGAATTCGGGCGAGAAGACATGGAGCCTGTTCGAGGCGACATCAGGAGTCAGTCAATACAAGCTATTCCGAGGGTTGACACTAGTACAACCATGAAGCCTTCGTCAGGCCGGCGGCTCCAGCTCCACTCGAATCGGTGGCCGGATCGATTCCAAGATGGAGAAGACGCCCAGATTGATTTTACAGCTCCGCCAAAGAGCATGCGCTCCAGAGATGGTCAAATGCAATACATGCAACAGTCGCTGTTCTCCGTCCTTGCTGCCGTTGGCTCTAGGTCGGATTTCCGCGGACGGTTCGACGACTCAAGTGATAGTGATGGTGGACTGGAGAACAGTAGCCCAGACGCAGTATCAAACTTGAACTCCAATAAGAAAGTCACACTGGGCGACCGTCAGTCTATCGAACGAGAGGATCGGGACACCAAGGCACAATCCGAGGAGCGAGGACGACGGCATCAAAGAACGAAACCTGAAAGCAAAACTCTGGCGTGGAAATCCACGCTCCTAAATCAGGAATCCTCGGACGATCCGTTGTCAGCGAGTTGCGCAACGCTGAAATTCCCAACGAGAAGGACACGCAGCGCTACGCCTGGTGCGGCTCCCATCCTGACTCGAATGATACAAGCACAGCAAACATTTGAATCTGCAATCGAGCCCGGAGAGTCGCCTTTGAGACCAAGTTCACCGCAAGATGACTCCCAGGAGCCACCTTCTTCTGCTCTTTCGACACGACTCATGAAAATGTTCGGTTTTGACAAACCTGAGAAAGTATTGGTTGAATATGCCTGCGCGCTTTTGCAAAGTATGCTGCTTCAGGGGTATATGTACGTCACTGAAGGACACATCTGCTTCTACGCTTATCTCCCCAAGAAGGCATTAAGCGCGACGAAGTCCGGCTTCTTGTCCAAACGTGGCCGCAAAAATCCGAAATACAACCGCTACTGGTTTGTCTTGAAGGGCGACGTGCTCACATATTACGCAAATCCCTCAAATCTCTACTTTCCAAGTGGTCATATAGACCTTAGGTATGGCATTTCTGCGTCACTGGCAGAGGTCAAAGCCCAAAATTTCGAAGCCACCGACTTCCAAGTCACGACTGATCAGAGAACATATCATTTGCGCGCAGAAAGCGCTGCAAGTGCGAAGGAATGGGTAAAATCTCTGCAGCAGGTCATTTTTCGATCTCGAAATGAAGGCGATAGCGTCAAAATTTCATTTCCATTAGAAAATGTGATTGATATGGAGGAGAGCCCTATGGCTGAATTTGCGGAGACCTTCAAGATCCGTGTTCTAGACAACAACGAGACCTACGCCATTGACGAGGTGAGAATCTGCCTGCCTGATCATGCTTTATGGCGGCTAACCAAACAAAAAGTATTTTTTCACTTTCTTTAATTCGGGTCAGGAGGCTTTTGACTATCTGAAAAGCTTAGTGAACGTGTCCTCTGGGAAATGTCTGTCAGGAGGGTCTCGTCAACAGCGCGACGGAGATCAGCAGTGGCAAGCCAACATATCTCAAGGGAAAAAGGCCTTAGGCCAGCACGGGGTGGGAGAATCCCTGTCTGGACCAGATAGCGAGCTGCGAGGTTCCAGTGACTCTTTGGACACCTCCACAGACCAAGGCATGGAGACCTTGCCAATCGTTCAATCGTTCACCGAAACAAACGAGTCTGCGAGTCAGATTCTTAATCGAAGCGATGTCTTTCAATCACCTACTATGCGCTCATTACCAAGGCGCCGATCTGAAGTGGACGATGAAAAACATAAACGAGCGGAAGATGCGACTCAACATTCGTCAAACCGACAGGTCAGGGTATCTCGCCAAGAAAGCACTGGCTTGTGTAGCTTCAAGACGGACACTGATGATCTGCACGGAGTCCAAGGACGGGGCGACCCTGTCACCCACCCGCCATCCCAAACAGTACCCGCTATTTCTTCGAGCGATTCCCAAAGAGCTGGAACACAACCTCTCAAGCGCGTCGCTGGAATTGCTGGGTATCTCAAGATTCGATCAAAGCAGATGAGTAATTTGCTTGCAACAGAGTCAATGGGCTACATTGAAAAGGTATCAGGGATGTGGGCCGGAGGCCAAAAACATTATGATGAGACTGAGGAAGTGCTTCCTGACGATCCGTCGCAAGATGCAGAGGATAAGGAACACGGTCTGAAACATGGAGATCGATTCCGAGCGCATTTTGGTCTACCATCATCGGAGCACCTACAAGCCACATACTACGCCTATCTCACTCGAGTGCTTCCGCTGTACGGGAAGATTTATGTTAGCGAGAGAAAGGTTTGTTTTCGCAGTCTTCTTCCAGGGACGCGAACCAAGATGATCTTGCCGCTTAAGGACGTCGAGAACGTTGAAAAGGAGAAGGGATTCCGTTTTGGTTATCACGGGCTGGTGATCATTGTTCGCGGCCACGAAGAGCTGTTCTTCGAATTCAATACCGCCGACGGTCGAGATGACTGTGCTGTGACACTCCACCAGAACTTAGAATCTGTCAAGTATCTTGCAGAATCGGGCATCCTTGCTGCGGAAGAGCATGACTTGACAGAGGCGGCAAGAGCGGAGCATCGCATGCTTCAAGAGGCAAGAAACGACAACCCTGATGAGGAAAGCACTGGAACTGGGCGCAGTGTATCTGAGTCGGAAGTTTCACCGTTTTTTGACGACCCGCTCGCTTCTATCATCAACTTCAAGCCTTCTGAATCCTTGAAAATCACCTGCCTCACTATCGGCTCTCGAGGTGATGTACAGCCCTACATTGCTCTGTGCAAGGGTCTCCTTGCTGAAGGCCACAAACCAAAGATTGCAACTCATGCTGAGTTTGAGCCATGGATTCGTAGTCATGGCATTGATTTTGCTCTTGTGGACGGTGACCCTGCGGAACTCATGCGCATCTGCGTTGAGAATGGCATGTTCACATATTCATTCTTGCGTGAGGCCACATCGAAGTTTAGAGGGTGGATCGATGATCTGCTTTCTTCATCCTGGGCAAGCTGTCAGGGCAGCGATGTGCTTATCGAGTCGCCAAGTGCGATGGCTGGCATTCATATCGCAGAAGCTTTGCGAATCCCCTACTTCCGTGGATTTACAATGCCATGGTCCCGGACTCGCGCATACCCGCATGCCTTTGCGGTCCCTGAAACTCGGATGGGAGGAGCGTATAATTACATCACGTATGTCATGTTTGACAATCTCTTCTGGAAGGCGATTGCGGGCCAAGTGAACCGTTGGCGGAACAACGAACTTGGACTCAAGTCTACGACTCTAGACAAGATGCAACAGAACAAGGTCCCCTTTCTGTACAATTACTCACCCTCAGTGGTGCCGCCGCCTCTCGATTACCCTGATTGGATTCGCATCACAGGATATTGGTTTCTGAACGAAGGTGCCGACTGGGCTCCACCCGCGGAGTTAGCTGCGTTCATCAAACGTGCCCGCGCAGATGGCAAGAAGCTCGTATACATTGGATTCGGATCGATCGTCGTATCAGACCCAGCAGCCTTGACACGCACGGTCGTCGAATCTGTTCAGAAAGCGGACATCCGTTGCATTCTGTCCAAAGGATGGTCAGATCGTCTCGGTGACCCATCGAGTCAGAAAGCGGAGATTCCTCTTCCCTCGGATATATTTCAGATCCAGTCAGCACCCCACGACTGGCTCTTTTCCCAGATTGATGCGGCTGCTCATCATGGAGGAGCTGGTACGACTGGAGCCAGCCTTCGTGCCGGCGTTCCAACGATTATCAAACCGTTCTTTGGTGATCAGTTCTTTTTTGGTTCGCGTGTGGAAGACCTCGGGGTGGGAATTTGCATGAAGAAGCTCAACGTCAGCATGTTTTCGAGAGCACTTTGGGAGGCTACCCACAGCGAGCGGATGATTGTCAAGGCTCGTGAGCTGGGCATCCAAATACGGAGCGTAAGTTGCGGTTCTGCGGACCATTACTCAGTGACAGACGTTAACCCTCACATCTCCAGGAAAATGGCGTTGCCACCGCAATCCAGTCCCTCTATAGGGACATGGAGTATGCCAAGACACTTGCTCAACAACGCTCAATTGCTTCATCGACGCCTTTCTCGCCCACTCCATCCGCTCAGGCGTCACCTGACCACGCTGATGCCGACGTGGATGACATTGAAGAATGGACGTTCGTGGGTGAAGAGGCTGAGATGGATTTAAACAAACGGATGCAAGACCTCAGTCCGTCTGAACGCGAGAAGATATTCTCTGGCATTATTCGATAAATTGTTTTCCTGAGACCAGGAGATGGCGCTCTCCCCGTATTCACTGATACGGCATTTCATGATTCACGACTCAAGCTCTTTTTGATCCCTCCGCCTGGGGTACGCAGGCTAATCTGGCGCACTGACAAGTCTTCTTCATTTTTCTCCTTCATCTTTTGCGATTGCTCTGTTGTTGACCGCTTTGCCTTTGCCTAGCTTTACCCCTGTTTTTAACGCTTTCGGGACATTTTTGTTTCATCTGGTTTTGTTTTTCTTCTCGTCTCTCAGCTTAAGTAATGAATGATTCGAGTATTCCGGTCGACTACTCTTGCTAGATTGGCTGGTCTTACGACGACGTTGTCTGTCTCTGTTTTCCTATTTTGTGAGTGGCGAATGCACCATGCAGGTCTCCGTCGTGATGACTTGTTGAACCATCGTTGGTTTGAATATTAGAATGCTGTTTATGAGCTCTTACCTCAAGGGATGCGTCATGGGTAGCAACTTTGCCAGCGCCGAGCAGTTGACCTTTGACCTTTGACGACTCGACGACTGTCCGAGCATGTGTCGATACTGTATATCTCCATTGGCGCACCTCTTTCAAACCTGTGATTGTCCCCATAAAGTTTTGTTGGTGACGTCCTCCGACTCGACTCTTACTCGATCGTAAATCCATCCAGCTTCCGTCTTCCGCATCGGAGCTGGCCGACCGGCTACTGTCTCACCGAAAAGGGGGAAAGTAAGAACCCCATCCAGACCAACCGCATCGCTACATGTACTTGATGAGGTTCATTCGCCATCGAGATTTTGATCGAGTAAAGGAATTGGCAAGTTTGAGCAAGTCACCCGGCATCGGCGGCAATCATCGGTCATTTCAATCGAGTAATGGGTGCTGCGAGGGCCGTGATGGACCGCAGTCACCCCGATACGATCACCAAAATACAGTACACGAGTACAGGAGGGAACCGCCGCGAGCCGGGCTTTGGCCCCGCAGAGTACGACACGACACGGCCGAGGACACTCCTACAGTCCCAATAGAGACTGTTTCTGAGTCTACTACTACTTCAACTACTACTACTCCAAATCTCCTACTGACTCTGAGTGGTTTTTTCCCACTATCAAGTACAGGAGTCAGAATATTCATATAGACTTTGCTTGGGTGACTTTGTGCTAGTTGTAATATCATTGCAGTAACAATGTATTGTCAGGTTTAAGGCTCACGTGACATGTTCAACCGTCGGAGGTGGCCGATGACCCGTTCCCCTTCAAGGAAGCCGGAGAAGGTCTGGCCTCCAGCGACCCGCGAAAACCCTCCTCCGATACTCATGAGTCGTCACTCGTCAGTCGGGTTGATTGATCTACAACGTCCTGCAGATGTACTGTACTACGGTATCAGTGTTATAGTTTTCACTCATACTGTGGTATCCTGAAAGCTTCGACTTTCTCCTGGAATAGAGGCCTCCTCATCGTCACATACAGCACCAAAGCACGACCTATGGGCTCGGTGTTCTGACTTGCACCTCTCACGATGCATTTCCGTCTGATAAGAACCTTTGGCCGGTGAATCACTTGACCTGCTCTGCAAATGTGGGGTCGCCTGGTGATTGTCACCAGGGTCTCCAGCCACATCCGAGCTCCAAAAGGTCCGGTGGTTCTTGGATCTTTAGTTCATACTTCGAGGTAATTTACTGTATGGTTGTATGATGTACATATATGTATTTATGTACTGTAGTTTCATTTTAGTCCCTCCTCCTACTGGCCTGGTCGTCGGCGCTGTTCGGAATAGAGATTGTGCGGATTCTAGTCAATGTGCCTTTGGAACGTATCGTGGTGAGCAGTCGGGTTTCTTCATCACACATAGAGATATCAATATTCAGGGAGCAGAGGAACTTCCTCTGCCTTCTGCTAATTGTGCAACGTAAATAGAATGGGTCATGTGATGCATATGATCTTACTGCCCATGACCACGTACCATACTATTGTAGGAGGCCTTACATGGCCTCCAGAGGTGGCGAGGAGTCCTATCTCAGCGAGATAGGAGACAAGAGGCCTAGCAATAGGCCCAATGTACTTTGACCTGAGCTAAGGTGCCGCTGTAACACTTGATGTGCAGTCTTCATACATTTCCAAATCAGATAGCTACAAGTACATGACTTGCATGCAGTGCCAAGCACTGTAATTGTTAGCCAAGCAGATCCTTGTATCAACTGTCAAGTGGTCTACTTATCTTCAAGTAACTATCTGTCACAGTGTCGTCGGGTACATCCAGATGAACGTGGCCGAGCCGACAGCCGGAGGCCCGGGTGGGTCTCCTCATCTCATTACTCGATCGCAATTCTCCGTGGCCACCGCACTGGGTCGAGTCGGGGTGGATAAGAATCGAGGTACCACTTCTCACTCGTCAGTCAGTGGATGTACCGCCGATAGGCTCAGGCAGAGTGAAAAATGGGGGAAAAAAATAAAAGAAATGAAAAAAAAAAAAAAAAAACAAATAAGAAGAATTTGGAACAGAGAAGGCATATACGGGGAAACAACGAGGAACAGAGAGAGGGTGGTGAATGGAAATTTTTCTATTAGGCCCGAGACCCAGATCGGGGCTAGAATTGTGTGACTTACTTATTTAATCCCCCTCCCCCAGGAATTGCCTACTTAAGCTTATCTTTGGATCCCCCCTCTCTTCTTCACTTTTTAGTGTCAATCCTCTCTCGTGGCTTTCATCGTGACCTTTTTCTGGCTAGAGATAAACGGATCAATCTAGCTTCTCGTCATCCAAACTATAAAGCACAAGCACACACCTCTCCAGAGTGCTGCTGCAGGGCACTCAGCCAGACCATCGCCCTACGACGCCTCGTGTCCACCCTCCACCTTGGGCGTGAGTCTTATCTCCCTCCAGTCCCATCCCGATCTGTGATCCTGGATCTATAGATCCCTTGTCCACCTTCACCCACCTGTGCTACTTTCATCCCAGACGAAGCGCTTATCAGTTCCTCTCCGACCCCCGCGTGGACTGGAATTCAGACTCACTCCAGCTCTCACCCTAACTTTCCTGAACCCTAGTCGTCGTGGTGGATCCGCGCTACGAGGACTTGATCGAGCCTAAGATCTCCCGGGGGCAATTTATCCCTGATTATTCAATCTTCCCATCTATCTGAAAGATCTGGAAACCCGTCGATTACCCCCCAGTCTCAAGTCTCAACTCTATTTTGATCAACCCAGAACTAGTCACTATCATGGCGGCGCCCACAATTCCCATGATTGCCGTGGTGGCTTCCTCTCGGGCCGTCATCTCCGGCCGTCTGACCTCGGCCACCATCATCATCTCTCGCACCACGGGCAAGATCACCGCCGTGATTGATTCCGTCATTCCGGCGTCGGAGTTCCCAGAAGGGGTTCCCTACACTGACTATTCCCCCTACGTCCTGCTGCCAGGATTGGTGGATGCCCACGTCCACCTGAATGAGCCAGGGCGAACGGAATGGGAGGGATTCTATACCGGCACCCAAGCTGCGGCCTTTGGGGGTGTGACCACCGTGATTGATATGCCCTTGAACGCCATCCCCCCAACCACCACAGTAGCCAATTTCAAGGAGAAGCTTGCTGCCGCTCAGGGCAAGTGCTGGGTCGATGTGGGCTTTTACGGTGGTATCATTCCCGGCAACGCCGGAGATTTGAAGGGCCTGGTGGAGGCGGGTGTCCGTGGCTTCAAAGGGTTCTTGATCGACAGTGGTGTAAGTCCCTCTTTGCACGACTTCGCCCTTAGCGCATAGTCGAAGCCCGATAGCTCATCGTCGAATTGTATACAGGTGGATGAATTCCCGGCGGTCAGTCAAAAGGACATCGCACTCGCCATGGCAGAGCTGGCAGATCAGCCAACGACTCTGATGTTCCATGCCGAGATGATTCCTCCCATCACTGCCTCTGTCGGGGACACGTCTCAAACGTCAGAGCCCCCCTCGGCGCCGGCGGGCCCGCTCGAGGCCTACTCGACCTTTTTGGCTTCTCGCCCTTCCGCCTTTGAGACCTGCGCCATTGGCGAGATCCTGTCGTTGGCCCACCTGGCTCCGAACCTCCAATTACACATTGTCCATCTCTCTGCCATGGAGGGTATTCCACTGCTTCGGGAGGCCCGCGCCAAGGGCATCAAGATCACCGCCGAGACCTGTTTCCACTATCTCTCCCTGGCTGCTGAGCAGATCCGGGATGGCGATACTCGTCACAAGTGCTGCCCACCCATCCGATCCCAACTGAACCAGGATGGTCTCTGGACTGAGCTCGAGAAGCATGCCAATGACGGTGTCATCCAAACCGTTGTCTCGGACCACTCGCCTTGCACACCTAACCTGAAGCTTCTCCCGGCCCATGTGCCGGGCCACTGCGCACCGGAAGGTGATGCCAAGGTTGCCGAGCACACCGGCAACTTCTTCTCGGCCTGGGGTGGTATCTCATCTGTGGGCATGGGACTGCCCATCCTCTGGACGGAGTTGAGCCGTCGCAAGGGTCTCACCCCGTCTCCCAACGATGAGAACACTCGCAATGCCCTGCAGGACATTGTCCGTCTTTGCTGTGCCAACACCGCTGCCCAGGTTGGTCTCCAGAGCCACAAAGGTGATCTAGCCGTGGGCTTTGACGCCGATATCTGCGTCTTTGATGACTCGGCCGAGTGGGTGGTTGAGCCGAGCACGATGCTCTTCCGCAACAAGTGCTCTCCCTATCAGGGGCGCACCATGCGCGGGATGGTCCGCGAGACCTGGTTGCGTGGCGAACGGATCTTTACTCGTGAAGCGGGCTTCGTCGAGAGCAAACCGTCGGGCAAGTTGCTACTGGAGAAGCGAGTCTGATGGGGATGTCGAGGAAGTCACACTCTTCTTGTCATTGTTGATTTCAGCTGTCCATCCGGTCGTTTTTGTGTTTTTGTTTTTGTTTCTTGTTCGTCTTCTTGAGACGACAAGCTCATCTGCCGATTCTGTCTTCACCGGCTGTTGCTCCCCATGTGCATTTCGCTTCGAGCGTCTTTGATCATTCCATCAGTCTCACATACCCGTTAGAGTATTATCATTTGCATTTACTTACTTGAACATGTCAAGGGCGTTATCATTCCATCATCTGTCCAATCGTATCACGTAGGGTATCATTGAATCCACAAACATCCTCGGATAAAGAGTGTATCTCAAGAGGATGAGCGCTTTCTGAATCATCGCAAGTCTTAGTCTAGGTTCAATCCGTCATTCCAACAAAGCATTCCCCAACCTTAGTTGAAATCTCAATCCGTCACACTCTCCTGATTTCTTTCCTTCTCCCACTTCTCGCGCACCCTCCTCCTCACCCCTCCATTTACACCTTTTCCCCAGATTTCCTCCTTCCGATCCACCTTTGCCTGTGCCACCGTCTCCATCTCCGTCCCCTCCATCTCACCGACATCTCCATCTCCCTCCACTGGCCCAATCACCACCTTCCTCTCCTTCATCCTCTTCTCCTTGGCCCTCGCCCGCGAAACCTTCTCCAAATACGCCCCGTACAGAAACGCCTCCGCCACCGCCACCGCAATCGCCGCGAAGAACGAAATCAGAATCTTCACCGCGTCAGAAGCCCCCGCACTCGCACTCGCACTCGCACTTGGCTGACCACGACCGAGGTCCAGGTTCGGACTCGTCCATTGCGTAAAGAGTGTGGCCAAGATCACCGGCATATGGAACTTTGTCAGCGCCCAGTAGACGCTGAACCCGGTGATGATGACCGAGAGGAAGATGTTGAAGATTAGGCTGAGGGTGAGGGGGTCTTCGGAGGCGTCGGTTGAAGAGGCGTAGGGGTCTGTGGAGGACGGGTCGAGGGTGTGCGATGGATTGAGCAGACGGGTGTAGGCGAGGCGTTCTGCCTCGGCGAGGAGGCGCGCTTTGGAGGCGAGGTATTCGGGTGTCTGTGGGAGGAGAGCGTTTCAAGTGAGCAGGCTTGTTTTGGGGGTTTCTCTTCTGGGAATGCGGTGCCCCGCTGGTACTGTCGGATAGACTGTACAAGCTGGCGGGTACAAGGGAAGTGAACGTACGGGTTCGGGTTTCTTGGGGGGTGGAGCGACGTAGACTCTTGTGCCCCGTAATAAGTCATTCAGAACGGTTGTATGAGGTTGCGCGGAGAGGTGTGTCGCCTGGTATGGCGTGTCATTCTGTAGGTATTTGGCCAACCGGAGGAGCTGGTCGTGAGTGATGGAGTCGCCCGCTTGAGCGGATGTCGGCAGATCGATCTCCGAGCATTGCGCGGCTGGAATTGCCTCGAGCGCAGCGATGATGCGCGGAGTCGTGGTGAGGAGGACCATGGCGCGTGAAATTGAGAAGAAGTGCCTGGCGTCCGAAACGGAAGGGCGAGGGAAGCTTCAGAAGCTTGTGCTTGAGCGGCGATCTGCCGTCACGGCGTGTACCAAATTACTCGATGTGGCTAGTGCTGCTATTTACGGCCTAGCGTGCTTATCTTCCACTGACGTCCTGAGGAACTTCATCTCAGCTGGTCTCTGGTGAAGCCTGAATTGACCGTCGCAGGACAATTAATGGTTCAGTTTGCCATCATTGATCGCGGTGTTCGCATACCGGCCACCTCGGCATCAATCATGTAAATAGCATACTGCTAGCCAAAGAGATCATTTACCGGTTGACACTCGGCAGGCTTTGAGATGTACTTGAAGTATTGTGCAAGTGGTGCATCCATAGTCCATACTACATATTTGTAGATCAACCTTCTGCCACAGGTTTACTATTCATCAGTAGAAAACTTTCACGAGGGTCATTCCATTGGAAATTGTAAAGTCACTTTGTCAGGTCCAGATAATTGACTTCTTGCGTCGACAGCACTCGGTTGTATCGAAGGAAGCAGTGTAAGACTGTGAGGTGAAGACCTCGTGGTGGATCCGTGCGGGCAGATCTGCGGGCAGAAGCACGAGACTCCGAACTTCACTTCGGAGCCCGCAGCGACAAAGCTTCTGCTTCCCCCACTTTAGCTTCTTCCGAATTCCAAAAACAGCCCGTCATGGCAGACACAAAATCAAAGGCGTGAGTCTAATTCCCCTCTCGATATTCTCCAGAACGGGTGCCTGATACCCACTGGACCGTGTCATTTCCATCCCACAATTGCCCCTCTTCTCTGCGACGCTCGAAACACCAATGTCTGTTCTCCGAACTTGCGCAATCCTCAACTAACCCCTCGCCCTCGGGATCCCGCCTTCTAGTCCGGTCTCGACGCAAACCAATGCCCGCGGAATCCCAGTGGCTCCCTTTGTCGACAATGTCAGCGACTATGTCTCCAGTCGGGAAGATGTTGAGCCCACATTGCGCTCCTTCCAGGAGATGATCTCCAAGTATCAGTTCATGGAGGTGAACACCCAACGGCGCGGGCAGGGACTGCGCGAGAAGATCCCCGATATTCAAAAGACACTCGAGATGGTGCGCTTTCTAAAGATGCGCAAACAGGTAAGGTCTACGTGCACAAAGCCAGGACCCCCCAACGATCGCACCCGGTGCTCTTCTAACTTTTATACGCCTCGCTCTTCCACACGAAAAAGTCCAGCTCAGACGCCGACCTCGAAACCAACTTTGAACTCAACGACACTCTTTACGCTCGCGCATCCGTCTCCACTGCAGATATGGAAGAAGTCTATCTGTGGCTCGGTGCCAATGTGATGCTGGCCTACCCACTAGACGAGGCCGAGACAATGTTGTCGGAGAAATTGGAAGCCGCCGAGTCAAGTCTGTTTAACTGCGAGGAGGACCTGGAATTCTTGCGCGAGCAGATCACGGTGAGTGTTTCCTTGTCTTCCGCTCCCGGAGGAGGATCTTTGGAATGCATAGACCCTCGAGTTTGACGTACTTGGCTAATTATTCCTAACACGTAGACCCTGGAAGTTGCAACGGCGCGAGTGTATAATTGGGATGTGGTCCAACGGCGAAAAGACAAGGCTGAAGGAAAGGACACGAAATAGAGCGGGCAGATATGACAATTGGAAAATCAAATGCTGAATCGCCCCGCATATCAAAATCTTTCGGCTTGACAAGAGATACCTTGCTCGCCTGGTGATTCAGATCATTCGTTGCACCTATGGAAGCGCACAGAATTAGTCAGTGGCATCCTCGGGAATTCGAGAATTACGACCCTATAGATGTCAAATGCAATGCACGAGATACCAACACATCGCATGAGTCAAGCGATCGACCGCAAAGGCATGCAAGGCAATGACAAATATACTCGGGTTTTCAAAAAGCGAGAATAGAAGTTCGTGACAGTCTTCAGGCCTCCGCTTGCCTTCCAAACACGACCGAGCTCGTACAAGCATGTGTCGGCTTGTGCGTAGGTGTTTGCGATCCATTCGACTTCGTATTGTAGGTAGAGACTCTACTTAATCGCTCGACAGGAACGCTCCTTTACCTTTTCATCTAAACATACTGAATTTTTGTTGCATGGGCCTCTGGAGGTCCCTGGCCGGTTCAACCCATTGTCGGCCTGACGAAAAGCAATAAGACATTGGCAGGCCACAAATGGATGCATGATCTGTTCTCCATCATCGCATTCAGTATACGCCCCACCCGAAGACCATGGTTGGGATGCTCCCAGAAAAAAGTACGACTAAGCAGAATGTCCTGGATATGGACCTCTGCGGGTTCCAAGAATGTATGGTCAAGATTCATTCAACCGGTCAAACTCGATCGACGCGCGACAGCCGCCACCAAAACTCGTGCTTACTCCGATCTAGCAACCCGAAGCCGGGCAAAGGACATGATGTCTGGAAATAAGTAAGCCTCCATTCCTTCTCAGGGTGTGCGATCGAATCACTCCTTCGCACTTTGCTCCCAGACTGGTACTTCCCATCATTTTGCACGAGTTCCGTGTCTTCTACATGTGGTGGCCACGATGACTTTCCAGGTGCAAGAGGTCCCCGTCGAGGGAATCTTGGAAATGGTCACTGCGGAGAGAAATGCCTTTGAAACACCGCCGCAGCCTATTTTCAAGCTTTACTGTCCGATAACCGATAACGACCGTGCAAAGACCAATGCTGACACTGCAGCTGAGCAGCAACGTTTTGTCCAAGAGTCTGCTCCAAACGTGAGCGTGAAAAACATCTGGATCAAGGCAAAAGCAACCTCACCTGGTTCTTCGGAGACTAATGAAGAACTTGCTGGCGCCGCCCAGTGGATATTCACCGTTCCGGGCCCAAGCCCAAGCCTAGAGACAAAGACCGAGCATCTTGCCCGGCGTCATCCAGAAGGAGGCGCCAGAATTTTCGCAGCAGAAGCTTTTCGAATCCTCTGCGAATGTAACGAAAGACATAGATTGTCGACGCGTCCACACCGACCTTACGCGACGTTGGGCACTTTCTTCACCATGCCTCAGTACCGCCGACGAGGAATCGGCTCGGTGCTTTTAGAATGGGGTCTGCGTCAAGCAGACGAGAAGCAAATGGACATTTGGATTGAAGCGGCTCCGTCTGCGGTGTCTGTCTATGAGCGTCATGGATTTGTCCAGATGGAGGTTATTCATCTGAAGCCGCGTTGTCCAGATGGCCTCCCCGAGACTGTCAGGGCCGAGTGGGAAGCGGTGGAAAAGTCAATCCTACCTGTGACTGCTGTTGTCATGTGTCGGCTGTCGAGATTGACTTCATAGTTCACCGTGATCTTGTGAGATTGATATTCGCACAGTACATGAGTACAGGCTCGGCATGCCATGTGAAAGTGAGCTTCTTTGAGGCAGTATTGTCTATTCTGTCAAGTACTTTGCCTACTTTCCATGTGTCAAGAGTTGCTTGGCTTTACTTAGCATGGTTGAAACCTCGGAGATGGACTCCAGGTTTTGTTTCAGTTTGATTCTCGTCCAGAAAACCAGATTGGGTTGGTCTTAGGTTCGTCCCAACGCTGCTGGCTCTCGAACGTCTTTCAAGCTTGAATTCTTCACAAGCGCCGAAGTCGTTTGGACTGGTTCTAGAGAATGTATATCGAGTGTTAAATGATTCAATAAAAGTCTTGCCAGCTCCTGTACCTGATATGTGCGTCCTCGCCAGTCCTGAGACCCGTTCCAATCATTGCCAGGTATGTACATGGAGCGCTGGCAACCGCGCACTTTTCATGTTTCATAACGAGGCAATTTTGACTTGAGCAACGCAAAACGCTGCCTGTATTAGAGCGTCGGGCCGAGGATCTTTGACCAAGCACTTAGAATGTGCTGGAATGAATGCTCTGGTGGGAGGCCTGAATTACCTACCTCTCGGCCCTTGTATCTCCAAAGTCCGCAACCTGGTGCAACCTGAATTGAAACTCCGCAAAGTAACGGAAAGTCTGATGATCTTCAAATATCTCACAGATACCTAGTCCCTGTCAGTCGAAATAGATATTTAGGATGATAGTCCTCGGCCGTCTTCATAGAAAACGAATAAAATAGGTGCATGCCCAAGTCCCTCTCCTTCACATCCAAAATGCCGCAAAAGCACCGTATCCTCGCGCTCGTCTTCCACGAATTCGAGAACCTCGACCTATTCGGTCCCATGGGAGCCATCATCCCAGGAAGCGACTACTACACCTTAGAACTCGTCAATGTGCACAATTTGCCTTCTCCGAATGGACTCGAAAGCTCGATCAAGAATGGGATAGGAATCATGCCCAACATGACTCTCACCCAAGCTCTCGAGGACACCAAGCCGTTCAGTACACTGTTCATACCCGGTGGACTGTCCATGATGCACTTTCTCGAGGATGCGATTCTTCTCGAGAAAATTGGACAATTGGTTTTGCGGGCGCCGACGGTGTTTACTGTTTGTACGGGGTCTTTGATCCTGGCTGCGACGGGTGTTTTGGATGGTCGTGGAGCGACGTGCAATAAGCAGTTGTTTGACGAAGTGACTCCGAAATGTTAGTACTGTTCATCATTCTCCCTACCCACGGGACTTCAATCTCTCGCAAACAGGCTAACGTCTCTATTTCTCTGCCTTTTGCAAGACCCCCGCGTGATATGGAAGAAAAAAGCCCGATGGGTCACAGATGGCAAATACCTCACAGCGTCCGGCGTCACCGCTGGAATCGATGCTGGATTTGCCTTTGTCGCAAGAACTTATGTCGCGCCGGAGGATCGAGACGATCGACCGGAGATCATCGCCGAAGGTCAAGGTGACAATGAGAGTTTTGCGCGAAATTATGATTCAGAGAAAGCGATCAAGTACGCTCGGCATGTAGCTCGGATGGTGGAACACTGTTGGAATGAAGATCCCGGCAACGATCCCTTTGCGGTTACTTCTGCTTGAGTGCGTTGTGATGCTAAGTCCTGCGTTCTATTCAATCAAGTTGAATGTCTTACATGTTCGTAGAGGCCCTGGAGATTCTCTACTCCGGAAAGACTGAGCATACCTCCTCCTGATGTTCCAATTCGCATCAGAGACAAAGTACAACTATCACGGGCATGTGTCACGGCTGGGAGTTTTACTGTCTAGTCTGAAGTCATTAATGTCGAGTTGCTAAGTCTTCATTTTCAAATTAGTCGCGCGGAGTTCTTTCTCGTTTCCTACCCATTTTCGTGTAGAAATACGATGACTCTGTCTCGCTTCCATTTGGTTCTCACTAAGAATAGCAAACTTCATCGTTGAGCCCGTTGCAGTACTTGCCAAGCGATTTAAGAAAGCAAAAGACGCTCGAAAGGTTTGGTTTGTGCTTGCACTCTGTTTCAGGCAACAGCAATAATCGCTGATAGATACCGACTATACATGAACCCAATCATCAACTGGAGCAAGCTGAAGTCTCAGCGTTCCTGCTGAGGATCGACCGAATTGTCCGGCGCTTCAACTTCAATGGCCGAGTCGTCGAAATCCTCAGGTTTGATTATGATTTGTTCCGCGTAGGACGGGTCTTCAGAGAGCTTATTGAGCCAGGCCAGCATATCTTGCCACGCACGCGGCATGATACACTCGGTATTGAGTTCTTCGCCGGACGCGTAGCAATTGCAACCATGGCGACGATACCCTTCTTGAAATCTGCCGACCTGATCCGTGGAAAGCACGTAGGCTCGGCCACGAGAGGCAAGGAATGCCGTAAAGGATCCCGGATCTGTCAAGGCGCTCATGTCGATGTCAACGGCGGTAGACTGCAGGGGATTGCCCAAGCAGATGCCATTCATGTAAGGTCTCCATTTGGGCCCTGTTCAGAAAACAATGTTAGATAGTGAGTCTCATCCATAGATCCAAAGAGGAAAGCAAACTCAAAAGATTCGATAGATCGAGCACGCACAGTTTTTCTGAAGATACTCCAGTGCACCCTGTCCACCCTCGGAGAGACCAATGATGTCAACACGCTTGCCCTCGTCCAGCCATGGCCAGACGACATGGTCAAGGACATATCGAATGTGATGTCGCCAGTCTTTGTTACCGGGGATTTCGTTGCGCCAGGATGTCGTGGCTGGACCCCATGGACCGTATGGTCGGTCAGCTGCCTCCCATGTACGCTGGGTGACCGCTCGTGAGGACGCACAATGCCAGATCAATTGACCTGGGTTGGCCAGCACCAGGGCTGTGCTTGTTGTCGAGGTCGTTGCCGAGTCACCCAAAACGCCCTTTGCAAAGTCGACAGCCGAGCCGATGTTGATTCCATCCTCGCCAACGGACCGATAAGCCCAGATGCCGAGATCTTGAACAGGCTCGCCGAAAACAACCAGGAGACGTGAAGCTCCGGACAGATTGGTCGACACCAAAATTGGGACATGGGCTTCATTGCAAGGCGTCTCGATTGGGGGGGAATTGTTATGGAAGGGGAGTCTACGGATTTCTAGGCCGGTGGCCTCCAGACGCTGCAGAACGGTTCGACGGATGCATTCTGACGAGGACGAAGAGGGCAGGGTCAGCCAAGTTTATGTCAGAACAGAGTTAGGCGTTCCAATGATCTTGTTCAATACCATCCATTGCCTCTCGGTTCTTTACGTTGTAGCGATCGTTTCGGTCGATCTTGTATTGAAACTCGCCTTCCAGATCGACACTGGCGCGGATCTTGTCGTCCTTGGTGATGATGTACCTAAAATGGGAAACTTTGAGCTTTGACTACCCAAAAAACACAATTTCAAAATAGATACTCACCCGAGCTTAGCAAGGTCCGCCGGGAAGTGAGGATCCGCTGGGAGATCGCGGTTGCGGTAGACATACATCTTGGCGTATGTCTGGTGCCTTCAGGGAGTATTGTGGTCTGAATCCAGTGAGTGATAGATAGCGTTCAAAATTAATGACTCTCAGTGAGATCCTAGGGACTAATGAGAGGAGGGAGGAGAGAGGAGAGGGGAGAGGGGAAAGAGGAGAGGGGAAAGAGGGAATATATAGCAGCTGAGGGAGAGCAGAGCCATTGCGGTCGGTCATGAAAGATCCTCTAAGAAAACCTGGAGCTTTCCGGCAGTTTCCACCCAATCTTCGCAGTAGCTGCAGATCAAGGCAGAGAAGCGAGGTGGAAGCGATCAAACGAAGATTGGCCATCGACCGTTTGTGGTATTCGAATAATATACAGACTTCACTGAGGAAGCATATCATGATGTGAGAGTGTCATCTCCCGATCGAAACAAATCGCTCTTATATCAAATGTCGCAAAAACATCACATTCCAACTCTCTTTTACCAACTCGCCTTCTTGACGCCGGGGAGCTCACCCGCAAGAGCCTGCATACGGAATTGGAACTAGAGAGGAAAACGAGGTGAGTTTAGCCACATATCAACCAAACAACTTTCCACTTCGAGTCCTCTCACTTACTCGGTTGAGTCTGAAATCCCGGAACACACTTCGTGCAGTGCCCGACGCCACACACCGGTTCTTGATCTGTGTTGGGCGCGTGTAACAGTGCATCTGGGAGAGCTGGAGCTGCGCCTGGGCTCGGGTTCGTTGAGGGAGACTTGTGTTGCGAATAATATAGCGAAGCGCTTGTCTATTCGTATTCGAGAATTAGCCACCATGTTCTTTGGATGACGACCAGCGCCATTGACCAGACAAGTTGTCCCAACCGCAGTGCCGGGCAAGGGCATACCGTTCGGGTTCCATTTGCGCAAAAGCGTTGCGCTTGTTGTGGTCTCGGATGACACGGGTGTTAACGAACCCAGAGAGGTCTAGCCTCTTGGGGTGGAACATGGACGCAGCCTTGGACATTTTGTATGGGACTTCGTGCGATTGACGAGGACGTTCAACAAGTCGGTGGATGTTCTTGCAACTCCGCGGCGGAGATGTCGACGGGCAAAAAGATGCAGAACCTAATCTGGTTTAGCGCGGATTTACTCCGACATCCCAACTACGGGTCTTTCTAACAACCTCGACTGCAGGAGAGGAACACACAAAGTGACTACAATCGTGCTGAGCACAACAGTACTCCCCTTGTATCATTTTGTAGCTGTTGTCTGTACAGCTCTCCGCATCTTCAATAAGAAGGATTCTATGTTTTGACAAAAAAATGTTGTTACGTTCCACCATAGGACTTTCCAATATTCAGTACTTAGGTTTGTCTACCAGGAGTCCAAGGCATTATAAACCTGGAGGCGGGCGAAATATTTGAGATATCATTGATCGAGACTTAATGCGATTGAGCAGATCATCAAGATTTACTTGACTGTCTCTTCTTGCTCTCATAGTCGTCAGCGCCCAATCGGTCGGTAAGCCTCATGTTGCTTCTGGTCGCCAGGATGTTACCTTCTGAATCATCGCTTGGAGGAAGCGTTGCAAATTCTGGCCATTCTTCTTCGACCAAGTAAGAGTGACTCCACTGAAAGGCGTTTGAGCGCTCAATCATCGGCAAGCCCTCACGTTGCGTTGAGGAGGAGGTTGCCAGCTCTTCGGGCGGGTGACATGAGGGAGGTTTTACGTCATGAGCAAGTCACTTTGAGATCCCCGACATGAACCTACGAAAGGCGGCCTTTGCGACGATTGCATAGCTCAATGCTCAAATTCAGTACCAGCAAGGCTGGTTATCTATCTCATGAAATAACATCATGACGCTGGACGCCTCCAAATTCGGTCGCCAGCCCTCGGTGACACTTCAGCGGCGATTGAGAGAGCAATATCGTCGGTTTTCCTGGACAGCAACACCATCAGACGTAGGATTCCGACTAAAGAAATCTTGGAGTTATTGAAGTTTGCTGCTGATCATGTGCCAAGTCAATATACGCAGGTATTACAATCTCACTCTCGGAGCAGCGAGGATCCACGATCGCAGTAGCAATTCGAGATGCAACCTATCTACTCGATTTTATCGAGAAAAAGTACGGTCCGGAGGAACATCAGCCGTGTTCTGCGGAGGCTGTGGACTTTACCATTTCGCAGCTCAAATGTTACGCTGAGAAACACATGGAGAAAGTCGTCGGCATTGCCATGCACAAGCATGTAGCCAGTCTTTGTCCAGATTTGTGCTCTCGACTATGGGCGGAGCTCGACATTATACCTTTGGTGTTGCCAGGGCTGAGCTTGCTCGGCCGATTCGCTTCGAACGGACGAGGGCAATCTCGGCCCTGGGAGATGAAAGATATTGATGAACAGGCCGAGTCAATGGCACGAAAATGCGTCAGGTTGGTTTGATTACGTCTAGCGACACGAGAAAAGGGTTCATCGCCAGAAAGCTAAGACTTGACTCCTCGCAGGCTATTTGGACCCGAGAATTGTCCCTTGTTGCAAGTGGGCAACATGGGAATCGTCGAAGTCGACACCGATTTCCACGTGCGCCTCACAAACCTCAGCGACTTTGAGCGGACTGTTTCTGCTGCAACCTGGAAAGCCTGCAACTACTTTGCTGAGGATCTTAAGCAACGCGGTGTGAAGATTGCATTCTTCAGTGCCACTCCTCAAGGTGGAGGCGTTGCTTTGATGAGGCATGCCCTGTTGCGATTTTCGCACTCGCTGGGGACGGACATCAAGTGGTACTTTCATCCCTACCGTGACATCGTCTTGGGGTAGATTGATTGTGGCCCGATCTGACTGATTCGCGCTAGGTATGTGCCTCGACCACGACCAGGTGTCTTCCGAGTCACCAAGCGCAAGCATAACATTCTGCAAGGAATCACACCACCGGAGGAGCGACTGACTGCCGATGACAGCAATCTGTTGGCAGCCTGGATCGAAGACAATGTCAAACGATACTGGTCTGTGCCCGGAGGTCCACTTCGTGCACCGGCCGAAGGAGGCGCAGATGTGCTGGTAGTGGATGACCCTCAAATGCCAGGTCTCATCCCCATTGCCAAGAAGATAGCTCCAGATCGACCGATCATCTTCCGCAGCCATATTCAAATTCGGAGCGATTTGGTGGATCAACCGGGGACCTCCCAAGCAGAGGCATGGAAATTTATGTGGAATAATGTGAAGCAAGCAGATTGTTTCATCGCTCATCCTGTGAAGGCATTCGTACCGCGGGATGTACCCTCCGAGATGGTCGGATACATGCCTGCAACGACTGACTGGTGAGTTCTGTCTCTCGCAGCCAACCCCATTCTTTGGTCGATGTTGTTGACATGTGCCAGGTTGGACGGACTGAACAAAGACATGAGAGATTGGGACATTGCACATTATGGGCGTTTGTTCAACGTCGCTTGCAAGAACGCTGAAATGCCGCAAATCCATCACCCGGATGGTGAGGAGACTCTTGAGTTCACTCCCGCTTGAAGATGACCGCTGACAGCCTGCGATCAGATCAATACATTGTCCAGATTGCTCGGTTTGATCCTTCAAAGGGCATTCTTGATGTATTAGAAGCATATCAGAAGTTTCACCACCGACTGACGCGTGAACGCCCAGACTTGACACCACCCAAGCTTCTGATATGCGGCCATGGCTCAGTCGATGATCCGGACGGGGCTGTTGTCTATGACCAAATTGTCAATCACATCGAAACCCAAAGCCCACATCTTCGCGAGCTTGTCTGCGCAGTCCGACTTCGACCATCAGATCAGGTGTTGAATGCGGTTCTTTCAAAGGCGATTATTGCACTGCAATTGTCGACTCGGGAAGGGTTCGAAGTCAAGGTCTCCGAGGCTATTCACAAGGGTGTTCCTGTGATTGCAACCCGTGCCGGTGGTCTTCCTCTGCAAATTGAGGACGGTCTCAATGGGTTTCTAGCCGATATCGGTGATACTGACACTGTTGCGCGGCATCTTTTCGAGCTCTTGACGAATAAGGCACTGTACCGACGAATTTCAGACTATGCGAAAAGCCATGTCTTTGATGAAGTCAGTACGGTGGGCAATGCATTAAGCTGGCTCTATCTTGCGTCCAAGTTCACCAGCGACGGCCATGTCAAACCGAATGAGCAGTGGATCAACAGCTTGGCGTTCGCAGAGAGCGGCGTGCCCATTCCTCCGGACATGCCTCGTCTTACTCGAGAAGTCGAAGTTGAACGAATGGGATAGCATTGTTCTCATTTCGAGCGCGAAGACGATTTTGCCTTGCATCGCAGGCATTTGGTTTCCGTCCGTACGTGAGCGTGTTCGTAGTTTTCTTGCAGCTCTCTCTCTTCGAGCATGGTCTTTTGACCAGATCTCTGAACAGGGAACCGGTGTCGGCGGTCGAGCGTCTAGCATAAGGAATTGCAAGAGCACATGGAAACGCAATCGCCGCGGGCGGGGGTATCATTCATATAATCATAAGCGCTAAAAGTTGTACAAGCAGCCACATGACCTGTCAAGTAACAGCCAAGACTTTCCAACAGCACCAAGCCGTCTACTGTGGCTTTCCCACCAGACGGTACCTCTCTCGTGCCATCCCACCCTCCGCCCCTTCAACACCATAGCCCTCACCCACTTCACCAACGATACGAGCAGGTCTCCCACCCACAACGCACCAACTCGGCACAACCATACCAGGCGGAACAACCGCCCCGTCCAGAATCACCGCATAATCCTTGACAATCGCCATACTGCCCACCATCGCGCCCGTGCCCACGTGGACGTGGTTCCCCAGCGACGCCGCTTCAATCACAGCCGACTCGCCCACAAAGACATGATCGCCGATCTTGAGCGGGTAATACGAGTGCACGCCCCGATGCAATCGACTGGGCGGGCGCAGCACGGCGCTCTTAGAAATGTAGCTGTACCGGCCGACGGTAATTGCGACGCTGGGAGCATTGGACGCGGGTGTGGGATTGCTGCCGTCTGACGAGGTGGCGGTGGATGGCTGCCGATAGAGATCGCCGCGGATCACGGCTTCGGCTTGGATCACGGTCTTTCCGCCGAGAATGATATGTTGTGTGCCATGGATTTGGGAGCGACGCGAGATCTTGTTCCCCGTGTCCTGCTTCGTGTGAGTAGTTTGACAAGGGCGATAGGCACCGGCAGCCACGAGCGATTGACACTCGGTAAATTCCAAAAGCAACACTGTGGGGGGAGGAGGGGCACTTACAGTTTCAATATACTCGCTTTTAGCGGCTTTAGGCGGCATCTCGTGTTTTGATGGTTCTGAGTGTAGTGGAACAGCTGTTGTTGTTCATGTTGATGCTTAACGCCGCGGAGGCGGTGACGGATGGTGTGGATCGAAGATAGGCCCTTCCAGCTCCCGCGAGTAGGAGCTGCACGTGAATGCTAGACAAGCTGCTTACCTAGAGTTCTGGACTGAAATGGACACTCATCCACCGACACGAGTGTTACTTCATGGCCTGAATGGTCTATTCTGTCTGGGAGGTCGTGGTGGCTAGATGACGATGATCAAGTTATATTTCATCTACCTATATAGTCCCGTCCAGTTAAGGCAGCTTCTAACTACAGGGTTCATTTCTACCTCCAGAGGCTTATCCTGCAGCGACTGTACAGAGCTATATCAAGGTATACTTGTGCTATAACGGCACTTTTTCACTGGTCTGTCTATATCAAGGGAGAAGCTGGTTCATATTGTTATCGCATGCAATGCTACATTACTTAGTTGGAACATACAAAACAACTTGGAAGATACAAATCGTTGAAATCACATAAGACCGCGAAGCATATAAACAGCATTACCTTATCGGATGCTCGCTTCATCGACTCCATCCTCGAAGTCAAGAGTCCATGCATTCATTGCAGTCCACTTCAATGCTTTTTGGTTGCATTGAGAGGGTGGAAGTCAAAGTCACGGTCCCAGTGAAGCTTGAGACCTGTTTTCATATCGTCAGCATCTTGCCATTCAATTGGAGAGGAACAAGGTCTCAAGAAGTGGCATGCAACTTACTCATAGGGAAGGGGAAGTAAGTGGTTCCATCTTGACGGAGGTACACGTAATGTCCGCCTTCCTGAGGAATCTTCTTCAGCTGGCCCTGGGCACCCGCGGCTCGGCGCAGGTTTGGCAATCGAGCAACAACACGCAACATGGACACGAGAGCAAGTTTGGCAGTTTCCTGGCCAAGACTGTTGGCAGGACCCTGGCCGTGATGGATGTACGAGGTAAGCGGTCGAGTCAAATTAACCTCATTGGGCTCGGGGAAGATACTGGGGTCGTGGTTGGCTTGGACAAAGGACGCGAAGATCTTGTTTCCAGGCTGGGCATTTATAACCACGCCATCCTCTTCGAGGATAACAGGTCTCTGAACTTCACGATACTCACCAAAGGTGCCGTTGATACGAATGGCTTCCAGGCAGTATCGGTGAAGCAGGTCATCAGATTCCTTTGAGTCCAGTCGCGCAAGACGGCTAATTTCAGCCCAGTGGTGCTTACCCTCCGGCGACGTGTAGTACTCAACGATCTGCGTGAAGACCTGGCCTTGACTGGGGACCATACCGACGATGGTCGGCATGATGTGAGACCAGGTGATCTGGGACGCACTCATGCCTAAATCTTTCACGCGACGGAGTGACGCAGTGCCGTGCTCGCGAAGAGCATTGTCGTGTGGTCGGAAGCTGTTCATGAGGCCTGAGAAGAGACTGCTCTGCGTATCGGCCTTGACGGTCGACTCCACAACACTTCCCAGCTGTTGGGAGACCGCAGAAGCAGCCTGGTTCAGAGAGTATGATTTTGCGGGATCCACATCATAGAAAAGGGCCGAGTAGATCGTCGCCAAAATCATGTACATCTCATGCTCGGTGAAAAGACCACGAGAGTTCTCTTCCGTTTTCAGTGGAAGACCAAAGAGAGCTGAGGCGAAATGAACGTGAGCGAGGTTTCCAACATCGCGCGTGATATCAACCTGATTGATGCCACCCAAGCTGGCACCCTTCTCCTTGATAAGACGCAAGGTGGCCTCTTCATAGAAGTTCTTGACCAGAGTGGCAAAGTTATCGGAAGTGAAGGACGTGGTCATTGCCTCGCGCTGCTGAGCACCGAACTCTCCCCTGCCAAATAGCTCCGTCATAGCTCCACTCCACGCCGGCTTGAAGTCGGCGGTATTGCCCAAGACCAGGAGAGCGTTCTTGTATGATGAAACGTTGATACGTGGTGGAGTGAAAGAAGGGCGGTCCCATGAATAATCTTGCTCGCGTCCCAAATTCTTCATGATGTTGCGATTCTCACTAGGGATCGTCATCGGGTAGTGAGCGTAGATGGAGTCCGACTTGTACCAATTAGGGAACGCGCGAGTCGCAAGCTTGTAGAAGACGCATCCTTGGTTGATATTCAGGTCATAGCGACACTCGTTGTAGCCCCAGTTGGTCAAGTTGCGAGCGTTGTAATCAATGGTGTAGTGACGATCACCACGGACGAGAGCAACTGCATCAGACAAGACAGCACGGGAGATGGTGAAGGTCGGTGCGATTCCGACCCCGGGAATCATAGGCTCCTTAGGCTCTTCGCTCACAATACCAGGATACAGCTCCACGAAGTCGGGATGCTCATAAAGATGGCGTAAGCAATTCGCAATCTCGGGGTCGGAGTTAATCTCCTCGAAGGTGTCATAAGTCTTCAGCCCGAAATGCTTGCGGAACTCGTTGAGCGATCCCACATGCCATCTTCGTGCAGCCTCAATTCCGAGAATTTCAATTGAACGAAGTGCCTTGGGAACGTTACGAGGACCGAACGAGCTAGCGACGTCTTCACAGGCGTTGCTAAGGATCGCAACGAGCTCCTCGTCTTTGAATCTTCCATCTGCCTGGCGCTCTAATCGGGCAAAGGTCCGCTTCGACGGATCAGGATCAAGCCCGCCTTCAACTTTCTTCATACCCATCAGCAACTCGTGCATGGAGACTTCCTCGGCGGGCTTGCCCATAAGATCAAAGTAGATTTGCTCAATCCACTTCTCGTCACCTTGAGCGATGGTCGAGTGCCAACGATAAGCGAGATTGAATTCCACAGAACATTGGTTACCAAGACCAGAAGGAGTGGCACCCGTCTTTTCCATCTGGGCGCGAGGATCCAAGCACCAGGTTGAATTAGTGCGGTTCAAGTTGACGATCGTCCGCAGATAATCGTACAACGTAATGTTTATGTAGAGACCACATGTGATGAGGCGACCAGTCTGGAACAGGTCCTCGTCGCGTTTAGCCCAGGCTCTCTTTGCTTCCTCCTCGGGCAGCCCATCGCGAGGCTTCGTGAAACGGCCATTTTCATTGATGAGTGCCAGCTGCTCAACGACATGGTTGTGGAAACGGTTGAGCATTACAAGAAGTACACCACAGGCAGCGGGTAGCGCCTGCAGGCGACCCTCAGAGAAGCAATCTGGCTTGAGTTTTCCATCTTGATGCGATCGAATGAGGTCCTGCTGCTCCTGTACGTCGCCGTACAAAATAGAGAGGTCAAGATAGGAAGAGGTCTTGTTGAGGTGCTGTTGGCGATAGTCGGTCTGGAAGATATCTAAAGTGTGAAAACATCGGTCAATACCCATTTTGTCAACACAATTTGATTGGAATGAAATCATCCGGGCTTACCGTGGATAATCAACGACGCCCAGTCAAAGAATATACTTGACACCTTGTTCGGGTGAGGGGTGAATTTCTGACGCGCAAACAGAGTATCGAAAAGTAGACCAGCATCCGGCAGTCCAGAGGGCTGAATTGTCAATGGAGGAATGGTGCGACAATACGGAGTATTGGCAGCGCCTAGCTGAGGAAGCGTTGGATTGTTTCTTGATCCATCGGCAGAGCGATATTTGAAGTCATCACCCATGTAACTGCGATTCTCCCCAGGCCTTGTGAGCTGACTTTTCCCAAATTATTTAGAGAAACATCTTTCAACTTACGAGAGAGGGGGGTGAGGGAGAGAATCCCAAAGCTCGTTCAGAAATTGGTTTGTGAGCTCAGTACGGTTCTTGGAATGACCAGGCATATCCGCGACCAGCTGTTGTCGGAGATGCCGTCAGAATCTTCGTTCAGTCTCCCAAATCATCTGCAGGTTTACATTTCCTCCATTGGCGCTCTTACCTGAATGATGCGCTCCATGAGATACGTCTTGTCATCCACCAGTTCACCCGAAGCCTTGGATTTGATCAAATCCTTGACAGTCGAGAGATCGCGAAACCCGAGCGACTTGATATCATTGAAGAGGCCAGAGGATTGTTCATGCTTCAGAATTGCGCCATCACCACCCTGGCTTGGGAGTGGCTCGCTGGAGACATGGATGGCCTGCGCATACTTGTCAAAGATCGCAACGACTTCAGCTCGGTTCACTGTTTGCGGCTTGTCCTCGTGGGATGAGGACTTGCGCAAGGGCTGTGCGGGCTTTGAATTGCGCTTGCCATTATCTTTAGAGATCTTGGGTGGTTCGGCATCGCCATTGGGCTCCTTGTTCTTCTTGAACTGGGTGGAGAATCTGCGTAACATGGCGACGTATCTCCCAATATGTTAGAGCTTGTCAACGAGATCGCAGATTCACGGAAATGAGGGCCTAGTGCAATGGCCCGAGTTGGTACTTGAGTTGAAACGACCGAGTGAAAAGGGGAGAAAGAGGGAGAATTGATTGCGACAAGAATCGCCCAGTCGCCTCGGTTGAGAGTGGACTTTGTAAGTTGTCTACGCAAGTCACACTACAAGCATTGATTCCATTTCTCCCTTGGGGCGCAAAGTACTACATGCAAATTCATCGAGGGGGTTGCTGGAAACGCGCTCGATTCCACTGGCCCGCCTGCTTCCAGAGCCGGTAATGTCTTGCTATCGTAGAGCATTGTGCTGGCAATTTCCCTTTTTTTGTTTGGTCCATTGCCACGAGTGACCGAGCATTCGAGCCCTCAGGTTCCACGATAGGATGTCGCACGGAGATCCATTTCCAAAGTGGCCCCGTGGGGGTTCAAAGCTGATCTCAGCTGAAGCTTGCTAGATCCAAAGGGTGGCATAAACCCCATCCAAACACGGTCGATCGCTGGGAAGATGAGTGGACCATATCAACTCGACCATTCATTGGACGAGTGGACCGTCTTGCAGATATTCGATAAGTAGTAAGTGAGTGGTAGAGCAGTAGTATTGAGCCCCCGGTCAGTTCTGAGTCTGACAGTATGCATCACGCACGGGGTGGATCAGAAGCTTGAAACCATTTGGTTCACTAGTGCTACGATTGCCGATCGCGCTGTGGTCGCACCAGGAGTCCAGGACCACAGTCGACAATCATGTAAGGCGACCCCACCATACTTGGTAGCACAGTAGTGCTGTACTTGGTAGTAGTAGTATGTCATGAATTCTCCGCGAGTGTATGTTGGCTGTGTTCACTCGGTTGGTGAGGGTGGTGGTAACTGACAAGTATGTATGTGTCTCGGAGACCAGGGTCATCTATCTGCACACCACAACACTTGATCACTGGAGGCTGAAAGCACTACTACACGAGGACCAGACCCAAGGTATGATTCTGGGATTGATCGGGAGGACAAGGAGTCCACTTTTGCCCCTGCGTGGCCGATCGTCAGCAATGTTCTTGCTCAATCAGATCCCAGCTTGCAAAGCGATCAGATCTCAACTACATACAGTGCTACTCTCCTGCTCGGTTGTCCTTTCCAGGAGCGGTGAGCTCTGGCTGCGTGATGGTTGATGGTCAGACCAGCCAGGGCTCCAGGGATTGTCACGATTGGCGCTCCATGACTTTCAAGAAGCTCGGTGACCTCGCAAGACCCAGAGGACTGGAACAGACGCGACTAGCAGATCCGCCAAGTGGAGGCCTTGTAAGTTTTCTGCCGTGCAAGACCCAAACGAGTATGTAATGCATGCATCTGCAGATGAACCATACTCGAAGTGGATGTCCAGTGGGCCGTGCGCGAGAGCCCTTTCCGATCGTGAGTTCATCAGACATTGTTTAGTGTCAATCCCAGTGGCTGGCTGAAAAGGACCGAGGAGGGGATTCGAAAAAGGGTAAAACAGAGTGCCACCAACCCAACAAGGCCAATTGTCATCACAGTTCACAGTTCGCACTGATGTTTCGTTGCTGGCCATTCAGCCGTGGCGCACTATTCGTTGTCGTTGCTGATTGATTGTTTCCTGAATCGTCCAAGGCCCGTGTAGGCCTCGACGAGAGGTCAGCCACATGACATCGATGAATAATCGAGACCTGGCATTCTTGCTCTCGTGACTCGTTATCAGTTGGATCATTCCTGGACGGTGACAGTCTTCCACGGGATGACAGTAGACCGCGGGCCTGTCGCAGTGGGGGTGAAGAGAATGGGAAGCTTCGTAGGCGACGAGGCGTAGGACTAGGACGGACTGATCTGGGTAGCGTGACTCTGATCCGTGGCACACGGTCGGACCGGATCGATCGACAGACCCACCCGTTCGCCCAGGAAAACCCAGTCTAAGATGCAGACCATAGGGCCTGTGATCTATGATTTGTATCAGCAAATCATAGTATGGTGCAAAATGATGCATACACAGCCGAAGGTCAAGTCAGAGCCGGAGCGGACTCGTGTGGGTTTCGTGTCGAATAGGCTAACTGGCACACTGCTGTCCTAAGTCGATTCTCCATCCCTCGTTGCTAGAACCATTGACAACCGGGCTGACCGGACCAGTGGCGATCGGATATCAAGCATGGAGGAGGACACGATGCTGCATTGGACTGGTCTAGTCAAACAAAGCCACGGACACGTCTGCAGGTGGGACGGGAGCTTAACAGCTTGTGTTACATGTGTGCTCTCGGACAATTCATCAGCCGACCAACGCAGATGTGATGCATCATTTTCGTATTGCCTTGCAAGTTGCCACCGACAGCTCATCTGGAAGCTGTGCATTGTGACTGAGAGAGCGCTTTGCCTTGGAAGATCGTCTTTCGGCCGAAGTACAGATGAGCCGACTGTACAGCGCACAGCGTACAGTGTACAGTGCATCATTGAAACCCGGTCAGGGAGGCGAGTCAAGCCCTCAGATCATCCTTGAACCATTTCTCCGTGGGATGGAGCTGGAGATAGTCCCGGATCCTGCATCACCGCAGAGTGCCATTGAGCATCTCACCTATCTCCCCGAGCCTAGTGGCCCTGGCAGGAAAGCATTTAGACTGTGCAAGGATGGAAACTGGTCGGATGTCTTCCTTCGTTCTGCTATCTTTTTTGTTCTTCCTGCGTCGTCACAGCGCAGAGATAGCTAGTGGTAAGAGGCCGCGTAAAAAGTTTCCATCCACGGTTACTTGCATGTTTACCCCCTTCTTGGATGACAGGAAAAAGGCCAAGGTCTACTCCAGACACAACTCTCGGCTCGTGGCGAGTCCACAAACGGAGTGTCTGGACCATATCCACTACAGGATCTTGGATCATCACGCTGATAGACTGTCAGTACTACCATCAGATACAGAGTGCGTAACTAGAGTATATGCCGAACTCGAATCGCACGTATCTCAGCCTAGGAAGAGCGACACCCATATAGCAGCACTCGCTCGACTCGGTCCATGGGTATCCGGGAGATGCCCGTCTCTTGCCCGTCAAAAGAAAAAAAGAGTACGCGTTGGTGGACATTTTGTGGTCACGCCGTGAACTGTGAGAAGAATAAGAAGATGGACCGATGGTGCCGTAGAAAGGTGGACGGGGGCGGGACGGGAGGCTCCACTTGACGCTGGGCTCCTGCGCAGGCCGCAGACTGGAGTACGAGCATCCTGGCGACTGGCGAGTACTTGGGTAAGGGAGTCGGGGTCGAGGTTATTACTAATTGGGGCAGGAGAACTTGTTCAAGTGAGTACCGTGCTGATGCAGGGGAGATCCACCGGATGATCTCTGACGGGCTCGCATCGAACTACTGTAGTCGCTCTTCGCCTCCTACACTACTACGCTAAATCCCTCCTACACGATGTTACTCGATCGCAGTGCGAGGTCATGAATCTCTTGTCTGATCCCGTCATTTCCATTGCGTGCATCTTCCTGATCGAGACAAGCGTCACTCGTGCTTGACCATTCAGAAGACCAGCCTCTACCATCTTGCACGGTCCCTCCCAGATGACAGGACACGGGAAGTAGATCAACCATTGCATCTTTTCCAGATCGTTGAGAGGTCGGCCACACATTGAAGAATGTACATATGGGCCCTGTGTCCATTGTCCAGTGGTCCACTCGTGGTCAGCGCGTACCGATTGAGAATCTCGGCCCAAGTCGGTGTGCGCGTGTGCAAACCCCCTGGCCACCATCTGGTTTGTTACCATGGGATGAAGTTTTGTATAAGGGATTAGGTCCAAATTCCAATTCCAGAGGAAAGACATATGATTTGAAGCTTAGATGGCCTATTAACTGCCATAGCGCCCTTTACCCAGTCATCTCCTGTACAGTAAGTACTTGAGTGACCATTATACAACCCTGGCAGACGTCACATCCCTTGGGTTTGCCGATAAGAGGGTGAGCCCCTTACAGATCTCCAGGGTAGGCAATACGCTGCAAGTTGCAAGGCCAGTGTCGTCTGTACGTAAGGAAGTCAGAAAAAGAAAGCTACAAAAACAAATATGACCAAGTCCAGTGGACGAAGGAAGTAAAGAAGAAGAAGCAAAAACAATGGTTGCCGACCGCGCGAGAAAAGATCTACCTCCTTGAGCTGAGCGCGAACCAAAACAGCGACAACGACGAAACAATGCGATGTAGTCATGAATTTACCAGCGCAATGGTTCTGCATCCCACAGCTATGTTCGCAACCATGCCCAATAACAAGAACCATCCCGGACGTGATGATCGAAATGGTATGTTGGAGAAGCCTCCCGTCTCGACTCCACATTGACAGGCTGATGGTCCTTTGGCCGGTGGTTTTCTGTGACTCCGTCGGGACTCACGCAACAGCTGCCATTTCCGTATACCGTTCGCCCTCATGGGACACTTTCTTCAACACGAGCAGAAGAGGGAAAAGTCTCACGTTTCTTCCTGAGTGGCGGAACGGGACGATGGTGACAACGTGCCTTCGCCACTACATCCTCTGAAGCGGTAGGGAGCATCCAATTCGCGTCTCTGACCGTCTTCGAGTTGCGAAAGAACAAAAAAAACATGTGATGGCCATGTGTGACAAGAAATCAGAACATCCAATGCATGTGGACTCCTCGAGTGCTACAGATCGTACCTGCTGCAGGCCATCATCAAACCCCCAAAGGGCACCCAGACAGCTTGACATTCTCTCTCCTCTCTCTTCATGCGCTGTGGTTTCGAGGCGTGGAATTTAGAGCATCAGATATGACACGCTAAAATCTCACAACAACATGTACTCGTAGCCATCCTACCCATTGTAAGACAAGCCCCGACAGGGTTGGACTGGAATGTGCCAATTTCCACCACCTCGGGTCGAGGTACGAATGGTGACCCACCCACAGCTGGAGATGAGTGACAAGCTGCAGATGTAGACTTTTCCTAGACCTTTCTTCGGGACAGGGTTGGATTGCCTTATGGAGTCGATGGCCCGAGCAAGTGGCTCTTCATTTCATGAGCAACACTCCTCTCCAGGTCATCGGTCGCAGCTTGATCGCGTCGTGACCGCAAGACTTCTTCACTATCAGTCTAGCCATATTTGATTGTGGTCGTTGTCGAAGACCACACTGTTTGTACGGCGCATTCAGCACTGATTCTCGCGCCATGGCAACTTATACCGGGCCCACGCACCCGAGCGGGCATTCGAAGCAGTTTGTGCTATGTTTTGATGGAACCGGGAACAAGTTTGCCGGCGATGAGTCTGATAGCAATGTGCTCAAGATCTTTCGAGTATGTTTGTCGCTGTTTATGCTGGGTGATCCATTTTCCGGTAGGACAGCACGCACGTTACTAATCCCGGGAGATTTTTTCCCTGTAGATGTTAGATCGCAGCCAAAGTCACCAATATCATTATTACCAACCCGGCATCGGCACATACAACACCACCGCGACGCTTACCAGCCATGGTCGCATTCAACGAATCAAGTCATGGTATCAGAAATCAAAGGACTCGGCCGTCGGCTCTTCGTTCGACCAGCATGTCATGGGCGGCTACAAATTCTTGATGCGATATTACTCCCCCGGTGATGAAATCTTTTTCATCGGCTTCAGTCGCGGCGCATACATTGCGCGATTCTTGGCCGAAATGCTCGACTATATCGGCCTCCTCGAGGCGGGTAATGAGGAACTCATTCGGTTTGCCTGGAAGACTTTTGCCAAATGGCAGCAGCGCGCAGGTGACAGTGAGGAAGATCGAAGGGAGAAAAAAGACTCTTCGAATATATGAAAGCTTTCCGTGAAACTTTCAGCCGTCCGATCGCGCGCATCCGCTTCATGGGACTCTTCGACACAGTCAACAGTGTACCGCGCTTCGAGAATGCGTGGATGCAACGCAGCAAATTTCCGTATACCGCCCGCAGCTCTGCGAGGATCATCCGCCACGCAGTGGGAATCGACGAGCGAAGAGCCAAATTCCGACAAGATCTGATTTCGGGGCAACGACCGCCTGCGAAAGGGCATCACAAGCACAGGCATCATTTGGACCCGCACAGAATCAACCAACACATTGCGGCCCGATACGCCGATGTCAGTCAGCATTTACATGGCCAGACCCAGACTGCACCAGAGACCAGTGCCGAGCCGGCAGTCCCTGCCATCACACTTAATGACCAGGCGGAGCTGGGCCCGAGCGACGAGGCGGTTCCCAACACCTCAGCATCAGCTACATCCCACACTGCGGGCTGGGGTCCGTCTGCCGGTGAATCTTGGTACCATGCACCGCCGTCTCGCTCCTCGAACCATGGCAGCGAGGCCAATGACACAGACGGTGTTGGCCATCGTTATCGGGCACCGTCTCCTCGACGGAACAGTCTGACTGTGCCACGGGCAGGGGCCTCGCTTGATGAACGCCAATCGATTTGCAGTGGTCACTCCGCTGACGTGTCGATTCGCATCCCCAGCCTTGCCGACGAGGAAGACGATGAAACGCACCAGGATATTCACGAAGTGTGGTTCCCCGGCTGTCATGCCGATATTGGTGGAGGATGGAAACTGCAGAAGGGTGAACACTGGGCTTTAAGTCACGCCCCTCTGGTCTGGATGGTCCAGGAGGCTCGCAAGGCAGGTCTTGAGCTCGATGAGCGCAAGATGAAGCAATTCCAGTGCTTGGAAGAATTTGATGGTGACTACAGTCCCATCCGGGAAGACTGGAAACTCTCCGAGCACAGCAACTGTGCCGATGGCCACGGCGAAGACCCGGATGCTTTCCGGGCTCAGCCAGATGAGAAGGGCCGCTCCACTGCCAGTCGCGATTTCTGGGACGCGCTGCATACGTCCAGTACCAAGGGCTTACTGCACGATTGTCTGCGATTTAACCAAGGCTTGCCGACCCTCTCGGTGCTCTCCTGGCGCATCATGGAGTGGCTTCCCTTCCGACGCATGGACCTCCAGGAAGACGGTACCTGGAAGCCTATCTCCTGGCCCTTGCCCCGGGGTGAAGTGCGAGACGTGCCTCTGGATGCCGAGATTCACGTCTCGGCCATTCGTCGCATGCAAGCTGATCCCAAGTACCGGCCTGGCAACGTCATCGTGGGCGGTGGTGGACGGGGTGTACGAGTGGCACCCGCATCCTATGGCATGGGAGAGTGGGTGGTGTTCAAGAATGAAGGGGATGGGGTTCGGGAGACTTATGTTCGAAAGAGTGTCTCCAAGCAGTGCAAGGAAGCTCTCGAACAAGAGAGGAAGGAGAAGGGCTCCGCTGGCTGCTAGGTAGTGGGTAAATCCTGCTGGCTTGATTTTGATTCTCCGCAGATCGTCTGGCCTGAATTAGGCCCCCTCCCAGGCGATGGGCTAGTCCAGTCTCCTGGAGACCATGGGATGCCGTTGATGATATTTGAGTAATATGTTGTGAATTTCACCGTTCTGATTGTAAGCAAGTCAAGTTGGTATTCGACAACCTGTTCCTGCTCGCTGTACCTCGTACTTGGACTTGGGCTCAGGTTCACAATCCTGGAGTGTTCGGCTTTGTCCGAGCGCGCAGTCACAAGTCTGATCTCCGTTGATCCCTGCAGCCTGTGAAAGCTATTGAAATCCTTGACTTGTTGAACTCCCACCGAGCTTACAATAAGCCTATGTGCAACTCCAAGGTTGGATTTCGGCGCCGAGCCACCTCCGACCGTAAAGATCTTACCTATAGATCAAAACCAGAGGGCGACTATGTACCATCACATGTGGAAACTATACCAAGGTAACTCTGTCAACCTTGAGAGGCTGAAAGGAGCTATCGAGGCGTATCTGGTATTTTCGGAAGGAGGATAGCGTGTTGTATCGTCAGCAGGCCGCTGACAGTGATCGGTATACGGGCCGAATGATGCCCTCATCAGCCCTATTGGCGTCATTACTCAGCCAGACCAGAGTCTCGACCCTTTCGTCCCTTGCGTGTGCCGGGGTTGACAATTAAGGTTGCATTTGATGTGGTGGGGTTCTGGAATGCCATATCCATGGTTTTCCTGCGGTCTCGGCCCTGTTGACGGAGCGCTGGGTAGACATCATAAATTATAATATTATATGATGCGGAGCCTCATCCGGTGCCTGTCCGGGTGTCTGCGTTAGCCTCCTCCGGTGAAGCAAAACAACATTTGGGATATGTGTATAACTGTGTATTATGTGGATCTGATCAACACCGGGTGGATGTCGCTGGAATTCATTGTTGACGCCCTGAATCGGGCGTACTAGATGCCTGGGTACGTCCAATAGGGCAAGTTCCAGGTTGCGCGGTTCCACCCACGGATCAGGTACTTGCATAGTATAGTACTATAGTAGTAGTACTACGTGCAGACTGCAGACTCAGAGGAGTAAAGCTATCAACCTAGAATGTCAACTGATATGCAGGTACAAGCCAGTAACTTCTCTCATTGGCACCCAGAGGTCTTGGCCCAATAACCGGAAAACATCTTGGGAGGTTGGGCACCGTGGTCTCCAGTCAGCAGAATCCTCAATTGGACTACTGTCAGTGTCATTTCCGCGCAGATCAACGCCTGAGCGGAACTTGCCTCCCCCGCTCAGAACTCAATTTGTTGTCAGACTATCAGGAGGTTTCAGGGGTCGTATCAGGCGAAGGATCTTGTCGCAAGCTCGGACGCACTCGGACGCACTCGGGCACCACTCGTGGAGCCAAATGTTGGAGAAAAGGAGGATCCCGTCACATTTGCTATCGTGTTTTCAAATGTGGACGAATAGGCGGACCATGCTTACGAAGCCTGAGCAGAGCTGGATTAGAAAGGCGCAGGCTCAATTTCGTTGGGAGTTCCCGTGGCGAAATGTTTAGGTGTAGGATCAAAATATACTTCCTCGAAACAGGCTGTTGGGGACATGAATAGGACCTGGTTTAGACCGATCATCAGGGCGGAAATCTGCTGGTGCTTCGGATGTCAGGTAGTAGTGAATCGTGACCTGTATAGCCGTGCGAACCTCTACCTCTACAGAGGAGGGCTATCGCTGACATCAAGTTCAGTCAGCTAACAGCAGCTGGATGCTTCTCAATGCTACTGAGTACTGGCATGCAGAATTCCATTATGACCGAAACCATCAGAGCCTCATGCAACAACTAAGTGGGTTCTAGATCCGCTGTGGAACATGATGGAATTGCATTTGTATGCCTTGATAATGTTCATGCCCAACAACTAGGTAGATTGCAATAAATACGGCACAGGTGAGTGGACAATGGTCGATTAATCACGATTCTTGATTTCTGCAACTTCATCTCACCTTGATTCAAGGGAAACGCCCGTATATACGTACGCTTACCCCCGTTCGTGTCAAGTCTTGGCGCCGTTTCGCCGCAACCTTCTTTTTTTTCCCTCCCTAGGCTGCCCGTGGATCTGATCTTCACGTTCTCCCATTTCGCTCTTTTTCCTTCTTCTAACCCTTTCTCCTCTTCCAACTTGGCAGGTCCAAGGCTCTTACTCTAATTCCTGTGACTGTGCCCGCTACCTCAATTTCCTATCTAGGATGCGTTCGGCGTGAAGCACCTCATCTGCGCCTTTTTTTTTGATTCCCCTTTCATAACGCTCCACCCACCTTTTCCCCCCCCCCCCCCCCATTCCGCTCATCCTCCTTCTTCACTCTTCGCCCTCTCTTCCAACCCACGCCACGTTTTCACCCAGGGTCGATCACTCTCGGTTGTGGAAACCATGGTCGGCTCACATGGGTTGGAAATCAGGGGCGCCTCTGAGCCTAGTAACACCAAAGGCGCCACCGCGTCTGTTTCCGAGAGCCACTCCGAGCGCGCTGTGAAAGAGGACGTCATGATCACTTCGTCGCTCCCTCGTGAGCAGCTGACGCCTGTTCGGACTCGTGCTCCTTTGGCGCCATCGCATTTGCGCTCCCGCTCACTGGCAGGGATTCCCGGCATGCCTTCCATGACCCGCGCCTACTCCTCCCCCGGAATGGACTCGCGAGGTCGGTACATTTTTGTGAACGGCCGAGGAGGGTCGGCAACTCAACCCACCATCGATCACACCAAGCGCTCCAACCCAGGACAAATGCGCAGCGAGGATCACCTTGAGACCCGCCTCGGCTCCTTGAACATAGTATCCGAGACCATCTCCGAGAACGCCGAGCTCGAGACAGTGCCGCGCTCCCCTTCTTCGCAGTCAGCCTCCTCGCCCGTGCTGATGCCCCAGACATTCTTACGCAGCGGTCGACTGCGCTCGACCTCCCCTCTGCACTTTCAGCTGCCACACATCAACAGCCCTCCCTCGGTCCACAGCTCCCCTACCCTGGGCGGTCGATACAATGAAGCCTACCCTATCCACCCCGCCTCTTCCACGTCTTCCATTCCTTCGACTCCGACCAGTTTCCGATCCCGCAGCCCCAGCATCTCCTCGCTGGAGACAATCCCTGATATCCCTGACGCCGAGGCAGAGGCACTAGAGGAAGAGAGAATCGCCGAGCTCAAGGCGGCTGCTGACGCCGCTGATGCGGCTGGCACAACCGGCCGACGACGAGGCGCTTCTGACGTGGCCACGCCGTACAATTCCTTTACTCTTACTCGCGGGGGAAACAACTCGTATGCTTCTCGCATTGATAAGCGCAAGCGCTGGAGTGTCTGCGGAGCCGAGCGCCGACAGGATCTCGACCTCGAAACTATCTGGGAGGACTAAATATGACAATTGCATTTCTTCCGCCGACTCTTCGCCAAACACTCATGGTGCAAATCATATCGGCTCTTACTTTGCATAATGTCCATCCAACGGCGTTTTCTCATCATTGACTACCCTGGCACGATAAGGACTGCCCGTTCTCCACACAGTCACGTTTCACTTTGCATTCAAGCCACCAACCCGTCCGACGATGTACATTCCCACCATCTCTGTGCTTCTGTTCTTCTTCCTCTCAGCGATGTCATACCCACAGGCGTTTTGTTTTTTTTTTTTTTGTTTTTTCTCCCCTTCTACACGGTTGGCGCCCTCGGTGGTTCCTGGGATCATGCTCTCCGGTGGTGCAAATGGGTCTTGGGCCAGGCGTTGAGTTTCTGATCGATCTTTTGCTCCTCCTGGACACCCGCGCACTTCGATATCGTTCTTTTCCTTCAAGAGTCCCAACTGTCTTTGGGCCTTACGTTGCTACCCTATTCTCGTTGATCGTTCGTGATACCACCGTCTTTGTGTATTCTTTTAGTCGTCACCTGGAGTCTGGGCTTGCTGGGTTCTGACACGACAGGATCGAGACCGGGGCCTTCTCATGCTGGCGTCGGTATTTGTTCCGACCATGTCACTTCACGGGATTCAATGCAAGATCGCTCATACATGACACTTAATTCTCTCCCCGGAATGAATTCATACAGTTCCTTGAAAAAGCGGCTATATCTCCCCTTCTTGGCCCCATAGATTGTACGGCAGCCAATCATGCCCCAGCTACCCCCACTTTGATGATCATCGACCATCAGCCACGAGTACTCGCCTGGATGGAGGGACCGAGGCTTGTCCTGTTCGTCCTGAATCACGACAGGAGTGCGCATCACAGGACACAACAATCAGTAGAGCGCGGTCGCACAGTACAGGTAACACTCTCTGCCGCACTCACTGAGGCTGTCTGCCGATCGCTGTGATGTCGATCAAGCCCCGTGTCGGCATCATCGGCGCGGGTCTCTCGGGCTTGCGATGTGCTGACATTCTCGTCCAAAACGGAGCGCAAGTGACCATACTTGAAGCTCGAGACCGGGTTGGCGGCCGAGTAAGTTTCTGCTACCAGGACGGCGGTTTTTCTCGCTCGATGATCCGCTGTATTGCACAAGGATAGCATATCTCTAACTTATCACTGACGGCTGCCTTCCGATATTCCAGGTCCATCAAGGAAAGGTCGGTGGTCATCTGGTGGATCTGTACGTGTTACCTCCCAACCATTTCTTTTTTTTTCAAGCCTCGGTTGCTTCTGCCTGGTCAAATAGTCCACTCATTGTAATTGAAGGGGCTCCAATTGGATTCATGGCACGGGGTCAAATCCTATCACGGCCATTGCCGCCGCGACGAAGACGGTGACGCATGACCCCGTGGGCCAGAATCTCATGATTACCCGAGATGGTCAAGTGCTGGACGAGACCTTGACCGCGAAAGCTTCAAACTTCATGTGGACAACAATTGCCAAGGCCTTTGAATACAGCAATCAGCATAGCAGTGTGATCCCTCCTGAGCGAAGTCTCTACGACTTTATCCGGGACCAGCTGGAGCAGATGGATTATTCTCCGCAGGAGAAGCGAGTATGCCTGGATGCTTGTAAGCTATGGGGTGGCTATGTCGGCGATCCAGTTGGACGTCAAAGTTTGAAGTTTTTCCGCCTCGAGGAATGCATTGACAGTGGTGAGTGGCTGAATTGTGTCAATGACTGCGATTGGTGTTGGAGCATTGACTTACTTTTCAAGCAAGGCAACGACTTTGTTGCGTCAACGTATCAGCGGATTGTGGAATACGTATCTCAAGCAGCGCTTTCAAAGGCAGACGTACGATTTAATCAGCCTGTTGTGGCGATTGAGACACCAATTCGCGAGCAGATGCCAGACCGCAGTCAGCCGATCACCGTGACGACCGTCTCCGGTGATCTATACTATTTTGACGAGCTGGTTGTTACATGTCCTCTGGGCTGGTTGAAGCAGAATACAGCGGCATTCAGTCCTGCGCTGCCTAGTCTTCTGCTCTCGGCGATCCAGAATATTACCTATGGACGACTGGAGAAAGTCTTCCTGACTTTTCCCCGGGCTTTCTGGCACGATGACTCTACCAACCAAACTGCAAGCAGTAGCAGTGAAGCGAGCCAGTCAACAGCAACAACAGCAACAACAACAGGCACAAGCACAAGCACAAGCCCAGCGATGAACCCCATATTTACCCAATTCCTCGAACCTGAATATACAAACCACCCAGAAGGCATGGAATGGAATCAAGAATGTCTCTCGCTCGCCGGCCTCCCCAGCCCTTGCAACCAGCCCACGCTCATGTTCTACACCTACGGTCCCTGCTCAACATACATCGTCGAACAAATATCCCCTCTGGATCCCCGATCCCCGGAGTATCGAGAGAAATTAATCACCCTGTTCGAACCCTTCTACTCCCGACTTCCCGGATTCGACGCTTCTCGCCCTGATTGCGACCCCACCGGAGTCCTAGCCACCCAGTGGCAAAAAGACCCCTATGCAGGTAACGGATCCTATTGCAACTTTCAAATCGGTCTCACCCAAGCCGACAAGGACATTGTGACGCTTCGAACGGGGGCCGGGGTTGGACCTGAGCGTGGCCTTTGGTTTGCGGGCGAGCATACGGCTCCGTTCGTGGCGTTGGGGACTACTACGGGCGCATATTGGAGTGGCGAGCGAGCTGCCGTGCAGATTTGCGAGAAGTTGAGGTTGGGTAATGTGGGTGTTGCTGGATGTCGGGATGACTCTTTGCCGTCTGCGATGAGCGATAAATCTCCATGAAGTTTAATGAACAGAGTATGATTGCGCCGAGTTCATGTTCTGTGCACTGTGCATATACTCTCTACTCTGTGCTGTACAAGATGGACGAATTTTGTCCTGGACGAGCTTGTACTGGTTCTGGCTTGTATGTCGCATGCAAATCCATGGCACTGTGTTTGGTTTGGCTTGAAAATGGTGGCGCCTTACTTGTACTCTCGTTGGGCGTGTGTCAAGCCCAGTGCCTGGTCAATGGCGGTCATTCTAACTTTTGTTTTTTTTCATTCAACTATCGTGCCCTAAGTACAGTCGAGAAGGGTAGTGTTTCCAAACAAGAATGGCAGTGTCGACAAGTTCCGACCTAGAGGAATACCTGTAACCTTAGTAGTTAAGGCAGTAGTTAGTGTAGTAGTTACTACTCTGGTGGGAAGAAGGTACTGAGTTACTCACTCAGTAGGTCCCAAATGCAATCCAGCCCAGACGTACAGTCCTACCCGAATCATCCGACGCCGCCAATTCGACCAACGCTAGTCCAGTAGTCTCGGCATGCCGTACAAGGAAAGCCAAGGTTTCCAATCGCCCACGAGGCTAGATCAGCGTAACCTGGATGCTAACACACGATCACAACCTGAGCAATTCAATTTCGTCTGATATTCACATTGACTTCAATTCTCATATAGCGCCAAATCACACCCGATTACTCGACAGAACACTTTGATTGACTACTCAGTAAACACTAAACAGCAGCTGCCAGCCATAGAGTCCGTCGGATAAGTACTACTGTTCCAGTGTACCTCACCCACACAGACCCACTACTCGCATGTGAGTGCGGAAACCAAGTGGGTCTGGATCCACCCCTATCCCCCAATGCCATCTCACCATCCTCTCCTTCTACAACATGCTTCACTCTTATATCCACAATGCGATAGAAATTTTCATCTGCTCAGTTGGCTCAACAGTACAACATCAGCACCAGGCCGGCTGGCCCAATGGCAAGGCGCTTGACTACGAATCAAGAGATTGCAGGTTCGACCCCTGCGTCGGTCAAACTTTTTGCAGACTTTCCTGTATCTTGTGTCATGACTCACGACTCACAACTTACTAGGGGATAGATGTCTCTGCGGGTGGAAGGGTCTCACTTTTGTTTTGTGTTTTTTTCTTATTGCCGGTAGTGCGGATTTTTCCTTCTTGCTTGGGACTTGTGGTCTGTCGAGTGTTTTATGGCGTGGATTTTGAGCACTGGGCTCGTCCAGCTATAAGGTAGTCTCAGTTTGTTCTCGAGAACCTAAATGTGCATGGGCGGGAGGTAGGAAATAGCAGATCTAAGCAAGTCGTGACACTGTAGTTGGACTGCTTCACCTAGAATTGACACCAAAAAGTCTACGAAGTACTTACCGCCGAGCTTCTGTGGACATATGTACAGTCAACGATTCAACAGTGCATGTCATGCATATCTACGGTAAAGAATGGCTGGAAGACCCGAAGAATATTAATGAAGCAAAGGTGGTATTTTTTTCATCTTAAGAGAATCTCTGATACTCGCTAAGTAGACAGTAGACGCTGGTGATCAAACACGGGATTAAAGATGCCCGGAGACAAGGGGGAATTTCGTGGTATGCACGTGACAAATGTGGCAAAAGACCGCTTGCAAGTTCGTCATGAAGAGCGAAAGAGGGTAATAAATGAAGCAAGAGCAGACATGAGAAATATCGATGATGCAATGGACAGACGCATCAAGGGCGCACGTGTGATGGAGACAAGAATGCAGCAAGGAGCAAAAGGTTGATGACAGCACGGGCCGGGTCGGACGTTAAAAGACTCATGGAAAGCCTGGAATTCAAGCATGTCTATAAGACGTGGATGAAAGGTATATCTGATTATTGGAAGGCAATGGAAGAAAGAAAAAAAAACGTCCAAGTCTCAGCGCCATGCACCCTGACTGAGAGACAACAGTCCCTGGACACAGTCAAGATCATCCTTGGGACTACTGCCCGCACCGGCCATGAACGCAGACACTTCGGCACTCAGTTCCGGCTCTGGTTTCCCTTGGCCGTCGGAGGGAAGCTGTCGGTTGCGTCTGCCGTTTGATGAGATCCCGAGTCCAGTTCTTCGGTTAGCATCCCGCAACGCAGGGCGAGGTGCCGAGGATACGTTCCGCCGTCGAATTTGTGCTGACCGTGTGCCAGGCACCCAGTTCTCTTTGTCTGAATCGCCCAGGTCAAATTCCATGTCTGCTTTGCCGATCTTGGACGGCGTCTCTTTAAGACTGGACAATTGGTAATGCAAGCTTCGGCTACGCTCCGTCTCGAGTCTCCCGAGAGAAGAGACTGCTCGAGAAAGCTTTCGCCTCTTCTCTCCCATGGATTCGGAGATTGGAGTACGTGCCGCATCAGCAAGAACCGAGGCCATGCTGTTGCGTTGCGAGACACTGCGAGCGAGAGAGCGCTGGCTGTGAGAGCGGAAGAGTCCTGGAGACGATCCCAGGGGGTTATGAGAGGACATTGGCGTTGCAAGGGCGCTGCGAGCATCGGTGTCAAAAGCAGACTCCCAGTTTCGGGCATCGCGGGAGCGTCCGAACATGCGATCAGTCTCAGATGTTGCTGTCCGCGGCGTGACCGGGAAGATTGCACTGCTGCTGCGGCGGAGACCTGTGAATTGCGGTCTACGGACAGAGAACATAGCCACCCGATTCTTGGACGGAGAGGGTTCGTTCTCACCCCGAATGACGGCCTTGCCGTCTGAAGACATGGCGATTCTTAACGACTGTCGGCCCGTTGGAGGCGAAGGAGTCATTTCATCTTCCTTGCGCACCATGGCTTCTCCGTCAAAGGAGAACGACAAGCGCAGAGACGGTGGTGACTTGACCGGTGTGGCGAATACCTGCGCCGCGGCCCGATCGGCTGTCAATTCCCCTCGAAGCTCTGACGACGAGCGTTTCCGTTTCGGAATGGCTCCGCAACCCCCGACGAATTTCTCAAGCGATGACTGTTGGGAGTGTGCGCCAGGAAACTCTTCTTGCGTGGTTGGCGGAGTCTCTTCCACGGCCTCTGTTGAAACGGTAGATTGTGTGCTTGGGCCTACCGCCTCGATGTCATCCTTTTCTTCTTCCCCGCGTCCTACTGATTCTTCCTCCATGATCGGATCAGAATTATCTGATAGATGCAACAACCCATCACTCCAGCCGGATGGCTGGGGGTCATCAACATGCTCTGCCCCACTCGATGACCCAGGCTCCGCAGACGCGCTATCGTCACTTGTTGGATGGCGGCCCGATGAGGCGGACATACTTGAGCCCGGTGCAAGCAACTCGTGAGGTTGGAGCGGTTTGGATTTCCTCCGATCGTTTTGGCGGCGATTTTGAAACCAAATCTGCTCCGTCACAAGAGGAGAGGGTGTCAGTTGAAATGCGTAGCTATGCGGATGGGCGGGAAAATTTGGTGGGCGCTTCAAGTCTTGGCATTACCTACCTGTACTTCCTTCTCGCCCAGCGAGACGCGATTCACGATCTGAGTGCGAGCAAGTTTATCGGGTTTGGGATTCTTTTGATATTCGGCCTCGAGAATAGCATGGTCTTCGGGGCTATTGATCAAATTTGGAAGAGATTCGATATTAGTCTATTGTGCCGCGCGCCTCTTTTTTTTTTTTCTGGAGGTGTTCCGTGAAGACGCGTTGACGGCCCGCGGCTGCATTTGAAGTCGCTCCACGCTTGATTGCAAGAAGGTGATCACGTACCTTGTTCGACGACGCTTTTGTCGAGCGAGTAATTTGTTGTCCACTCGAGGAGGTAAATTCTGGGTCAGAGTCTTTTGAGAGTGTACCAAAAAGGCATAGGTCAAGGTACTCGAGTCCACGGCCGGCAGCGACGGCGAGGAGGAAACCGCCGCCATTGTAGGCTCCAAGTCGGACATTGCTCAATAGAAGCAGACAAACATTGATCCAAGGATGTTTCACAAGTTGGTAATTTGAGACGAAGTCAGATCAGAGCACTGGGGGAAGAAACAAATCGTAAAGACGGTGGTTGAAAGTTGAGAAGAGGCTGGAGTCGAAGCGAGCATGTAGAGAGGGCCGTAATAATCGCGTCGCGATGTACAGACGCGGGAGTGTAGCTAGAACGTGGCCCGCGCTAGTTTCGACGTGCGCCCGTAAAGTACTCAGTACTTGCGCTACCTTGTTCTTCTCCGGACGTGACCATGAGACTGATTTGTATGTGTAGTCCTGCAAAAGAGTGCACCCTAGCTCTACGCATGAACATTATCAACAAGACCAACGCCTCTGAACTCCAGGGTTGATTCAATTCTACATCCGAGTGATCATTCAACGCGCCGACCGTGCCATCTTGAAGGTTACTACACATCGTTGAGGATCTCCACTTTCCAAGGTTGTCTGGAATGGCGGACTGGGACCCTCGCGTGTTCGCACGTGTGAGAGAATGCGTGCGATTTCTGGAATTTTAGACAAATTTTCCGAGCCCCATGTCAAGAGATTTGAACTATCAGTCATCCGATGATTACCAGCATCTCATAATGTAGCCCGACTAGAAGAGCTGAGAGGGACTTTCCCCCCCCCCCCCCCCCCCCAGCTGTAGTTGAAGTTGGGGTGAATGGACCAGAGAACTCAGTGGCGGATGATCTCCGCGCCCAAACGCGCCGCGACACGTCCTCACGTGATGATGATGCCGGAGCTGCTGCTCGAGCCCTTTCCCGTTTCGCAGAACGGGAGAACCGCGACTTTAATCTTGCGGACTTAGAATGAGGGACCTGCATTCTTACTGTCCATTTGATTATTGACTCTGAAAAGACAGTCGACTGTTGTGATGGTGCTTCGAATCTCACTACTCACACTTGGTTCACGATCCAATCGTTCATGGCGCACAGCGTTGTACCAATGGAATTCCTCGGTCTGGACGGTCAGCCATCCATCTGATCGCGAGACCCACGGAGAACTGATTGCTCAAGGATCTACGCTTGTCGAGGATTCTCCTTGAAGACAAAATTACGCGCTGACTGAGCTGTGCACTTGTGCAGTGGCTCATCAGCACAACGGTTTTAGCTCTTATCATCTGTAGCTGAAGCCTCCCTAAAACATCAAACTGACAAATATTCATTCTGTTCACATACAGAGACAGGTCAGGCGTCCGCTGGTCAATTGACATGGTGCATCAACTTCGCTTCTGGGGCAATACAAAGCTAGGCCGCTCGACTGCCAGAAGTATTCCGGTTGTGGGAGAGGTCCACCTGCAGTCGTGTACCTATGAAATGATATGAATCGTAGCATGTGGGTGTTAACCTTCCACCTCATGTTGCTATGGCCTCCTCGCTAAGGGTAAGATATCTGGGCGTTTAGACAGGCGAAGTGCAGCATGATGCTCATCGATCAACTCTCGCCCCATGCTTCTTCCAATAAGTTTCATTCGCACAGCAATCTGAAATATTGTGCTCTCGACTGGTGTTGGTGGATGTTGATGGCCTCGGGTCTCGGCATACTGGCGGGATCGTCCCGACGCGCGCACTCTCGCACAGGGACCGTGCCATGGAGATTTGTACAGTCATCTTCTCTGAAATTGACCAAGGTACCAGTATACCTGCCAGGTACCCTGGGAACCCTATATACGGGTGTTGAAAAGCCCCAGTGTTGACCAGTCATGGGCTTGTTGGGTTGGAGTTGGAAGAATGTCAGGCGACCACCCCGACGGCTGGCTGCGCAGGCTTATGTTGCTGTCGAGACACCAGAGCCCACTGGAATAACTTTCTCCAGCAAGAGAGTTGAGACTCGAAATTGAAATCGACAGTCTAATGATCTGGAAAGAGCTTCTTCTAATGGAAAAGGCATACACTTTCAATTCAGTTACTGCTGTACGTCACAAAGAGCGCATGTGCCGAAGGAGGAGACAGTGACTCTAAAAGTGGGGGAGACCCGTGACAGGGCACGTGAAGGGAGAAGGGGCCCACAGTTGAAATAACCTTAAAGGAGATACAGTACACTTAGCGTATCCAGCACCCTTTGGCATCTTACTGTAGATCTCATGCTGCAGGACTGGAGTATTGAGCGAGAGAAGACGAGGAGGACGTCTGCTGATAGTAGTCAGTGATGTCGGTGACTGTAATGATGACCTCTGGTCGGGCCACGAACTACCATGGACTTGAATCTACCGAGAATTGGTAGCAGCCTGCCTAGTCGGACAAGTCCGCTGACGATCTCGGTTCCACAGACGGGGGGCACTGGGTGTATGACCAGAATCATGTCCGGCGCCCTCCTTCAGGCAGCTGTAGAGACATCGAACCAGTGAAACAATGAGGGATGAGAACGAGGGCGAATGCAGGCGATCGCGTGTGGTGAGTGTCATACGATTTGCGCCACTGGGGAGAACAGCTCTCTGCCTCGTTCCACAGCTCCGTCCAAGCCCCCGTCAACCTCTCAAACTCTATTCCCCGCGTCAACCCAACACCGTCTGTGCTTTCAAGACTCACCACTATTCCAGCCGACCGAAGAAATTCCCTTCGAGGCTGCTGACGACCACATCCAGCCCATTGCTGCCGGTTCCCAGCGTTGCTATCGCCATCTTTCATTGGTTCTTCCGAAAGAACCGAGGAATCAAGGGGATGCAAGGGTGCTACTGCTGGGTCTTGGAACCGTTGGTATCCCTTCAGGTGAACAAAGTCTGCCAAACCAACCGATCAGCCCATCCAGCAACCCGACCTGTCACCTCTTCTTTCTTTGCGCACCCCCTCGTCCCCTCGCAAACTCGTCGACTCCGCCGTCAGAAAGACGCATTTTCCAACCTTTCTCTCCCCCGCCTTCGACAGTCGATCGTCACAGTATTCATCCCTCTGAATCTGTGCGTCTCGAGGTCGGCCCGTTCTTTGATTAGACAGTTGCTCCGCTGTCGTAAATCAAACAATCTGCTTACCGTGAATTAAAAAGAGACGGTCGCCCGCATTGCAGTCGGCCCTTGGGCAATACGAACAAGCATCACTCGAGACCTTCGCACCCTGCCCTCATTTGTCCGGTAAAAGTCAATTTCTCGCTCGCCTCTTTCGTCTGCAGTGGACTCGTTGCAGCGTTTACGTCTGAGCCACCCGATCTACGGAAACGTTGGGGAGAGCGCGCCGGACGATATGGCGGAAGATCAAGGTGTCAAGACTACCCACATGGCGATTGTCCTAGGGATTGGTTTGGGAGTTGTGATGCTAATTGTCATGAGTCTAATGTAAGTCATCGTTTGATAAACCCCTCCCCTCCCCCCAAGTTTCGACTCTTAATCTAGCCGCAATGCCCCGTCCATGTCTTCCCTTTTGGCGGTTCGCAGACGATTTGAGACTAAAGAAGCGACGCAGCCTGAGTATTCTCATCAATCGGCGCGATCGTCGGACGGTCTCGCGATCCTCCAAAAATACAGACGAGAGACTCCGCAGTCTGGACGCCGTCTCACCGACGCGCACCCTGGAGGAATGGTGGGCGACCACAAAGGGCAGTCTTGGTCTGCCCGAAGCAGTGGACGGTCATTTTGTGTGGTAAGATACTAATCCTCTATCTTGACTTTAAAGGTCCAGCATTAAGAAGCAGGCGGGAGAACAAGTATCCCCCGATTACTGACCGCGGTTCAACAGTGCTGTGTGTCTCGACGAGGTCAAACGCACGGAAGAGATCCGTGAATTGCAGTGTCTGCATGTCTTTCACCGAGAATGTCTAGAAACATGGTATCTGGGGGATCATTTCAACTGCCCGCTGTGCCACCGCGAGTATTATGTGCCCAAGAGTCCGCGAAGACTCGACTATCTGTGGATGGTATGACTTGAGGCACGAAATCGTCTGTGAGACTTGGAATTCCAGGACGCAGCTTGCTGGTACAAGGTGCTCCATGTGCTGTTGACGGAGATCATGACACACACCACGTGTTCAGGGCATTTTCATGAATGAGCCCCAAGTGACGAGGATGAAATTGACGATGAAATGAAAATGACGAATTGATGAGCCTGCAAGTGATAGTGATTTAACACAAACCGGTACTTTGAGACGCATGACTCTTAGGGAAAGTATTCTGAGTTGAAATCCCAGCTGTTGTAATTGGACCAATTCAGAAAGCTCGAGAGCTCCGTAGTGACATCGTGCATGGCTTCTGCATGTACTGGCTGCGGGTCGAGTACTTGGTCCAAGATGCGCGACAGATTCTTCTCGGCCTCTTTGCACGTGCGGTAGTTGCCGTGGCCGGGGCGTGCAATCCAAGAAAGCATCGATACAAAAACGCTCAGATTACGGATGAGCTCGGCCCTTGGAAGCACGACATGATGCGGACCTGGTTGATGAGACTGATGCAACAGCTCAAGCAGAAGGACACCGGAGCTGGGAACTCCATATGTAAGAGCCTACCACGTCCGAAAGTCAGCAACTTGGGTCACATCACAGTGAAAACAACAGTTGCAGAAGGGCCGTAGTCCTTACGATCCACGAATAATGTCTGTCAAGGTCGACCATGGCGCTACGTCTTGTAGTCATGCTGTTGACGATGCTCAAGACCTGGCGCGAAATGTCACACAGTGCCTCCTGGCCTGTATTGGTGTGTTTGATAAGAGCCCGCTGAATAAGAAAACACGTGTAAAGATAGTTGAGGTAGAGGTACAGGATGGTCAGCCATCCATTGTGATCGTCACTGGCGGAATTTCGATCATAGCGAAGATGATCAGGCGTTGACTCCCACACCGCACGCACGCCTTCGAGGATTTCACTAAATGAGCGAGACACGGTAAGCAAGACCAACCATAAGAAAAGCATGAATCTGCGATCGATGTTGTCAACTCACTTGCACTTTCGAATCAGATCCTGGCCTTCACTACATCCCAACGCAATTTCCAGGGTCTGGTCTCTGTACACCGAGAGCTGGAACCGGATCCGCCCCATCGACATTCGGTTTCGGGTCCCGTTCGTACTCCAGCCGGCACTGTCAAGCTCTGAAATTGCTTGGTTGAGCTTCTCACCGCCTGCCACGAGGTCATCGTCATTGAGATCTAGTGGAGGGGTCAATGTACAATAACGGTAGTTGAGGAGAGGCGGACGACCAAGGAATGTAGCAATGGTCTTGTCCATGTAAAATGCTGATGTGAAGCAGCACCGTCGCCATTGCTTCAAGAAGAAAGGTGAATCGTCTGAGTTTTCGGCATCCACGTGTAAACCAGCAGCGTAGATGGTAGCTGTGAGATCTCCGAGTCGACGCCACGCTTGATAGCCTAAGAAGAAGTCGTCAGCTTTTCTCTTTTTTTTTTTTTTTTTTTGGCACTATTTCGCACCGCGAGCTCTAGCAGCGAATGGACATATCACAATAGGACAGAGTGGTCATACTTGAATCACCATATAACTGTGTCCGCAACATGACATCGTTGTACTGCAGACAAGCCAGCATCTCGTTTGCCATGGACGCCTGATCACAAAAATTTAAGCAAATGGTGCTCGCCAAGGTCAACTGTTCCAGCAGTCGATCCTTATCTCCATGATCACCTCCGTCCGCCACCAGAGGATCATTCTCTGGTGTGACTACCACCTGCTGTCCGCATAGACTGAAGATATTTCCCAGTGCTTCCCAACGAAAATTACTTCCCGTAAAAGAGGCGCAGTACTCATCAGCGGTCATCGATGAATGGGTCAGCAAAGCCCTTGACGAATTTTGACAGAGCTGGGTTGCCAGCCTTTGTAATTGGGAGATTAAGTCATTTGAGTTGAAACCACTAAATATCTCGTCAATTGAATCCAACATGGCATCGACCACGATTTTCGGTACCACGACATTGCAGGATCGAAGGTAGAATTTCTCGATCAGTTGTCGACGAAGCTTGAGGTTATGCAGGAAGAGCAGAACCTCGGCTCCAGATTGTACTCGATCTGGCTCGACGACGAGTACAGGGAGAGGTTCGGTATTCTCGCCTTGCTCAAATGCAATTTCATTGCGATGCTCAGCAAGCACTGCCGTGAAGCTCGTAGAGCCCATATATCCCGGCAACGCCGAGGGTACTTCTAAGGGGGCATAGATCCGTCCACCTTGTAGTGATCCAGATCCAGGACTCGATGCACTGGCAAATGATCATTAAGATAAATTCTCAGAATTTGCAGCCTCGCCGGATGACCGGATGAACATTGTTTGTGACGAGAGCTTACTTGGATGTGGGCTGACTCGTCAATCTTTTCGCAGGCGCAAGACTTGGTCTTGGAACCGCAATATTATTGTCCGATGCCCTGCGCCGAGTCATCGGTGCAGGATGGTAAAAACATCGGTCATTGATCTTTTTGGCTACACATCGACGGCACACTGGCCGTTCATGGTCGCAGCGCTGCTTTGCTCGCCGACACGGCTCGCACGACTGCAGCGTGCCATTTCGCCGTGTGGTCGGGGGTCGTGACCGGCGGCGGTCATCGGCATTACTCATCGCGTCCGTTCAAGATGACTCCATGTGAACAACGCTCTCAGCTGCGGAGTTTCGCGCGACGAAAAGTAATATTTGAGCAGTTTTTTCCAAGGACGGGGGTAGCTCTGGCAGAACTTGTCACTGCGCCGAGGCAAAAATGGGCAATGTCTCATTCGTACTTGGTCTTTGTGGCCTGAGCCTTCAGGCTTTTGGCCTCTTTGATGCGCTTCGCCGCTTACTACTTTTGTCCTGCACATTACCTACACAACACACAGTCTAGCAGTAACTACACCTTTGATTGAATTGGGAAACATCATGAATCATATCTGATACTGTATCCGAGAAGGACTGAATTCGATCTAATCATACCTGGACTGCACATTGAGTTTCGTAATTACTCTTTTCCGGACTCTTTGAGTTCCATGGACTCGTCGGCTTCCCAGAAGCCTGGCCGAGCATGCCTATTTATGGCATTTCTTTGAGTCGGATGAGATCTCTTTCACAGAATTGAGGTCGTCTGTTTGCCCTTTCATACTGTATGCTTGCTGAGCACTGTACTTAGCTCAATACATACATTTGACATATTGGGCTTTGATCTAGGGAGGTTCATTCAGTTGCACGGATGACCCCTAGTTCCAGGCAGAAATTCTTTATTACAAATTGCTCGAGGTATTTCCGAGTCTTTGAGATGATCGTTCTACGTCAATGGAAGCTTCTGATTCATTGCGATGCTTACTTCGATTTCTGTTGCGTTTATCTTACTGGCCGAGTCATTTTCCTGTGATCAAAGAAGCCGTCATTGGGAGCCCCGAGATCAATGACAATAATGGCTTCTTTCCTACCATCAGTTGATCTCAATTCCAATGTCAGGCTTTCTTTGTACGATAGCGCTGGATTTGAAGCAGCAATAATATAAAGATGGTAGTTCCCGAAACGCTCTGTTGTGTTCCTTCTCAACTATCCAAATCGGCCAAGGCTTGAACATTGACCTGAACAAATAATCTATCCAACGTTTCTTTTACGCACTCTAAGCAGAGGGAACCTTGAACCGCCATCAGTCGCAGCACTTGTCCAACAACCCTCGGCGCTACCGTCCACTTCGAAAGCCAGAAATCCTGCCACGAGCAGCAAGTTTCCAAAATCTCTGCTTTCAAGAACACCGGTAAGCTCATCAGAGGTCCAACACAACAGATGGCTCGTAGATCTCTTCCACGACTTTCTGCACCCAATTTCTCGATCGGAGGTTCTGACTCTTCAGACTCATCAGGCTCCGAATCTCCAAAAAGTATGAATCGGTCATACCTTTCTTCTACAGATGGGGCAGGAGACGGCATTGACAATCCAAGGGGCGAGTCGTCCTTCTTCCAAATCACTGACTCTATACAGAATTACCATCGTGAGCAAGCGACAGGTGCTCGCCTGCTCGCCTGGATTCTTGACCCCCAGCTGGCGTGCCCAATCTCCATCTCAGCATACTCCTGGGGTCATATCCAGAATACCGAATGGGATATGAACGAGCAGCCAGATGAGCTTCCCTCGGTCTATTCGGGGTCGAACTTCCTTCCTGTCGACTTACCTGGCATGCAAAGGTCCAGAACCGCAGCGAACCCTTACCAATCCCTTGCCATCTTCAAGTACCCGCCGTCTCAGCCATTCAACTCTTGTCGCTGGATCGGTCGTATCGGAAAGGGTGTCATCTTCCTCGAAGACATCAGTCGGCCTGAAAAGCTCGGCTACCCTTTCATGTCTGAGATGACGAAGGCCATCTATGAAAGGCATTTTGAGCTTGGTACTCTTAGGTATGTCGTCATCTCACATGTGGCTAACTCCGTCACCCGAGGCTTCATCATAGGTGTTTTGCAACATTCGAATAATCAAAATCCCCAAGTTTGGGAGGCAGACACTCCCGAATTCCAGATCTTGCTTGGGACGCCTCTGGGGAAAGTCATTGCATATTTAATGTTGAACGCGTTTCCACGTGGATCTCGACGGATTGCTCGCATCGCCCTTTGGTTCGACGATAAGTCTTGGCCGCACTTGAGATTCGATATTGTGAGAATTCAAAGGTGAAGGTGGAGTGCGCTAGTCTCCCCTGTTCATCGGTATGTATTGTTTCAATCCTTTTCCCATCAACAACGCGCATCTTGGGCATCTCTTTCTCGTCCGATTCTTTTTGGGGGAGTCATTCATCTATGAATTTAAACAAAAACACGATGTCACTTGACTTAACCTGGCATAGTAGTACTGCGTAAGTGCGTAAGTGCGCAGTAGATAGAACCATGGATCGCTGTGGTCGATGATGGGGTAGTAGTGTCCGAGCAGCAAAAAGAGCAAAAGGTAACGTAAGTGATAAGAGTGAGATTCGAACTCACGCCCCGTAAACGAGATCAGGAATTTATGCTAAGGTAGACCTTAACCTGACGCCTTAGACCAACTCGGCCATCTTACCAACTTGTTGAGAATAGTCGCCCACATTGTTAATATGATCCTGAATGACCCATTTAGTCCATTATTTGCCACTTTCGCAACCCGACCGCGCCCGGTGAATTTAAACGATTCTCAAAGTTGTTGCCTGCTTTGGAAAGTGTTTACCAGCTTGATAGAGGGACTTCATGTCAAGTTCAGCAAACTGAAGTCGTTTGTACTGGTCAGCCGCTGCTATTGAAGTAATGGAGTTGGGACTAAACAGCTGCCCGTAGCACGGTAGTACTGCCCGTGCGACTCAATGCATGGCTAGTGCGAATATATAGTTCCTGGACTCGAGGGATGGGGTACTTGTCCGTTGCGACCGTCGGGCAGTATGTCGAGACACGAGTTGAGTACCGCCTGTCTCTCAAGGCAAGACGTGGCATAGCAGCCGATATGGGCCATGAGTAGTTGAGTACACCCAGGAAGAAACGTAGGTGGAACTTGGGACACTTGTACAGCAAGCCTACCACCTAGAGAGCCAACGTCCACTGGTACGATAGGTAGTTTCTCAGAATTTCTGTTTTATAAATCTCCATTATATCTTATTGCTGTTGCTTCAGTACTTTCGGATTCAGCCCGCCATTACTCTTCGTAACACGGCGTTCATCCTCGAGTAAATACACTTGTCCGCCGCCGTAGACGTGACCCTATCAATGGTGCGTGCTTCCCGTGACGACTTCTCACTGCCCCAAAGATTGATTGCCGGCGATATCTCGAGTTCCAATTTGGATTGTATGAGAACCAATGTCCAGCAACTGTAGATCCAGACCGCCATCGATGGACACAGCGTGCCAGCGATGATAAAGACTTGAGAAGAAGAAGAAGAAGAAGAAGAAGAAGAAGAAGAAGAAGAAGTAACCAAGGTCGATTGGGTCATGCTGATCCTGGGTCCATGGAGCCCTTGTTCTAATCAAGCCACGAAAGAAGGACCTTGTAGAAGGCTTCTGGATCCTGGAGGAAAGGCGCGTGACCTAGCCCAGGAAACATGTGGAACGTGCAGTTGGGAATCATCGCAGCCGCTGCAGGCCCCAGCTCAGCATAATGACCTAGTTTGGCGACAACCTCGGGGGGCGATTGCTGCTTTCCAAGGGCAGTCACATCGGCCTCTCCGACCATAAGATAGGTTCGGGTCTTGAGCAGGGGGAGATGGTAGAAAATCGGCTGGCTGAGCAAGGCGTCGGTGACGAGACCCATCACGTACGCATAGTCTGAACCATAATCTCCCGCATAGATGTTGGCCAGCATCTGAACCCACTTATCGTACTGGGGCTTCCACTCAGCACCGTGGAAATAGCTGGCCTGCTCATACGCCTTGAGCGTTGTGAAGTTTTGTGTCAGTTGGCCCTGGTAGGTCGCATCTACGGGCACGTATGGGACGCCCTTGGCAACCCAGTCCTCCAGACCCAAGGGATCGACGAGGAAAAGCTGATCAACATTGTCGGGATACATGAGCCCGAAGCGGGTGGCGATCATACCGCCCATTGAATGCCCCATGACGGTGGCTTTCTCAATGCCAAGTACATTGAGCAGGCTCTTGATGTTCTCCGCTTGCTGATGCACGTTGTAGGAGTAGCCCTGAGGCTTGCTCGACTTGCAAAAGCCAATGTCATCCGGCATGATCACTCGGTACCCAGCAGCCGTCAATCGACGTGCAGTGTCTGACCAAGTCACACTGCAGAAATTTCCACCATGAAGCAGCACAGCGACCTTGTTTTTGTCATGTTCACACGGCGCAGGAACATCCATGAATGCCATGGTCAGGTTTTGACGCTGATTGTAAAAGTTGTACAGCTTCACGGGCCATGGGTAGGGGTAATCGGATCCGTAGAGATTGTCCGGCACATCGCCATCATAGATCGTGCCAACTGGGTCTGGGCTTGACTGCGCCAGAGCAAATGATGCATACGATGATATGGCCGAGATGGCGCTGAAAGCTGAGAAGATTCTCATGGCTGTTCGTTGTGTGTGAGCAAACAGCTGCTCCGTGGGAATCGAGAGGGAGGAGGGCAGAGTAGAAGTGCGCGAAGAACCCCGTTACGTCGGACGATGCATTGTTATATGTAATGGATTGGGCCAAGGTCGACCACTAGCTGAGCTCCTTTTGCTTCCAGATCCAATGCCGACTGCCGACTTGTCCCTTCAACTCATCCTTGAAAAGACCGAGCGTTAGCTTCTGTGGAGGTCACGTAAATTACTTGACTTGGGGTCTTGGTCCGGAAGTGCACTGATGGGGTTAGTTGAATTTAGCGCATTGCGGTGCTCCGCCGATGCAATATTTCTCCGAGTCTGAGCGTGAACTGCCTCGCTCATCCGAGCCAAAGGAGTAGGATCACGATGTTATTGAGAGCTGTCGTTTGTTGGACGATGGGAATTGCTGTTCGTTAATGGGACACCAGTGAGTTGCGACTGGCGTGTTTATGAATTGATCCCCGGTAGTCTCGAAATCAAGATCTGGCCAAAAGATACTCGCTGCCGGGATACTGCGAGTGCCACTGTCAACAAACAACTCGGCGCTATGGATGACCCTGCACGATTCGGATTGAAAGCGTTGGCTGACAGTCTGGCCCGTCATTTACCGCGACCAACATAGTTCGACGGGCATCAATAATACAGATAATACTCAATACTCAATAGCATTGTTGTCTATGAGACGGCAACGTTGTGTGCAGCGGCACGTAAAGCTACTGTCGTCCGTTGTTTACTCCTTTCTACTTAGCGTCGCCCCCAAAACGGCGAGTGCAGTCAGGCACTACTCGCAATTGAGTTAGTGACCAATTTAGTAATTGCAACTTCGCTCGGAGCGCACGGGCAAACTGTAATTTCGGCGACAAATCGGACGGTCTATTGACTGATCCACATGGTACCCCGGTCACTTAGCTACATGACTCTAACACGTTTACATTGCTAGCAGAGCCCGATGAATCCGCACACGGAGCGATCAAAGGATCGCAGAGCGTGTTCGAGACCCCATTAGCTTGATCTGGCTTCGCCACCCTGCGCACCTAGAGGACTTAATTTCCGTGACTCTTTTGACACGACTGGAACTGGCAGAATGTGCGAGTATCCAGGTGAAAAGGTTCTGCGAAGCTCCTTTGAAAGCATAGTAGCTTTCGCCCATATGACATGGTTTGCGATGCGACAGAGCTAGTCGTTGGGTTGGCAATGGCGATAAATCCTGCCTGATCTCGCTCCAACTCCTGCATGCAGTGTTGGAGCCAGGGTCTTGCAGTACATGCACGTCTTCTGTTCTTCAGTCGCGATTCCATGATGGTAGCCAACGAGCCCGGTCCCAGCAGGGCCTCGGAGATCCAGGTACCTACCATTATCTTCCTCATCATCATGCCCCTCTTCGTTGTGACCCGAATATGGTCTCGTGTCAAGACAAAGTCAGGCCTGGGCTGGGATGATTGGACAATTCTGGCTTCTGCGGTGCGTTGTTAAGCTCATGTTGGACACCCTTAGTGCAAAGATCTAATGACCCCTCATACACCTAGACATGCGCGATCGTGGTTATGGCATTGATGCTGGCATCGTGTGCCTATGGCTTTGGTCAACATATCAGAAACCTCGCCAAACCAAATCGATTGATGACCCTAAAGGTACGCAGCTCACTGAGTAGACGCTGTTCTGACAGCATTTGGCAAGACCCTCAAGTTCGCTAATGTCTTTGCCATTCCTGCAGCTGTTTTTCATCAGTCAAGCTTTCTACAAGCTTACAATCAATTTGACGAAGATGTCCATCCTATTACTCTACCTACGAATATTCATCCAGCGATGGTTTCGCATAGTTTGTTTCACCCTCCTGATCATCATTTCTTGCTACATGATAGCTGCACTGTTTGCGTCCATCTTCCAATGCACGCCAGTCGCGCGAGCCTGGGACAAGAGCATTGCAGGACACTGCATCAACATCACCACCAATTGGTACGCCAATGCGGGATTCTCCATTGCGACTGACCTTATGATATTGGCGCTTCCAATGTATCCCATCTATCACTCGAAGATGGCTGTGAGACGGAAGATCGCGTTGATGATGGTCTTTGCCTTTGGCATGTTGTATGTGCCAATTCCCCTCCTAATTCCTGAGCATCCGTCAAGTTCTTCCTTGAGACGAGACTGACTTCTGTGTTTCAAAGCGTGGCTGTTACGAGCATATTGCGTATGCAGACTCTCGATTTTTCGTCAACCAGCCCTGATACGACCTGTATGTCTTCTCCCGAACTATTCAAAGACCTTTCTCATATGATATTTTCGGCCGAGCTAAACGATGATGTCGCAGACGATCTCACTTCCTCCATGTGGACAATTGTCGAAGAGAACATTGCAATCATCTGTGCGTGTCTGCCCATGATGTGGGCTCCACTGGCCAGGCTCTTCCCTTCATGCCTCTCAATCAGCAGAAAGACGGAAAATTCAATGAGCCTTTCTGCTCGAACCCCCAAGGCGAGTCGTGCATCGCAGTCTCACAGGCACTGGCAGAGTCATAGTGATTCTCAAGATAACAGAAGCAGTAATCACCTAGTGATTCCTGACGATTCTCGATACCGTATTTCAGGTGAAAGTGAAGATCGGATTCTCCCCTTCGATGGGGCGGGGGAACCGGGGGACTCAGACAAGCAAGGCATACGAAAGGTCGTGCATTATCAAGTCTCTTCTACGAATAAAACCTGAGAGCATTTTGCTTCATCCTTCTTTTGTCGTGCCATAATAGGCGATAATTCTAGACCGTCAATCTATACAGCTTTCCCAGGTTGCACAGCAAGACTCCACATGCAGTCGATGGAAGTCTCAGAGCCACCCCGATTATCCCCTGCCTTGAATCGAGGCTGCTCTAGGCATCGCACCACGCCCTGATAAATAAATTCTGGCAGATGAAGTACTTGCATTATCAGTACTGGGTGACTGATGACGGATTTTGGCCCCCTTTCCTCTTCGCGACTGAGTGAGAGGTACTGCTCAATGCAAGGGATGGTCACTCAATTTCTTCACGTGATGCCACAAAGAATCCTCGTGAAGTCACCCTCATATGTCAAGGCGTTTCTCTCTGTAGGCTTGAGAATTTCATTCCTGTCCATCCAGCCTTGGACAGTCACCTTGGTCGCTGTATCAGCATGGGGTCATTCAAGATCATCGAGCATGTCCTGGCCGGGCAGCACATCCGTGAACATCCCCATACTCTCGGCACGGGCCGTCAAGAGGGTCTTTTGCACATTGCAATCAAACAGTACATCCCGATCGACCGACCAGAGCCGGCTCCCGACAATGCGATTACGATCGTCGCTCTGCATGCCAATGGGATTCCGAAGGTACGGTCCACCATATCGTGACATTCTCCGAACCGAACGTTCGATGACACGCTAGTGAATGCAACACTCAGGAACTATACGAACCACTCTGGGAGACCTTGTATGATCATTTGAAGCAAAAATCAATACCACTCCGCGGAATTTGGATTGCCGACACTGCCAATCATGGTGCCAGCTACGTTCTCAACGAAGACAAACAGGGAGACACCAGTACGTGGTATAGGCCTGAAATCATTCTGAGATGGGCGCGTTGTGACACTGTATAATGACTTGCTTTCAATGCGCAACAGCAAATCTGTTTGATCACTCACGCGACCTGCTGCACATGGTCAACTGTTTCCGAGACGAGATGCCACGTCCCCTCATTGGTATTGCCCATAGCATGGGTTGTTCGCAACTGTTCGTCGGATCCCTTGAGTCTTCAGAATCCTTCTGCTTTCCATACACCAAGTCAAACTTCAGCTGCCAGTGTCTTCAGCTTACATTCTCATCACAGCGTGAATCTTGCCACCATACACCCTCGACTTCTTTCGACGATCATACTCGTTGAGCCCGTCATATTCGCCGATGGATGGCATCCGCCGTTCAATCCCGCTCGATTTGCGGCCAAGCGCCATGATCTCTGGGACTCACGAGAGGCAGCGGAGACAGACCTTCGTCAAAGCTGCCGTAAATGGGACCCGCGAGTCGTCGAATTATTCCTTCGCTATGGAATTCGGCCAGTCCCGACTCTATTATATAACAATGAAACAGAACCTGATTTACCTCCGGGGGCAGTGACTCTCACCACTACCAAATACCAAGAAATGTGGCAGTACAATCTTGCGAATGTGGAACCCGAATCAGCGGGTTTAGATCACCTTCTCTTACCGGACTGGGATACAAAATTCGCTCGTCCTCTGGGGTATGCTCGACCTGAGTGTTGCGCAGCCATGCGCAATTTGCCCAGTCTTCGACCAAGTGTCCTGTTTGTCTATGGTAGTCGCAGTCCATGGGCAAGTCCTGATCTACAAACGCTGCATGTCAGCTCCACTGGCGTTGGCACCGGGGGAAGTGGTGGTATAGAACATGGGAAGGTGAAAAAAGCTGTCCTCGAGAAGGGGTCACATGTGCTTCTCCTTGAAGATGTCGACTGGAGTGCTCAAACTGTCGCGGAGTGGGTGCAGCAGTGGTTCCAGGGCTGGCTTGCGGACGAACGCCTGCTGGCCGGCTATCAGAGCAAACGGTCAGAGCCTGGGATGCTGAAGGCCTCAGAGGTAGGTCTGCAAATATCCATAGCAAAGGCCCCTGGCAGCAGACCCAAGGAAAAGCTGTAGAGCTGTGATGATGATCAGTCTCTGGTTTCTGATAGCCAATAACTACCGGTCGAGTAGGTTTATTCAGATCGAAGACTCAAAATGAATACTGGAAATTAACGGATAGATCTGAGTATGTTGGTCCAGCGCTTTTTAATCAATCATATTCGTCCTGTCGTCCCGAGAACGACCGAGAAGGTGACCTGTAAATTCAAAACAGTGAATTCCAAGATCCGGCATGGGACCGATAATCACATGCACATCATACCATCTGCGTACCAGCTTGCTCGAAGTAACGTCATTCTCTCTCTTCTCCTTCACCTCCTCCTCCTCCTTCTTCTTCTTCTTCAGGTCCATTGCTGCCCCAAAGGTTGATCCTCGGTGAACTCCCATGACTCCATCGCTCAATCGAATAATGAGAGATCTTCGTTTAGAGTCCCTTTTCCAGACTGATTCGTGGACAGGTACACAGTCAAGAGGTGCCTGAAATTCCTGGTTTCCATCCACACGCTTGTTGGGGGCCACCCGGGGCCTGATGCAAATCCTTTTGCTGACCCCCGCGAGAAGCCCACTCGGCGAAAAGAATAAGCGCCTCGCCAACGACTTTCCATTCCTCAGATGGTACTAGCTTGGCGCCCCAACTCATTGGCCTGCTGCAATTGGGGCGGCGAACTGCCACAACGATCAAACTTTCCCTTTGGAGCGATCTTCCACTGGGTTGGATGTTCTTCTCGCTGGGCCCCGCGATGCGTTGATGGGTCTGCATGATTGCGATTAACCTAATGGGCGGTTCCGCGATAAGTCTTTGGTTGACGACTTGGCAACGAACTTTTCGTCCGTCGTGAAGATTTCTGTTGTCCGCAACCTCGAGGTCACATACGTCGGGTCAAAATCACGGGATCAGCGTGCTTCGGAGGTGGTGGTCCATCTGTAGAACCCGGTGTTCATCAAGCTTGTGCCGCCAGAAGAGTCTCCTTCCTTTCCTCCTTCCTACTTACCTTCCTGCGCAACAGCACGGCGGTTCACAACTTACGAACTGAGCCGCTTACCTCCGGTGCCGTTTCCTTGCAACAGAGAATAGCTCGCACAACATACCAAATTTTACGATCGCATCATTCTATTATGTAGCATGACTGTGACGCTGGACTGAGATTAAATTCTCTCCTGGTTCAAGAACTCTCTGCGAGAGAACCTCACAGGGTCATCACATCTGCTGGTAGTATCTGGGACCAACTCTACCTGTCTACCAAGGACTAGTGACGAACATGGTTGGCGTACCAAAGAGCAAAGGATGCCAAATTTGTCGCCAGCGGCGGGTGAAGGTAATTATCTCTTCCGGTAACAATATCCATCCGCTTGACACAACGATGACTTACCAAGTGGTTCCACTCGTCTATAAAGTGCGATTTACTCCGCCCCGAATGCACTCAGTGCAGGCGTTATGGGGTCGACTGCCCGGGCTACTTTCGTCCCCATAAATTCATGGACGAGGGTCCGCAGCTCCGTCAGCGATACAAGAAAAAGAATTCAGACCCGGGCGACTTGATCCCAACAGAATCGATCGATGAGCGTATAAGTCCATCTCTCGTCACAAAATCGGTGGGGAAACAACAACCCGTCGTTTTCGGCTCGTTCGTCCTCTCAGCTTTCACAAGATGGTTTGGACTCAATCGCTATCGAGTCCAGATGCCATGGACAGCATACGTTGCCCAGCACGGTGGCCAAAGTCCGGCATTTGACACGGCCGTACTCAGCATCAACACTATGTTTCTGTCTCATCGACACCAGAATCGGGCTTTGCAGCAGTCTAGTCGTGAAGCATACACTAAAGCATTGCGACTCTTCAGCGGCCGAATATGTGACGCGAACATGATGAAATCCACTGAAAGCGTGGGCATCACTATCATTCTGAGTCTGTTCGAAGCATATTCCAGGACCAACCCAGATTCATGGGCTCACCATGCATCAGGGACTGCATTACTGATGGAGCATCGTGGTCCCAAGGCGCACCTGGTCGGATTCGACCGATGCCTCTACCTTTCTTTCCGAAGTTTCCTCGTCGCCGAGGCGTTTCTCCGAGGAAGAAGATGTCTCTTCGAACTCCCCGAATGGCAAGCGCACATTGACCAAATCCGAGTAGAAGACATGTCGACACCCAAGGTTGACGGACCCATCTCTCTATTCATCGATCTACAGGATCGAATCTTCAAGGAAGTTGTCAAAGTCCCGGGTCTTCTTGTACGCGCCCGCGAACTTCATGCATCCGACGAGCCCATACAATCCCGAAACTCCTTGTCCTCGCAAGCTTATCGCATCAGTCAAGCTCTTCACACACTCTCTGCGCATCTTCGAACCGCTGCCGCCTCACAAAGTTACGAATGGTGCCGGGGTAATGGCGACAGTACCGCCATCAATAAAAACGATCACTCCTTCATCGGCCCTATACCAACGACATTCCCACAGGAATTTGCAAACAGTGTTCTTCGTGGTGTTGATCAATGTCAATTCATCCTTTGCCTCCTGCTCGACTACATCGAAAAAGAATCGCAGGGTGTACCGCAAATTCAACCATCCAACAGTTCAAATGCGAATTCGATTCACCGGCTTCCGTTCCGCTTTGTCTCAAAGCTTGCTTCCTATCAAGGGCCAGAAGATGGGGCAGCTACTGGTGCAGATGGTGCTGAGAAGTGCTTACCATCTCCGGATAAGTGGCTGGATCTCGTGGCGGCATCAATGGGGCTTGAAGCGTTTGACATTGTAATTACTGGATGACTTTCCCATTGCAAGATGAATTAGGTCCACTGAGACCTTGACCTGAGGAGGCCTCAAGTCTATACCTACATATCGTCAATGTACAGTATCGTACACTATGTTCAAGCAAATTCACGACGCATGACTCTAATCGCCCTATAGCCTTCGGCAATGACAAAGTACAATAATGTCTAGAACAGATGTTTGGAACAAAAGATACTTTTATAGACTCGTGGAACTAAGTATCATATCGACATGGAAAAAATCGGGCGGAAAGAAGCGCCTCAAATTTGAAAGCGAAAAAATTTGACTCGGGACGTGGAAGACGGATCGAAAGACACAACAGCCATATGCTGCGTCGAGTTTGATTCCTGGATACATCGGAAAGCCCTGACGACTCCTAAAACACGACGCCACCAAAACGCCACCCGGAAAACATGGTTGGCCCAAAACGCCGCGAGGAAAAAAAAGACTCGCAAACTGAAGCCCCCTTAGACATGTACTTGGTGCTGCGATCGAAGATGGAGAAGAAATGGCATTAACGTTGAGCGGTCACGAGGAGAGAAACAAAAGGGTATGCATAAGAGTGCCCGTCGAGGACCGGAAGAAGTGAAAGAGATCAGCCGCAGGAAGATGCTGAACTGCCCGCGCGCCGAGTTTGGAATGGTGAGGCACATCTAGGCTGCAGTGCGAGTAACCCGGACCGGGCTGGAGGTGCTACCAACACGACCGCTAGGCTTTCGCACCCCACGGGACTCGCCCTTGTTGCTGTCAGTAACCCGTCGTGGGCTAGTCCGCACCTTGGTGACGGAGATCGTTCCACTTGCACTCTTGCGACTGGACGGTGTCTTGGGCGCCCCCGTGTCCGCCCAGTTCTCTCGATCCTCGTGGATCTCATCGGTCAGCGTGTAGCTGGCCGTGACTGTCGCGGAGTAGCTGATTGAGCGGGAGGTTGTGGTGTTCACAGGAGACCGAGATGAACGCTTGGCCAACTTGCGGAGTTGAACCTCCTCGTCACTCTCAACACTGTCGTTGCTCAGACGGTGACCGCGAGGAGTTCGCGTTTCCGTCTGTTTGTGGGTCTCATGCTCGGTGGTCAAGGAACCTGAAGTGGTCCGGGCATAAGGGTGATGGCGCGAGTCCTTGCGGTGGGACTTGCGAGGTTGCCCTGGCGTCGGGGCGGGAAGATTCTCTTCGTGGTACGAGGCAGTACCCTCGTTGTGATCGATCTCCCCGAGCGCAGCGCGCTTTGACTGACTGTTGGTTGGGGGAGTGGAGACCACACCGTTGCTCGCACGCTTCTTGGTGGAAACACGAGCCGGGGTGACTGGAGCGGATTGTGCGAGCTTCTCGCGCATGCTGTCCTCGAACCACCACTCTCGGAATGCCCCTTGGTTCAGGTGCAGCCAGTGTTGCTGAGGCCCGACAACCATACCCGGGCGCATGAAACGCATGAATGCGATCACCTCGTTCGCCGTGAACCCATACCGATAGATAAGGTAGGCACCAATCAGGCAACCAGTTCGTCCCAGACCAGCCTTGCAGTGAACTGCAATTCCCTTCTTTTGATTGTGATCATGTCGTGCGCCATCTTGATGAATCGCCGAACGAGGGTCAAAGGAGGGCAGGTCCCATCCTCAAAGATCATGTCGATATGCTGAATCCCCAATGCCGTAAAATATGAGGGACTGTAGAGCTCCGAGTTCAAGCGAACCACGAGCCCAATATCGCGAGAGAAGAAATGCGCGAGAACGTTCTTGAACGGCAAGGGCAGTTTGGATGAGCCGATCTCGGATAGAGAAGAAGGAAGGGCGTCATATTCAGGCGTGTTCATAGGTACTGGTGTGATGGGTTGGTGTTGGGGAGAAGCAAAAGCGAGGAAGTTGGGAGTCACCCAGTTGAAGTCACCCATGTCGACTCTCTCGAATTTCTCGTATCTAGAGTAGGGTGTTAGTGAGTGGTGACGAGGCACACGGCTCATCGCCTACAGCCACACATAGAAGGGGTTTAGCGTACTCTTCAAGGTTAAAGTCGCGGAGTCCGCACAGACCCTGCTCTTTAGCCTTCCAGACTCCATAAACCACATCTTGGATGTTCAAAATGAAATCTGCCTGGCTGTATCCAGCGTCCCGGAATGGCATGTAAGGAGGATCTGCCTGCGCGATCGGAGCAAGCGCCAAGTGAGGCGGCCAGGACTGGATCAGGACCATGTAGCACGCCACGAGGCAGGCCGCATTGGCACGGCTGCGGGCGTCTGTCTTGCTGTAGAACACGACCGGGCGATCGCTGTTGGCGGGATCGCCGAGGATTTCGTGGAACAGGACAGCAAATCGGTAGAGGTGACCAATGTGGAGAGGGCCAAAGTCCGCATGGAACGCGTTGTACAGCAGAGTGTCATCGACGGTGAAATAGACGGGAGATCGGCGCTTGCTAGACGGAGTGGCGGGTTGCGCACGAGCAGACCGTTTGCTGGGTGACTTGGGCTGCTCGAGAGGGTAAGGGAATAGGGTTCGGGAGGAAGGAGTCGAGTCATAAGATGCTAGGTAGAGGCGATCTATGATGGAGCGGTGTTAGATTTCGGGTCATATGGTTCTTGTTGTCATTGTTTTGGTTTGGATGTTGTTTGTTGTGGTTGCGGTTGGAGATGCGGCGGAGACGAGTCACAAGACACGAACCTTGGATATACTCGATCATTTGGCCTGCATGGCCAGCGTGGGAAGTCATGACGCCGTGGTCCTTGGAACGTTTGCACAGAACAAGGCTTTTCGGAGAGGGAGAGTAGTTGAGAAAGACTGGAGCACAATCTGAAAACTCGGGCAGAGGGTGTTTCCTGACCGATTGATCGTTCGGCGCAAGTTACTGGTAACGGGGGAACGGTGGAGTCGTTTAGCAGCGCATCATTGAACTGTGAACCAGAAATTGTGTTGTGGAAGCCTGTAAAATGTCGAGGCAATAATGATACGATGTGATATGAGCAATGCAAGTGATGCACTTGAAAGAGGGGGAGTGACGAGGAATCAAATGGAGCGGGCAGCAGAAGAATAATATCTGATGGTGTTGGGGCAGCTGCCATGCTACGCTAAGCGGCTGTTATGTTGTGCTGGGCTGCTTTGGGACTAGTGCCCCTTGTTGACTCGACAACCAGCCTTCTGCCTGAGGGCAAAACAACTCACCGCGCCTCTAACAGTTTGACCTTATTGCCCAGGGGCATCCGAGATTCTATCATCATCTCGTAGGTGGAGTGCCAGAAGGGCTGCCTAACCCTTGAAGAATGCAAACAATCCTCATGATGTTGAAGACACCTGATGTGGGCGTGCGTTAGGGCCGAGATCCATACACTCATTAGAATGTAGCTCACGATGTGTGGGCACTCGCTCTGAATGACTTCCTTCTCAGTCAGCCTACAAGCTGAACAATCGCAAGTAGATATGTACCGATCACCAAGCATCGTGTGCTCTTTTTCTTCTTAGAAATCAACTTCTATTTCCTCCGGGGTGTTACATAAATATGTTTACACACTTCCAAACTCCCATCCAGTTCCACTGCCTTATCGCGCATCGATGCCGATCCATCTCTACCTATCACTTGTGCAATAAATGTACCTTGCACAGACTGTCATAGATAGGGTAGTGACGCATCCTGAAGATGACATAGAGAACATGACCTATTTTCCGTCATTCTTTGTTTTGCCTCGTCTACATATGGATTTTCCAACATTCTCCATAGCTTCCGAATCATATCCACCTCCCGCACATGACATATTTACACATTTAGCGGCCGGGCTCAGGGCATCTGGCTTGCTCAAAGTCTTGACAATTCAAAGTAAAGGGTATGTCATCGTGTGAATGACGGTATTCAATCGCAGAGCAAAAGCATAGTTCCCGCAGAAAGACCGACTTACAGATGAATCTTGATTGCTAGCCATGGATCCCACGGAAGATCGGCGATCGAGCCATGCGGGTGGGCACTTTCGACTCGGAATGCTCCAGCCGCATGGGGTGTTTTGTTTACATCAACTTTGAAGATAAGGCGTAACCTTATCAGGTGTCGCCCATCGAAGTCGCCTAGTAATCCTATATCATATATCTATATCGAAGCAGTTGCACAGATTTACAGCAAGATTTTAATTACGCACAATGAGAGCGCAGTAGTGTGTCATCACTGATGGCCGCGCCATTTGACCTGGGTCGTGCACGGCAGGGTTCTTCACTAAGAACTTGAACTTGGCACTTGAGTTAAAAGGAGCTTGACCTAAGAACCAAATTTTGCCACATGTTCGAATGTGTACTACCACTCACTGCAACTTACTGGGCAATTGTTCTGACTTTTGTGGCTAGTTGTTGCTGCGGGTAGGCGTAGCTTCAGGATCGTGCTTTTTGTGGTGGAGGTGAAGTACACAATGTCCTACCTAGGGTGATAAAATTCTACGAGGGACTCGGAGCAACGCGATGGAATTCACGTATATGGTAGAAAACTCATCTACTCTGCTTGTGAAGGTAGAACTGGTATGTCAACTACCTGTGAGATCCATCTAGGTCGTAGGTATGAAAACCTTCTGACATGGCACCTCTAAGCCGAGTGTCTAGGCACTTATTTCAAGGACAATGTCATAGAATTTTCAATCAGTATTCAGATCCATATTTCGAACCAATATCTCATCAATTAGCATATATGCCAAATTTCCCACCTTGATGAGGCAGACTGCACGGAACTTTCGCAGCAAAGTCATATCTGAGAGGAGACGGGTGGTGAGAGCTGTACGAGAAACTCGCATGTTTTTCGGTTCTGGTACGATATAAGGCAGTAGCTTGAGCGCACATTCCAAGAAGGACATAGATCATCAAATATGGCAAGGCAATTGGCAACTCGACAGCTTGTCCAGATGGTGCTGAATTGTGGTGTCAATGAGTGTATAATTGGAGCAGTCATGAAGTATACGTAATGCCTACCTCTTGTCCCGGGAAATCCAGAGTCTGCCTTCAGACGACTCGGTGAGTAACGCATACTTGACGTCCAGGGACGATGAGAGCGACAGAGAACTTCCGTGGAGATCAACTTATTGTAGATCGAGCTTTAGGCCTAGGAAAACAAATGTTGAAGCGAATTCAACAGGTTAGATTGAAGTGACAAAGCAGAAAGCCCCGCGCTGAGGGTGCTTTATCAATACCTTTCCGCCGACATAACTAAACTGATATGCAGGGGTGCGACAATTCCCAAACTCAAGCTAAAGCAACAGGGGTACTTCTGGCTTCTGATAGAAACCATTTTTCGCTCTTTCGCTCGAGCCTACTCGCGGCAAGTTTCGATTACGGATTTAGATCAAATGTGATTACTTGGGAATTACTGATCTGCCACTAGCAGAGCCACTGGGTGCCCTTACCGTTACAGTAGTGGGACATTGGCTCTTGGACCGCTATTTACATGTCACACCAAGGATGCGTCCCTCGCATACTGACCCGCGCGGTGACTTTCCCAGTTTTGTTCGACTGGGAAGTAAATACCTGACTTCCAAACTTCTGCACAGGATAACATTGAAGAGAATAGTTCATTGGCCTATTGTCTTGTCCAGAAGACTTGCCTATGATGTGGCTTCGCACTGAGACTGGGATGCTTTCCTAAGCTTACACAATGCACAGTCATCCCATCACGATCGGCTTAATCGCGACCAAGCTTTCGCTGGCTTCGTTCAGCCCGGGGCTAGCACTCGGAGTCAAAGACACTTGACTCAACAAAGTTAGATGATCTTCAACGATTACATGGTTCTTGAGCTTGCGTGCGGCAACCGGCCCTCTCCCAAGGTGGAGAATGGGGGACGTCTTCTCAATAGATGGCCACAGTCAAGCCCCTGAAGTCTGCAAGAATTGCGATCGACGGAACTACTACTGCGGAGGCCGGATTGACATCTAGAACTTGCCTAAATCCACGGCAATTGCTGGGTTTGTGCAGGTGGTAGGCACCTACTTGAAAATGCCCTGTGCTGGATCTTTGACCTCCGATGATCCCAGTGCCCATATATGCAAGGATCACACGGCTCCAGAGGAGGATGCGAATGCTAATAGTATTGAGTGTATCTTCAGCCCTGCGGCATCCACTTTCCAACGACAGGCATAAGACCTATATAAACACTGGTCTGTCAGGCCCTTTGATTGCCCAGCTCGTCTTGAATCCAGTCGCTCTTTTCGCATCTTCTAATCGTCTGTGTCAGTCGTTTTACTGTGTGTGTGAAAACCGTTTAGCTCGAGTCAATCCTTTCAAGTCTTTTTTCTATCGATATCAACAAAAGCCATCATGAAGTTCACAGGGGTTGCTGTTTCTTTGGCCTTGACAGGCATGGCTTCTGCTGCTGCGCTTCCTCCAATGATCCCGGGTACAGGAAGCCTCACCGGGAGCCTCTACAGCCTCGGCAGTGGTGCGGGAGGACTGCAAGGCGCGAGCGCTGCGGAGGGCGTTTTGGGGGGCATCGGCAAGCGTGAGCCTGGAACTGCTGGCCTCCCCGGTGCTGAGAGTCTGATTGGAGGTCTTGGTGGCCTCGGTGGTGCTGGCGGTGGCTTGCAAGGTGCAAACGGTCTTATCGGAGGGCTCGGTCGTCCCAGCACGGGTGGTCTTAACGATAGGGCCAGTGACACCTCTGATGTTGTTGGTGAGGCATCAAACAAGTCGCGCGGTGAAAAGGGGCAAGGTGCCATTGGAGGAACCCCCATCCCCGGTCTTCCAAAGCGTCAGCTTGCGGCAGCACAACCAGTCACCAACGGAGCTGGAAGCTCGCTCAACGGTGCCACGGGCACCGCCGGCAGTGCAGTTGGTACGGGTGAGAGCACCGGCCAGGGCGCTGCGGGTACGGCTGAGCAAATGGTCGCCAACGCCGGCCACCTCAAGCCCCGATCCGATGTCCTTGGTCTTCTCGGCACAAAGAGCCTTGGCGGAGCTGGTGATGTTATTGGTGGTCTGACTAAAGGTTTCACGGGCGGCTCAGGCATTACCGAGCGTCAGCTTGATGCCATGAGCCCTGTCACTGAGGCTGTCGGCAGTTCGATGAATGGGGTCACTGGCACAGGTGGCAGCGCTGTTGGTACCGCCGAGAGCACTGGCGCGAGCGTTGTTGGAACAGCTGAAAGCTCCGTCTCGGGTTCTGGACGTGGTACGTGTATGCCCAAGCTCAAGGCCATCCCAGGATGCTAACATGTCGGGTCATCGCAGTTGTCAAGCGTCAATTCGGAAACCTTCCCGCCACCACCTCCCAGACTGGCTCTGACCTGATGGCTGGTGTTTCTGGAAGTAAGTACTTGCCATGTTCCCAAGATTCTACTCGCTTTGAATATGATGTAGTAACGTTGGTTGAAAATTAGACCCAAGTGGCATGTACGGTGCTCTCAACAACCTGCGAACTGTGATTAACGCCGGTCAGATCACCCCGAGTGATATCTCCAACATGCCCGAGGCTGTCCAGCGCGTCATTGCCAATCTCGCCGTGGCCTAAATATCCTTTTCTTCCGCCTTGTTGCCAAAAGCTCGTCGCACCGTGAGTCGTGTGCGGTCTGGCCAGACCACTCAGCCGTGATTGCTTCACAGGTTGTTTAATGGTTGTGTCTTCTCTTCATGTTGCCGTTTCACGGGTTTCCTGTGGACGGGATATTGCTGTGTATTATCCTTGGGTTGAACAGCTCGTCCATAATTCTTAAACCATGAGCATATGATGGCTTATCTCCTGAAGACAGATGAATGGCCGCTACTGGCCAAGGCGATCGTTTCATTTGCGAGTCAACATTGATCTGTAGGTTCACTGTAGTCAAGTATCCAGGAAACCAACTGAGGTGCCTCCGGTGTATAAGCCGAAGTGGGACCTGATATACTACAGTGGGCAGGTGGGCTGCGTAGAGTCCAGTACGACATCGATAGCGTCCGAGCCCTCAATACCACCAAATCGGCCGCAAGTCTCCCGAGTCCCGACACGCTGCAAATTGATAGCACCACATTGACACCAACGCCTTTTCGTAATCAGCCTTCGTCCTGACGTGACCTGGATTTCCATTAAGACTCCTTCCAACTCGAGCACTCTCGCCACACGAAATTCCAATATCAGAAATGTCGGAGACCGAATTTCCCTATTCATTGTATGATTTCTGATTGCCCCGCTTCGTACTCTGTTGCGCCTGTCCCTTTCCAATGCGAGCCTCACTGACACACGACTTCTCTCAAGGACCATCTCTCTACCTCTTCCATCTCACCGTCTCGCCTCGTCTGCTCTCCAGACTCTTGAGGTCGACACCGAGCTCTCTCCGTTCGTGCGACGTACATTCGCCCTGACGGCGCCCGCCTCTGAAACGCACGGCGAACCGCAGGAGAAGAAGCAGAAACAGGACCCCGAAGAAACAAGAACCGTCTTGCAGACGACATACCGCGCCACCACCAATCGAATGCTTCGTGTTGCGGTCAATGGATTCATGGAGAGCTTGGGTGTAGTGCTGGGTGTCATGGCTGAGCTGGATGTGGATGTTCTTGAGGCCGAGGGATTTGAGGAGTGATGCGACCCTCGGAAATCTTATCGATTGATTCTCGTCCATCTATTTGGAAGACGAATTCGGCAACGAGATGCAGATTCGTCTCACGAAATCTGGACACCAGATGGCACTTCGTCAACAAAGTCGGGCAGCATATGGCCGTGGCTGCAGCAACCGGCGTTGGAATACTTCAGCGAATGCGATACGCTTCGCTTCCAATTTGTATGCGAGTTGCATGCGCCGACCAGCGCAGGAAGTCTTGCTTGCAATTATTGTGATTGGGCTTCTTCGATGCCCTCCGAGGTTTAGGATTGAGCCGCTGTCTGTCGTGAAGGACATGATTCTGTCTTTGGAAGTCTGGTTGACAAACAAGACAGGATGGGCCAACTACCCGACATTTACCTCGTCCGGCGGTGCACAGTTGGAAGATATACCTACCTACCCAGCCACTCAACTGCTTTATGGGACAATTGTCAGTGGACACCGAACTCAAATTCACCTGGCTTATCATCATATCAGCTGGTCCTTGATTACGAAATTGATATCATTATTACTTCCTAATGTGGCTGCTTGGTACGAAGTTTTTGATGGTATTCAACCACTACGTCAATTGTTGAATGTATTGTAGGTCTCAGACCAGAGACACTATGTGAGCCTGCTGAGCGACCGTTCCAATTCTCGAGTAGCTCACTGGAAATACGGACACAGAACGTGATAGAAAATCTCCACATACGGGCGCTTGATAGCTCTGTCCGTTCGCGTGGAAATCTCAGTTAGGCCGAACCGATTGAGTGGTTCACAGACACTCAAGTATAGTATAAGGGTGAACCCCATGTGGCTGTCCTCCTCGAAGGAGTTAGGTCCACGCCCGGAGCGCGGCTGAAGTTGGGAGTCGAGACCGTCAAGTTCTTCTAAGCAACCTTCTCCCGCCCACCGGCGCTCCACCCTCCACCTCCACTCCTTTCGGATATCTTGATAAGATCGAGGTGCATAATTGTATTTTCTGGAGTGCAATGCGCAGTGCTCACTGCTCATAGGTAGTTAGGTACTACTACTGCTTGAAATTTCTTGAATGCGATTCTTTCTTGTTTCATAATTGCTTAACAACTGCCCTTCTGCAATGTAGGTCTCTACATGCCGAATTAGGTTCGCCCCTGTCAATTGAGCAACAACATCCCCCCAAGGCACCATGTGATTGAGATCTGAATATAGAGCTGTACAGTTTGCATGATTGCCCATTTTCGAGTGACAGTAGAATTCGAGTCATGCAAGGCTCTCTAATCTCCATAGTATTGAGCCTGTCAAGCTGAGGTCGTCCGGCCACTCTATATTGACTCAGCGAGTCAGTACTCAAGTCACTCCCATACCGGAAGTACCTGGGAAGGGGACATAGTTGGATTGAGCAAGTTTTAGCGTTGTAGGTTTCTCCAATGCCGTGAGACAGCCTTGTAGATGCTCGGACCAAGTCGCACTTTCGGTTGTGCGTTGGAAGTAGGTAGGTATCTACGATTGAACCAGCATAAGTCGTGGATCGGAATGTGGTCAATTCCAGTTGTGAGTAATGCACAATGCACAGTACGTGGTGGTGAGGACGAAAAAAAAGGGATCCAAACCGATCAGACCAGTCGACTCGATCGATCGGCTTCAAATCAGTCCAGAATGACTATGTAGGTCAGGAGCAGATCGCCATCTTCCCCTTTGCTCTTCCTGATCCGGTCCAGCACGCCAATCCGTGGGCTGCGCTGGCCAGACCGCAGATCATTGGTAATGTCGAATCTTCCAGTTTCTCGCAATGGGCCATCTGTCGCCCGAACAGCGATGTCTCAACTCGTGTACTGTATTCTTCGTGGAACCTCGGCTTAAAATCTACAAACGTGCTAGCAGTCCGGCGAGAAGAGAATCATGCGCCCACTGATACTAAAGCGTCCAGCTCCGCTCCGTGGCCAGGCATCTTCTTTTTCCTCATCTTTATTCATCTCTTCCCTGCCGCCGTCTGCACCTGCATCTGCACACCCGCGCTACTTGTGTTATTTGGCTACGACGTCATCATCCACGGCTTTGCTGTATCGTGACCCTCACCACCTTCACCACCGCACCTTTTACTTGAGCGCCTCCAGGCCGCATTTACCAACACGCTACTACCTACGAGGTTTCCGTTCTAAAGCCATGTCTTCCGCTACCACTTTCTTCGACTTCGAGCCCGTTGACAGTATGTAAAGACCCTCGGCACCATCTTTCCCGTTCTCTTGCGATCGCGCCGCGGAAATTTCCGTCGCGAAACATTACACACCACAAAGAGCAAAAAAAAAGGAAGAATAGTAGAACTAGAAAGTGATCCAGAAATGAGTCCACCTCGCTAACAGAATCACTCTTTCCACCACTCCAGAAAAGGGCCAGCCGTTCCCCTCTCTCCTCCCTCAAGGGCAAGGTCGTTCTGGCCGTCAATACTGCGTCCAAATGCGGCTTCACCCCGCAATTCGAGGGCCTCGAGAAGCTCTACAAGGACCTGAAGGCCCAATACCCCGAAGACTTTGAGATTCTCGGCTTCCCCTGCAACCAGTTCGGCAGCCAAGATCCCGGTTCCAACGACGAGATCCAGTCTTTCTGCCAGATTAACTACGGCGTCTCGTTCCCTGTGCTCGGCAAGCTCGACGTCAACGGCGATCAGGCCGCGCCCGTCTTTGCCTGGCTGAAGGATGCCATGCCCGGTGTCCTGGGTTTCAAGCGCGTCAAGTGGAACTTTGAGAAGTTCCTGGTCGCGGCGGATGGAAGTGTCGTGGGCCGCTGGTCCTCCATCACTAAGCCCGAGACGCTGAAGGACACGATCGTCCAGGAGATTGAGAAGGCTCGCAAGGCTGGCACGGCTGCCTCGACAGCTAAGGCTGCCGAGGGTACCGAGTCGGCCAAGCTCGCTTAAGATATACGGTCGACGCTATAGTTTGACGGGGAGCTGGTTTGCCCCTCCCCCTCCCCTCCCCTCTCGATATTTCGCTTTGAACGTTTGAGCCCCTCCCTCTTTTGTTTCCCTTGTTTTCTATTGTGATACCGTGGCATCAAATGTCGGTCTAGAAGCTACTTCGCACATGTATGCGTGCTGTAGCATGAATCAATAAAGTGCGAAACTTGATTTCTTTGAACTTGACTACCTGCTTCTGCCATGGTCGAGGTTGACATTTCGTGCGTCTTGCTCATTTGAGTAAAAAGGTTGCACCTATAGATCTTCTAAGCAGCGGCGCTGCCCTTGGGCACGAGACCGCGGAGCGACAGGTCATAGACCACGTCCTCTACCTTCTTGACCTAGTTGCCAGCCGGTACATTAGCAAGCATTCGAGGGTTCGAGTCCGCCCAGGATCACCCGGGGAGTAGACGGCACTTACGCTATACTTGATACCGTCGCTTCGCTTGCGCAGGATATCGTTCTTCAGGTTCAGCAGCTGGAACCCGGCAAAGAGATCCTTGATGAAATTGCCAATCTGCAGAGGTCGCTCATAATCGCCGAGAGTAACCGAGTTCACCGCCAGCCGGGACTTTGTGTACACAGACTCAGCGACACACACACTAGGAAGCCAGGATGGAGAAACATGTGACAACTTACCAGCTCTTCGACGACGGAGATCAATGCCAACAGGTACTCCTCGATTGTCAAATGGAACGCATCCTGCTCCTTCAAGTTGACAGGAACTAACGTGATAGAGTGACTGTCAGTCGGGATCAACCAGAATACAGATAACCCACATCGATGTAACGTACCCTCAAGGAACTTGCCGACCTCTTCGATGGTCAAGAATGAACCCGAGTCGGAACTCTTGTACTCTTGCAGACCTCCGAGCCAGGCACACAGCTCGATTGACGTGACCTGCATGTCACACATTAGTATCCCGGGATGCAGATAGGAGTCATACTCAGAGAGTGAAGATTCAGACACGAACCAAGTTCTGGAGCTCACGAGTCCACAGTCCATTGTACTTGTAGAATGGGTGCTGGTCTGCCACAGCCTTCAGACGAAGGACCTCGTGCTTTTGAGCGAGAATCTCGACAGCGGCATCGTCCAGGACGGGCTTGACTGGTTGTTCAACTGGAATTAGCGAAGTTCTGATCATAAGTCTAGTTGGGACGTGTTTGATCATTCGACACCCCGAGCAAAGACCCGGAAGCTTTTCCAGATACATTCACACCGAGTAGCTGATAACGGCAGCATAATGAATTGACATACGTTGATCGGCAGGGGTAGAATGAGCCCTAGACAAAATAGCTTGTGTTGACCGGCCTAGATGAACAGTATTAGCAACTCGCTCTCTCAGATTAGCATACCTTCCAGCAGGAAATGAGGCATGCAGCTTCAATTCTGTCTTTCCTTGCCCCAGTTGGACTAAGCTGGACTAAGCCATGAGGGATAGAGCGAAGCTGCCTCAATTCATGCAAATTCCACACGTACCCTTTCTCGCAAGAGTCTGAACAATCTCGTGAAGCTCCTGTTTTACCCATCAGTCATGCCCTCATTCAAAAATTGCACAGGCTATCCAACCCGCCTTTTGCGGGACCGAGCAGTGTGGCTTGGCACACGCAGAAAATCATGCTCGCCTCTTCTCGACCGTGATACCAAGGTTAGGAGCACTTACATCGCGGACCGTGGTCTCCTCGTCGATCTTGGCCTGAAGATCCTCAAAAATGCGTTGATCAATCATGGTTGTGTGAATTGGTGGTCCTGTTGTGGTGAAAGGGTGATGTTCGTCATGAGTGGTGGACCACAGTGTTGGGCGCGTGCCGGAGCGGTGCGGTAGGATCCAGTGTCAGTACTGAACAACGCAAATGTAAATGCGTGAAGCTCTACGAGCTTGCGTTTACAAGAAATTGTAGCTCTCTGAATCCCTTTCACCCAGTAAGTGAGGTGGCATGTCCTTTCTATATCCATTATTACTCGCCAATTGCTGATTTGAGAATTATCAACAGGTCGAGCTTAGACTTTGCCCTGCTGCCTCTCTAGTATACGATTATTGCATCTCTTGGACGAAAGGCTGTGCAAAAACGAACATGAGGTATTAACTAATGGTTTATACTATGCTCATCCCTCGTCGAACCTGATCAGCTTCAGATTACTGCTACAAGAACTTCCGCTGAGAGTGGTCCTAGTGCCTTGGTCAAAGGACTCGAGTCGCGTCCCATGTGGAAGAGTCCTCGCTGCAGTTTTACTCGAGTATCCTCAGTCAAAATTAAATGCAGGCATCATTCACCTGACCGTCTTTTCTTTTGTTGTAGGGTATAGTCATAACATTCGTTATAAGACGCAGGTAGGTATCACATTTAGTACCGGTATCGTGTGGAGTAATCTAAATATGCACGAGTCAGAAGCCAGCCTTGCAAGTCTGTCACAGCAAAACATCCACTTACCCTTGGGACTGACGACAAGACCACGACCCTTTTTGGCACCCTTGTAGATCGTTTCGATAATGTCGATCAACTCTTGCTTATCCTCCAGCACCCAATTCAACTTGTTGTTGTTACCCGTTCCAAAATCGCACATCATATGCTTATTACGATAAAAGAACATAATCGTCATGGTGTCGTACAGTTCGTACATCGAGTTGAAATCGGGTACCTCGTCGATGTCGCACAGGTAGATGACGGCGAAGTCTAGATCGGAGCAACGACATGCGTTAGCAATGGTGAATTGTGGCATCAGACAGAGCGCCGCAATGTGGGGGCAGCCACCACATACTCTTTACACGTTCAGCAATCTTGTAGAGTACTTCATCCTGGCGGATACCTGCCGTACGCAAATTGTTAGCATTCGGAACAGACCATCAATGCGGGAGGTGAGGATGATGCGCGACTCACAGTCCGGGTCGTGATCTCGCCCAAAGCGAATGACTACAAGGCGCTCTTCCTCCGAGAGGATTGCCTGGTCCACATGCCAGGCAGTGCGTAAATGAGGCAAGACAATTGAACCCATGGCTGCTATGCGCTGTGCTGTAGCAGTGGCTTCATCTGATGGAAGCTCGAAGAAATTCGGCAGCTCGTGCTTATCGCCCGCCGACCACGCGATAGGCTCTGATCATGTGACTGGCCTTTTGTCTGCATGTCTGCCACCCGAAGGTAAGGGAGGCTCCACTTGGTGAGATCAACGAACTTGCATTCAAGTATGGTGTTCATGAGCTTTCGCAGTCTCTGAAACGGCAGAAGAATTCCCAGATTGAGGAGAGTGTATTGGATTACAATGAAGCCCGTTTCAAACATCACCTGGCACGAGGAAACTTCATCACCGGCTCAATCGAAGAGTCTCGTCTCTAGACTCTAGAAAGGCTAGCACTGTAGTAGTTCCATGCCACGGACGCGCGTGCACCAACTCTCTCGGAACAATTCTGCTGCACCAGATTGGCAGAGTGGCCGACAGTTGTATCTTAGACTGGGACTGCCTCCCGAGACAGGCAACTTGGCAGTGGGCCATTGCGCCACAGAGAAGAAGCCTGCAAAGGCTCCGCGATTCAGGGTGGACCGGTTGGCAGAGGGCCAGGACTCCTTACCCCCCAAGTGTGCTTCTCGAAAGGCTCGAGGGTCAATACTCAAATAGTCTCGCGAGAGTGTCGAGAGTTATCGAGGCCCAAAAGGACACCCCATCGAATCCACTCCCCGGCACTCTGCTTCCCCCATTCCGCGGCCGCCGACCCCATCTCTCTTTTGCGATCGGCAACGCTGCCGCCTGCACATCAACCACCACCGCCACAAGCCGGACATCCTGTTCACTACTGTTCTCTCTCTCCACGATCATATCCTCTCTGATTCCCTCAGCCTTTTGAAAGTCTACTGGGATGATGTTGGTCATTCCGTTACCCCTTTAGATCGAACAGACCATGATAGCCCATATCGCATTCTTCGAGTCTCCCGCTTGCTCCGGCTCCCCCGAGCTGACCCCGTGCCGCCATGGGCGACGATAAGTTCGAATACAAATCGCTTCCGATTCCCACCTACGAGGAGGCCACCGCACAGGCATCTTCATCACGGTCAGATCTGGGCGATGGTACCGATGTCGAGCGACAGGGACTACTCGGTCGGCAGGCCTCCAACTATAATCCCCCGACGGTAGAGTCTGAACGGGGCAGTCTCGATGGCCTGGCCTCATCCGCCTCGGGGTCAACCCGAGGCTCAACAGATGAGCTACGCAGGGAACTGGATCAGATGGATGTAGATGATTCAGGACAAGGCTCGTCCACCGGGGCTCGTCCACGCTTTCGGCACCACCTGTCAAAGCGCTTATCTAGTCTGACTCGCACGCTGTCCGCAATGCAACGACCATTACGGAGATATCTACCGCCGATGCCCAGATTGCGCTTCACCATCAATTTACAAGAAACGGGATCGCACTTCAAGGACCGCGGCTGTTTGATGGTTCTGCGGATGTTTGCCCTGCTGCTCGTCGTGGCCCTGGTGTACGTCTTCTTCATTGGGGATGTCTTCAACCTGAACAATCGCATGGTGATTGGCCAGACATACAGCGCCTCCTCGGTGGAGAACTTCATTCAGTCACATATCAACGAAACGAACATTGCCGAAAACTTGAGGTTAGTCGCAGGGAATACTCGAGTGGCTGGAACGGAGGGAAGCTTTGTGCTTGCCGAATGGATCGAGCATGAGTTTCACAAGGCTGCATTCGACAAGGTCGAACGTGAGGAATTCCAAGTCTACCTCAACTATCCACGGGAAGGTGGGAGGAGGATAGCTATTGTGGACCCTCCCAACCTGGCCTGGGAGGCTGCCCTTGAAGAGAAAGATGCGCAATATCCGGCGTTCCATGGCCACTCCAAGTCCGGGAACGTCACTGGGCCCCTCATTTACGCCAACTTTGGCTCGCGTGAAGACTTTCAACTTCTGGCTGAGAAGGGCATCTCCGTCGTTGGCTCGATTGCCCTGGTCCGATATTACGGATCGGAAGGCGATCGTGCGTTGAAGGTCAAAGCGGCCGAACTGGCCGGGGCAGCGGGCTGCATCATCTACTCTGATCCCGCTCAGGATGGCTTCGTGCAGGGACCGGAATATCCCGAGGGTCGATTTATGCCGGCAGACGGAGTCCAAAGGGGCGGCGTGAGCCTGATGTCCCATATTGTGGGCGACGTACTCTCCCCAGGATTCGCCTCCACACCGGGTGAGAAGAAGCGGCTCTCGCCAGAGGACAGTCCCGCGTTAGTGCAGATTCCCAGTCTGCCCATTGCCTGGCGCGATGCACAGCGCCTCTTGCAGGTCATTCAAGGCCATGGATTCAAAGCGCCAAACGGATGGATTGGCAGTGTTCCCCAGATTCCAGAGTGGTGGACCGGTGACCAACGTTCGCCGACGGTCCAGTTGATGAATCTACAAGATGAGGTCGAGCGCCGGCCCATCTACAACGTTCACGGTACCATTTTGGGGCTCGAGGAACGCGATAAGAAAATCATTGTCGGCAATCACCGCGATGCCTGGTGTCTCGGTAGCGTCGACCCGGGAAGTGGCACGGCAGTATTCATGGAACTCATTCGAGTCTTTGGAGAGCTGCTCACCTATGGGTGGCGGCCGCTTCGGACCATCGAGTTTGTCAGTTGGGATGGAGAAGAATACAACTTGATCGGATCCACCGAGCATGTGGAAAAGGAGGTGGAGGACCTTCGTAAAAATGGGTACGCATATCTCAACGTCGATGTCGGTGTCTCGGGTCCCAATTTCCGCGCATCGGGATCGCCGGTGTTTGAGCGATCCGTTCACCAGATTCTGGGCCGACTCTCCGACCCTTTCGCCAACCAGACTCTCAAAGAGATCTGGGACCGCAAGGGCCAGCGACTTGCGCCACTTGGTGCGGGTAGTGACTACGTGGCTTTCCAGGACATCGCTGGCACCTCCAGTATCGACTTTGGCTTTGAAGGCGAGGCCTACCCCTACCATAGTTGCTACGAAAACTACGACTGGATGGAAAAGTTTGGTGACCCGGGTTTCGTTTACCACAAAATCCTCGCTCAGTTCTGGGCCCTCCTGCTTCTGGATGTGTCGGAGAATCCCATGTTGCCTTTTGACATGGAAGCGTATGGCAAAGCCGTCACTGGGTGGGTCAAAGATTTGGACTCCTTCGCCAGCGAGAAAAAAGCCGAGGTCGACCTGCAAGTACTGTACAACGCCGCGGCGGAGTTGGAAGCCAATACGGCCCGATTCCAATCCTGGAATAATGTCTGGCACGACACGGTCTGGGGCTCGGGTGGATACGAAAGCAACGTGATGGCGATCCAACGGGTCAAACACAATATACGCATGGCTCAATTTGATACAAATCTTTTGGATTTGGCCGCGGACGGTGGTGTAAGTTGATCTCTGATTCCTCCTCTCGCCTTTCTTGCAATCTATGACTCCGTTGTCCTCCTTGTCTTTCTTGCTAACAAGGCACTTCTTCATGTTAGATTCCCAACCGCACACAATTTCGGCATGTTATCTTTGGACCGGAGCTTTGGTCGGGTTACGATGCCTCCATTTTCCCTGCGATCCGCGACACGATTCGCATGGGCAACTGGTCTCTTGCCCAGCATTGGATCGACAGAGTCGCCAACACGATCCACACCGCTAGCGACAAACTACTGAACTAGACTCACCCTTCTCTCAATCCATGAGGTGGAGACCCATACCTTGTTCGGTCCTCTTCTCATATTCAGCTTAATTTCTACCACTTTGACCATCCTCACGCTCCCACGCTTTCCATCCCATCTCCCCGCTATCCTTACCCTTTCTTCTTCGTTCTCTTTACGAGCACTGTACAGCCTGATCTCGAGGGAATCTGCGTTTCTGCTGCATGCAGATTCGATCCTTCATTGCACATTTGCAGGGGAAAGCCCACCGACTCTCTCTTCTTTTCATAGGTGGAACTGTGAGGCCCCCGTTCTCTTATACTCTCTCTCTCTCTCCTCGCCCTTCCGTCCTCTTCACATGTCTATATACCAGTCCAGCAACAGTCTGTGCTTCTCTTGTCTCGTCTCAGCGAAGGTGCTGTTCCCATTGCGAATTTAGATCGATTGTCTACGCTTATTAGGCCCGCATGAGTTGCCTCGGGGTTTCTCTTAAGTTCCAAATCGCATCGTCATTGTCACTTCCGGCAATCCCCTGTTTTTGAGGATGTGGAATATTGAATCAACCCAGGAAATCCCAATGTAGTATAGTCCCAACAGTAACATCTTTAGCCACTTGATCTCCTCCCATTCAAGCCCAGTAGCCTAACGTCGGCTTTGGCCAGTCGACGATCTATCACACGTCGATGTGTCTAGTCGATCGCTGGACTGTGGGGGGGCCCTGTCTCGGTCGGCTTCATTTCCCAAAGCGGGTTATGCACGACTCAATTATCAGTCAATTTGTGGCCCGGGCTTCGGGCACACCCCATGTCCTCTGTTTAATTTACTAGAAACACGTTCTCCCAACGAGCTGAGATCTCTCAGGTCTACGGATTGCTTTGCACGCTTCAAATCGGGAAGTTCATGCTGGGCATCACTCTTTTCAAGCATTATCACTTGATACGTCGGCTGCGTAGACGCTTTCTCGACGGAGACAGATAGATTGGCATTACTCTCAGGGGGGTCTCTCGACTTTGGGCGTGATTGAGCGAGGCGAAAAACTATGGGTGATTGTTCGTTTCTGAAACAAGTGATGTTGTCATCCGGGCGGTGATCAAGTACAGGGTCTGTGGTGAGGTCGTAGAAAACGAGTCATGGCTTCTTGCATTCTACACTTGAACTCTACTGTACAGTACTACTGAGCCGGGAAGTGCAGGACTGTGTAGGTGGACAATGCCTCATGATGCTCGGTTTCAACTCATGCCATTCAGGACATTAGAAAGGATCTACACATCGCGATTGTCACCTGTCAATAATCCCACCAATTGATGGACATCATACCAGGAGTCCTTCACGACCGATCTCCACCATGCGAGTCTGCAGATCACACAGCATCATAGCATGAGAAGTGGAAAAAAAATGGCCCTTGCAACAAACACATGGAGCCTGTCATCCACCTGCATAAAAAATGGAGTCTAGAGAGAGAGAGAAAAAGGAGCAGTTCGAATCACTAGCCTCCGGGCCCTGGGACCCAAAAAACGGCCCCAACACCTCATCCTCCCTCCCCGTTTTGCAAGACCATTCTGGAATTTGAGGGCTTCGGCATTCACTCGTGAAGAGGTAGGATCGACCCGGGAAAGTTTGTCTGGAGGTGGTCCATGACACGCGATTGACTCCGTAGACCATCTCTGTCTATCCAGGGTCCCCGCTTCACCAACGTTCGTTGAGCGTTCGCCCTGTCGCAGGTTGGAGATGGTGAAACATGCGACGATGAAACACGAGAAATGAAACCCGCTTATGAGCATGAATACCAAGACGGTGCTGGTCTATCGAATTTCTGTCATTGTTCATACAAGTTGAATTTCCTTCAGAATTGATGAAAGCTCGGTCTGATCGGTGATCATCTTGCTCCGGGGCGATGTTCTCGAGGACCTTTTCGGAGGCGGGGCGATCATCATCTGTCGTTTGAGATGTCCCTCAATGATCGTGATGGCGTGATGATCTGTTTCTGGGTCGAAAGAAGAGAGAGAGGAAGAAGGAGAGAAGAGAGATTATAAAAGGCAATGGTTGTTCGCATTTGTGTGAGTCTTCCTTCCACATCGGTCCTCACGCAACAGTCTATACCTTCTTTTTCTCCTCTCCGTTCCGTCTCTTTTAATTTCTTTTTCCTTGCTCATATTCTACCTTTTCAAAGAGCTGGTCTCTTGCATTCCTTACGACGACATCATTGAACTACTTTTTCTTACACAATCGCTATCATGAAGACTGTTGTTGCCCTCACCTTCGTCGGTGCCGCTCTGGCAGCCCCTACCAAGACTATCGAGAGTCGCACACTCGGAGACTTGGGTAGCGGCTTGGGTGGTCTAGGCAGCCTGAGTAGCCTAGGTAGTGGCCTTGGAGGTCTGGGTGGCGCTTCCAGCGGTAGCAGCACCGGCAGCGGCTTCGGTGCACTCACCTCGCTCATTCCCAGTGTCGGAAACCTGGGATCGCTCGGTTCTCTCGGCGGTCTCGGCGGATCCAGTGGCAGCTCTGGACTTGGATCGCTGGGCTCTTTGGGCTCCTTGGGCTCGCTGGGTTCAGGTCTGGGAGGTCTCGGAGGTGCCTCTTCTGGTTCGAGCTCTGGCACTAGCTCTAACACGGGCGCCAGCGGAAGCTCTACCGTAGACGCGAGCGCCAGTGCCAGTGCCAGTGCCAGTGCCGATGCTAGCTCGAATGCCAGCTCTGGCTCCAGTGTGGGTGGCTCAGGTAGCTCAGGTAGCTCAGGTCTCGGCTCACTTGGCTCACTCGGATCTCTGGGAGGTCTCGGAAGTCTTGGAGGCCTTGGATCAGGTTCGAAGAATTCCTCTTCTGGTTCTGAGGTCGCTGGTTCAGGCTCGGCGGACGGTCATACTAAACGCCAGTTCACAGGCTCCGTTACGGCCAACGATGTCACCAACAAGGCCAGCTGCAAGGAGCTGACTTTTATCTTCGCACGTGGAAGTGACGAGATTGGCAACATGGGCTCCGTGGTTGGCCCTCCCGTGGCCAGTCAGCTGCAGTCTCTGACTGGCAACAAGGTCAACGTGCAGGGTGTTGATTATGCCGCAACAGCAGCGGTAAGTGATGCATTCCCAGCTCTTGTTCAGTGAATATAGGCGTGTGAATCGTCTTGCGTGACTCCGCAGAATTGTCGACTAATCTGAGAATATTCCAACCACAGAGCAATGCCGCTCTGGGTGCCAACGGCGGTCCTGTCATGGCGAATTTGGTCGAGACTGCTTTGAAGCAGTGCCCCGACACCAAGGTTGTCATTGGCGGTTACTCCCAGGGTTCAATGGTCGTGCACAACGCTGCCAACAGCTTGGGTGCTGATAAGGTGGCCGGTGCGGTCCTGTTTGGCGACCCATTCAAGCTGCAAGCCGTTGGCAAGCTACCCCAGAACAAGGTCAAGGAGTACTGTGCTCTCGGCGACCCCGTCTGCGAGAATGGTGCCAACGTGATGGCGCATCTCAGCTACGGAAGCAACGCCAAGGAGGCTGCTCAGTTCCTTCTGCAGGCTGCTGGCATCTCTGCATCTGCTTAGGCGTTGATGCAGTGGCTGTGACACGATCCCCATCAAGATTAAGAGGGGTCCCTTCGTGTGGCCCAGATCGTGTGAGAGATTCGCCGTGAACTCTGACCAATGCGTTGCAAAATGAGTATTTACAGTTTTTCCGAGCCAAATGAACCCTATATTTTCCCTTATTCGAATAAAATCGCATGTGTCCGTCGGTCTTAGTCGCAGTGATCGCGCAAAAACCGTGTCTCCCTTGGGGGGTAAGCATCCCGAAAGTCCGGAAGAACGAAATTCAAAACCGAAAGGAGAATTGGCAGAGTCCACAGACCAACCATAAGATCGTAACAGGCCCGGAGATCGAGAAGCTCTGATCAAGACCATTGGAATCGGGAACCCAAAACGGATGCATAGCTGGTCCATGCATCTTCATGGTCGGTCTGTGTCGGCTTCAAGAAGAATTCGAGCTTGGCGCTTGGGCATTCGTGACTCATGGCGGATCTGACCCAGTGCCTACTAAGGTGGCCAGTACAGATGTCAGCTTACTTCATCGGACTGGCAGTACCTCCAATAACTAACTACCACTGGATAGGCTACCAATACTATGAGACCCGGTCTTATTACAATCCTTTTCGGCGCTCGGGACAATCACGACATCAGGCCGAGAACAAAGTCTGAGAGACTGAGTAGTTGGGACGGGACGGGCTGAAGTGATTCATCAGATCTGCAAAGGGCAAGCTAACTAATTATTAATAGTCTCAGCTCCAGCACAATTCAACTGATACCTTGCCGGCACCGCGCTTGGCACCAATAGGAGAGTTTTACATAGGGTTGCCAAGTTGCTTTGCTTCCTTGCGAATTTCGTCTCGACATGTGGGCAAGAGTGACTGGTATCATGCTTGGACCATAGGCCCTCGACTAGCGTTCTTTCTTTTCGTCTTTCTCGAACAATGCACCGTAAAACGGAATGATGCGAGAAACATCTGCGGCTGGACCTGGTCGTCTCTGGTATGCGACCGTCTGGATCTGGAGGTATTGACTGTCAGTCAAGGGACGATTGGAAGAAGATGATTCCATAAGGAAGTTGCTCGTCCTTGTAGACTTATTTCCCACGAGGGACCTGAGACTGACAGCAGAGCCCTAGAACTGTCAAGTAAGGACCAATACCACTACACCAGTCACATGGAAATCCCCTAACATGAATGTACTATATCCTAGAATCTCCGAGAACCTTTACAATGTCGACACAGTGGAGCCCGCTGGTGTTCGATTTTACATGACAAACGAACTCGGTCTATTGCAAAGGACGGCCCTGGTTGCGGATGATTTCTAATGCGATGAACAATCCTGCCAAGAGACGGACTTCCTCTTCCGATCGAAGCAAGATCACCCAGTGCTCCATGCTCAGCGCTCATAAGCTTAAACTGGTGCTCGGATTTTGAATTTTCATTTGCTGGGAATCAACACTAGCCGATTATGTCATTCTACTGCTTTGGAATCCAAGTGATGTGGAAGCTCAGGGATGGGTGCACGCTTGGCTGTGCTTATGGTAAGAAACCCCGGTCTTACTGTCAAACTCCCAAATCCGCATCGGAGTTAAGCTAAGCAGCGATCGATTTGTAAGATCTGCTTCTTTTTTTTTTTCGCTGGCGGTACCATGGAAAGTGTAAGCCAGAGATGATTTGAGATCCAAAAAAAGGGCAGACACATAGAAATATGGAAAGAGATCATTTCTATAAAGGTCGTGAGCAATTCCACTGTCATTACTTCACTCATCAACAATTGATCTGGTTTCTAGAAGTCTGGCCCGTGTCATCTCATCTGGATCGGGGACCCTTGAATTTGAAGATTATCTCTGTGTCACTCATCAAATCGAACTCCTACTATAACACCTGTTGTTCAAACACAGGCACAGACCGATAGTCGTCTGTACAACGCCACATAGATTCCTGCGACGAGACGTCAACGACGACTTCTGTGAAACGCTCAAGAAGTTTCACGACTCCACCGCAACTTCAGCCTCATCCCGACCAGTCCACTTTCTTCTCACGTGACGACAACCCTACCCGCGTCGATGGCGTCAGTCGTTCGGGACGCCCCCTTTGGGCAGTTGGTGCGGTACTTGACCAACAACAAGTACTTTCAATATCCCGAAGAGAGGCCCGACTTTGAGCTGCCCGAAGTATGGCGGCAATTGATCAGCGATTCGGCTTGCACCACTGCGACATTTGGCAAGTCAGAAAAACTTCCACTGGGACAGCCAACACTTGCCGCACAAGGTGATGCTGCGGCTGCGGCTCGGAAGGAACAAACCCTTGGCAGCGAAGACAGCGTTGATAGTGAGAGCGAGGCTGCCACAGAGGTAATCGATCATGTGTCTTCCAGACATTCATTTGAATATACACAGTCTCGTTTGGAAGCAGACGAGGTGCACGAGATCGAGAAAACAAAGTCCATTCCCATCCAACCCAAGAAGACCAAGGATGGAACCATTCTGGTCGACTGGTACTTTACCGATGATCAAGAGAATCCGCATAATTGGTCGAACAAAAAGCGAGCTCTTCTGACCACGTTGATCTGTCTCTATACATTCGTCGTGTACACCACTTCGGCCATCTATACCGCTTCCTTGGCGGGAGTCATGGAAGAGTTCGGGGTCAGTAGCTTGGTCGCGACCCTGGGACTGTCCCTGTACGTCTTGGGATATGGTACTGGTCCACTGGTCTTTTCGCCATTGAGCGAGATCCCCATCATCGGTCGGAATCCGGTGTATATTGTGACTATGTTCCTGTTCGTCATTCTGTCGATTCCCACGGCCTTTGTGCGCAACTTTGCGGGCTTGATGGTGCTTCGCTTCTTGCAGGGCTTCTTTGGATCGCCGTGTCTGGCTTCCGGAGGTGCCTCGATCGGTGACATGTACAGTCTCATGTCATTGCCCTACGCGATGATGAGTTGGGTCTCGGCGGCTTATTGTGGACGTAAGTATCTTCCATCCTTTCTCTGCCATTGGAGCTTTTCAGTAGACTAACAAGGGTCCTCTTTTTACCTTTCCAGCCGCACTGGGTCCCTTGCTCAGTGGATTTGCAGTCACTGCTGAAAACTGGCGCTGGTCTCTCTACGAGTCGATCTGGATGTCCGCCCCCGTCCTCATCCTCATGTTCTTCTTCCTGCCCGAGACCAGCAGCGCCACCATCCTCCTTCGCCGTGCTGCCCGTCTCCGCAAGATCTACAACAATGAGCACTTCATGTCCCAGTCTGAAATCGACCAGCGGCACATGAAAATCTCCGACATCGCGATTGATGCCCTCGTCAAACCCATGCAGATCACCATCATGGACCCAGCCGTGCTGTTCGTCCAGATCTACACCGCCATCATCTACGGCATCTACTACTCCTTCTTCGAAGTCTTCCCCCTCGTCTACCCCGTCTACTACAACATGACCCTGGGCGAAATCGGTCTCGTCTTCCTCTGCGTCCTGGTCGCTTGTCTCGTCGGCATCGCCATGTACGCCTCCTACCTCTACTTCTACATGGATCCCCGCATCGCCAAGTTCGGCTGGCCCGTCCAGGAAGCCCGTTTGATCCCCGCCCTGCCAGCAGCCGTGGGTCCCACCATCGGACTCTTCATCTTCGCATGGACGGCCCGAGCCTCGATCCACTGGATCGTTCCAACCATCGGCATCACCATCTACGGCGCCACCGTCTTCGTCGTGATGCAGTGTCTCTTCGTGTACATCCCGCTGAGCTACCCGCAGTATGCGGCCAGCTTGTTCGCAGCAAATGATTTCTTCCGCAGTGCGCTAGCCTGTGGAAGTGTCCTGTTCGCGCATCCCTTATTTGGGAATCTCGGAGTCGCTCGTGGTACCAGTCTCCTGGGTGGTTTGAGTGTCATTGGCATCATCGGTATCTGGTTGCTGTACTTTTACGGTGCACGACTTCGTTCACTTAGCAAGTTTGCTATCTCCGATCCGGCCGAATGAATGTGGAGCAAGATTTTGAGCATTGAAGGAGTTGAATTTCGTTTGGCAAACTTCTGCCTCTTTCCCAATTTGGTCGGAGCTGAAGTGTTTGCCGCTTCCTATCACACTATTAATGAGTTGCTTTTCAATACCATAGACTGCGATATAATATATTACCACCAATGAAATGATGCTGCTTTTTTTACCACTCTTATACACCTCGGCCTTACTTTGATATACCGAACGTGCGACCAGCAACCAATTTCAGTAGATTTGGTGCCCGTCGGGGTTAACCGAGATATCCAATGATCCCCAATCGTCCATACAATTTCCAGCCTTCCTTTGACCCGGATGTCCGTGGCAGGACTGTAGTACGAAATAACCAAAGCTTGCAAGCACTACAGACACTGAGAGATGCAGATTGAAAAAGGAAAACCTCCACCAGACAAAAAAAAAGATCAAAAAAAGATAGAAATGCATTAAAACTTTGCGTTGCTATTATAGTAGTTATAAGGAGAGAAATTCCCCCGGCCTTGCCACCTAATATACCAGAGCGCCAGCCGTAATGGAAGGCCATTTTTCGACGAGGCATTGATACTCTCAGATGATCGAGACCAAAGGGATGAAGAACCATTAATATGCGTTACAAGAAGAGATCAAAGACGCGAATTGGGACTGTAGCAATGCTCGTCATAGAAGTGTCGTCGGCTGGTTTGGTGTTAACAACTCGTCAAATCATCCGCGATTTAATACCGGGCTGATACTTTAGCAGACGGTGATGTAGAGGCCCAGACTAGTCGAGTATTAGTACATATTGGTTTTTTTTTATCTCCTTTTTTGGGAAATGTGATTCAGTAGAGTGGAGGTCAGTGGACTTACGGAGCGGGGTTGTAGTCTTGGAAGTAATCCAGGTTGGTGCTTCCTGCGTTCTTCATCTCATAGGCAACGCGTTCACCGGCGGGGCAGGCAAAGGTCGAGACGACGTAGGAGTTGCCGGGGGAGATGGTGATGGTGCCGAGGTCCTTGGAGACCGAAGGGGCATTGCTATACGTGGTGTGGGTATTGGCCGCAGCAGACAAGGCAGCAATGTCAATCTTGCCATCACCGCTGAAGGTGTAGGAAGATGTTTGCAGGTCAGACTTGTTGGGGAAGAGGAAGACCAGGCTGCAGGTCTTGCCAGAGTCGGATGACGGAATATCAAAGTTGAAGATACTGGAGATGGTGCTGGTGACCTTGCCGTTGAACGAGGTTCCGTACTCGGTGTTGGGAGAGGCCGAGTTGACCGGCACAATCAAGTGAGGGAACTCATAGTTGCCAGCAGTCAAGGTTGTGGGACAAACTTTGTTGCCACCACCGTTACCTCCACCGTTACCACCACTGTTACCACCACCATTGCCACCGCCAGATGAGGCGGCACAGCTGTCGGCGTTCAGCTCGATGGACTTGCAGTTGCTCAGAGCACTGCTCAGTTGGGTGTAGATGTTCAGACCACCATTTTGCCCAGTCTCACAGGCATAGAACTTGGTGCTGCCATTGTACGTGAGCTTGCCCTGGGAGTTCACCGAGAAGCCAGGGGTGGGAGTAGCACCAGTATCGCATTGGAACTGGGTGGTGGGAGCTAGAAAGAATTTGTCAGTTCCTCTTTTGACTTTTTATATTCAAAAGAAGGCCAGCAGATGATACTCACGTGTCAGAATACATCCTCGACCATTCTCATCAGTCAGACCACCGTTGGAGCTAATGCAGTACGTCGCAGTGGGAAGACTGTTGTCACCAATACGGTTCTGTCCGTCGCTCAGTTGTCCGACTGGGCCCGAACCACCGCCAGAGGCCGTAAGATGAAAGCAGCAGTTTCCACTGCGAGGAACCAAGGCCTGCGCACTGGCGGCGAGGACGGCGACGTTGAGGAAGCTTCGCATCTTGGGAGGAATTGTCTTTCTTTCTTTTTGTTTTTTGAGCGGGTGTAAGATAGCGGTCAAACGATAGAACAATGCTCTCCACTTGTTTGTTTTGCGACGGTGCAGGTGTAATCTGATGAAGTCGAAAGCGATGGGGTCAACTACAGGGGGGGGCCAGGACCGCATTCTTATACCTTCGATCGAGGTGTAAGACGACCTTAGATCTCTAGTCATCACGCCGGATGAAATTGATCTCCCTCTCAAGGTACTTGCAGTTGGTACACGTCATGGAGAGCCGCAATCCCACGGAATGCTCGAGCCTCAGCTTGTCCATTTCGCAGGAATTGCCGGTATAGGATACCCGCAGAGTCAAGTTGGAGTGAGAGCTTCCATTAGCATTGCACTGTTTACCTCCCCAAGCGGGAGAGACATGCATCCCAGAGTACAGCCAAGTACAAGTACACTTAGCTCCATGGTACCCCAGCAGGTGGCGAGTCTGGGTACCACGGCTCGCAGCTTCACTGTTGCCCGCCTTGATTTCCGAGTGGGCACCTGCATCGATTTGGACTTGAGAAAGTGATGGTCAGAGTGGAGAATGGAAGCAATTTGCGACTCAGTGCATGCTTTGCATCCAATGAAAAGAGTTTTGACTTTTGAATCCCTGTTCAAAACTAGCGGTGCATTGACTTTACCAGCAACTCCAAGTCATCTACAACTCCGCCATAGCTCAGGGAAGCTAGTATCGACCAGGACAAGCCTGTAGCCGTGCACCATGCAATAGCACGGCACTTGGCATAGTGAGTAGTCGCCTCCTCGGGTAGTGCCTCTCAGGCAGTACGAGCTGCAATCCGTAGAAATCGTCCCCCCGCCATCTGTCTTTGTCTAAACCGGGAAAAGAAGCTCCACCTGCATGGATCATTGCATGGAGCCATGGCTGAGGTCATTGCAATGTTTGTTGGGTAATTCAGATCGAGTAATCATCTGATTGCTCGCAAGGCACGCATCATCTTATGCATTGGGGCCTTTTTTGCTGCTCCCGCGATCTTATTGCCAATCATGTCGCTTTGCTCGTTGACTTTCCGTTTTTGTGATCTCTTTTGATCATCCGGTCCACTGGATTTCTCTCACATCAAAACCCCCCCGAGCCTCAAATTGCGCGGAAGAAGGTGTAGAATTGTATCAACCCCCTTGGATGTCATCTCACTTGGATGAGAGGATCCGATGCGAACGTTGTGTATCATCAATTGAGGGATTTCGCTGGGGAATCCCCACAATACTACATGCGTGGTCCGTCGAAACCGGTTAGAGGTCAAGAACCACAACATACAATAATGATCACACCGTATTGAGGATCCGCAATGGAGTCGGCCCGCCCGGTGAGGGGAAGTCCATGATGGGGGTCCAACGGTAATCGGTGGATCGCCTCCAGACGGGCATAGGAGGGAAAGCAAAAAGGAAATACATACAATCACGACCAGGGAGGATGAAGTCTGTCGGTCACTTCCCGCACGAGAGGAATGATTATGCAGCCAACCGGTGCCAACAACGACCGAAGTCAGGGTCTATTTTTATTCGGTCTGGTCATGAACCAGCCAACGTGCTTGTCTGGTTGGGCAAATGGACCTTGTGCCTTGTATTCCGGTTCGCGTATTCGCTCACATTCGTTTATGATGTGGTGGTGCATCTCAGACAGCCGGGGGACAGTGCCGGAAAGAAAGTCAATACCGACGTCATCCATTCACTCTTTGGGTATGATGTTGACACACGTGTAGGGGGTGTAACATCAGCTCGACTTCGCTAGGTTCTCAACTCCAACACGGTTGCCCAACAAGCCACTACTGCGGGGTGCGTCGACGATCGGATCAGATCCCCGAACACCACCTTGGCTGTCTGCTCCACTTTTGCGCCAGTCGCGGTCTCAGTCGACGATCGGACTGAGACACGCTCTCCACTCGCGATCCGAGAGGTCCCTGTATGCAGGACTGAGACACGGCGTTCGTGAGAAGCGCGATGGGTTGGTAGGCGAGCCCGGAAACATCCATTGCCACTAGGCAGAGGGCTGTGAAAGGTGCAAGCAAGCTAGCCTTTGCCCGGAGGTGAGAGTGACGGCTGCCATCGAATGTCATCGCATGGCTAGGACCCGGGCACGAAGTCATTGAGAATCGATTTGGTGGACAAATTATGATGTACGGAAGTACTAAGCAAAGATGGTATTAGCCCTGGTAGGAAAGTTGCTCCGTTCAGGCGTCCAAGGGTTCGTAGGATAATAGGCAAGCAAAACCCATGGACCCAGCAATGTCATCCGCTAGTTGACTCGGAAGCTGATTCCTTTGAACGACGTCGAAGTCGAAGTCGCTCTTGCATGTTACCTTGTCCCTGGCGATAGCGGCTTGGCGCGCAGGCAAATGCTTTCATCATCGAGGACCCATATTAGGACGTGTCTCTGGTCCAATCTCCAGATCACGGGTGTGCAGGATGACGGCCAGCAATCGAGCGTTCCTAGGAGACTTCTTACCTTTTACAGCTTACTCGACGTAGTGTTTTTTTTTGGCGAACACAACATTCCATCATGGAAATAATTGAGTTTACAGACAGGGCAAGGAATTGATAGACATTTTTTACCGCTGCAGCAGCAAATTGTGTGGTCGCGTGCCAAGGTTGGATGGTGACAGAGGAAAAGGGCGGTCTGATGGCAGATATGGTTTAAACTCATAGATCACTCATAAACCACTCATCACGAATATCCTCTTTTGACCTGTCCAAGTCGCCGCAAGGAAAACATACAATAGAAGCACTCGCGACCTTTTCCCTCTAGATAATTGGTGCTCGATGACATGGAGGCTGTTGACAATGTATATCGTATCGTCTCTACAAAGCGCTTTGACTGACACGTGGCTGACGCTCTTCAGTCCTCGCCTTCCTAGTCATACACAGCGGAGGAGAGACACTGCAGTCCGCCCGATGCATGATATTGGTTCTTTTTCATTCAGCACGGAGACTTGGACCGCGGCGGTCCTCTCTGTCAAGAACTCAGATGGACATGAACTTCGTGAGAAGCGAAATATCATTGCGACCCACACCGTGCCTCTCGCATGAACCAGACAGATCTACCATCATCTTCCCACGAACAGACCCAGAAGGCTATTGAGTATTCGATAGCGGTGGATCCAACACCAAGAGTGATGGGTGATCTGCTAGGTTTTGCCAAAAGCCAGCTTCGAAATCCCACAAATCCTGGCTCAACAGCGCCGCCCAGTCTTCATTCGGGTCGTCATTTCCGCTATACTGGGGATGGCTGGCGTCCGAGTTGAATGAGTCCAAGAATTTCTGAATGGTATGGGTGGCTTTGGATAGCAGCGCATAGTTAGGATCGCCAATCTTAACCAGTGTTCCAACTTGGACCTCTGCCACAAACACACTCAAGTCGCGGAGGGACTTTGTCTGAGAAATGCCCGGTATAGAATGAGAGTGCTGTTTCAGCAGCGCGAGCAGTATGATCCCCGCGGCCGGCAGTCCGTAGTAGGCAACCTGATGTTCTCTAATTCAGTTATTCAAGTCGATTGCTGCTGATACCACAATGCTGCTCATACCTTCCAAATGAGACCTGTCCCTGAGTTTGTCAGCTGGTCCCGTAGTAGAATCAACTCAACCACCAGAGCAAGCATCTGGCCCGCTGTCTGCACTATCAGATTGTCGGGTTCACTCGGAGTGCTCAGGAGCAGCAATCTCAAGAGAAACAGAACGTGGAGGTGGTTCAGGCGAACATGAGCCAGGAAATCCCGACTAAACGAGCTCTGCGCACATTGCTTCAAACAGCCTTCAAGGCGAAATTGGGGCGGTAAAGCTTGCCAATGCTGTTCGGCTTTTCGTTGAATAATGCTGCAACTTGTCAGTGTGTGATCCGGCGGGTCCCTATCGTGGAATGAGGGGGAACGGCCATCGGCTATCGCTGTCGATTCCACAGGCTCAAAACGATATATCTCACCTTGCTCGCCTCACGCAATCAGCATCTTGTTTATCTTGTAACAGCTCCCAGATCTCTTCTTTGAGAGAGGCACAGAGAGCAGACCAACACGTATCAGCTCTGTATCCAGTCTCCGCAGCCGGGTTCCATGTGAAGGAGCCTCCCGATGAGCGTAAAATGACACCATCAGAGGGAATCTGGAAGTAACAGAATCGTTTGGTCATGCGAGGGGGACGACCTAGGAAGATTGCAATATTCTTGTCGGCAGAGTAAATTCGCGCAAAGGCTGTCTTGCGCAACTCCATCAGGAAAGGTGGGATTTGGGGCTTGGCTTCAACATTTTCATGATAGCCAAGGGCAAAAGTGGATGAGATAACATCCCCGAGCTTCCGCCAGGTGCGGTAGCCTTTAAAGATATCAGTATGTGACTTGAATCAAGGCAGAAAAGATGCCGCTTGAAATGCAGCCGCCATTACGCACTCACTTTGGTCGCCATCTACGTACGAATGAACAATAAAGTTCTCATACTGCACGGTTAGCTGGAGGTCATTGAGACAATCCAGCGAAAGCGATATTTCCAGCGAAAAGTCGCAGAGCTTCGTGGCCAATCGTCGGAGGGTGAATTGCTGCTGCTCGCAGTTGTAGAGGAGAGGGAAGAAGGGAATATCGATCGTCGCTCGGCTCACCGCGGCGAAAAAGATTCCCAGTGTCTCCCAGCGCGCTTGATGATTCAGAAACTGCGCGGCAAAGCTTTCCAGATCCGAGGATGCATCAAATCGCAATGGCTGAGCCGAGTTCTGCAACAGGCGTTGCGCAAACACCAAGTGCCAATCCTCGTCACGGGAAGTGAACAGTTGAGTGACGCTTTCGGCGCATTGGGCCACAAAGGGTTCTGCCAGAGCTAGATTTGCACCCTTTGCCAACCAGAACAGAACGAGGTCTTTCATCGCGGAAAGAGAATAGCTCGTCAACAAGTGTCGCAGCACTTCAGCGCCCTGCCACAGGAGGTGGTTATCATCAATGCCCTGCGAGCCCACATTGTCGGCGTTGGGTAGATGACCGCCACCACCACTGCTTCCACCGGTCACTTGGTCGCCGTCCGTCGACGGAGTGATATGTTTGAAAATTGCCGCATGACTCGACGAGCCTAGATACCCTGGATTTGGATATGGATTGCGTCGAGGCTCGAAAGAAGGTGACGGGTCGGGCGATCTCACACTTTAGTCATAAATAAGCCTGTTGCCAATTAGACCCCATCCTCTTTCTAGTCTCTTTTCTGTATTCATACCATGGTACGTGATCTTGCGGGAAGGACAAGGTTCCAGTGATTAAGATATGAAGTACTGCCATGCACTGCGGAAGGGCGATGCTGTAGAGTGTATAGTGTGCACACTAACCCCTATACAGTGACACGCCCTACGAGCGCCCTACCAGCGCCCTACGAGTTGAGGAGATCCACCGCCTGTACATACCTCGGTTTTTCCACCCTCCGCCGCTTGAACGGGGCCGTGCGGTATATACAAACGCCTTGAGTACGTTGACAGCGTGCACATACGGGCTGTTGATGGTCGCAAGCTAACTTGGCTTTGCGACAAGCCTCGCATGCCGCCAGTCGAATTGCGGACATGAGTATGACTGTCCCGCGTTCCGAGGCTAAAGCACCTTTAAACTGAATCGACTGCCGAACAATAAGGCGGAACGGCACGGCCGTCACTGATAAGCTCCGATAACGAGCCGACAGTTTGGAATCTTTGAGTTCGACAATCTTCGGTATGAATGTGTGCAAATAGCCAAGTAGTAGTGTGCGGCTGCAATCTCATTAGCGTTTCGCGCCGCAGTTGGAGATCTTTCCGGTTTCAGGCGGCTATCGGCGGGGACACGAAGAATCTCGGTCCAGTCGGCGACGAAAAGAAAGGGCAAACGTAAGAAAGAAAAGGTGATAAGTTTCCTCCAAAGTGGGGAGAGGCAGACGAGTGGAGTCGGCGCGACTTTGAATGCGGAGTTCCAATCACATGAGGGTCAGGTGGGGTTGTTTATCAAACTATCGGAGTGTAGATGTCTCGATGTCTCTATGAAGGTTTCAAGCATCGAAAAGTATAAGAACACTTTTGACGCCCACCTTTCATCACTTCTTGTCCTTCCTCTCACTTTTACTTCCATTTGAACTCTTCCAACCACCATTCAAAAGTCGACTCGGCCTCTTGCGCGGCTGGTTTTGCTCTTGAACCACCCCTCCCCCCTCACCATCAACCCCACCGCAGCGGATCCCCTCACATTGATCACACCATGACCTCGGCAGAGACGATCCAACTAGGAGACTATCTCTTCACCCGTCTGCTCCAGCTAGGCGTCAACTCTGTCTTTGGTGTTCCAGGTGACTATAACTTACGCTTGCTGGATCACGTCGAGCCCTCAGGACTGCACTGGGTGGGCAACTGCAATGAGCTCAACGCCGCGTATGCCGCGGATGGCTATGCGCGCATCAACGGACTATCCGCGATAGTCACCACATTTGGCGTGGGTGAGCTCTCGGCTGCAAATGGTATCGCAGGCGCATATGCGGAGCGGTCCGCCGTGGTGCACATCGTGGGCACCCCTCCGCGGCCACTGCAGAGCTCTCGGGCGTTGATGCATCACACATTCTCCGATGGCGAGTACCGCCGGTTTGCGGCCATGGCAATCCACATCACTGCGGCGCAGATGAATGTCACAGATGCCATGTCGGCACCGGACAAGATCGACTGGATCTTGCAGCAGGCGCTGATTCACTGTCGGCCGGTGTACCTGGAGATCCCCGATGACATGAGCGAGACCCTAATTTCGGCGGCCAACTTGAAAACGCCTATTAGGGTCCCCACGGCGCCGAGCCCCGCTCATGAATCCAAAGTAATCACCCAGATTCTCGACCGGTTATACTCTGCTCAGAGGCCCTTGATCCTCGTTGACGGTGAAAGCCGAGCCCTGGGCATCCTCGACCAGTTGGACCAGCTCATTCAAACAAGCAACTGGCCTACATGGACAACGGTATACGGCAAGGGGCTCGTCAATGAACACCATCCGAATGTCTACGGCCTATACGCCGCAGCGTACGGCGACAAGCCCTCCCAGGAGTACTTCGAATCCGCCGATCTCATCTTGACCTTCGGTCCGCACTACAGCGACACAAACACCTACTTCTGGACGACCGTTCCCAAGCCCGCCGCAGCCATTCAATTCAAAGACAGCACCATCCAAATCGAAGACACCATATACCGCGACATATCCCCCAGCACAGTCCTCACTCAGATCCTCCAAACCCTCGACGCCACGCGGCTCGTCCAAGCCCTCGGCCCAGCTAAGCCCGAACCAGCCAGCACATCCAATATCCAAGACTCGGACATCATCGCCCAGCACAACTTCTACCCGCTCCTCAACCCCCTCTTCAAAGACGGCGACATCATCCTCACCGAAACCGGCACAGCCGCCTACGGCGGCCGCACTTTCAAACTCCCTCCGCAATCACGCCTCTTCGGCGCCGTCACCTGGCTTTCCATCGGCTTCATGCTCCCCGCCACACTGGGCGCCGCCCTCGCAAAGCGAGAACTCAATCAACCCACCGGTACCAAGAACCAGACCGTTCTCATCATCGGCGACGGTAGTCTTCAAATGACAGCCCAGGAGATCAGCGTCATGATCAAGAAGAAATTGGACATTCTCATCTTCATCGTCAACAACGAAGGGTATACCATTGAGCGCGTGATTCACGGCCGGAACCAAGGCTACAACGATGTGCCCTTCTGGCGACACACCCAGGCTCTAAACTACTTTGGAGCGGACGATGAACAGGTCAAGAATAGCACGTTCCAGGCTTGGACGTGTGGCGAGTTGAAGGAGATTCTGAAGAACGAGCGCGTGCACAGTGGGAGCGGCGTGCGAATTGTAGAGGTCTTCATGGAACGGGAAGATGTGCAGGGCCCGTTGCTGTATTTGCTCAATAAGCAAAAGGCAGAGGAGCGGGAGCAGCTGCAGAAATAAACAGTGGTGAGAGCAACCCTCAATTGAAGCTAGAGGCTCTATCTATCCACCATACCCTGATCTACTTGGGGTTGATTCGCCTTTGATGACGAGATGATAAAGAAGACATAGCCCATACTCGGTTTTCTCAATTGATTCTAGATCCCCCTTCCTTCATTATTTTCGACGCTAGGACACGAATTTACATGAAAAACTGAAAGTCAAAAACCTCTCAATTGATGTGATAGCTTCATTGTCAAGATAAATGATGATGGGAACAGTCTCGAATTAAGCTCAGCTGAGACAAGAGAAAGGTAAGACACCGTGCGAGATCGAAAGTCTCTCCAAAACATGCGGTATATAGAGCTCAGAAAAGGTTCAGATCAGCCTCGCCAACCCTGTAAGTGTAATATAGGATAACCCCGAAAATGAGCCACGTATCAAGCTCAAAAGAAGAACGCCGATTTTCCATGCCAATACCAAGTCTTGTGGCTGCAATGTTCATGTAAAACGACAAATGAGAGAAAAAGAAATAGCGCGTAGGAGCACAAAAATACATACTCCGGGGCAAAGACAGGCTGCAAGGAACAGGAACTGGGAATTCGCCGAAAAGGAGAGGAAAACACAAGCACAGTCGATCGCCCAAGAGATGGTCTGTCAGTGTTCCAAAGGTAACTCCTCTGGGCTGTCGTCAGAACAGCCGGACCACTCTATTTTCGGAAGCTTTCGACCCCAAGACTGGGAGTCTCCACGGCGCGGTCAGAGGGAACGCCCTCGTCACGGCGACGGGCAAAGAAACTATCGCATTCGGAGACAATATACGCCCATTCCGCCAACGCGCGACCGGCGTACTTGCTGGCGACGACGTACTCTTGCTTCGAAACTGAGGCGAGCTCCGTCACAGGGGAGCTCTGTGTAGTGACTGGAGACTGGTGTGAACTCGCAGTATGACTCTGCTTGTCACTTCGCGTGGTGCTTTGCTCCGAGGTATCGTCGGTCGACACCGTCTCAGATGCGGTCTCATAATCAACGGATGCCGTCGGGGACCGCGACCGGCATTGCTGCACATGGAGTTGAGAGGCCACTGGTAGACACGGTCTGAACAGACGCTTGTTTTTAGCAGGAAAACATGGTCGATCCATCCACTCCAGGGAGAATTTGAAGAAGTACGGCTGATGGGTGATCTTGGGTGGCACAGGTTCTTCCACGGGTGGCGTCGGCGTCTTCTCGTGTTCCTCCACGCATTGGCTTTGCGGAGAGGTCGCAGAATCTTCACTGGTGCCATCGGGGTCGTCTGAGGAACTACTACCGCTGGCCTCGTTCTGTTTCAACGAGCTTGAAAACATGGAACGAAGTAGCCCCCACCGCCGCTTGGGCAGCTGAGTGTCTGGCCCAGTCAGAGTAGAGGGGCTTGGTCGTCTGGGTGGGCTGATCTGATCCGACCGCGCCGGAGGAATGACTCGGTCGAAGGAGACGAACAGGTTGACCGGAGACAGCTGATTTTCGCAACGAATAATAATAATCCGTCGGCCGGGCGCAGGAGTACAAGGAGCCGAGGACAAGGGCGCGGTGAGCCCCTCTGCGGCCTTGGATTGAAACCCTATGTAATACTCCCATACTCGCAGCAGTCGATCAGACAACGTCTCATATATGAGGCTAGGTAGATTGTGTTAGCAGGATCCTCAGATTACGATGGCGTCAGCAGCGGTGCACTACTCACGAATCAAGTGACGAGGGGTCCTCCTGGAATCGACCCACTCTCCAGCACAGCAAGCGATGGAAATAAGCGCGCACCATTGGGCTCCAGTGATAAAAGTAATGATAAAAGACGGGTTCATGTAGCAGGAAACCCAAGCAAAGGCCCGCCTTTCGGTCGTTTGCCGCGGTCCAGGTGGGCCATATAATGTAGAGGAATGACAGAGCGCGCACTTCCGTCAGTGAATTATGGCTTTGCATCATCTGCCGGCACACATCCAACCAGAACGCCCAGTCGAAAAATTGAGTCTCGATGGACTGCGAATATCGGGCAACGATCGGAATGATCTCTTCCAAGAAATCACAGAGAAGGAAGCAAGCCCGGTGATCGAACAAAGAGATACGCTGCGCTGCAATTTTGAGCAAACCACAAAAGCTTTCAGCGTAGAACAGTCGAGCACGATTGGGCTCGGAGGAGGCGTCGGAGAGAAAGTCGCGAAGAAGAATGATCAAGCGATTTTCGGCCATCGGCCTCTGACTGTTTCGGCCACTCATGAGGGAGTGGGAAGCCGCCGAAACGTCAGGAGACTCCATAAGGTCATCAAACGTGATGGCGGCCGCGATGTGGTTGGTCTCCGGCTGTTGCACCGACTGCTTGAAAATCGTATCCTCGATAGCAACGACCAGTTGCGCGTGTACCATGAGCAAACCTGGTGCGAAAATCCTTCTTTCTTTGGCCGTGACGGGCGGCGTATATTCTGCGTAGAGGATATGGATGTACTTCAAGAACACAAAGAAGAGATCGGTGTCACGCCCACACCATCTTGCAATCCAAGGGCCACGCCAAGGGATATTGGTCGTGTTGAGGGGTGGCTCGGGCTTGGTGCGCATGTATCGCAGTAAAGGGGCGTGGGAATGGAAAGCCAAGGGCCGAATCGCGAGAGGGAAATGGGAAGCAAGCTCATCGGTGAAAGCACGCATGTCCTCGCCTGGAGACTTGGGAGTCTCGGCCAGGAGACGACGAAAGACCGCCGTAGGCGTCTTCCATAGGCGGACCATCTGATCTGCAACTCCGGGGCAAAAGAAGAAGGCATACGCACATGCCTTACCACAAAACGCCACCAAGCTTGCAGGTGCATGTCTCATCGACATACGCTCAACCACAAACACCATCTGAGACACAAGATTCTGAACAAAAATGTTGCGGATATTGTGATGGATGCTTTCGACTAGGAAATCAGACCCCGAGGAGGCAGACCCGTCTGAAGCCTCGGACACGGAGGTGGAAGCGTATTTCAAGGAATCGTTCTGATCACCGTCTTGATGGGTACTGGGGTAGGGAATACGCCACTCCGGTCGACTCATGATGCCCACGACCGCTTCCAGGTAGACTGGCCGGTCGGTGCCAGAAATTGACTGATTGTGTTTGCCGTTCAGCATTTCCAACATGCCAATCCACCATTTGTTTAGAATGTTGATTCTGCGGTCCAGGTCCTCGGGTCGGAGGTTCTTGCAAGAAGAGTGCAGGTGATGACGACTCAGAAACGGAAGTAGCGATGAGCGAATGACATTCGCTTTCAATGCACTGGACTTGGTTTGGAACCTGACAAAACCACGTTAACTCCGTTAGTGATTTCATGAAGCGGTGATGAGGAAGTTCCGGCTGCTAAGCACCTACTTTTGGAAGTCTGCTTCGAGACCCCGGAACATGCCCCACAGCTCGTCCTTTTTGGTGTTCTCAAGTCTGTCGTTACTCTTGATGCTGTTGCTAGTCTTGACGCTGCTATCGTTGGCGATATTGACGTATGAGGCGACGGTCTTTGCTGCGCCCTTGGGCATCGGAGGAAGAATTGGGGTGGAAATGGAGAGCGATGCGGTGAATCTTTCGAGAGATGTCCGATTCCGTAGTGACTGCGAGGGGCTGTTCGGTGAATCCGGGGAATCTGAGTTACCTTTCGAGACGACTGCGACCATGGGCCGTCGGGGACGCTTGTACAGCATTGATCGCCGACGAGAGGTTGGCGTTATGTCCCCCTCGCCATTTTCGGTAGAATCAGTCCGCTGATCGCTCGAGCGCGTAGGCGGTTGCTCCTCCAATATCTGTTTGGATCTCTTGGGCGCTGGTGAAGGAGAACGAGAGGCTGATCCCCAGGGTTTCCGTGCCAAACTGACGATTCGGCCCGACATGGAACGAGTTTTCAGGGGCCGAGCAACAGGTTCGGGAGCCCGCGTTTCCGGTATAGTTGGCTCGCTGCCATCTTGCTGTGGGGGATTAACGGTTTCTTTGAGATCTTCCGTTGAAGAGAGGGTGAAGTGTGAGACCGGTCTGGAGAATCTCTCGGGCTTCTTCGCACGTAATGACGTCCTCCGCAGGATATCCTTGCCCGCCGCCACAGTTTCTTTGGTGGGCGAATCGGAGAGAGAAGGAATGGCGCAGTCGGAGAAGGTGCGTCTCAGACCGGGCGGCGTCGAGGTGGGCGATTGACTTGACAAGTCGGTGAAACTTGCGGCCCGGGTGATGAGGGGGTCATCGTCGCTAGGGTAGATGCTACTTCTCCTACTCGTGGTCGTGGTCGTAGTCGTATCTTTCGTCGTGGTGGTGATTGTCGTAGGAGCAGAGGTCAATATCCGCAGAGAGGGCAAAGACATTTTCTGTTATGGAGAATTGAGGAGGGAGCCAAGTGTGGGCTAAAGTCCAATTGGCAGACACAGCATTGCCTGGTGGAAACACAATCACAAACACACGCGCGAAAGGTATGTGGGAAGAGACCAGCTCCTTTCAACCACAGGGGAACAAAAATCAAGGGTCTTTCGTCGTTTTTGAGATTGTGAGAGGTGATCGAGCTAGGCGCGCAGCATTGCTGAGTAGAGACGGGCAGTGAGAGCTTCACAGAGGTCGCAGCAGAGTTCCAAGTCCAACTGTAGCAGAACTGGATCCGGCCGACTCCTGCGGAGAGAGAGAGAGAGAGAGAAAGGCAAGATTGACCAGTCACACACTCAGAAAGCCAAGGTTCAAGTGTTCGGAGCTCTTTTTTTTTGTTTTCTTGAAGGGTGGAGTTTGCAGATTAGTTGATATTGCAGCGCAGGAAGTCGGTCAACGAAAATCAATAATCGATCAGTCTTCTCTGCAGTAGCTTGAATATTGCGAGGAAGGGCGGCGTGGGGACCGAAATAGCAACTGATCGGCCGGTGAGCAAGAGATAACGAGCGTTTCACGTTGAGCGAATGCAAAGATCAGAGATCTCGTGGAGAGTGGTGATATATGACGCTGCAGAACAGGGATTCAGGATCCAGAGACGATTTAATAGGGATTTCGGAGGAAAAGATGCTGGTGAGTTGACAATGATCTTGAGGAAGCGACGGTGTACCAGTTGGTGGAAATAATAGCGTATTGCGGGCGTGAGGGAAGGGGTGGGGACTGATGATCCCTTCGGAGGAGGAGGAGGAGGAGGAGGAGGGAGGCGGAAGAGAAGAAGCACGAGAAGGACCAGGGGAAAGTCGAGAACAGACGATGAGGCAAAAGGGAGGAGAGGAGAAAGAGGACTCGAAGCAGGGAAGGGGGAAGAAGAAACGAGAGAGAGAGAGAGAGAGAGAGAGAGAGAGAGAGAGAGAGAGAGAGAGAGCTCAATACAAGAGAGAAACAAGCGTGGGAAAGAGTGTGAGAAAGTTGGAGAGATAACGAGATAGACAAGATTATTCGAGAAGCTGACGGCAGAAGAGGGAGAACGGGGCGCCTGGGGGTAAGAGGGACCGGAGAGGCACGACAAGTGGGTAATGCTTCGGAGCTGGTCGAGAGAAACATCATTCATCATACCTCATCACCATCCGACTTCCTCGATCATCATCGTCTTCTAGGTTCTGAGTAATAAGGTATTAGGTTCCGAGGGAAGTGGAGATTCTACCAGCGTGCAATCTGTCGAACTGACTCGAAAGGCTTCCGTGAACCTGAAGGCATTGAGAAGGTCCAGCAGTCTCACTTTCATCGCTTGAGCAGTCTGATAGTCAGACAATCCTCGACAATTGAACCTCGCTAGGCTCTACAGTACGACTACGAAGTACAGTAGAAGGACACACGGCCATCGCACCCGTGCTCCTACTACTAGTCAGAGTAATGTGTTTAGTGTTTACGACACCACAGCTTACTACTCACATACTACCTTACATAGCACCAACTACTACCTAAGTAATTGCCAACAAAAGAGATGATTACCAAGACTATGCTCAGGATCATGAACGTTATCATGCGTAGACCTACCTATGCTGCCCCTTTCGGCTTCCCATCCCAAATGGAGCCCTCGCAAAAATTGCGACACCGATGTTGGTGATTCCGAAGCGCCGAGACTCTGATAGGGACGCTCCAGGGCAGCTGTAATGCAAAAGTGGAGAGGGCCCGTATAATTTCTCTTGCTTTTTGCTGTAACCCGGTTTCTTCTGGCGGAGCCGGTGGAGGCGTTATGATCTATGAGAAAGGGAGAGAGAAATACATCAATGAGTTACAGACTTCCGGGAGGGTTGAAGTGGTTCTGTCCTCCGAGGTAATCGAGTCTATCTGATCTTTGATCAGGTCACGTTCAAGGACAAAATGGCACTGGCACAGACACAGGCACAGGTACACTGACAGGTACCGGGTACCGGCTCCATCGCGGTGCCGCGCGGTATTCGGGAGGAGATGGGAGACCCGGGACGTACCTGCCCGCCAAAGTCAGGGACTCGGCTTGTACCTAACAAGTTACAGCAGCAATCCCGATCATGCAGCGACCTGCCTGGAAGGGGTACTTTGCATGGAATTAAAAAATACCGTACCTGAAACTGAAGGTGGTGAGCCCGATGCAGAGATTAATGCTGTTGGTAACTTGGTACTACAGTATCATAATTGTAGTCACTTATCAGGAGTGATAGAACAGTTCGTATTCGGCCGGTGAGGGACATGCGACCGACGGACAAACTCTCTTTGCGCCTTCTGCTCCTTCTGCAGCTGTCTCTCCGTCCTTCCTCCTCTACTCCCCCCAAACACCCAGGGAGAGAGAAACCCTCCCAAAGGCGGCAGATGACGTGGGAGGTGCCAGACTAGTAAGTCTGCTTATCCACAGTCCACACCCAAGATCGGGTGGCTCTCGTCCTGGCTTCAACTAATTCGCTTGGCTCTTTAGCTGCTTTTGCTGCAGGATTGCTGGCTCGGGTAGTCGGAACCCTTGGGGCCAGGGATTATTAGTAGTCACTTTGCCGGCGAGGGAAGTACCAGAAGTGGAAGTTACCACCTCTGTTGTTCAGGTGTACTACTCACTTGACCGAGCACCTTATGCAATATGCACTTATGCAGTAGTAGTACCCTCAGGCCTTGTCCCTTATCCTCTTGACGAAAAGTTCATGTCTACCCGTACGAACGAACGACAGCCACTGAGTGCTACACTGCAGTCACGGCGGCTAGACTGGCACATCATGCAGTGTATCTATGCGCTCGAGAAGCTGCGCGAATGACTTTTTTTAGTATCACGAGAACAGCAATAAGTGACCTTACTGTACTGAGTACTGACTACTACTGACTGACAAGTGTAGGCATTTGACCAGTGCCACTGCCAAGTGCCAACTCTACCACCTCTACAGACTAAGACAACGCCCACCGCATCCAAACAATGGTACCACGTTGGAAACCCTGGGAAGCTCTGGAACTGGCCCAGTCCTGCCAAGTTCTGGAGTTCCAACTTCTTCCCTATCCGCTTACTCAACCCCGAAATCCTCTCCAGCTCCGGGCTGGAGCTCGGGCAACGTTAAGGAAGGGGGAGTCGGAGTGAGTACTATACTCCTAGGTACCAGTAGTAACATATTAGTCAACACCAAATCAAGTCTACTACCAGTACCTGTAGTAGAGCGTCGGGACTCGGGACCAGGAGAATAAAAAAAAAAAAAAAAAAACCTAAACACAAACACAAACACACCTTTTCCGACCGCATCTGAGACAGTCTGACCCCGTCCATCATCGCCCGGCTCCAATTGTCCAATTCATTCAGTTGTCATTGGTGCCCCTCTCTACTCGAAACTTAATTTCCCAATATTTGGGTTCCTGGCCAGCGCCATTGGTGGTACCAGTTCTGTTTCTCCTACAGTTTGGACACGATGAAATCAATCTCCAAGTAGGCTAGTAGTGAAGCACAGATGAAGTAATCATGAGCCGTCCACTACAATAGGAGTACTAGTAGTCTAGTAGTAGTACAACGACTGTGCAAACTGCCCAGTCAACGAGAATTTCTCATGGCCAGATAAGATAACCAAGAGAATGTGAACAGTCACTGGGGAACACTGAACACCATCTCCTCATCTCACCGTCAACAGCCAAGGTTGAAGGTACAGTACACATCATTACCTCTCGCCTACCGCCCTTATTGAGGAACAGCGTCTCTGGTCTTAGTACGCGGCCTCATCAAACCCTAAAACAAGAGTATTCCCTCCTTCGAATCCTCGGACCTCCAGAATCAAAGGCTCGTGTCCTCTTCCCTAATTGAATGTAAGTACTACTGCCACCACCTTCCTCCCGGTCCTACTGCTGCTTCGGCACCATATTTCATGCAGCTGTCGTGCTCGACTCTGTCCTCTCACAATAGCCCCATACTGAGAACAAAAGACAACCGAAGACGTACAGTAGTACATCAGACGTAGTACTACCACCGCCCGCCTGTGATGGAGCACTGCTTCTCAATTCCTGTCTCCAATGTCTCAAGTCTGACCTTTCCAACATGAACGCCCCTCTCTCCCTAAAGGATCAATTGGCGCACTGCCCCTCGCCCAGCCTTAATTCCAACGCTGGACCAGTGGGAGCTCCCAGCACCACGCGCCACACACCATGCGCCGAGCGCCAATGATGATTGCTGCGGAGATGAGATGATGAGATGGATGGGATGGGGGGTCCTTGCCGTTGCACAGAAGAACCTTGGCGGGGGGGTTCCCCCTTTCACGTTGTCCTGGGTTCGGAGTCTAATCATCCATATGCTCTTCGACGAAGATCATCGGGGGGGGGGGGGGGGGGGTCGTAATCCAGCTCCAGCTCGGCTGACAATGCAAACGTAATGGGATCGAGCAGCCGTCACGACTCACGACTCACCACCTCACTACGGCGATTGAGCTGGGCAGACTGAGGGTCTAGAGACGACATGGTAGAGTCAGAACTTCCTGGATCACGCAGGACGTAGGTACCAGGCAGACAGCTGTTTGCCCATGTCGAGTAGGTTTATCGGTTTCATCCAGCCATGTTCCACCGTAGGCCATCGTCGCCAAACGGCTTCACGAGATCCGCGACTCCCGCGCCCTCGGCTTCTTCGGCGCCGGAAAGCCATACGAAGCAAACAGTCAAGAAGGTCCTCATGCATACAATGCCATGAATGCATTCTTAAATCGGGTTGGCCCGATGCATCGAGACCGGCCGATATGCAACACGTGGAGGCATTATTTGTAGACAATACAGTGTCATGCTGCTCGAGACGCAGAGACTCAAGTAGGCTTATCGACCGAGGCACAAGTCTTATCATAAGGAATGGTCATCGTCTATGCACGCGCCTTTGACGACACGGCTGGGACACAGCACCTGAGCACCTGAGCGTATCAGCACAGTCAGCAATTCAGCACCTGAGCACACTGCTTAGAGTCAACGTATTACGTAGTCATGAGCACTCGTCGGCAACCGGTGCTGGGAGTGGGAGGAGCAACGCCGCGGAAGATCCCCGCCGGCAGCGGAGGATAAGATGAATGGAGCACAATGTCAATCGCAACGCGCCCGCACCATTTCTTCCTGCCACATCGCGTCGACCACAAAAGGAAAGCGATGGAACTGGAGGCGGGCTGTGGCGCCAGCCGCCGATGAGTTGGCATTCAGCACCACCGGCACCCACATATCCAATTGTATGTAGGGACCTTTGGACAATGGACAGTGGCACTGACCCAGTCCTTCGTTTTCAGCCGCACAGCCATTGTATGCGCCAGCAGTAAGACCATCCTGTATCCACTAAATAATATATATTAGACAGTAGTCATGCATTTATGCAGCGATGCAGTGATGCACCACTCGACCCCCTGGTCCTAGTTACTCTCTTAGGCAACAGACTTTTCCCTTCTTTTTCTCACGCGGAGGATCTGACATTTCTTAGAGGATCGCCCAGAGATCCCCTCGCTCTCGTCTGCCCTGCCTTTCCGATATGCAGAGGGCCAAAACGGTGCGCACGATAAGACTTTGATTGGCGGCTCTGGAATTCCTCGGGTGAGCGATCACTGTGGACTCTTATGGATACGTTACTACTCGCAAAAAAAAAGGGGGGCACAAGTACAGTAGTGTGACTTTGCTCGGACTGGATCACACTAGCGAGGATAGCTCCTGCATTGCGACTGCCGGGAAATGAGAGACTTGGGTGTGCTCATAGTAGTGAAGGCCTGGCTGAGGACCTCACACGGCATCGGGCATGGAGGGAAAAGGGTAGTCGAGATCGGATAGAGCTGCTACTACAATAAATAACTACATACATGGTACCATTGTTCAGAGATTACGGTGAGTGTAAGTGTCCTACCGTGGAAGGCAGCCCTCATGTTGGATAGTATACAGTATACACTCAAGACACTAGACACTAGACACTAGACACCGGACAGGAACCCCTGTCATAGCGAGGACGAGGGACCCCACTCGGAACAATTCGTGAGGAATGATGAAACCGATGTGGCTTTTCTCAAACGATTTGTAAAAGAATGCGATCTTTTTTCTCTTTTTTTTTTCTTATTGCTGGATGTCAATGAGTGAAATCATCTGGGTGACGATTGCCGACGCTAGTAGATGAAAATTCTCCATGGGTTGATGAGGCTCGGCCATCAGCGGTCAAGACTAATATAGTTCGTGGAGTACCTTCGTACCTTACTACCTACCGCACTCCGCAGTACCTGGTAGCAGCAGATCACTGTATCTCCAGCGACATCCGTGGCCGCTGTGAGTGTCACGTCGGAGCGACGGGAAAGGGCGCTGGAGCTAGAGTGCCGTCAGTCTAAGATTTGAACAAGGGTCTCGGCGGCAGCCCTGTACTTCGAAGCCGCCAGCTCCAAGTGAAGCACCCGACCTTGAACGACTTGGGATCATATGTAGGATCACTCGAGCTTGCTATGGCATATCGACCGAATGGGTCTCATGGGTCTCATGGGTCTGGACCAGTGGACGGTGGCCATGGATGTTGTACGATATGCAGAGTGCAGCGTATGCCTGCAACCAGTACACGCGCCACTCATGGAGCTGTAAGACTACCACATCATCGTATTACTCGCGTTCCAGGTGCTACAAACACCTGATCTTATGACCGGATCCGAAATATCTATCAAGGATTCATCGACGGGAGGTCTACGCTTCATACAAACTCCCAGGTCGAAAGTGCAGGACACGAGGTGTGAACCAGAACACCCAACTGAAATGGTTAAAAAAAACCCCCCAACAACCCGGTATCTGCTGAGCCACGATGCCCGAGACCCAAAAAAAAATCCGACAATCTCGCGCGCCATCACTTCACTCCACCAGGCTAAGCCAGCAGTGCACCACGTCGCCGGCGCAAGAGATGCAGCTCGTTCGAGCCTCGCTCCACTTTTACGACGCCCCCATCGGTCCGGCCGTGCCCAATCTCGGTAAAGACCAACGAGCCTCATCTTTGGTCCGATCAAGATTTCTAAGCGCGGCTCACATTTTATAAGGTATATTATTTAACCAAATCTACTTTGTCTGTTCGACAAGCTGGTAAGATGGCCGAGTTGGTCTAAGGCGTCAGGTTAAGGTCCACCTTAGCACAAATTCCTGATCTCGTTTACGGGGCGTGAGTTCGAATCTCACTCTTATCATTTAACTTTGCTTTTTGTTTTTGTTTCTCATTGCTTTTATTATGTCGCCCGTCGCCTACAACGTGTATCGTGATATGTCCATCCGTATGTCTCTATTTGTCTCGGTTCCTGTTTCCTGCGGCATGGGTTGGGTGTCAGTTGCGCAATAATTCGATGACATACTTGCAAACACTATGAAGATGACAAGAGGTCCGTCTATCTCGTATTGACCGTCCGGGATGCGGTTCAAAGTGCCAAGATGGAGCCCATTCCTAGGTCCTACACATCGCATAGATTACATTTTGTCGATTTGACAGGTTTATTTTACCTCGATAGAGAGATAATGGATCCACCGCCGCTAGACACTTATTCGAATTTTTTTTTCTTTTCTTCTCTTTACGCTTGCTTAGGCTGATATGATAGTAGACCTCGCTATGATGTACATTCTGATCGAAAATCAAGCCGCTGGTCAGGTGGGCAACACCCACGTCGAGACAAAGGCGGCCAAGAAAAAACAAACCCAAAGGGGGGAATCGGGGATTGCAGCAGTCGAGCTGCCATTTTCAAAGCTTTCCGACAAATTCTTTTGAGAGTCAAAAAGTAGGAACGCAGAACAAAAAGGAGAAGGAGTCTCAAAACAAGAGAGCAACGTGCAGGTCGAATGAGCGACGGCCATTGTGCCCTGAAAGACTACATCCTCAATCAAGCCGCAGGGAGTCGGCTCATGTCGCCCTTGTCCTTCTCAATCCAAGAGGGGTCGATAAGACGCTCACGGGCCGCATAAAGATGCTTGTAGGCACCCCGGATGGTTCCATCACTGACATGGACAATCTGGGAGATCTCCTTGGGAGACTTGCCCTGTCCCATCAAGTGAGAGGCCATGTAGATGCAGGCAGCCACAATCGACAGTGGAGAGCGACCAGCGAGGATACCAGAGGCGGTAACTCGGTCCGAAAGCTCCACAGAGACACGAGGGAGAGGATATCCAAGCCGAAGCAGATTGCAGAAACGGTTGCACATGTCGCTAGGCTTAGTCGAGGTGGTGGTCTCATACACCACGTTGTCGGGGGTGCCACCACTTGCAACAACAGCCGCCTTGCGGGCCTCGTCGTTCTGGGTGAAGAACTTCTCCAGGGATTTGTAGATGCGGCCGATCTCCTTGCGGCTAACCTTAGTGACAGCGAAGATCTCGGAGAAAGAACGGGGAACCTTGCACTTGCGACAGGCGATGAAGATGCAGCCGGCGATCAAGACGTCTTGTGACTTGCCCTTGAAGGCCTTGGCGTCGTCGACGGTTTTGAAAAGGAACTTGGCCATGTCAGCCACATTCTTTTGGATGTTGAAACCTTCACACATGGCGCCAATCTCCTTGTATGCCTGCATCAGGGCCTTGTTCTGCTTGTCGTTGGACTGCTTGTTCTGGGCACGATAAAGGTCGCGCGAACGACCGGTGGCACCGCTGGCAATGGAAGTTTCCAATTGATCACCGTTCAGTAGCGGGTTACTGACATCACCGACACGCGAAGGGTCATCCGAATTCTGGTCATCGTTCGAGAAAGTGCGCCATTCGGATCCCATATCAATGCCACGGTCTCCAAGGACCAGACCACAGCTACCGCAGGTGGTTTGGTGAGAATCGAATTCCAGGTTGGGAGGCACTTCCTTGCACTCGCTGCAGATGACGTGTGCCGCAAGATTCTTTCTGAACGGAATTCCTGCCGTCTCAGGCTTCCTCATGGTGGAGCTTGTCGCCATTTTTGTCACTCGGCCAAATTGTTCGATGCGGGCTTTACGTCGCTCAACGATGTTCTTATGCGACACTGGTATGCGATACTTTCGAGTGTAATAACGATGGAAAAGTGGCGAATACGTGTTGGCGGCTTACTTGTAGCGACTGCGAGAGGGGGAAGCAGGGCAGCTCCCTCAACTGGTCGAGGGAACTGGAGGGACGCAGACGGGTCTCACGACGGCTGTTTCTTTGTCCGTAAGACTGTCACGTGGGCAGTGATAATTAGCCAAGCTCTCGATGACTCTGGTCCTGATCACGGGTCCAAACATGCTTGTGGCTCTGTTCATAAATCCTGCCCAGATGCTCTATAGGAACACTCGCAGGCATCACGCAGGCCCTCAGATGTGCAAAGCGAAAGCGGCATTACCTTTTCCGAGGCGAAACTACTCGCAGACTCGCAGCTTTGCTCGACGGGTCACCTCTATCTCCCGGAGTGTGAGGGAACCGTCTCGCTCAGACGTCGCGCTGGTGCGGGGCGCAAAGGAGAGATTTTTCACCAAGCCTCAGCGTTGTCCGTCCACGTTGAACCAGTCAAGGTCTCCGTAAGAGAGATGTCTCACGAAAAGGGTGGCAGAACTTGACGGGTTGATGCAAATGCTGGAGGCAAAGACGCAACAACAAGTCGAAGCTCCGGTAGGACAGGCGGAGAGGAAGAGAAAGAGGTGTGTGTCGAGAGAGAGAGGAAGTGTGAGAGGACGGGGAGTGAGAGTGCCTGGTCAAGGCCACAATCGATCCATCCAGAAACAGACGGCAGGTGCCAGATGAGAAATCCTGGGTCACGTGGGGTGGGAAGCGTTGCCTGCCTAGTGCGACTGCCTCAGTGCCTACCGTTAGGAAGCCTGACAATGACGGGGTGGACGGGCAGCGGGTCAGATGACTCAGCGCCAAGATTTGATCCCGAAGAGAAGTCGTTTCCAACCTCATCTTGCACGGAGACCGGCTCAGTTCCATCTTGTCGAGACACTAAACCCCTCTTAACTCCCCTCATCTTCACCACTCTCCCGTCAAGATGATGTCCCAGTCCCTCCGGGCCTCGGTGAGCTCACGCACTTGACAAGAATATCTCGTCATTGCCGACTAACACGCAGTCACTAGCGCTCTCTCCTCACCCGTGCCTCTCGGCAACAGGTCCCTGTCGCTGCTCGCCGCACCTTCCTGACCTCCGCTGTCCGTCGCGGTATGTCTTCGCCTCCCTGAAATACAAGAGAATCGTCATTTGCATTGCTACAATCAACATTTGCGACGACCCCAAGGCTAACTTCGCATAACCCTTCCTTAGCCGATCAGGTTCAGGATCTCTACCTGCGTGAGCTCAAGGCCTACAAGCCCACCCCCGTGAAGCCCAGCGACGCCGAGGGCAACGTCCACGTTTTCAACCTCCCCAAGGCTCCCCCCTCTCCCCGAGGAGGCCAACCTTGCCAGTGAGCTGTCCGCCTACGAGGCCCAGCAGGTCGAGGTCGAGGGCCAGTCCGCCGCTGGTGAGGCCGCCCCTGCCGAGGAGAGCTGGTTCGAGGAAGATGAGGAGGAGGCTGCTGCCGCTCACTAAATTCGCCTCATATATTCCTTTTTTGGCAAGGTCTGGGGAACTTCGAGAGGCCATGCATACATCTGGCACTTGAAAGTTTTGACCGCCTCTCCGGGTTTCAACGCCTGTAAATTAGACCACTTTTTGAAATGTTGAGCTTTTTTCTTTTTCAGTCCATGAGAAATACATCTGCGCCCTGTGCGGTGTTTATTCATGGCAAGCAAGCGATGCGTGCAGTTGGATACACCTACCTAGTGTCTCGGTTCCACGACTTATATCGACAATGGAAGCCCTTCAAAACTTAAAGGATGTCCGAGTACCGCCCGATTTTTGAACGACTGGGACTCGTGATTGTTACAGTGGCTATTTAGGCCATCTCAAAGCCATTCCGTGGGAACTTCAAATCCATCGTTGTCAATGAACTTGCGAGATAGCTTGAATTGACATGAGAGAACACATGGACTTCCGGCTAGCTACCATCGGCATCGGGCCCTTTCCCTCATCACTCACAATTGATAATAATGAGATTGATACTGTTTTGTCTATGGCATATGCCCATCTGAAGCGACTTCACCCGATCTCACCTATGCCCGAGCCCAGGGCCCTTCATGTACGACCATGGGCAGTGCCAAGCAGACCGGATGTAATAATGCCAGAAACACCAACCGGGGTATACAAATCACTTGTCAATTTGATCGCTGGGTCTGGCAATCGTTACTCACAGTGACCGTTTTCAAGGGTGTGAATCAACTGCATAAAGATCTATGGAAAGGTGTATTCACTATGCAGGCAGTCGAAGCGATACGCAACAGGTGGCTCAGTAGTCGTTCGTCAATTGTGTGTGTAACAGGTGATGGTGATGGCGGAGTGAATCTGGGTTAGTCGACATCATGGCCGTGAAGAGTAAATACAATAAACTAACAGAGCTACGGCAATCTGAGGAAGGCTACATCAAGCACCAATTAACACGTGTTAACTTGAGAAAGATAGTTTGAATAGCTGGTGGCATAAAAGATGCGTCTTATCAAGCATAGCGCAAAATACGAGGATTATTTGGGCAGGAACCGCCCCAGCTAAAAAAAAAAAAAACACACAACGCATCGAAGAGATCTGCCTAGACAGACTCATTGGTAGGGTGAGCGCTGGTGCCGCTTTCAGAGACCTGCTTGGCACTAGCAGCTGCAGAAAGATCCTCAAGAGCTTCTCCTAATTTGGTAGAAGGATCGGGGGTAGTTTCATGCGCGGTCAACGGTTCGGTGCTGGTCTTAGCTGGTGTCGCCTCGAGGGCAGAATCTGAGGCCTCGTGCTCAAGCTCCGCTGGCTCCTCCGTCGAGGTCGCCGTTGGCACTTCTGTCGGAGTCTGAGACTGAGCGGCACTGATTTTCTGCGACTCACTGTCCTCGGACGGACTTTCACCTGACACAGATTTGTGTTCCGAGACAGGATCAGCTGGCTCGCCAGCAATATTCTTGGCAAGCTGAGGGGCCATAGGGGTTACAGAAGGGGCTGAAACTTCAGTCGAGGAAACAGGCGGCTTAGTTTCTTCGCTTCCCACGGTCAAGTTACCATCCTCACCGACAGACCAGACGTTCCACGTTCCCGTGATCTTGATTTCAGGAATGGGGGGTAATCTGGCACTGGCATTGTCGCCAGCAGGCTTTCGCCGTGTGGGGCCACGAGCTCTGCCCTTTCGCGCATCACTGAGCGGCTGCTTCTCCACGGGTGCTTCAGGCTCCTTTTCCTGAGGCTTTGGCTGCGGAGGGCCCATCTGAAGGCGTGAATTGAGATCAGTGAGGAATCCAGCCTTGAGAGCTGCAATTTTACTGCCGCCAGGTCGAGCTGGAACTGCTGGCTTTGCCTTGGCCCCTGCACCGGGCTCCGTGGCAGTCTGCGCGCTAGATCGGGCTGGTCGCGCTGGGATCTGTGGCTTTGGACGATCTGGAATGACCGGTGCCTGGCGTTTCTCCGCGGCAGATGCTTCAGACGCCTGCTTCTGCGGGCGTGGAGGGATAGATGGCCGAGAGGGCACTTCAGGGCTTTTAATTTCTTCGCTGGCGGGCTCGACGGTCGTCTCTAGCTGCTGACTTTCGGGAACATCCTCCCAGATATCCCGACTGGGAAAGCGTTGCTTCACCACCTCGGGTCGGGAAGGACCTGTGGCACTGTTGTTCTTGTTGGGCCCCTGCAAGACGTGACGTGCCACCTCATGCGAATCAATATTGGGGGCCTGGGCCTTTCGGGCGGCTTCCTGTTCGGGTGTCTCGAACAGTTCCGATGAATCGGACTTGGGGAGGTCTGGCGTTGAGACGGTGGCATGGAGCTGAAGACTGTTCGGAGTATCCTCCCAGATATCCTCACTAGGGAAGCGGTGCTTCAGCAGGTCGGCGCGGTTTTTGAATCTTTCGGTAGCCGAGAGAGAACGGGGTTTCTTTGCATCGCCCTCCTCGGGGAAAAGAGGCTCGTATTCCTCAACATCTTCGAGGGGAGTGGATTGATCCTCATGGAGGTCACGGGAATCATAGCGCACCAATGTTGGGTTTCCCTTCGCAACAGCAGACCTGCTGTTGGAGCGGCTGTGGGAGAGACTCGGGGTACGAGTACGCTCTTCATCAAAGCTTCCTCGGTGCTCGATGGAGGGACTGATCGCAGGATGCAGATAAGCAGACCCAGGGCGGACTTCATCGGCAGCCAAAATAGGCTCATCGCGTTCGATATGATTCTGAGCGTCAGGGGTTTCGGTATGAGACGCCGGGGTCGCAGAAAAGCCGTCCGGGTGGTGAACGGGGTGCATTGGGTCGTCAACGTGAATCACTTCGGCATCCGGACGGTGAGAGGTTCGTCGGGAATGACGCAACGGAGAAGCTGGAACCTTGGGCTCAATCTCGGATGCTGGGAATGACATCTGTCGAAGCGGGGATTCTGCGACGTTCTGATGCTCACGGCGAGCATCGGGTTCGGGAGAAGCCATTCGATGTGTGTATTCATCCGACGCCAGATACCCGACTTCTTCGTTGGGGGTGCTTGCAATTGCGGGTGAAGTGCCTGTACGTGAAGAAAGGATAGTCAGTCAGCGACTCCGTACGATCAACCATGCAGAGTGCGATTCTTCTTACCGATTCCGGATCCAGCGCGGCTTGGTCCGTGGACAATCTTATTCAGGTCATCACTGCTCAGGGCCCAGTCGGGGCGCGGAGTGCCCACGCCCGGACCATATTGACCCTCTTCCTTCACAAACTCGTCCGGGTGCTTTTCGTACCAAGCCTTTTCGAATTTGTCGTTGTGGTGAACACCATGACCATGCAGGCCGTAACTACCGGGAGGCAAGGAGGAATCACGAGCACTGCGAGTACGGTGGTGATTGCGGCCCTGTCGCTGGGAGCCATGCTCGAGATAAGGGCTTGGGGATGGGGCCTGCACATCTCCAGCATTGGGATACATGGGAACTCGGAAGCCCTGCTCCTCGCCAAAGTGGGCGGAGAGTCGACGGTCCGAAGCCGCAGACTCGGGGCGGGAGCCGCCGGCTCGAGAGTTCGATGGACGGCGAATGCGATCATGCTCATCCAATGCTGGAGAGTCTAGGCTCTCGCGACCTACACCTGCAGCAGCCGCCTGTCGAGAATCCGTGCGGGTGACCGCCTGCACTTTTGCTTTAGCACTTGAGGTGGGCAGAGACGGGCGCGGTGCGTGAATCTTGAGGTCATTGCTAACGTTACGGGTCTCTGTTGGTGCCGGATGGTGGCTGTCGGCCATGGATCCGACATTCAGGTCGGCATACTCGATACCCTCCTCTCCGATTGAGGGGATGGTGACACTGGGTGGACGAGGCGGGAGGTCGTTCGACGTTGTGCGGGTCATGCCCGGCCCATTCCACTCGTTGAATGGAGACGGCGCATAGCTGTCTCGCATGGGGGAGACAGACCGATCTGAGCGGCGACTTGGACGGGGAGGAATCTTTGGCATTTCTGTAAGAGTGCCCGGTTGAGGCGATCGAGCCGGACGAGGGGGAATGATCGGAGCGGCTTGAGCAGACATGATGGCGGATGGTCTAAGGCTCCTAATACATCGAGTTCAGTTTCACCGTCCCACTCCGCATTTGCAGAATGGCCCCAGCAGCCGGGGTTCTCCCTCTCGTGCACGTTCGGCAAGACCCAGGATTCTGACAGCTGGATGATTCTCCCGCACTTCCTGCCGACCAACTTGGGCCGATCAATTCGTCTGTGCTTTGAACGCATCGATGCAAGGGGCTAAAGCGCCTTGGAGATACAGCTGCAGTCCCAAGGGGGGGGAGGGCATGGCGAGGGGGAGAGGGGATTGGAGGGGAGATTCCGAGCTGACTGATAAGCGGAATCCGCACGATTTGCTTACCTGGGATCGATTGAGCCAACTTCAACTCCAGGTTGAGATGCAATTGATCTGATTATGGGAGACGGGAAGAATGACGGTGTGTCTGATGTGTGGGAGTCGAGAGGGTGGGCCAAAACGATAGAGAAAAAGTTTACAACGTCAGCGATTGAAGCTGGACTTGGGCAACCCCCCAGACGGATGATGTATGTCCCTTTCTGCCGTGACCCACCCGGCGCGTGACGAGGCCTGACCGCATCTACTCTCAGTACTCGTCTACTGTGGTCCAGCCCAGCGCCCGCCCACTGCCACAAGGCGAGGATTCTGAAAATCACTCGCGAGCAACCCTTTAGGACTGGGTGTATGCTCTAGGTTGTGAGAACAGTGGAATTGGCTGACTAGTGCATCTTACCTGATCCTTTGTACACCCTTCCTTCTATTTGTTTTTTTTTCGGGTCTCAAATACCTTTGGCCTTCGATCATCTGGTGACACTACGGTTACTCTCGGCCCCAATCTAGTTGTGGTGCAAGTAGTAAAGTACACCGCAAACCGTACCCTGCTCCTATACATACAGTAGTACCTTAGCTGTGGGTTGGGGGCGCAGAGAGGATAAGATAGGCGACTAGATAAAGATCGCTCTCGCTCTCTTCAACCTCCAACAACTCTACCTTATACGTAGTAGTAGCTTCCCAGTCACCCCCTTCCGATCGAGTTGGAAGCCTGTTCAGATGCACTCCCTGGTCTACCTTGACCAACAAACTCAGCAGCCAGTTTCAGTTGAATCCTGATTTGGACAGACTGCCCGTCCATTTCCGTTTTTCTTTGCGGCATTTTTGGAACCAAATGCCTCATCTTGGGATGCCAAGTGGAGTGGTCAAAGTCATGGGATTCATCGGTTTCTCCGGGCTAATCAAGCCTATCGTCGTGGTTCGAGTCCTTTCCCTCTCGAGCTTGCGTGCAGGGATAGGTGTCGCCTCGACTCGCATAGGGACATCCGACCGATAGGTGAATAAGGAGTACACTATTACGGTGGCTAGACCGTGGGTCCGAACTTGTGGTAACGGCGCGGGGCTTGTGGCCACTGGCCTTGGGTGTCCTTCTGCTGCCCATGCCGCGGTCTACTAACAAAGTAACAACCCATGAACCGCAAGAGAGAACACTTCCAGGTCAGTTGTGCTATGGACACTTTGAGATTGGACTTGGGATTTCTTGGACGATCCAGCACATGTAGTGCAACCGCTCGTCGATGGGCCGTCGATTACACAAGCCGAATACCTGGAACACCATTGGTATCCACTCCATTGATAGCGTGGATGGCGTGCACTCTAAACTCTGCAGATCTCCTGGGCTCCATGCATCGCCGCCATTGTCGTCGAGGCGGTGACAGAGACCGAGTTTTGGGAGGTCGTCTTCCATGCCGATAAGAGGGTCCGTTCACCTCCAGCTTAACCATTACTGATAAGGTACGGAATCCACCCAGGGAATGCTGAGCAGCATAATCACAGGTCGGACCAGCCCGAGAGGTCAAGGGCATGGGCTGCGATCGATGGTGGACATCTTTGATCGCAACGGAAAAAGCCCTTGCACATCAAGGTTGGGCTCCAGTCAAGGACCTTAGTGCGAGTATGGAAAGTAGGTGTCTATTGTCTAATATGAATTCTGATACCTATTGGCAATGCCTCATTAGCTGATCGTTCATCGTGGGTCTACAATATACATGCGTCGTCCACTATCGGTCCCTGGGTACTTATAGAAGGTGTGCGCCTAGCTCTCCGGAGTCCGCACACGTCGACATGCTCTTTAACATCATAGCAGCTGCGGACTCTTGACCGATCCGGCGGGGACGCCCGCAGAAACAGGCAAAAACACAAAAATAGTTCAGAAGTGATAAGAGTGAGATTCGAACTCACGCCCCGTAAACGAGATCAGGAATTTATGCTAAGGTGGACCTTAACCTGACGCCTTAGACCAACTCGGCCATCTTACCAACTTGTTGAACATCCGATGCAATTTTGGCAATATGGTCTTAAGCCAAGGCTTGCTGACAATCGATCCACCAGTGATGGTACTTCACACATCTCTCAGTCATACTTGATAATGACACTACTATCTCTCCCTCGACTTGATCGCATTGAAAACTCAGGCGTTGAATCAGTCGGCTCTTAATTAAATAAGCTACACGAGTAATTAGAGACGGGCTGAAGTGAAGGAACGCCACAGGATAGGTTTGCTCGTCTCCACGATACACTTGCCAACCCATCCATGGCCAGGGTTGTCAATCAAGCACACGGTGCGAGTTTGCGCATAGTTGGCTTCCTGGAAGAGAGCACAATTAGGCTGATAGTATTCAGTGTCACACCACTTAACGTGTCGTGCAAGGTAGTCACTCCAGGCATGTCTGCACATAAATGCCGACCATCCAAACTCCACAGCCCCAAGACGTGTCACCAGTGAGAGACACAGGAACCGACTAGACATACAAGTACAAGGAAACGAAAAAGCACAACAATGACAAGACCGTAGCACGTTCCAATTTGCCTTGAACAAGGCTGCTATAACACAGGAATTTCACATCGAGGCAGATCAAGATCCCATCAGGGACCCAAATGATCAGGGGTATAGGCGTTACGTCAAACGAGATAATGCACGAGCGAAGGCATCGGAATTGCCGCCTCAGAGCAACCTCTCCCCCCCCGAACTAGACAATCATCTGCGCGACTCCTTGACCACCGAGGGTCTTGCTGCCGACAAACTCCTGGCTCTTCACACCAGCCAGCGCGTAGAAGATCGCGGTAATGGAGAGGACAACCGCGGCGGCGATGAGACTCGAGGCGCCGGTGACAAGGCTGACCCACTGGATAGCGCACATCACGGCATACACAGCAGCGCGCATCCAGTTCGTTGTGAAGCGGCGAATGAAGGCATCGAACTTGGCGGAAGTCGGGCAAATTCGTAGCAGGAAAGGGACCTCAATGAAGAGAATGATGAACGAACATGCACTATAACTGTCAGACTGTGGCTTCGAACGCGAAAGCAGGGTGTCGCAACTCACAGGCAGATCACGGAGAAGATGATTCGAACAGGAGGCGAAAAAATATTAGCAATGCCAAGGGCAAAGCACATGATCATAGACACTACACCGGCCCTAAAGAACAGTCAGAATCACGAATAATATGTTGAATTCCCCTCCGCACCCGGCATCATCTCCATAGCCCATTGTTGCCGGCGGTGCTACGAACGGATCAGACAACATTGGCGCCTCGGACAGTCGTTCCCCAACACACACGGCCAAGGTCCAGAAGTCAAGACGGATGATATATCATCAGTCGAACAGGGTGTCATGAAGACCTAGCGGGTCACTAACCATTGTCCGTAGATACCTTGAAGAAAGCAAGCCGAGTTAGTTGTGGTCAGATTGTCGCATTTTACGACGTCAGCATGGAGGGATGCATACTAAAGTTTCTTGACTGGAACTCCTCAGCTAGGGTCATGATGGGCAACTAATTCTTCGATCAGGTAGATATTCGAGCGCAGGACTTGATGTAGTCTGGAGGTATGGGGCGCTGTTGGTAGCAAGCTCAAGCGTGGTGTGGGTGAAAGAGAAGAGGTGTACAGATGACTGCCTAGCCGGCACCGGGCGGTCAATTTGTTGAAACGCAAACAAAACAAAGCGGGAGCCACCCGCCGGAGCTGCCACTCTGCCGATCATCCACGCCGGGGAAAACTGGGGCTGTGCCCATTGAACAAGCAAGGTTACCCGCGACTGGATTTTGATAAGCTGTGCGAGGTACAATTTGAATAGATCTGCAATTAGAAACAGAGTTGAGAAGCCCAGATCCTCTAGGAGGGATAATGCTCTCCTTGATCCTTCTGAAGCAAAAGGGATCGTTGACATGATTTTATCGACTATTGCTTTTACAAATTAGTATACGTATGTACCACGCTTCAGCCTAGCGCAAGTACATGTCGCAGTCTCATCTCATTCAGTTGTATCGAGCACAGCAAAGCTCTTGTATACTGCGTATGAGGCGGATGTGGTCAGCGAGTATTGACTATTCGAAGAACGGCCGGCCAGCAGCATGTGCACGTGGAATGGGGAAACCTAGCGGTTGAAGAAGATTGGTACGAATAAACCCCCCCCCCCCCCCCCCCCCCCCCCCCCGATATAGGTGTGATAAGGTAACAAAACAAATACTAAAAGAGCCCAGCTCAGGCATTCGCGTGGACGCCTCGTATCCATATTACTACCGAGTGAGCGTAACATCTTCTGAGGCGTACAAGTGGAATGGCAGCCTGCGACAAAAATGACAAGAGTGGGATTCGAACCCACGCCCCTTTCGAGACACGGAAGTTTGGACCAGGTGAACCTGAACCGTGCGCCATAGACCAACTCGGCCATCTTGCCTTCTTCAATGAAAAGGTTTAAATCTTTGCGTACATGACCTTTTCTGCAGGATCGGAACTGAGCGCAGCGCCACCTACACTGCGGATTGGCAGAGTTCATGCTTCTAATGTGAAGTTCCCAGAAGCATGTCCAATTGTTTACAACGCTAGTCCATACAAGTTGTCGTGAGACTCACTAAAAAATTTTGTTTTCGAATTATCTCACTTGATGACTGTGAGCAAGCTAGGTTCGTACTTGTAGCTTTGGAACTGGCACTCTATCATCCCAGGCGTGGCCGCGTGAGTCATAGATATCCGTCGTAAGGTAAGCACTAACATGTTGGTATGTATATATTTACACTGGAATTCCCCTGATCTTCAAAAATAATCATTCTTCTAAGTAGGTATCCTCACTCCGAGTGATTCACCTCTTGTCAATTGGGTCCACAGGGATACCTCAGCAACCCGATATGGTCCTCCAATATCGTTCGTCGAATGGTGAGCCGTATCTGAGGCTTCCGGAGCCTCACACAAATATCATCATCACGCCGCATCGGGCGGAGGGCATTGATGAAACAAGCGCAGCCTTGACACAAATGCTCAATGATCCTGCCATTGCATTGAACTTGCAAAACACTCCGTACCCATACACACGCTCTCATGCAGAGGAGTGGATCAAGGCCAACTGTGAAGAACAGCAAGACATGCTGGCTGCCTTGCGAGAAGAGCTCGACCAGCAGAGTATGAATGCTTCGGCTTCCGAAGTAGGAAATGAACACACGATTCACAAGTCGCCAACGCGAATGTTTGACATCTGTCCTTTCACCTGTATTCGAGAGGTGGTAGAATCGGAGAAGGGCTATGAAGGCTCCTTCAAAGATGTTCTCATTGGCGAAATTCGGCTCGCTCGCTCAAGCTTCGAAGACTTCCCTAAAACTGGACCGGAAAGAGAGCATGCCAAGAAAGTGAACGATGATCTATCTGTTGGAGACCCGAGTATCATCTGGAGCTTCGGAGGTACGCTGCCACTTCCCGAAAGCATGAGTGCACAAGAGCCTGCGATCATTAACGTAGGTACTTAGATTTCTTAAGTCCAACCCACCAGGGAAAGGGAATTATGACCCTCGTTATACAGACGATCCTTCATGATTGGGCTGTACCTCGAATGAACGTCCATCGGCTGAGGTGCTGGGCCTTTGAAGACAACGCGGGCAGCATTCGGGTTTTCGAAAAGAACGGTTTCGTGCGTGGACATACCCTGAAAGATTGGGCTTCGGTCTCGGAGAGCAGGGGCGGAGGGAAGAAGTCGATTGTATCATTAGAATGGACGAGGTATACTTGAGCGGTATCAATGATGTGTTATGTCACGAGTGTAGTAAGAAATATGGAAGAGGCCAGCCGCCAGATATCCTCCTCATAGCCATTGTCGAGGAGACGTGCATACTTAGGTACATTTGAAGACAGCCGACACACACCGTCGAAAGCCGCGGCTACCTGATGTGATCCAGTCATTTTACATCGCTCCTTTCCGCTTCATAGAGAGCCCCTTTTCATTGCAGGAAAAAATGGGAGTGACGGAAGATTAGATGGCCTGCAACCTTAAGTGTTTCCGTTGACTCACATATCTTAGATATGCCCTTCAAAGTGAAGGTGTATAGCGACTTTGAAAAGGCCGCTGGTGCTTGATCGATCTTCAACGAAATGGAAACCCAGCCCATCGGGCATAAGAAAGCCGTTGGAGTCCATTAAACCCAGACATTAATGAATGTTCTGTCGTTCCATCCATCTATTTTACCCCGGTTACAATTACTATTTTCGATCCTACCTACCATTAGAAGACTGAGCTCAAAGCTTCCCACCATCTGACAGCTTGCACTACACTACTATGATACTATGATACAGGTATGACTGTGGTGTATATAATTTTGACGTACCTATAGACCCATGGTATGAAATGGATGGTGGATGCTTACACGAGTCCGAAATTAAGCAGAGCGTGGAGAGCAAAAGCCAAGCCTTAGGAGACCCCCCCCCCCGCCGGCCCAGACTGACATAAAAAGCCTCTGAACGGGCACCGGCTGTCAACTTTAGAACTGCTGATCCGAGCCATCAATTAATTTCATTGGAGCTGCGCAACACACAGCGTGAACCTATTGACTTCTCTCTGACAAGCCAGGGAGTATACAACTGTACACTGTACAGCACTGGGCATAGATACTGTAGCGGATCTTCGAAAGATCTTCCAACCTGGTGTTTTCTTCTCGTCAAAGGTTGACTGCCTCAGAATTTTGGCCCAAATTTCTGTGGGCAAGGCTCACCACGGGAAGCTTTTGATCTGGCACCACTTCCATCCGGATTGCTCTGGAATTAAGGAAATACGACTGCGTATATCTGTCAGGCTTCAAGATCCAAACATTCGTTGTATAAGGTGAGACTAAGGACAAGCATCGCGTTCTTCTCCGAAAGCACATCATGAGCTCCCAGTCTCGCCGGTCGTCCTGTCTAGGGAACTGCATGACTCGAAATTGATGCTTCCCTTTCCCTATCGATAAAAAGCCACCCCCAGTTCAAGTGTGGAGTGCCCCACACCTCCCATGTGCGGATTTTACAGTTGTACCTAACCTACATAATGTACTTTCGTCCTGTTCCAGCCTTCAGTATGCGGTATCAGATGCTTAACCCGACCGGCGATCCAAATTTCGAACTCTGTTTAGATCCATCACTGCAAGGTGAGATTCGCAGCATTCAGTACAGCGCCATCCGGAGGCAAAGTTCCCCTCTAGCTGATAGCTCCCGGGCGGTCTTTCATTTGTCGCAAAAGCGGTGGTCTCGGGATTTGGTCTCATTGAGACTACGCTCTGACTGGCTGCGGGTCTTTAGCTGTCTTACCCTCGTGCCATTCACATAGGGCTTGGGCAATATAAAGGCCCGAGTCATGCACATATCTTCTTTCCGCCACGATGAGGGGTTTCCCGAGGGGTGTCCTTAGGTTGTCCACCTTGAGGTTGGCGCATGAGACCCCAGTCCAGGGGCCACGCACGTCATCGCAGATACAGTGGTAGTTCCTGTACCTGATCAGTCAGCAACTTAGCAGGTGAGGTACGTTGGCGGAAGACTGGAAGTTCCAACCCCAACCCGGCCCCGCCCCAACCGGTATCATTTCTCGAGGCAAGTACACGCAGCGCTGCCCCCGAAGAATCCGAGCGGGACTCGCTACATGTATCAGACATGTGAATGGGAAATACGGACATACAGGATCAGCATCGAACAACTACCTACAGTGCCTTGATTTCATTGATCAAGTTGACTCGAAGTGTATTGTTCTGAGGGCTATATATCGTTGTGTGCTATATATTATGCTCAATGTACTTTTTTTTTTAGTCCATACTAGTAGAGTACTGCAGTAGTGCAGCACTGCGGTGTCTTATGTTAGATTACGTCATGCTTTTGTCTTATCATATCAGCTTGCTCGATGCCTCGCCCAGTGAAATGCTTGAACTGACGACCAAGAAGACCCGCCAGAGACGGAAGTCTGCCAACAGAGCCAATGGAAAAGGATCTGAGACCGGCGGAAACAGACTGGGAATTTCATATGTAATGCGAATGGCCAGTCTCTCGTAACAAAACGATCCGTCGGTATCGTTCTGTTACTGCATAGTGTATGTAACAGTGTATTGAACAGGCGACTCGGTCGGGACTCTGTCGTCGTCATCGTGAAATCATGCATCACCTTGCTTCAACGACCTATTCTCTGGCCGCGTGTATGTAGCAACTCGACATTCCCACTGGAATAGCTAAGTCTTCCAGGATGAACATGCTTTTTGTTCCTGATCAGACACTTACATTGCTGATAGCTTTCATGTGCTTCAACGAGCGACCCATGCCCTATTCACACATTCCCACCATTTCCTGCTCCTGGCCTTTGTCCGGAGACCCGCCCTGTCTCGTACGGTCGGGAAGGTCGAGACTGTGATGCAGAGTTTTCTGCTTCGTTTTCGACCCTTCCTTTTCTTCTTCCTCTAACTGGGGCCGCGGGTGGCCAACCACCCACGCGTCCCTCGGGATCAGTAGTAGTGCAAGTCCTGTCAAAGATCCACTTGGACTCGACGACCCGCAGACCTTTGGCCACAAATCTGAGAGGAAGACTCCACTGGCGCTACCTTAGTTCCAGTTCAACAATGGCACGGCCCTATCACTATTATCCATTGCAGGTGGTAGGAAGGAGACTTGTCGGCACGGGAATCGCAGAGTCGTAGTATGTATCAGGTACATTCTACGGTAAAGGTACCTCACCTGTGGCCATTAGTACCTTGGCAGACCACCGTTGGGCTCGAGAACGAACGCAGGCAAGCGGATGGCCTTCGTGTTGATGAGTTACCCTCCAGCTAAGCTACGACATATGATAGTGGCCGTATATGCTCCCCAGTCCCGACTCCCCACAACGCTCTGGGCAAGTGTAGTGTCGGGGTGTACGCTTTGTCGTAGCAATGTGCCCGGTGCCGTACTAGTCCTATCACTGGGTGAAAATCAGATGGGACTGCGCAAAAGTACTGATAAGTACCTATGCAATCGACACGATGGGGCGGAGAAGGGGAAGACGAACAAAAGGTGTGTGCCTCGATCGGGTTGATACTAAACCATCAGCGAGAAGCCGTACTGTACAATATAATGTTGGTCCATCAGGGCTCGAACCAGTCCGACTCTCTCGACTCTCATCAGCATGGCCTGAGTGGACAAGAGCAGAGCCAATCACGAGAGCTGGCGGCCCTCCATCAACATCCTTTTCTGTCCTGGTCGGTTCCCTGATTCGAAGCAGATCTACGGGGTCGGTTGCTTTACGTTGCAATTACTGTCCCAAACGATCGATCAGAGAGCCCTCCAAACTCTTGAAAGTACCCGCCGCGATATTGATGCGGTGGTACCACCGGATGGCGGTCGCGCGGGTCCCGTGGTACGGTAACGGTATTCGACAGGTCTCCCCGATTCGATGCATACTGTACCACTGTGACCACTGCCAACCGAATTCGGTAGTACCTGGCTACCTGCCCGTCGCATACTGGTTGCGCACACGACCCATGTCACCGTGGGGTCCCATACAGTGGTTCCAGTCCTGAAACCGCGTATTGTAGAAAGTCCATTTCCACCGAACCCGTCCAGACAAGCCCACCGTACTTAATGTTTTTCCCTCCCCTAGAATTGTCGTCATCTTTCTTTTCCTCTACGTCACTCTTCATCTCACCAAGTTCACACCACACTCTCCCTCTCCGCAGCGACCTGCGCAAGCCACGCCCAGTAGTTAGTTGTGAGCTCGCCACTCCTTTGACCATCGCGCGTTTTGGTGATGTCTGCCGCAGTCGCTCCCAGCGTGTCGACTCTTTCGAACACTCTGACCTCCATGGACTCGAAAAAGATCGCCAGAGAAGGTGCGTATCAAGATCGTCTCATGGTTCCTTGTGTGAATAATACGCGTTCCCATCATCATCCCATCCTCGGCACTGTCAACCATGTATGAGTTGGGTGCGATCGCATCAAATCTATCCCAACACCTGGCCAAATCTCTGCCCCCGTCACTCGCCTCCGCGCCCAGTCGTACCGGTCAGTCATAGTCGCGGCTTTTTGGCACCCATATATGTGTGCCATATATGGTCACGGTCGCACACCCGTCAGGGCTTTCTTGGAAAGGAAAAGGAAAACAAAAGTTCTTCTCCAGTCCGCCACTGCAAGTGATCAGTGGAGTCTTGAGTAGACACCTGTTCCCGACTCTCTGGCCGCTACCTCTGGGTCCGCATCATTATCAAATCTTCATTCGCTTATTCAGTCTTCCCCTGTTGGCTTTGGTAATACGCCACCCTGGGAGCTGCCCATACTTTTGACGATACCCCTCTGCCGTTGGAATGATCTCACAACTGGCGTCATCGACCCTCCGTCAACCTTCTTCATCATCTCCATAGTCATACACCCTTCCCCCCATAATGAAGGCTCCCCGTACTCGTCGAACCGGTACCTTTTGCGCTATCGCCTCACTTGCTCGACCACTGTTCATGCTAACCAAGATTCCTCAACAGACTCGCAGGTCGTGTCTTCCGACGCCAAAGAGCAACGGTCGGATGTAGACGCTTCCACCTCGCTGGCGCCGCCTCCACGCCCTGCTACAACTACCGCGAGCGATACCCCCGACTACTTCAATTCGGTCCACAATCCCTTCTCGCTGGAGCCAAATCCATTTGAGCAGTCCTTTGGCACTGGGAACTCTGCCGAGACTCCTGGAAAATCGCTCCTACCTCCCGTGGCCGCCCTCACCTCGCCCGCACTGCCTGGTGCGTCATCGGGCGGCGGTTACAACTGGTCCAACTCGCTGCGCTCGGGGCCACTCAGCCCGGCAATGCTTCCAGGACCGACCGGCTCCAACGACTATTTCGACAGCATCGGTCGTGGCTTCCCGACACCAAACGAGTCATCGCTTCGCACAGGTCTGACCCCCGGCGGCGGGGGATCGATGTTCCCGGCTCCAAGTCCCAACTCACAGGCTCTTCTACAACACCTGCAAAGCGGCGGTGCTACCCCATCGACTATTGAGTTCCACCGCACTGCGCTGGCCGCAAAGAAGAACTCTGGAAATGGGTCAAACTCCAATGCCAATGAATCAGAGCCAACATCTCACCCAGCCATGGACACAAAGCCGCAGCCGACATCAACAGACTTCACTCAACACGACGCGGCCGATGCCGCAAATGGTCTCTTCATGCTGGCCAAAGGTGGTCAGGCAAACAACATGCCCATGAATCAAGTCTCCAACGCGCACCATGATTCGCGATCTTCTGCAGCTCGACGTGTCTCGCAGAACACGAACGGTGGGATAAGCCGTGAGATGAGTGGCGAGGCGTCCGAAGACCCTTCGAAAACCGTGTCCAAGGGGAAGGGCAAAAAGAGTGCCCCCAAAGCAACCCCAGCGAACAATCGCCGGAAAACAGACGAACCTACCAAGGGTCCAAACAAGAAGATTAAGATGTCGGAAACACCATCCGATGATTCAGAGGACGAGGAGATGAGGAATTCCAACATGGATCCGAAGAAGATGACGGACGAAGAAAAGCGGCGAAATTTCCTGGAACGGAATCGGTATGTTGTCATCAATGTCTGGGCTTCAGTCTCCGCAAAAACTAACTCGACATAGTGTTGCTGCTTTGAAGTGTCGTCAACGGAAGAAGCAATGGCTTGCGAATCTTCAGGCCAAGGTTGAGCTTTTCACCACTGAGAACGATGCCCTCACAGCTACAGTGACCCAATTGCGTGAGGAGATTGTCAATCTCAAGACTTTGCTCTTGGCTCACAAAGACTGTCCTGTGTCTCAAGCTCAAGGTCTCGGCCCGCTCATGATGAACGGGATGGCGACCGGGTTCGATCCCCACGGCTATGGCATGCCTGGTCAGATGGGCATGCCGCCTGGCGGCCCAATTCCTGCCCAGGGCATGCGGAGAGCTTGAAGCTGAGCAGGGGAGAGAGAGAGAGAGGGAGAGGGTGGGCGAAAAACCTCCGACTTCGCCTACAGATGTCGAAATTCGATTCGATGTCCTGTTATACCATGATGTACAGGAGCATCTCGGTTGCTCCTCCCACTTGTGGTGCCCTGATTCATCTTTTTCTGACAGCCTCTATGAGGCAAACACCATTGTCGCGCCTTTCCAATGCCAGACTCTCCTTGCTCGTGTCCTTGGCCACATGTGCTCCCCTCGACCTTCTGTCTGCGGACTAGTGTGTGGTCACCTGCTCTGGCACGACATGCTTCATTACGATCAGCTTGGCTCAAAATAAAACCGATGAGGCAATTCCCCAAAAGGGGTTGTAACCGATCGGATTTCCATCGCACGATTTTCATCTCAGAAGGCGTGATCATGACGGCGTCTGTTGGGGTTCATCTTTGGCTTTATATCTTGGCTCTGCTTACTTCGGTCACAGCTCAAGCTTTTCTACACTTGTGCAGGCCCTACTTTCCCGACGTTGTATTTTCTACCTCCTAACCCACCTCACGCTTTTCTAATGTTCCCGTTCGTCTTATTCTTATCCTGGGTTGCTCGGGCTTGCCATTGGCTCCTCTTTCGTGGGTGTTTCTCCATTGCTTGTTTGACAAATGTTGGTCGGTCGTCGGAGTTCACCGTTGTTGATTTTGATTTGGATTGCAATCCGTCTACATACATGACTTTCTAGGCTGGCGTTAAGAGGCGGATGAATGACTTTCTTTCTTGTCACCCTGGCCACCTGAATCTAGGTGTCCTAGCCTTTCAATCGAAGCATATCTTAAGAAAGACGAGCTCAAAGCTTGTAAGCCACGTATATTGTCTGTCCCTTGATACTTCAGTTGCACTGGAGTTCTGCCATCGACTGTTCGAGTTGTGCTCCTGTTTCCACTCACAATCAATCATTTAAAGTATTGGGACGTCTCTTGCTAGTAGGTAGACTGAAAGGCCATCACATAAGCGACAACTAGGACTCACTGAAAAGTTGTCGAGCAGGCTCGGCCAATACGGTACCATCCATGTTGCGTGCCTGATCTCACCCTCGATCATGCGGACGGCGATAAGCTTGATAAGCCTGAGACGCGCCTGCTCCAAATTGGTGGTTGCCGCAAACACGGTCTCCAGCACTATAATTAAACCGCGTGTGTATGGATCAATTGAAGGCTACATTAGACTTGAATTATAAGGTCATGACACCACTGAAACTGGGCTAAGTGGCAGAGTTTGCTTGAATTTCTGGTCGGTTCAAGCGTCGCCGAAGAGCATTCTCGCTGGCGACTTGCAGGTCCGCGGAACTTGTCGCATCACTCCTCTTCTTCCGTGGCCCGCAAAGGCGCTCCACCTAACTCGATTACCGAAGCTTTCACAAAAGTCTACATTGGCGACTACACCTTACACTGTCAATTTGGAGGAGGAAGGGAAGGAGGATGTCGAATTCGAATCGCCCGAATCCACGCCCGCGCCGCATCGACGATGCTCTCTCCCAGCTTGTCGACTCGCTGCTCCCGGAGATCTCGATTGCCTCGCTCCCACGAGACCACGAATACACCAACCAGGAAACAGCTGTCGCTGCTGCGGAGGAACGGCGCCATCAATTTCATCTCGAGCGTGCTTGGCAATTACTCGAGGCGAACCCAAGCGGCGCAGCTGACCCGAGCTCGTTGAGCGGCCGCCGCGGCAGCATCGCCGTTGACGACGTCAATCACGCACCGGATCTGATCAAGCGCAAGCTCAGACGCGAAAATGCTAGCCCCGAGAAGATTGTTCGCTTCTCCAACCTCTACACCCGTCTTCTCACTCAGCCGGTACTTTCGCAGAAATGGGGGATCTTGTTCTTGCTCTACAAACTAGGCGAAGCAGATGAGGACCGTCCGGCTGAACCTAGCCGCAGTCCGTTGATGGATGATGAGAAAGTACACAATGTACCGGCTCATGGTACGGGGCGCCTGCGGCGTGATACGGTCGTCGAATCGGAGGATGATGAAGGTCCGGCCGCGAGCTCGTCTGCATCGCAACTACCGCGCGGGTCCCACGAGACTCGGTCACAGCGCCCGCGGTCCTTACGAAAGGACTGGGAGAGCTCCACTGAGCGTACAAGTGCCAGTCGCGCTAGTCAACATGAGACAGAAGACGAAGCGGACAGCATGCCCTCACCGACACAGACGCCAGCCGGGTTCCATCGCCCGACAGAGGTGACTGAACAACGGCTCTTGCGAGACCTACCTTTCAATCTGCAGGGACTTTCATCAAATAACGTCCAGTTCCAAACTTCTTCTGTGTTAAAACTACCGTCCGACCTACCAGCCCCACTTACGTCGCTTCTGAATGCTTTGGCCGAGCCGTGTCTACTTTACAAGGAATTAGCAGAATTTGCCGAAGCTTCAGACGGAGGACTTGTCAACCAAAGCCTCAGAGCCGCCATTGCAAATGAACTGCGATCCTACCTCGGGCTAGTTGCGACGCTGGAGGCGGAGATTCGTCAGGCGCTGACTTCACTGACCAACACAACTGCGGCCACATCACGGAAGGGCCTCGTAACTTTGAAACGATGCGTTGTTTGGACGCGGGATGCGACGATGGCTCTCAGACTGATGAGCTTGATTGTGGAGGAAGCTAGAGGTAATTTTCTCCCTTCGCTCTCCGGTGTCTGTGTTCCCGACTGACGAAAACATAGACAAGAAGGGGGGCCAATTGATCTCTCTCATTCACGGTTTCTCAACATCTCATGGAGACCCATTTGTCTGCGCCTTTGCTGAGAAGCTGTTGGTGCACGTGACTCGGCCTTTTTACGACATGCTTCGGCTTTGGATCTATGACGGTGAGCTCTCTGACCCATATAGGGAGTTCTTCGTTGCAGAGTCGGACCTACGAACCACCATCGATCCGAGACGGACTGCGACAAGTGTCTGGGAAGATAAGTACAAGTTGAACGATGACCTTGTCCCCACAATCGTCACACAAGATTTTGCCAAGAAGGTCTTTCTCATTGGGAAGTCTCTCAATTTCATTCGATACGGCTGTGGCGACTCTGAGTGGGTAGAGGCGTACTCGAAAAAAGCGTCAAAGGAACTGAGCTACGGGGACACGGCCACACTGGAGACTTCTATTGACGAGGCCTACAAGACTACCATGGCACGTTTGATCCACTTGATGGACGATAAGTTCAAGCTTTATGACCATCTACGTGCGCTGAAGAAGTACCTTTTGTTGGGACAAGGCGATTTTATTGCTCTCCTTATGGAGTCATTGGCATCTAACTTGGACCGTCCCGCAAACTCGCAATATCGCCACACACTCACAGCCCAGCTCGAGCATGCAATTCGAGCTTCCAACGCGCAATTCGATTCCCCAGACGTGCTTCGCCGACTGGATGCACGTATGCTCGAGCTTAGCCATGGTGAGATTGGCTGGGACTGCTTTACGCTGGAATATAAAATCGATGCTCCCGTGGACGTTGTCATCACGCCATGGGGCTCAACCCAATACCTCAAGGTATTTAACTTCCTCTGGCGTGTCAAGCGTGTCGAATTTGCCCTCAACAGTACCTGGCGTCGCTGCATGACCGGTGCTCGGGGTGTGCTCGGTAGCGTTGATGACAAGGTCGGACCCGACTGGAAACGTGCACGCTGCGTGATCGCGGAAATGATTCATTTCGTGTGTCAATTACAGTACTATATTCTCTTTGAGGTGATTGAGTCCAGTTGGGATCAGCTACAAGCCGAGGTCTCCAAGCCGGGCTGTACACTTGACGATCTCATTGAAGCGCACACCAAATACCTGAATTCGGTCACTCACAAAGGCCTGCTCGGGTCTGCGTCATCCACAAAATATGGCGCATCTACTTCTAACTCGAAGCAGCCTGAAGAGAGTTTCCTCAGCCAACTCCATCATATTTTGAAGATCATGCTGTCGTACAAAGACGCCGTCGATGGCCTGTATTCCTTTTCTGTCACCGAGTTCACTCGCCGGCAAGAATTGAACGCCAAGATCGAAACTCGCACGGCGCAGGGTCGCTGGGGTCAAGTTAGTCACCTCGCTCGGTCAAACAGCCGTGGCGGTGCATCTATGGCTTCAACACCCGATATGCGGCCCATGGGCGCAGGAGCCGAGGGCCTCGATGCACCTTATTCATTATCAACGCATGACCTCGCTGCCGACGACAACATGCTTGTATCATTGAGAGTGCGGCTCAGTGACCTTTCTGCTGATTTTAAGTCGCGTCTGACTCTTCTGTTGAGTGACTTGTCCTATCAACCAGACGTCGACATGCGCTTCCTGGCCGTTGTCATGAATTTCAATGATGTCTACAAAACTATCAGAAGGAGACCCCGCCAGACCCAAGGCACACGCGACAGGGACAGAGATCGGGATAGGGAGCGCGCGAGACGCAAAGCAGCTGCAGGCAGTACAGCGACGAACTCGGGCACTAATTCAGGGACGGAGTCGCAAATCCCGAGAGAGATGCGCCGAGAGCGAAGTGCTGCTGGTCCTGACATTAGGGCTAGCGGTAATGGGCAAGGCGTCGCGAAATAGCCTGCCACACAGAGGCCATAGATCCCATCGGGCTGTGTGCCGTCTACATGATGTGAAATGAACAATCTACACTAGTTTGTAATTTGTCAAGCCCTGAAAAGAGTAGTATTTGTTCCCAAAGTAGCGATCGATAAGGGGAGTCAAAGTCTTATCTCCACGTGAATATGGATGGCAGAAAAAAAAGTTCACTCCGCCCACGATTAGCGTCCGGTTCGGAGATTTTTACTGGAGCTCGTATGGTATGTTTGATGTCCCGACGGTTCAAAGTGTGAATTGGATCAATCTATCTATAGCGGTGGCTCCCATACTTACGTCAAGCCAGATACAGCCATGGCGAAAAGCACATCGACAACGGTAGACGCAAAGTCCAAGCCATCCAAGCATACTACCAACGACACGAGCGATGTTGAAATAAACGACTCGATCTCCACCGAACAAAAGGCTCATTCAAAGCCCAAGGACAAGAAGAAGCGCAAAAAGTCGTCCGCCGACACCGAGGAGGAAGTCACGAGTTACAAAAAGCGCCGACACAGCGATGATGAAGCGCACCAAAAGGAGGAGAAGCCCAAGAAAAAGAAAAAAAGGGTGTCATTCGGACCCGGCACGAAGACCAAGGATGCCGATAGCGATAGTGACAGTCCCGCAGATGATGAATATGACGACGAGGAGGAGGAGGACAGCTCCGGGACCGTGACAAACACCGACTCCGAAGCCAAGGAAGCCGAGGATATCGAGAACAAAGTGATTGAGGAAATGAAGAAGCGAAAGCGGGAAAAGAAGAAGGCGCGCAAGGCAGGCAACACTTCTGTCACTCAGTTCGCATCGGCTTCCGCCGCGCAGCAGATCCATGAGACTCCTATACTTGGTTACTTGAGCTGGTACTACCGCGATCGCTCCTCGTGGAAGTTCCAGAAGAACCGCGAAACAAACCTTCTCAAACACCTCTACTCGGTTGAGCTTGTGCCTGTGCAATACAACATTCCCCTCTTGGCGTATTTGCAAGGCCTCAAGGGCGATGCTGCCAAGAAGCGGTTAAGCGACGGCGCAGTCGCTATTCTCAAGGAGGACAGTGCCGACGTTGCTACGGAATATCAGGATGCCGTGACGAAGTTCAGGTCGGCGCTTCCCGGAAGTGAAGAGGAGCTGAACAGTGCCGAAGCAGTAGACGGACTGGATACGGAAGCCAACAAGCGTCTTCGCAGGAGACAAAGAGCGGAGTTGGTGTTTTTCGCCATCACGGGTGAATTATTCGATCGCGAAGAGGTCACCCGCAAACAAAAGGAAATTGCTCGGGCCGAGGCACAGAAGATGAAGAAGCGGAAGAACCGAACTGTTGTCGTGGATATCTCGAGCAGTGAAAGCGACAGTGATGGCGAAAAGACCACCAAAACGAAGTCCAAGTCCAAGTCCAAGGCTGAAAGCAGCGATGACTACACCAGCAGCAGTGGCAGCGACAGTGATGAAAGCACCAGCAGCAGTGGTAGCGATTCATCAAACAGCAACGGTGACAATGACAGCGACAGCAAATCGACGTCCGACAAGAAATCTGCGCCAAAGAAGTCCGCCTTGAAAAAGGAGAAGCCTGCTCCAAAGAAGGCAGAAACAACAGTCAAGGAGCCTGCTCCTGTGGTACCCAGCAAGAACAAGAAGAAGCAGAAGCGCAAGGTACGAACCGCGCAAATTGAAATTTCGAGCAGTAGCGAAAGCGATAGCGATTAAGCTGTGCTCATCAACTGCATTCGACCATTCTGCGCCCACTGAATGAAAAGCAAAATGCATGGCGTTCTTCATTCTGCTACATAGATCTCGTGACGATGTATCATAAGATACCCAAATGTTCAACCGATAATCAATTTCTGGCATATATATGACAACGAATTGGTAGCTGAATCTCATGTCACTATATTCAAGCATCAGCGATATCCGTCTTACTCTTCCAACTCTTCAATGTAAAGAGGTGTGTACGCAGACTATCAGAAGCAAACCCATGAGCTATGTTTGTACCTAATTGTCACAAAGTTGGCCCAGCTCACAGCAGAATGGAATTGATGGATTGGATCAGTCACAACATTCGTTCGCTTCGCAAATGTTACACCTCACCTAGATACTAGGAATACTCGGAGTGGAGTAGGCATCACTCCATAAGTCCATCCATACTCCATAGTAAGTTCGGTGATGTACACAACGAAGGTGATTCTAGACGGGCGAGGGCGGTGAAGGCGAATCAAGCTCGAGCTCGAGCTCCGGCCTAGGCACCGCTGGCACGCGTCACTGCCGTTGACTACTCTTCTCTTCCTGTCTCTCTCACCTTCACCAGTTCGCTTGTTTCTGATTCTTCCGTCGCTGTTGTGTTCCAGCATTTCTCGTCACGATGTCCGGTACGTGTGTATTCAAAACTTCATGCCGCCGAGACTGAGCCAGCTTCATGAAATCGGCCACTGTCTAACCCTCTTTCTTTCTCCGCATCAGGAAGCGCAGGCTACGATAGACATATTACCATCTTCTCCGATCAGGGTCGTTTGTATCAAGTTGGTACGTAACCTCGGTGCACTCATTTCCACGCTGTGGCTACGTCGAAAAGCCAGGCACCTCTGGTCGCTTCTGGGTACAAGTTCGGCTGACCGACGTTCCGCATCATCCACTAGAATATGCGTTCAAGGCCATCAGCGCGGCAAACATTACCTCAATTGGCGTGAGGGGGAAGGACTGCGCCGTTGTCATCTCACAGAAGAAGGTTCCCGTAAGTCTGACGGGGATCCGCTCTCCCGCTGCTGGGCCATCCAGGCGCTAAATTCAAGGGATTCTCTTAGGACCAACTCATCGACCCAAGCTCCGTCTCACACATCTACAAGATCTCCTCCTCAGTGGGATGTGTCATGACTGGTTCGGTTGCAGACTCTCGGGCTTATGTTGAGCGGGCTCGCGGCGAGGCTGCTCAATTCAAGTACAAGCTTGGCTACGAGATGCCCTGTGATGTTTTGGCGAAGCGACTAGCCAATATCAACCAGGTTTACACACAACGGGTAAGTTCCGCGAATTTCCGAATCTTCTGATCTTTCTGACGCAGAGCTCTTGATGGTTTCTTCGTCGATGACTATTGTTCCGAATGACCTGGGCTGACGGGGGAATCTTATCCCATGTGACAGGCTTATATGCGACCACTCGGTGTGACCATGACTTTGATCTCCATGGACGATGAAAAAGGACCTATGCTCTACAAGTGCGACCCTGCGGGTTACTTTGTCGGATACAAGGCGACATCATCCGGTCCCAAGCAACAGGAGGCGCAGAACTACCTGGAGAAGAAGTTGAAGAACAAGGACGCCGCACCAGGAAACTGGGAGGAAGTAGTGGAATTGGCGATCACCGCGCTGAGCAATGTGCTCAGCGTTGATTTCAAGAAACATGAATTGGAAGTCGGCCTTGTGGGTGGTCCTCTTCAGGACAACGCTCACGGCATCCCGATGGGATTCCGATCTTTGACCGAAGACGAGATCGACGAGCGGCTCCAGGCCATTGCCGAGAAGGATTAAGGCGGAGGGTTGGATTGAGGAGAAGGAAGGTTCTCTCCGATCGAGGGTGATTGATCACGAATGGAGACTGCTGCAAGCATTGCAACATTTCTATAACTTTTTTAACCCACCTCGTGTGCTGCCGCGCAGTTTGACCCTTTTTCGCTGTCTCGAGTCTTGAGAAAGACGAAGAACGGAGAAAGAGAAAGAAGGCAGAAATCTTGGTAGCCCTCCCCTAGAGAATGATATTACGATCTTCAGCCATGATGCTCTGAACACTCATTGGACGCTGCTTGTGGTACCGTGGGTGTAAATGGTGTCTGTTGTATTCCCATCTCACATGCAGAAAGAACGAATCCCACATGGGTGGCCGGTTGGCGCAAAGGAGTTCTACCGAGGATACTCATCACAGCAGTACGTGCCAGTCGGGTTTCGTAATTGAGATTGTCCGGATTTGAATCTCTCCAGACTTGCAGCGAGATTTTTCGATCATACGTCAGCCTCAAGTAGGGAGACACCGAGAGCTTCATCGATTGTTTGATCAGAAAAGAACCATGTTCAATGACGCAGCTCAATGTGACAGCGTCTTTCCATCTCTTGTCTAGGTAAAAGGTAATTCTCCAATTTCATCTTTCTCGTGGGTAGCAATCGGACCTGCCTCTCTCGCACGGCAAGCTCTCGGCAAGGAGAGGATGATGGCTTCAGCTGGACATCTGCACTCTGCCGTCTCGCCAGCGCCGCCGAGTGGAGGTTTGTTTGTCCTTGTCTTTGTGGCTCAGCAGCGCCCGTGGCTTGAGCAGGGCTCGCGCCTTCTGTGCAGACAGGCAGGATCTGATTGCTGAGATGTCTTGGTCCCGGGGATTAATGGATTATGACTATTGATTGTTTGAAAAAAATTGAATTTACTTGCACTTTTGACTTTCTCGGTCCACCTCTCCGCATCATTCTTCTGAGACATCGTCGGGGGTCTTTTCGCAGCACGGAATTAAAGAGCGCTAGTATCGCTCTTCACTACCAAGTTGCCAAGTGATTGTTTGGATCCCCGACCCGATTCAGAGCTCAATTGGGTTACCATGCTTAACGTGTCCTCGTCAGTGGTGTGCTGTATGAATTGAGGACCAGGAAGCAAATGTACATTGCATTTCCAGCTCCTCGAATCGCGCTGGCTGCGACGACCACCATTGGATCAAGTCGAGGGATCAGATCAGACCAAGACTGCTTGTACGACGACCTCTGTTCGAGAATTCTTCCAATGACTGCTCCGATGCAGACATGTTCGTTGAATCATGACTTGTCCGGACATACATACGTAGATCATATCAATTCGCAATCCAGTAGAATGTGAGATTGGAAATTGTACAATTCCACATCGACTTGATCTTTCTTTTTCTCCCTCTGCTCTGTCGGACCACCCGATCGTGCATATTCCCTGCTCTTGTTGTCCCCCACATATTTCCCTGCACGCATTACAGGACGGTACTGATCTTTTGGAGGGTTGATTTGCCTCGACTCAGTTGGCTGATAGGCTCGTGGATCTTTACCGTGTCACTGAGGGACGCTTGATCTTCGACTCCATTCGGGGTTATGCAGAGCTGCAGACTCGTTGGAAGTAGTCAGTCGTACCTACTACCTACGACCAGTACCACTACCTACGACCAGTACCACTACCTACGACCAGTACCACTACCTAACGTACCGAGGTAGTGTCTCCTACCAGGTACCTAACCTGCAGTCCTACAATCCTACCTACATAGATCCAGGTACGGTGGAGGAAGGGTACTGAATGGAAATGCTTACTAGGGTCCCACGAGTCTGTCTAGACGGATGCGAAAAGGTGTGAGCCTTGCAGAGCCCGCCCACCGCATCTGAGCCCAGGACACGGACAGTGCTATCGAGTCTTGTCGGCGGAAGAGTTGTCATGATTTTCGGAATCCGAACAGGTTATTTACTTCCAATCTACTTCATCCTTGCCCTTGCCGAGGCACGCTCCCCACTGCCGAGCACGGCTGGCAACTGGGCTTTGAACTGGAGGTCTGATTCATTTGAGGATTAGCTTATTTCCCTTTTGAACGACGATTGTATAGATTTAGAAAGGGGGTTCAATGGAAAACTGTCCCATGACACAGTGACGGAATGAGAGCAGTCAGCTTTTCTACGAGAAGGTGGAACTGTTACTGGGCTGCGTCAACTCGGATGTTGATACTTTGAACGTTGAATGGACTAATCGCTATCCCCTTTGTTCGATGCTCGATGAATTGAACTTCGATTGGATCTTGTGTAACCGCGGCTGAGTAGGGGACTACCTAAGGTATAGGAACGTTGGACGAATGGTTCGGGAAGAACATGGGAGGACTCGCCTGAAATGATGCCTTTGACGATCAGACTATACAGGTACAATTTGGAGGACTTATATCAGAAATAGTCGTCAATCGTCTGTGATGAAGAAACAAAAAGGTTGTCTCATGCATTACCCGTTCAGGATCATGGGTACCTACTGCATGCTTCAATCATTCTATCTCACCATCGCTTGAGTCAGTGGTGGAAACATGACCATGTTGCTCCTTACCAACTTGAGTTGTGGTGCCATTGCCATACTTGGTAGTACCGTAGTAGTAATGCTCTATCCAGATTGATTTATCGAGAAAAAAATTTCCGCGCATTCAACAAGCTTTGGAAGTTCGTGGTCGGTGGCTTTGGCTTCCGGCATGATGCAAGTAGAAACTCATGCTAACGCACGGATCACTGACGACTGTACCAGTGGACCAGTCCACCCTCGACAAGATCTCTTTTGGACAAAGGTCCGTTCCGGCGTAGAGGAATCTACACTCCCTCACGGTCTCGGCCCTTTAGCTGAAAGGAGCCCGTTGCCTCGGAGGGCTCTGACTGGCCGCGGCAGCATCGGATTCTCGTTTCTGGGTTGCTTCAGGTCGATTGGGTTCAGCTGGTGATGGACCGCTGATGATCCGCTTTTAACGTGCGGCCCCACGAACTCGGTCGAATAAGGTCCGGTTTCGCCGGGGCCAACGGACGGTCGTGCGATCCAGTTTGACGTCTGCATCGGTCCACAGCCGCCAGAAGGGAGACCAGATCCAGTCTGTTCTCGAGGAGACAAATGGATGGACCCTTGGGCGAATGATCGCGCATCAAGTGTTCCTGCATAGAGGGTTCCTGGGAATCATCATTGGTTCGAGCGGACTCGTTCGTTCGACCGTAGCGTGGGGATGCTGGAACCATGATGCTTGTCTGGGTTCTTGGCCTGGTCGAACAGGCTCGCTCGGGAGTGCCTTGATGGACGAGGGGCCCGGACAGATTGGATGCAGATGAGGTTGGATGTGAGCTGGGTGGATGCGTGTGTGGGAAAATCGCCCAAAAAAAGAACAAAAAAAAATAAATTCAAAGGAGGTTATTGTCTGCGTAAGGCCGTTTCTTCAATATGCTAGGTTTCTTTGGGTGTGTTTTCGTGGTTTTGTTTATATGGTTTTTCATGAATCTCCATCGCTTTGCTATTTAATAAACATCGGTCAATCACCTCTCTCCTGGTCATCGCATCACCAACATCGCCTTCTCTCTTGCTCCCGATAGGGCTTCATACCTGACCAGCCTGGATCTCGCTCAACGATCAGGGTGCTCTTTGAGAAAAAAAAAAGCATTTGACACTGGAGTTCAATTGAGCGAGTCTCCTCGGATCCATTATCAACCCATCAACCGAGCTATCGCATACTTCACCTCATCGACCACTGTCCATACCAACAATGGCAGACGGACGTGAGTGCCCAGATTGGAACCCGATCCCACCTCTCCTCGTATCCATACTGACTCGAAATGCCATGGTGATGGAGATCAGTCAACCAGGCTCGCGCAGTACGAGTAGCCGAACTCATGAACGACTATAGAACCTTGTTGATCCACATTTCTCAACAACAAGCGTCCCCACCCTCCTCCGCCGAGTCTCAAGAACTGGGCTATACCGTGCTGCGAGAATGCCATCAGGCGACGCAACGTCTCTTGGCCGCAAACTATCATCCCAGTCCTGTGGCGGGCAATGGAGATGCAGAGACGGAAAAAGCAGAGCTTCAGAGGTATAGATGACCCTACTGACCTGGACATCTTCGTGGCCGTATATTGGATCTAGCGAGACAGCTTGCACCGATCAGTTGACTAACCGTATGCCTGCTGTGGGGCAAAACATAAAAAACAGAGTCATCATCGACAGCAGCGCGCGTCGGTTCCAAGCACACAAGATCTACCTACGAGCCGCCGCGGCTCAGAGATGGATCATCGCTCGGTCGAACATCCTGCGCGGTCAGGCGCCATCTCCTGCTCTTCAACCGGCATTGAAGGGCATACAGGCTACGCTGCAGAACGAATTGGCTCGCATCACCGATCGATATATCGTCGCTGACCTTCGGGCCGCTGATGTGCGTGCGGGCCATTGGCTGGGTGATGATCCTTCATTGGAGACCATTCTTCGCTATCTTCAGCGTCGCTAGCTGGGAAGAGGGTTGAGACTCTGGTTGGAGACCTGGAGAATTGCCGCCTTCGGTCGAAATCTTTCTGTCGGAAAACAACATATGGCGAATGGGGAGGATGAGATGTTGCGACACGATATCTGTATTATTGCTGTCTCAGTATTTTCTTTTTTTTTTCACTTGTTTTTTCTCGGTGCTTAGGGGAGATGCTGGAAGAGACGGTGGGTTGACTTTCACCGCTGTTGAGACACGTTTCATGGGGATGTGATGATTGAGCGAGAGTAAGGCGCCGGTCGTCCAACTTCGCCCTCATACCAGACGAAAAATTCACCGTGGAGAGTGAAGTCTGAGCGATTCAAGCTTGAAGAAGCCGTGATGTCTTTACGATTTGGAGATGCCAGTGTCTCTGTTCGTTCTTCTTTCTTCTTTCTTCTTTCTTCTTTCTTCTTTCTTCTTTCTTCTTTCTTCTTTCTTCTTTCTTCTTTCTTCTTTCTCCCTTCTTCTTTCTTTCTTTTCCTTCTTTTGGGTTAATTTCCTAATATTGATCGGTGTATTTTGTACATTGATATTTACATTTTATTCTCAGTCATTCCATTCAATGTTGTTTTTCTTTCTTCCCCCCGAGGTCACACCCGTGGATCTATATACCGGCCTGACGGGCTTGAGGAGACGTCATCCAGGATTGGGTATACCGGTGCTGAATCCGAATAAAATGGAAGCTATTCATCTCTGATACTCCTCATAAGGGGCTCATCAAAAAAGAAAGAAACTGTCCTATGTGCTCTGTAGCTAGTGTGTACACCGAACAGCTCTAGACATATGATACTGCAGCGACTGCTCCATCTCACCTCCACATGGTTTTTAGGAAGCAGCAGTTCACACTGACGATTGGGCAACCCGCGTGGACCACCCACCAAACCCTCGGGACCCCCAGGCCAACATGCCAGCTGAGAAGTGGATCCTGCGGCCCAACTCGAGAACCTTACAGCGTTTGTTTCTTTTTTTGTTTTCCGCTCCGAGGTTCGATCGTCATCCCGTGCAGTGTCTTCTCTTCTTCTATCTTGCAGGGTGGATTTTCGATTCGGTTCATTGAATGTCGGAGAGATCCAGATCTGGATCGCTGTACATTGCGTAATGGTTCAGCATTCAGATATCGTCAGAGTCCGGTACTGTCATTGATGTCATCAGATAATCAGATTCAGCGGCGGTCGCTTTCGATCAGCAGTGGTCTGTGTGGCGCAGAGATCCGACCCGCCTGCAATGTTTAGAACATACCGAAAACTCAGAACTCTGCCGCTGTTCAGGTACTGGAGCTGAGATGGGATCTTCCAACATGAGTTTTCATTTGTCGAAGCCTTGGCACATAGGATATCCTTCTCGGGCCTGTCTTTCAGATCGTATGTGGGAAATACACCGTTCCCTTTTGCGAGAAAAAAAAAGTAAGACAGTAAGAATATGCCGGTAGGGCGCATGCCCTTCAGCTACAGATGGCAGCTCGATGCGAAGTGGAGACTTTGATTGGGAGCTCACTGGAATTAGACTCGTAGATTCTTTGGATGTGGAGACTGAGTGCAGCCGAGTTGGTCTGAAATTCTATACAGACTCAACAGTCAAGACTCAACAGAGTCAACACTGATGGGGGGGAACGGTGCGAGACATTTCGCTGCATGTCCCCGATTACGAAGCACGTTGGAGATTAGGTTGTTTGAATCAGTCGAAAGCGCGGGACACGCAATTTTGGGCCTGGAAAGTGATGATGCATGTGGCACGTGATACAGAGAAAAAGGATCGAGTCGAACGTGCGGCTTGACTCGGAACGGAAGACTTGTCCAAAGGTGCTCATTGTATAGACCACACTTCCTTCTCGGGGCATTCCTCACTCTTGACTTCGACCGGGCATCTTGTTCACATTGCCCCGATGGATAGAGTGCACAAGCTCATCATCGAAAAACACGTCTATCCGTTTGTGTGTCTTTTCCCATACCCTTTTTATTCGGCTTTGAACCTCTTAAGTTCACTGGTCCCATTCTGGACCTGTTCAAGTGACCATGAGTCATGGAACGCCCCGAACGCAATCAAGCTTGAATAGGGTGCACCTTCTGCCCATCAACATCCGGTGCAAGTGTCGAGGAATGCTACCCTTACTCGTGACCCCCCTCCCCTCTCTCTCTCCTCTCTCCGATTTATGTGCCGAGCCCGACAACGTGAAGGGCATGGCAGAATTGGCTGGATCCATATCGCTCGGTACGCGGTAGTCTCTCAGATGATCGGATCGCAGATGACTGAAGCAGACCTGGACCAATCCCAATGACAGCTGAGTCGCGAGCGATGCAGGAGATCTGCCAAGGGCGTGACTTGATTCCTTCCTCAGGTTACACCGCGATCCGGCGCAGGTGGGATTGTCACGCTGCACCGGGGACACGGAGAGGTAGAGAGAGAAGAGAGAGAGAGAGAGAGAGGGATTGACGGAATGGGTTTCGGGTATGCATCTACAATCAAGCTATAAGAGCCAAGGCCCAAGGCCAGCGAGTGAGATTTCTGCACTCTGCAATGATAGACCGTCAGTTGGCTCGGGGCATATCAACACAATCCTCCGTTGCAGGAACTTGCCTGATTCCTAAAATAGCGACACCGTGAGAGATCCACAGTCTTTGCGGTGGTCAGCCACTCACATCAGCCACGTTTGGCTCAGCCACTGTATCCCCACAGCTTTGCACTGGCCAATGACGTCGAAAGTGGGCGTCGTGATTGTTGACAGTTGACAGTGACAGGTACCAAGTCCCCCTCATTGTTAGGCTGCGACATTAGGTACCCCCCTCTCCTCGTGACATTGAGAGGTGTTCCTTCCTCACGAAAGACTGAGAAATCGATATCTTCTTCACCACAGCCCCAACAATTTTCAGACTCTGCTGTCCAAGGCGAACCCAATTGAATTTTACCGTGCCACCCTGCGGACGCTTCAACTCATATTTATCTTTGCCGCCCGCAAATCATTCTTATCCTTGCTAAGCGTGTAACCCATCCGAACTTCCTCACCCAAACCGTCCATCCTTCCGAGGCAAACATGTCGGCCGGATTGAAGACTATCGCTTACTTTGTCAACTGGGTATGGACTACCATCTCCAAGATATTCAATTATCCCTGGGGTGTCCTTACCATGGACCTGTGACGCCGGTTGCAACCGTATCACAATATTCTCTTATCTTTCAGGAACCTTCAAACCCACGGATGGCTGACTGTGGCTGACTCTTTTGTGGTGGTTGACCCCCGATAGGCAATCTATGGGCGCAACTACAACCCGCAAGATCTACCCGCTGAGAAATTGACACACGTGCTATACTCCTTTGCAAATGTTCACCCAGAGACTGGAGAGGTGTTCGTACTTCCTTGTTCCAATATCCCCCCTCCCTGTCGTGGACTTTCACAATTGACATTGGCGTCTTCCTCTCAGCTATTTGACCGATACTTGGTCCGATATTGAGAAGCACTATGAGGGTGACTCGTGGAACGACACCGGCACCAATGTCTACGGTTGTATCAAGCAGCTCTTCCTGTTGAAAAAGAAGCATCGCCAGCTGAAAGTGCTGCTGTCCATCGGTGGCTGGACTTATTCGGCCAATTTCGCCGTCCCAGCCAGCACCCCGGCTGGCCGCGCCAGGTTTGCCGAATCTGCCACTCGTTTGGTTCTCGACCTCGGTCTGGATGGTGAGTGATTGGAAGGCCCAGACCAATGATAAGCCGAGACAAGACTAACATGATGCACGATCCAAAGGCCTCGACATTGACTGGGAGTATCCTCAAGGTATGATATTCTGCCGAGCGAAAACATAAACGTGCTCACCTTCGGGCGAGCATATACAGCAACTGACAGAGTCCACAGACGCATCCCAAGCAACCAATCTGGTCGAGCTGTTGCAAGCGTGTCGCCAGGTAAGCAGTTGTGCAGTTGTTTTGGGATTGTTACATGATCTGATTGTGGTCCGGTGCTCCTTTGGCTAACTCGTTCCACCTCAGCGTTTGGATGCCGCTGCAGGTTCCCATCGCAAGTTCTATCTGTCCATCGCGTGCCCTGCAGGTCCCAGTAACTTCGAAAAGCTGAAGCTACATGACATGAACCCGCTGTTGGACTTTTACAACCTGATGGCGTACGACTATGCGGGCAGCTGGGACCGAGTCGCTGGTCACCAATGCAATATATACCCGTCAAAGTCGAACCCGGCCTCGACGCCCTTCTCCACCATAGCCGCGTTGGAGTACTACATGAACGTGGGCGGTGTGCCCGCTCAAAAGCTGATCATGGGTATGCCGCTCTATGGACGTGCTTTCGAGAATACGAACGGCCCTGGTCAGCCCTATAGCGGTGTGGGACCTGGCAGCTGGGAGAACGGAGTCTGGGACTACAAGGCTCTGCCACGTCCGGGCGCCGAGGAGCATTTGGACACCGAAGCAGATGCGTCCTGGAGTTACGACCCTAAATCGCGGACTATGGTCTCCTACGATACCGTGGAAATGTGCCAGAGAAAAGCGGCTTTTGTCCGATATCGACAACTGGGCGGAGGCATGTGGTGGGAAAGCAGCGGAGACAAGGGTGGCAAGGAGGCCGATCCGGGCCAAGGCAGTCTGATCGGTACCTTTGTCAACGGGATTGGCGGAACGAGTGTTCTCGACGGGATTGAGAACGCTCTGGAGTATCCGGAGAGCAAGTACGACAATCTGCGGGCTGGATTCCCGGGTCAGTAGAGCAGCCATTGAGGGTGGTAGTTAGGTTTTTCAAATTGCACAGAAACCGTGATGATTCCTATGGCCAATACCAACCAACCTTAAGGATGCAGATTTGACCACACTCTGGTTCTACAGACACTGGAGTACGGTAGTAGGAAAAAAGAGGATGTCAAGAGACTCTTCGCTGACTTCAAGCGGGTCTGTAACCTTTTGACAATCGTCGCTGGAAGGGCTTTCTACTCGATACTGTCATTCGCTTTGACCTTGTCTACAGAAGTTTGGAGAGGCAGTTTTGTTTGAATATTGTTTTTATTCACAGCAGTCAAGGTCCTGTAATAGGTGCCTCATCAACCGTTCCATCTATCGTGACATCTCTGTAAATCATATCAAAGACAAATTGACCATATGCCATGATCCGACTACAGAAACCCCTCGATCAGACAAGCCCAATTTACTTGGACTCGTCGAAGACGTAGGTGAGGTGGCACTTGCCGCAGTACTGGCGGTTGTGCATGGCAGCCATGAAGACACCGGCACCACACTGGAGAGGAGAAAAAAACGTTAGTGAAAATGTTACAAGGCTCTCTATCACCTCGAAATTGAGGGAGGGGGAAAATGTGCATACCTCGGGGGCGGGGCACTCGCGGCGCAGACGCTCGATCTTGCCATCACCGTCGACCTTGTAGTACTTGAGGATGGCGAGCTTGGTCTTCTTGTGCTTGTGCTTGATCTTCTTGGGGGTGGTGTAGACCTTCTTCTTGCGCTTCTTACCACCACCACGCAGGCGGAGCACGAGGTGCAGGGTGGACTCCTTCTGGATGTTGTAGTCCGAAAGAGTACGGCCGTCCTCGAGCTGCTTGCCAGCGAAGATCAGACGCTGCTGGTCTGGGGGAATACCCTCCTTGTCTGTGGAGCGAGATTGATGTCAGTCTTTGATGATCCCAAGTCGTGAGATGAGTCTCCCGATGGAGCAGATCTTACCCTGAATCTTGGACTTGACATTGTCGATAGTGTCGGATGACTCCACCTCAAGGGTGATAGTCTTACCCGTGAGGGTCTTGACGAAGATTTGCATCTTGATGAAGGCCTGAAAGCGGCATGTTAGCAGACCGATTTGGTATTGTGTGCCAGCGTTGGCAGTCGTGAAAATAGGCAGATCATGATCGCAAAGTATCTGCGATCACATTCTGCCATGCTTCACGATGCCGATTGACGCTTCCTGGGATGCCGCAACGTACCTCGACAAGTTGTCTTCCTTAACCTTGCAAGAAGGGAAAAAATTCCAGCGTGGGTGGGACTAATTTGAAGGTTGAAATCGTTGTGTGATCACGTGCCGTGGCGGGAGGGCTCCATGCGGACTAGCGTCCTATGTATGGAAGAATGGATTGACCGCCACCCGGGAGGAGCGGGGAATCATGTGATCTCTAGATCGTTGGTGCCTTGGGGCCTCATCCGATCAGTGGTGGCCTTAGTGCCTTACCACTGGACTAAATCTGCTACCGCCTGAGGCAGACATGACATCGTCCCGCATCCCAGCAACCAGATCTCCACTAGCGCTGACCCATCAGGCCGCAAAAGCTAAAAACTGCAGCGGAGTCGCACTCGGGCTGTGCTGGACACTGGACAGATGTCGGACCTAGTTCGAGATGCTTTCGCAGGTCAGTCAATATCACCTACGCAGGGATATCTCCATGGAGATCATTCTAGGAACCTGTGCATCCCCTGCTCTATTTTGAGGACACCGAGTCTACTCCTCGCTGTAGCACAGACGGCCCTTGCAGGATAGGTGAGGGAGGGATTCACCTTAGGGCTGAGTCAAGAACCATCGCCGCTCGAAACTCGGGATCGTGGATCTGGGCCTGACGGAGCTCCCGCGATAGTGTCAACCGTTCCAGGTGGACAGCGGTGGGCCCGATCCTGTCGTCACATCATCATGGCCATCATCAGGTTAATTTATCCCACAATCGTCACAATAATCCAGCGGGCGGCTCGTTTCCCAGACTCCCAGCTGAGCGGGTTGCCATGCCAACATGCGGCTTGTTGATGGGAACCGTGGGCATACTCTAGGTACCCGTAGATCGCAAATACGGTTGCAGGGCCCGCTTCAAGGGTTCGGATCTAAACACTTATTGACTTTACTTCCTACCTCTTCTTGTTTGAAGTTCTTCAGCTTCACTTCCAATAAAGAAGAATCAAAACGAGCATAGCTTTTCCTCCATCAAAACACTTCCACGGATCAAGCATCATCTGACCATTTGGCTAGTGGAAGGTTACTGGACCGCAGCGCTGCCAACTTCTAGCGAACGAAGAGAAGAGAACCTCCCGAGGCTCCGTCTGATAGATCGCTGAAGGCTTTCCCAAACTTGAGACTCTAGCGTCACATCTTTTCTCTTTCGCCTTCTTTGTTTTAAATTGTCGCATTCGTTGATTCGTTCACATACTGACACCGTGACAGGGCCGTGATCACCGAGAGGCTGGATAGCCATGATTTCCACCAACTCGACGTCGCTGCGACCCGGTCACCACCGCCGTCAGATCTCGAATCCAGCACCTTTTGAAGCAGCAATTGTTCCGCAACCCATATCCACTGTATCCGCCAGACGAATGCATCGTCGCGGGCAGACCGTGGATTATGGCTCGTACAGTCCACAGGTTTCAATGCCCATGGACCGACGAACTGCTCCCAAGACGGTGCCGGAGCTTCGAGACTACTTTAACGCTAAATCTACAGGTCCTCATCCGGAGGCAAGAAGTGCACAGCAATTCTCTGCCTATGTGCCGCGTTCAGAGCAATCCATGATGTCGCGTGGTCCTTCAATGGCGCACCCAAACTATCAATATCAATCTGCGCCGATGTGGGCCCATGATGAATTGCAAGAATTCTACACAACATCCATGGCCTCGAACTCGCCAGCCACCACCGTGGCCCCGAATCTCTCAAGGTCGGCTAGCGACAGCTCTGAACACATCGCACCATCATCTAGTGCTCTGCACCGCATGCGCCATGAGCGTAACTTCCTATTAATGCAAAGGGAGCAGGCCATGGCACAATCTCGCATGTCACAGTCACTTTCTGATCAGCCAGAGATCGTCTCAGCAAAGATGAACCCATATCTTTCTTGTAAGAGAAGTTCCTCGTTTTCCACGCCGATATGGTCGGGAATTTTCAGACTAATTTTTTTGGCGTCCAGACACCTCTCCTCTTACCCCCGAGTCTACCCCAATGAAGGGTTCTTTTGATTTTTCCATGTATAGCAATGATATCACCCCGACCAAGTCCCAAAGTTTCTCTATTTCCCGTACCCCAGTCAGCTCTGAAATGCAAAGAGCCCAGTCCTACCAAGGCGCTTCCTTGGGAAGTCCAGTTCAGTTGAAGCATCACATCCCGTCTCCCGCCGACTCGCCCTCCATCAACTATGCGGAATTAGCCAGCATGCACTCTCCAGGCTCTTGTGGCCTCCCCGACGATAACGACGTCGGTTCCATCCAGGATCATCAACTTCGCGGCGAGTCCGTTGAGTCGTCGCTCATGCCGTCTGGTTCTGACATGGAACCCGAAACCATAGACGATTTCGACCTTGACGCGCGTGTGAAGGCCTCGGTGCGAGAAACAGGCGTCTCAAATGATGAGATCAACAAGTGGATCTCCGGTCCCGATCCAAAAGACGGCAAATGGGTCTGTCTCTGGCATGACTGTGGCAATTGTCGTTTTGGCCGCAAGGAAAACATTCGATCCCATGTCCAGACGCATCTCGATGACCGTCCTTACAAGTGCGATGTGTGTGAGAAGAAGTTTGTCCGTGGCCACGATTTGAAACGCCACTTGAAGACCCATACCGGCAAGAAGCCATTTGCCTGCCGTTGTGGTGCCAGTTTCGCCCGTCAGGATGCTTTGACCCGTCACCGTCAACGCGATATGTGCGTGGGAGGGTACAATGGCCACACGCTCAAGACCACCCGACGAGGTCGCCCGCCCAAGAAGAACCGCCCTGATATGGAATCTCGTCAGACCAAATCCACCCGTACCCGTCTACGTGTCGCCCACAAAGCCGAAAGCATCACCCCCATCAAGATTGAAAGTGAAATCAACCAAGAGTCTCCCGTTTTCGTGTCGCCCAGTTATGAATCGTCTCATAGCCTCTCATCGTTCACGCCGCCCACCTCTCCCGGTGCCAGTCAAAGCCGTGTCCCATCCCCTCTGCCCGCCACAAGTGCCTTTACCACCGAGTTTGAGGACCACATCCTACCACCTATGCCGTCTCCTCAAATAGCGAACCACTTGCGTTATGCTCAATCAACCGCTCCATTCGCCTCAAACGTTGTTGGAATGTCGGCCCCTCACGAGTACTTCTATAACGATCCCTCGTTGTCTTCTCCGCACGATATGTCTTCGCCTCACAGCGGCCCGACACTATCTGAATCATCCATGGGCTCTGAGATTGATTTCTTCATGACCCAAGATCCATCGGAGCAAGTGCAGGAAGAGTTTGGCGACATCACCACTCAGGCGCTGTCCAGCTTCTCGAACTCATACCCCTACGTCGATTCATCGGATTTCCCCACGTCGTCATTCTACACAGACATGCCCGAGAAGTCTTTCTCGGGCCTGCCCACTCTAGACGACCCTTCCTTTGATCAGATCGACTCGCTCTCAAATGAGTTCTTGGTGGATCCTTGAGCATACCTTCCCCATCCCTTCTTGATGTTTCCTTTCTGCACACACGACTACCTCCAAAAACGTGCAGCCGGGACGATTTCGACGCGGGGATCTTCAACCCCGTTCTTGATTCGAGCACCACTTCGCGTTGACACGATATGAATGATGTACAAACTGACGACGTACAATGACTCTGAAAGCTCTTCTTTTGCTTTCTCTTACATGCCTTACGACTGGACTTCCTTGTGGATCTTTACTGAGCTCAAAGACTGCTCTTTTTTCTTCTGAACACTCGCACTTGAGCGCACATGCCAATCCTTTCTTTGCTGATTCCTCGCCCACGGGTCGAATATTCGAGTCAACTTGACGACTTGGGTGGCGGGTGATATCCATTGCTTGCCGCGTTTTCCCTCCTCATGTTGTTTTCCCTTTTCAAATTCAAGTCTGTTATACATCTTGTTCCTTTTTGGTCTGTTACAAAGTTTGCTCTTCTCTTCTCTCACTGAGCATGGTGTTTTCGCTCTTTTCTTCACAGTGTCTTGCCCACTGCTTTTCGGGATTATTTGAATTGTTGAATTGCTTCCTGCAGTTCCCGCTCTATTCCCCCTTTCTTTCTTAATGAGTCTTGTTACTTTTTCTTTTCTTTTGAATACTATTGCTTGCCGATGCTCCCCTGTTCAAGATGTACTCTGTTCCAAATGGAATATCTGGCTGAGCTTTGTGCAGGCTGATCTTTACCCTGCTAACGCTTTCAATGCGTCGAAAGGGCACGCCCATCTTCTTCTGTAGACTGCTCTCAGCATCTTTACTTCCTCTAACTAGCCGTGTCAGAAGAGTCTTGGTGTAATCTTGTATCAGATAGTTAGTTTCTCGCCTCTTCTTTGTGGAATGATATGGATTGGTCTATAAGGACAATGCACTCTCCAGCTCCTCTCTATGACCATCCATTTCCTTTCATTGTTCGATGTCTTCGCTGAACATAAGCCACTTGGCCTCAACTCTAGAATATGACTTGTTCAAATGCCTGCCGTAAGCCTCTTTCCCCCAACCAAGCCTCCAGTGCCTGCATATCACCTCGATTGGCCCGCTGCCCACCGCGTGCCCCCAGCGAGTCTGTGATCTCCTCCATTCCCAGAAACACACGTTGGATGTTCTGCGTTTCTCGAAATCGCTCACTGACTTTCTTTTGATGACTTGGGATGTCACCCCAAGAATGCGTCTTGATGAAACTCATATAGGCATCAATATCCACCGACAAGCCTTCCAAACAGAGCACACCCGGCTTCCCCGCCAGCACGAACCCTGTTAGACCGTACCCCGGTGCCAGATTGACCATGTCATCTCTCTTTTTCCGCGTCGACAAAGACGGGAAGTAGAACCATACGCGCACAAGAGGACCGCTGGAAGCTTTGGTTGCGTCTGACCCTTCAGCAGACACGGTTTGCGTTTGCTTTGTTTCGAGTAAGCGGGCACCTTCGGCCTGGATATAATCAAATGCTTCCAGCGCATCGCCATTACGGTTTGGGATGCCCGCAGACAAAGCTGCCACTTCTGCTTTGGACATCCAATCGGGCTGCCGAAGTGAATATCTCATTGGTGGAAGCCGGTCCGCGCCTTCAGAACCCTCAGTCTCCGTCCGCAGCGGAAAGGTGACGATGACCTGAATACTTTTGTCTTGTCCCCCAACTGGCAGACGGACCGTCACTGAGAGGTTTGGAGGGATCTGCGCTGGTGCAAGTGCCGAGGTTGGGTCCAGAAACCACTCGCGCAGTCTGTCAATCCATTCAGCCGAGGATTCGGAAATCTCGACCTCGCCCGACGAGGGATACATGGCTGCGATGAGATCGATCGTGTCCAAATGGGCTTCGATCACTTCGACTGGTAGTATCGTCGAGTTCATGGTGTCTGAGATTCTGCTAGTGGTCTTCTTCGGCAGACCATCTAGTTGAGTTTCAAAGATTCAGGGAGACTGGAGTGTATGGGTTGGCTCTGGAGAGTCGACATCCCCACTTCAACCCGCCGCGCGTGTGAATCGTACAATTTGCCAGTTGACACCTCGTCGCAGATCAGAATGGCCATGGTAGAGTATATATTTCTGGTGGATGGCCTTGCGAGCACAAAGCGTCAATTGTGAAGGATATAATCGCTTTTGTGTCTCTCACTGCCGTCAGATGTCGCACTCGTCAATAGAAGAGTCCACGTCCACTGGCCAGGGATTGTGCTTCCTTTGACCGGGTACACTGCCCGGGATCTACTTTCCCTCCAGATTGTATCCGTCCAAGGTCAATTCTGGACATGGACCTCCGAGCTCAAAACGGCAATCATCTCATCTCTTTAGCCTGAATGAAAAGCAAATCACACATCGTCACCATCCCGTTGCCCAAACGAGCAAGTTCGTCGACTGATAAAGCGGATCGTCTTCGTGTTGACAGATGCCGTGAATCTTGTTTGCTAATGAGGTTCCCCCGCACAAGGACTCATCCCGGTTTTGAGGTGACATAAAGGGACCCCGCTTAAAGATTCATGTAAACAGAGACAGGTCATCATCCTTATTCCCTTTCTCATAGAAGCTCTCTTCATCTGAACGAACACACGCTTCCTGCATTTCAAAATGACTATCGGCGTAGCACTGATCGGTGGAGGCATCTGGGCAAGAGAAGAGCACCTGGTAGGCAAAAGAGAGCTCACCTGCACTTCGAAGAGCACCGTTGACTCATTCTCGCAATGTTTCCTTACAGCCGGCCATTCTCGCATCCGAGCATCTGACTCTCAGGGCAATTTATTCACGGTCGCGCAAGTCAGCGGAGGAAACAGCCAAAGCATTGGGGAAACAGATCGATCTATATGCCGAAGACTTGGAGCAAGGCTACGATGTGGTACTCAAGCGCGACGATATCGACGCAGTGATTATCGCGTGAGTTGAAGCCTATGCGAAACACCTTCGTGTGGATCTTGATTTTGACGTCTCACTCATACTTTGTCTCCAGACTTCCCATCGCTTCCCAGGCCTTGTATATCCGTGCTGCTCTCACTGCGGGAAAGCATGTTCTTTCCGAGAAGCCCGTGGCGGAGAACGTCGGCGAGGCCAAAGAATTGATCAAATGGTACGAGGATGAGATCAAGCCCAAGGGTAAAGCGACCTGGGGTGTTGGCGAAAATTTTCGATATCTTGATACCTTTCGACTTGCGAGAGAGAAAGTCAAGGAATTGGGCAAGATCAATAGTTTCCTGGTGAGACTGTACGCCAATATCCAGACCGATACGAACTTTTACAGTGAGATCTCCTTTCTCAAGCAAACCAAAGTGCTAGTGGAAACGGCACGATAAGATCAGACTTTTGAACAGAAGAACTGACGTGTGTTTTTCTTCCCTACGACCAGATACCGACTGGAGAAAGGTTCCCACCCATCAAGGTGGCTTCATCTTGGATGGAGGTGTACACTTCACAGCTGGATTGCGCTACCTGCTGGGCAACAATGTCCACATCACTCAATTATGCGCCTTCACGACCCTGATCAAGGACTACCTTCCTCCTGTCGACACGGTCAATGCCATTCTCAAGGCCAACACCGGTGCTCAAGGAACCTTCCAAGTATCCATGGGAAGCCACGGTCCAGCATCCGAGTGGACCGTGGCTTGTGAGAAGGGAAGCGTGACCGTCCACGATGCCAGTGTCACTGTGAGAGCCGCCGATGGCCAGGAGCACGTTGAAAAGGTCGAGAATGAGAAAAGTGGCGTTCCCCCCGAAGTGAGATTGTGGGCAAAGGCTCTGGCGGCGGGCAAAGTGAACCCTGAGCAGAGTCCCAGCCAGGCTTTGGCTGATCTAGAGTTGGTGAGTTGTGCGTGTCTTGGGGCAAAATCTACCAGCCTTTGATCCTGATGAGCTGACCGTTTGCGTGTGAATTCCTTTTCTTTGCAGATTGAATTAATGCTTCGTTCCGGAGAAAATAATGGGCAAAGTCAGAGTAGTCAATGGCAGCAATCAGCCGATATCTAAATGAGCATCGAGCTCAAAGAAGAGGAAGCTTTGCCTAAGCGGACACGTCATGTTGTCGCTTCGAGGGTGAAGAGGTAGTACTCGGAGGAGGCACTCTCCTTGGCGGATCCAGTTCTCTTCCGATTTGGTGGTCACTTAGGAGAGAACGGGAGACCGGAGCTACGCAGTATTTCCTCTGGGGGTACCAATATATGTCTCAAAATCATTCTATCTTCATTGTAATGCGGCTGAAAGATCAGATAGCTTGAGCAGTTGAAGATGCCATGCCATATCAAAATGATCCCTTTGGTGACCATTCCAGCTCAAGTTCTAACAGATGCTCCGCCTGAGAAGCGTAGATGATGCTCTGGACGTGACCCTTGGGCGCTTTGTCCGCGTAAAAGGTGGTGTTTCCCGCGTAACTGACCTTGCCCTCGGTAATCTAAAAACAGGGATACGTTAGTCTCCTTATTAGGCATCTGATCGGCGCTGATCTGACGAACCGTAAACTCGCTGGGCTTGTTGACATGGCTGTGGCATCTGAGTGCGTCATCCTCGAATGCGCAGAAGCCTTTGCTGGACTTCAGGGTGAAAGTGTTGTCTTCCAAAACATGAGTTAGAATACCCGAGCACACCGCAACCAAAAGTGGTCCTGTTACGAACCTGTCACTTTCTGCGTTCTAAATGTAGCACAGGTCCCTGATGTGAACCAGGTTCCATAGCTGATGATACAACCCCGCCTATGACCAAGACTCGATACCATCAGGTTGCCTCTCTGTGTCTTAGGGTGACCCGTGTGTGTTGGCTCGGACCCGCGACTGGTTGTCTTTGTTGGCTCAGGAGTCGATCGCTTGGGTGGATAGCGAATGCCGCTCTTTGGGCAGTTGGATTTTTGACCGTCTAATTAAAGTTAGCATCCGATTGTGATAGAAGACCAGAAGTTTTGAAAGAGTCAGACCTGGAGGAGCGGGAACAAATCTTCCAGTTTGCAGGCTCCCAGCTATATTGAAGTGATACCAGATCTCGCTAAGAGCTCCCTGACGGCAGTGTACTGTGACAGGAGCACCGTGGCCACTCTCAAGTGCGCTCTCGATGTCCGTGAGAGCGTATCTTTGAGTATGAGACGGTAGAATCCCGTTCGCCGCCAGGAACTATTCAATTTTTAGCGCATCGATCACCAGATCCATTACGAAGACCACGAACCTCATATGAGGGAACCTGCTTGAAAATCTCGACCGACTTGTCGAAATAATCAACCACGTCTTGCTGAGGTTGGTAGTCCTCATAGCACCGCGTCTCTAGAGTGCTGACACAAGTTCCATGCTTCTCCCATTCATGTTGCCACAAGTGAGAGTCATCGCCTTTGTAGTCTTTCCAAAACTCGGTCATGTATTGGAGCAAATCGGCTCGACCGGCGTCGACTAAGATCAGCGAAATATTGCTATACCGTCTCTTCGGATCACAGAATTGGTCGAATCCTCCGTTGCAGTGGTCGGGCCTGTTGGTTGTTACTTGTGAACCGATAAGACCCTATATGTTTAGGTAGAAGGCGGACCATTGACTCACCATAATCCGTGTATTGTCCAAGAATCATCAGGCCCTACCGCTGGATCTGCATCCCAAAACTGGGTTTGAAGCATTTGACCCCCCGGATAATTGAAGCAGCATGTGTCCTGGCCATGATACTGTATTTGACAGCTGATTTCTCCAGAAGAGCATGACCGTGACACGCCTGGGGCTGTTGATTGCTTATCGTCCGCGGTCGACGATAACCACCAAGTACTCAGCGCCTTCAGGATCTTTTGGGGTCCCAGATTGCCTCCAGTCTGTGGCTGTAAGTAACCCATGATGAATGATGACGAGAGATATTCACGGGGACTGGTGCTTTATTCTTGAAAGACGTGTAAGTGGTAGCTCATCTGATTTATGAAAGGGAAAGTCGAGTGCAGTCGTCGACTCCAGGAGCTCTTATCGCCGGGGGCATGTGAGGTGCCAAGCTTCGATGACTAAGGCGATCACCAGCCCCCGGCCGCGTGATCTGATCACGACCCCGTGTGGGAGCTCCGCAGTGGAGACAGCAAGCTCAAGGTGATTAGGTAGGAAAGGGAGGGGGGTATCTCAATTTTGTCTGCTAAATGCGCTAAACCATCCATAACGACTCCGAAGGTGAGTTCGGTATTCAAGTCATGATCCTTCAGACTCCGGTTGCCGCTTGTGCAGAACCTCTTCCTGCCCATGCTTCCTCTCCTTCCACAATCGCAAAACCTCAAAGCCAACCTCGACAGCAATCAAGAGTATAATGATCCACTCCAATCGCAGTCCATGCGTCTCACTGAGACGCTCACGAAGCACGCTTGCAATTTCCTGGGCGTAGTCCATCTTTTCATTTAGAAGCTTGATTCGAATTCCCACATCCAGAGCCCGACCGACTTGCTCATAGTATCCTTCTAGACCAAGGTCATGCCGACTATCCCAGAAGAGGTCTGGAAGAGAGTCTGTCAATTCCGAATAAAGATTGAGCTGCGCGCGAACGCTGAGTAGCTGCCCGGTTTTGCGCAGAATGAAGTCTCGCGTATATGGAAGACGCGAGCCCTTGGAAAGCAGAGTTGGAATACTTCGCGTGGATTCAAAATAATTTGACAGCAGGCTTTCGAGAACAGCAAGCTTGGTACTTCGTGCGAGGCCAGACGAAAAGGCAACCTTGGTCAATACCGTGTCGATGGATTGTTGACTTCCACGGAGTGATTGAAGGGCTTGACTACTCGATCGAGTGCCGAGAATGATGGTGTCGCCCTTGATGACACTGTTCTCGCGCGAGGCGTCCTCCACGAATTCGAGGTCTTCCGTCTCCACATTATCCACATGGGCCCCTTCTGCCGCAGGAAGCAGCGTTCTGGTTGCGAGAAAGGATGTGAAACCCTCTGGAAGTGACCATGCTACCACTGTCCCGGATGGAAAGACAAAGACATCTCCAACCTGGTCAGCTGGAAGATCATCCGTAGAAGGATTTCCAACCCGTCGAATTGAATCTATCGGTATCTGAACATGTACCACCTGCGGGTACAACCCCGTACCCAGCGGATCTGGTTCGTAACCCTTGTCCTGAAGGATTTCTCGGACTTGGCGGATGTCGAACTTTTCAGCGACAGCATAGGCAGTGACAACCTGAGAGACCAAGCGAAAATTGTTAGCTTCAATAGAAACTAGTGACCGACGCACAGCAGCGAGGGAACAACAAGTACCCTTGTGTGATCAGGGACGCCATGCTCTTTCAGCTGGGGTTTCGAGATGAATCCATCTTTTGATCGTTGTGCTTCAACTGCGACTCTTCTTAGCGAAGTCGGAACAGCCGGTCCTCTGCTGCTCCGGCGCCGTTGTTTTTGCGCATCCGAACTGTCTGCAGGCCCATCGCTGGGACCGAGCTGTTTTTGCGCCGAGGAAGAAATGGATGAAAATAAGTTTTTTTGGTAGAGAGGGTTGGGAGCTGACGGTGTACGTAGGCTCAAGCTTCGTGGAAGCCGATGTACTGAGTCGACCGCAGCACGCTTGCAAGTCGAAAAGAGAGGATGGCTCGCAAACATGACGATTTCAAAATTAAAGCGTTGGAAACAAACGATGTCATGGCCTGCAGCAGTGCGGGCCGAGGATCTCTCCCGCTTAGTCATGCTAGCTCCACTCTAACCCCAGCTCCCAGCGTGCATGCCGTCCAGGTCCCGCCGCCTTTCTGCTCGTCGTCACTCCGATCTGACCTGAATTGGAGCTTCCAGGCGCCAAGAGCAGTGGCTATGGATGCGCCTGGCAAAACTATGATGCGGAAAGATGCTGAGGAGAGAACTCAAAAGCTCAGCTCTTCTCTAGAACGGAAGCAGTCCTCAAGTGCTGCCTCGCGCACACACCAAGAGGACCCGCATGGCGCAGACCGCGAGAGCGCAGCCAGTGAAGGCCCCGACGCCGAAGAAGACGACGACGGCGGCGACGACGCCGAAGAGGGACATGACAACGAAGACTCTGATGAGGAGGACGAAGAGCCTCGACTCAAGTACACCTACTTAAGCAAGTTGTTAGGGTCTGTCTATCGCAATGGGGATGCGACGAGTACATTCCTCGTTGCCGGAGACAAAATGGTGAGGCACGGTTGTTCCGATATCATATCGTACTTTTGACTGACTGATTTTGACAGATTATTGGAACGCACAATGGTGTTATAGTAAGTGCACATTGCCTGGTGGCTTAGTTGTGTGCATTCTAACCCGTTGCTCGCACAGCATGTTCTTTCTCTACCGCATCTGCAACCTCTTCGAGTCTATCATGCGCATGCAGCCAGTGTGACTTCGATCTCTATATCTCCGTTCCCTCCTCCTCTGCCCAGATTCAAGGTCGACGCAGTTACCAGATCAGTCGTTGAAGACACTCAGCCGCCAACACGGGCATCAACAAGCTCAGGCAGCATCCGCGGGAAGCCAAAGTCGAACCAGCAATCAAACGTACCACCCACGCCTTCAAATTCGATTCACATCGCCTCCTCCTCAATAGACGGCAATGTCTGTATCGCATCCCTGATTGATCCGAAGGACATCCTCAAAAGAAATTTTGGGAGACCTGTTCAAGCTGTCGCGCTGTCTCCCGATTACAAGAATGACAGATCTTTCATTTCCGGAGGTCGTGCAGGGGAGCTCATCCTGACTACCGGCGGTCGTATTGGTGTGAGTGCAAATGCCACAACTATGGGAGGTGCAACTGCGACGGCTTCGAGCTGGCTGGGCTCAATGGGGCTTGCGGCCAGCAATGGCAAGGACACGATTCTTCACAGCGGAGAGGGTACCATCAGTACAATCAGGTGGTCCCTGTCGGGCAGATACGTTACGTGGGTGAATGAAGAAGGCATCAAAATTATGCGATCAAATCTGCATCTTGAGCCTCGCGAATCAGAGTTTGCGTGGAGGCGAATAAGCCACATTGATCGTCCCAGTGGCACAGGATGGGACGAGATGGCCGGTGTTTGGAAAGCTCGCGCGGAATGGATTGATGACTCCGCCTTGGACCAAGACGATCGGCTTGATCCCGGGTTTGAAAATAACGATGAGAGCTCACCACCCACTCTACCCGTCGAGCAACCCGAAAAGCTCGTGGTGGGCTGGGGTGGTACCGTGTGGATCATCGATGTCTTTCCTGACCGGGCGTGTAAATCCTCGAAGGGTCAACGATATGGTTCCGCCGAGGTATCCACGATCCTTCGGACCGATTGCATTATATCTGGTATCTCTCTGTACAGTCCACGTCTCCTCGTGGTGCTTGCACATATTGAGGGGTCAAAAGATGTCTCAGAAGATGCCTCGGTCTCCTCCGGAAGAGGCCACCGGCCGAAGAACCTGGAACCAGAGCTACGGATCATCGACATTGAGACGAAGGAAGAACTCAGCGCAGATACCCTGTCCTTTGGGCGATTTCAAAACCTCACCTCTTCGGATTACCACCTGAGCGTTCTGCCACCCTGGAAGACTGCAGAGGGTCAAATTGTCCAACGCGGTGCGCTGGGAACTATCGGACATGGACTTTTAGACGCCACAATGTACCCTGCCCGTCTCTTCAGCTCAGCCGCCAGTATTCGAAGCACAAATAGCAGCGGAGACAAGTTATCTGCCAGAGCACCACCGTCGTTCATTTCAAAGCAGCTGTCTATTGATGAAACACCGTCGCCGAAGGAAGTGCAAGACATTTCACGGGCCTCGGGGGCGAAGATCTTTGTACATAGCCCCTTTGACTGTGTTGTCTCGATTAAACGCGACTTTGCGGACCGCCTCGCATGGCTCAATGCTCGCGGTCAATATGAGCAAGCATGGAAACTTATTGATCAACACCCCGAGGTGGCTGAGTCGACTCTGGACCTTAGTGATATTGCACCAGGGCTGAGGTCTCAGAGCAGTCTGGGAGAGTTTTTCGACGACGACAGATCATCCGTGATCACCGCTGGCCGAGATAATCTCCATCCTGCTGCTGACCACGAGAAGGCTCGGATTGGAGAACTGTGGATTGAACAGCTCGTAAGCCAGGACAAATGGTTCGAGGCTGCCGAAGTGTGTGGAAAAGCTTTGCGAAGCACCCCTCGTTGGGAGCACTGGGCGTGGCTGTTCATCGAGCGAGAAAGAATGGATGAGATCTTGCCACATCTCCCTATCAATCTACACCCGCCTCTCTCAGCCGAGATCTACGAATCCCTTTTGAACCACTATGTCTCGCATGACTTGGGCCGATTCAGAGACCTGGTTGACTCGTGGCCGTCAGACTTGTTTGATTCAAACAACGTGACTCAACAATTGCGGAATCGCCTGCAATCTCATTCGGTAACCGAGCAGTCTGATGACTGGCAAACTCTCACCGATTGCCTTGCCAAACTTTATTTGATGGGCGGTCGTTATCGTGAGGCTCTGCGGTGCTATATTCGACTTCAGGATGCGGACGCAGCTATGTCACTGATCAAGGAGCATCATCTGGTGGATGCAGTGTCCGATGATATACCCGCTTTTGTTATGATTCGAATCACTAAGCAGCAGATGAAGTCAGCTCCCAAATCCGAACTAGACGAGCTCGCCGCAGAGCCAATCCAGCTCTTAGTCAGGGAGGCCTACACGGGGATTGTGCCCCCTGAGACAGTTGTATCTCAGCTGAAGGCTGCGAATCGCATTCTATTTGTATATTTCTATCTTCGCGTACTCTGGAGGGGCGAAGCATTGCCACACGATACATCAAAGCCTCGCCGGGGCCGAGGGACTCACTCTCGAGATGCAGCCAGCAAGCTGGCCGCGGACGAGGGGAAGGCTTTGATTGACGCACTTGCCGACACCGCCGTGGAGGTATTTGCTGATTATGACCGCTCTCTATTGATGGAGTTCCTTCAAACCAGCATGTCTTACACCTTCGAGTTGGCGACACAGATTTGCGAGCAGCGCCGTTATACCCAAGAACTAATTTATCTCCTATCCAAGATGGGACAAACAAAGCGAGCTCTGAATCTTATCTTGTCTGATCTGAGGGACGTGTCTCAGGCGATATCGTTCGCAAAATCCCAGGACGACCCAGATCTCTGGGAGGATCTACTCGATTACTCGATGGACAAACCCAAGTTCATCCACGGCCTTCTCGTCGAGGCTGGAACGTCGATTGATCCTATCAAACTCGTTCGTCGAATTCCAAGCGGCTTGGAGATCGAGGGTCTCAGGGATGGCTTGACCCGTCTAATTCGTGAACACGATTTGCAAACGAGTATCAGCCAGGGTGCGGCGCGCGTGATGCAAAGTGAAGTCGCTAGGGGCATGGACACCTTGCGCAAGGGTCAAAGGCGAGGAATCAAATTCAACGTGAATGCACATGAATCTGCAAGTGGTGGACCAGGCCACGATGAGACGTCTGGAGCCGGTCACACAAGTCCACGGGCGACTCCCAGCTCAGGACGCTGTGGCGGTTGCAATGCTCCGTTCAAACCGAATGGTCCGTTCTCCCGAGATCAAATTCTCCCCGGAAAATCCCCTTTCATCCTGACCTGCTTATCACATGCTGACATGTTTCCAATTCTCAAGAACGCAAAATTCTAGTAGGCTTCGGCTGCGGACACATCTTCCACCTCTCGCATTTACATTCAGAAGGCTCACTCCTGCAATCAAATACCGACAGCCCGAATCGATCGGCAGACCGAACACCACGGCCGTCGTCGCCTACCGAAGACGTCGCGACGTCCAGTGTCTCTCGCACCGTTGGGCCCAAAGTGACGACGGCCCGTCTTCTGCGTGACAGAATCGGCGACGGTTGTCGAATCTGTGCATTGTCAAGAAAGATCGAGTCTCTAGGCTCTGAAGAGGCTGTCTGATACTCTTTTTTGAAGTGACTCGAAATATATACCCGAATTGTTGCATCTTGACGCGATGACTGCATGATTTTCTCAATTGCATTATCCTTGCCTTTCGTCTTACAATCTATACCCTGTTCTATTTATCCCTGGCTTTGTTTTCGTCCCAGTTCCGTTAGAGACAGATTTATAAGTATTGACGGGTTAAACCTGGCGAAGTCAAGACCCTATGCGTATTGGCTCCGGCCGCGATTCGATTCCTACCTGGTGTGACGGAGCTGAAATCTATGAGCAAGCGTCTGTCGGCGCTGCGATACGTAGGTAACCTACCCTTATTCAATAGATCAAAAGGTTTGCGCTCGAGACACATGGAAAGAACTGGACCCACTTCTTAATTCGCCATAGAAATTCATCGCATTGTAAAACTATGGCCGAAATATCTTCAATGTTCCGCGCTAACGAGATTGCTCATGTCCATGATTGCCAGGAGTGATCACCAGGTCACTCGGGTTTTCCACGGCATTTTTCCTCCCATATGCATGATTGCTATATAAGGATGGAAGTTTGCTATTTCTTTTTTTTTTTTGTTTTATTTCATCTCCTCCTTCAGAACCGCAGATCCCAACCAATCTGAGGTCCCAGCTTGGGTAGCTCGTCGGCTACACTCTGCACGTCCTTGTCACCACGACCACTGACGCAAATGACCAGGTTCTTGCCGGGGCCCAACCTCTTCGCGGTTTCAATGGCACCCCACACAGCGTGGGAAGTCTCCAAAGCGGGAATGATACCTTCCAACTGGCTCAGCAAACGGAAGCCTTCGAGCGCCTGCGCATCGGTGGCCGCGAGATAGGTGGCGCGGTTGTTCTCTTTCCAACCAGCGAGTTCGGGTCCCACACCGGGGTAGTCAAGACCAGCCGAGACCGAGTAGGTCTCGGTGATCTGCCCGTGCTGATCCTGCAGAACATAGGTGCGCACACCGTGGAGCACACCGACAGAGCCGCGACCCAGAGTGGCGGAGTGTCGGGCGGTGTCCACTCCGTCACCGCCTGCCTCGACACCGACCAACTCGACCGAAGGATCCTTGGAGAAGGGGTAGAACATGCCGACGGCGTTTGAACCACCACCCACGCAAGCAATCACAGCATCCACCTTCTGGCCGAGTTCGGCCATCTGCGCCTTGGTCTCATCACCGATCACGCTCTGGAAGGTGCGCACCATGGTAGGGAAGGGGTGAGGTCCAATTGCCGATCCGATGATATAGTGAGTCGTATCGAGGCGAGTGATCCAAGCGCGGAAGGCTTCGTTGACGGCGTCACGAAGAGTACGGGCGCCAGCCTCCACGGGAACCACTGTAGCACCGAGGAGGCGAATGCGGAACACGTTCAATGCTTGACGACGGACATCCTCTGCTCCCATGTAGATTGTGCACTTCATGCCAAACTTGGCACAGACCGTCGCGGTTGCCACACCGTGCTGGCCTGCTCCGGTCTCGGCAATGATCTCGGTCTTGCCCAACCGGCGAGCCACCAGGATCTGGCCAAGGGCGTTGTTGATTTTGTGCGAGCCGGTATGGTTGAGATCCTCTCGCTTCAACCAGATGTTTGCGCCCCCCGCGTACTCAGTGAGCCGCTGGGCGGCATGCAAGCTCGAGGGTCGGCTCATGAAGGGGTAGTAGGATCGGTACTCTTCCCAGAACTTTGGATCCTTGACGGCCGCCTCGAACCCAGCCTCGAGTTCAGCCAGACATGTGGTAAGGGCCTCGGGGGCATACTGACCACCAAAGACACCGAATTTGCCGGAACCTTCGGTGGTTGCGGTCTCTTCACCGTCCGCCTCGTTGTGAGACGTTCCGTTCACCTGTTGTTGGCCGGAAGTAGAAGCTTGGTATTGTCGGGCAATACCCTTGCGTTGGGTAATCTTATAGCAGTATTCCTCCACAGCGCGGGCAGCCTCACCAGCGGGAGCGTCATGGAGAACGTTGATAATCTGACTACCGATGACTGCGCCGTCCGCAACCGACGTGACGCTGAGGAAGTGCTCGCGAGTGCTGATACCGAATCCAACAGCCACAGGCACATTGCCAGACAGGTCCTTCACTCGCTTGATGAGGGCAGGCAGGTCGGCATTAAGGGTTCCTGTAGCGCCCGTCACGCCCATGCGGGAGACAAGGTAGATGAACGAGTCGGCAATCTTGCAGAGAGATTTCATGCGCTCCTCGGTGGTAGAGGGGGCAATCAAGGGGACGTAGGAGAGTCTGGTCCAAAGAGATCGTTGAAATCAGCCTAATTCAGTTCCAAGAAATTCGCTGGCATGAAGGGAAAGATGCAGAGATGGAGTGGACTAACCCAGCACTGGTGCAGCCGTTGCGGAAACGAACGGCTTCCTCGGGAGGCAGATCCACAATGATGAAGCCATTGACTCCGGCATCGAGGCAGTCCGTCAACAGTTTGGTCTGTCCATAGCGAAGGATAGGGTTATAGTAGCCCATGAAGAGAACGGGAACTGTTAGTCCCTTCTTGCGAGCTGTGCGGACCATCTCCAGCATGGAGGTGATTGTGACTCCATTCTCGAGGGCCTTCAGATTTGATTTCTGGATTGTGGGACCGTCGGCGATGGGATCGGTGAAGGGGAGACCGAGTTCAATGACATCTGTGAGCATGGGGATGCTGGGTTAGCACTGGAAAGATTCTCCTTTTGTGGTTGAATGGTGTTGTGATGGGGTATTCCCAATATCGCTCCGTTGTGACTCACCAGCGCCACCAGCTTGCATGCCCAGCATAACATCTGGGGTCTCCTCCGCGGTGGGGAAGCCAGCCGTCACGTAAGTGACGAGGGCGGGACGACCCTCTGACTGGCAGTGAGCAAAGACTTCCTTGAGGTGATTCATCTTTGTGATCACTGTGTGTTAGAGATGAAAGATGGTTGAGGAGGGGGAAGTGAAGAAGGAGTGGGGAAGAGGAAGACATAAAGAGACGAGAGAAGGGAAGGAGGACCCCTTCCATCGATCGCACGATCTTTCACCCCTCCCGCACCTTCCACGAGTCGCCGCACCCAAAGAGCAAACACTCGGCGGCGAAAAAAAAAAATTCACAAAATCCAAAAAAGGCGGAAATTCCCTGGCAGTGAGTCAACACAAGTTCCCCAAACGGGCCGAGCCGCCAACTGCGAAAATGAAATCAACTGGACAATTCGAGTCACTAGGAGAACAGAGAATAACTATCCAGAGTCTATATTACCATGCTAGTAGTCATAGTCATCGAGATGGTTGAGATGATTTACGAAGTCTTTGTTAGTCCTTACTAAGGTATGGAGAAAGTTGTGTGTGGAAATTAACAGGCTATTCTGCAGGTGTAGTGTAGTTACTGTAGTATGACATTCAGTTGCAACTGGATATAGATGCGGCCAGACTCCTGTCGCCTCTTCCATATGCAACCTCAATTGTCTGGATGGGTTGGATTCCGTCATTCTTGTTATGTTGTCGTCCCCTTTGAAAAGTTTCTAACATTGACAGGTAGTTTGGAACAAGTACAGATCCATATATGATGTCGATATGCCCCTCCTTTGTGTGGTTTGCCTCCATCAGTTGAGGATCCGCCCCCGGTCTCGGCCTGTGAGATGAGTCAAATTCCAACGATTGACCAATGATCGTGATGTTGGCCCTTCGATGTGGAAAGAGACTCCACTTGCTTACCTCAGCTGAATACTGCCACTTGTTTCCACTGTGCAGTGGCAATTGGCAACGGTCTCCAATTGTGAGTATGAGTATGAGCAGACTAAGTACCTGCTAACCTAGTAGGCTAGTAACTAGTAACTACATAGCACGGTAGCAGTAGTAAGATCGATGATTTACTCTCTATACATTACAACCTGTAGCCAGATTAATGCGCACCACTGACCTTTGGGAGTTCGTCCTGTTGTCATCTTTCTGCAAAAGCGATTGTGAAAGGTCGTTTCCATCGCGAACACTAGCAATGGAGCTCCCAGAATACACTAGTAAGTTGTAACAGTGCCAGTAAGTCATTCCCAACGGACCGCCTCGTGGACGTGGGACGGCTGTGTGTAAACGTGCAGCCCCTGCAGGTCATTCACCGTTGGCGGGACTCCCGATCGGCAGACAGATTTAGCCTGAACGAGGTCAATTAGGTACTTTTGGACCGAAACCACAGGAGACTGAGCCGTGAAACTACCGTTGCAGTTCTGTTGTAGAGACAATCCCCTGATGAATCAAAATTGCCAGTAAGTTTACTACATGCTTGCTTGTTGCTCTCGCTAAATGAAACCAAGACAACATTGATTCTCGACGACTTGCGCCGAGGTGACGGGAATGATGTCAATCGATGACTGATGATTTCGGCAAGCCAAAATGGCTCCGAGTCCGTCGGCGACTATCGCCATCTCCGGCCATTGCGGGCGGCTCAGTGCCGAATTCTGAACCTTTTTTTCCCTCCCTCTTGTTTTTTTTTTTTTAAACAACAGCAACCTTATCGACCCCATTTGGCTTCCCGATCAAAAACATTCAACAGACAAGAGCTCAGATATATATATATATATATTCCAGAGTCATTGACTTGACTCTCAGAAGAGGCATAGACTTGCGCTTTGTTTCCTGTCAGTTCCAAGTCTGCTTGATAGAGAAATCGGCATTTGTTCTAAAAAAAATAAATCGGGACCCAGTGGATCAAGAAAGACCAAAATGTCTGACGTGCCCGCTACCAGTCGCGCAGATGAAGTTCAGACAGTAAGTGGGCTTGCGCGAGCAGAAGCATGAGCATCTGGGATTGCGTCACCATGGACTCGATTCATGATCACTCCCTCAAATCCCTCGAAGATGGACTTCGTGCTGACGGTGGCGGAACCAACAATAGTTGCTTAACGCGGTGCAAGATCTTCTCATCCCCTTCATTCGAGACGCCGACGAGATTCCCAACTCCACACTACACCAGACCAATGGACCATCGGAATCCACGAGAACGGCATTGGTAGACTACAAGAAGCCCGAGGAGCTTCGGAAGATCCTCGACCTCGAGATTCCCGCCCAAGGCCGACAACAGGAAGGTCTCTTGGAGGTTCTGCAAAAGGTCTTGAAATACTCGGTCAACACCTGGCACCAGGGTTTCCTGGATAAACTCTATGCGTCCACCAATGCTCCCGGTGTAGCGGCCGAGCTGATTCTGGCCACCCTCAACACCAACGTCCACGTCTACCAGGTCTCGCCCGCATTGACCGTCGTGGAAAAATTCACCGGTCAGAAATTGGCGCATCTGTTTGGTTTGACCGGGCCTCGGGCAGGTGGTATCACTGTGCAGGGCGGATCGGCCTCGAACACGACCTCCATTGTTATTGCACGAAACAACCTGTATCCCGAGACCAAGGCGGAGGGAAACGGCGGGTACAAGTTTGTCCTCTTTACCAGCGCCCATGGCCACTACAGTGTGGAAAAGGCCGCCCAAATGCTGGGCTTCGGCAGCAACGCTGTCTGGTCGGTGCCCATTGACAAGCACGGCCGAATGATCTCCACGGAGTTGGAGCAGCTGGTGCAAAAGGCCCAGAGCGAGGGTCGAACTCCCTTCTACGTGAACGCCACGGCGGGGACGACGGTGATGGGCTCCTTTGACCCGTTTACGGAAATCGCGGCCATTTGCCAGAAATATAACATGTGGTTCCACATTGACGGCTCCTGGGGTGGTCCTTTCATCTTCTCGCAGAGTCAGAAGCACAAGCTCACGGGCTCACACTTGGCCAACAGCATCACCATCAACCCGCACAAGATGCTCGGTGTCCCAGTGACCTGCTCATTCCTCCTGGCCGCAGACATGCGCCAGTTCCACCGCGCCAACACCCTCCCAGCAGGCTATCTCTTCCACAACGAAGATCCCGAACTCACCGACTCCGAGCCAGCGCAAGCGCAGGCCGAGGACTCCAGTCCCGAGGTATGGGACCTCGCCGATCTGACTCTGCAATGTGGCCGCCGCGCGGACGCTCTCAAGCTCTTCCTCGGCTGGACCTACTACGGCACCGAAGGTTACGAGAAGCAAATCAACAACGCATGCGATGTGGCCCTGCACCTAGCCACCCTGGTTTCGCAGAACCCCAACTTCACCCTCGTTAGCGAAACCCCACCCCCCTGTCTGCAGGTCTGCTTCCACTACACGCCTAACCGCAAGATGGTCTATCCGCGCGACGTGGTCTCGAACGAGCCGCAGCGTGCCAAGAACAACAGCAAGGTCACTGAACAGATCACGCACGCGATCGTGCAAAAGGGATTCATGGTCGACTTTGCTCCCCCCAGTGGCGATGACAATGAGTTTGGAAATGGCAAGTTCTTCCGTTGCGTAGTCAACGTGCAGACTAGCAAGGAGACGGTGGAGAATCTCATTCGTGCTGTCGAGGAAGTGGGCCCTGCCATTGTCGAGTCACTCACCACGACCACCCCTGTACTTCCTACGAAGCGGCTCGGGGAGCGTGGACACGGTCCTGTGGTGCATCAATATCGCTGAGGAGCAATTGGAGAGACGCTTCACTGGGGTAGTCTCGAAAGGTGAAAGGCGTGTTGCGACGTCACGATAAATTATACTTCTCGGGTGGGCATTCGTACAGGGTGCGGGAAACGTCGTTGGCTTGGCCTTAACGCCAAGCTGATTCTCATGTATATAGTGTTTATACACCACAGCCCTTGTAATAGTACAAATATCGACTTTTAGAAATAGAACATTCATGATCACGTGCCAACTGTTTCCTCCCTCTTTACCTGCCTAAGCACAATGTGAGAGAATACTTCGATGACGATGCATTTGAAAAGAATCGAATGTCCAAGCGTGATTTTATATGTAATCGGCTGAACCCTTGGATTATTTGCCAATCTCGACCCTCTTCTCAAGGATAGAACGCGCCTCGGCCTCCGTCAGACTTTCAATCTCAAGTTCCGCAAGCACAGACCGAGCGCTTTCATTATCTGTAAACAGCCTCTTTTCGGCCTCCCACAAATTCAATGGCGAATCTCCGCCTTCCGTGCTCTCGTTGGCGACAGCGCTCATATTCAACAGGCGAATTGCATCGGTCAGCTTCTTGATGATACGCGAAGACTCAGCCCCATCGCCTAGCTGATTATCGATGACAGTGCATAGGTGATGAACATCGCTGGACAATTGTGCGGCACCCGCTTCAGAGAAGTGATTTCGCATCAGCACATGATCGTAAATGTAGTTTTGAATCGAAATGAGGAGATGGCGCGAGACGCGACGCAGAGGAGCCACCCCAAGAGCTCTTGAAAGAAAGCCGAGCTCGGTTGACAGGATGCGCATTGCATCTGGCAATTCTGACGAGACGGGGAGCGACGACGCCGCTACCCCAGCCGAGGGAATGGACAGCGATGTCCAAATCGCCAGGCGCGAGTAAGGCTTCAAGGCCGTTGTTATATTTGAAGCCAAGGTTGATGTGATGATCGACTCCGATTGCAAGCGAAGATGTCGGTACGCCGAAGCCGTCTCGTCGAAAAGCGCACCCTCGGATGTCTGCGCATTGACGGGTCCGTGATGTCCAACCGCAGGCGAGGTACGCGATGCGACCTCTGCCACAGACATGCTACCGGCTACATTGCGGCCGCCGTCACGGTTCTGTTTCACTCGGTCTTGAAGTTCAGTCCACAGCTCGACAAAGAATACGTCGTTGCTCCAGTCCTCCATTTTCTTTTCAAGATATTCAGCGCTGCCAAATACTCGGCAAAGCCGCTCAAGACCCGCAACGCCCTCCACACTAGCCTGGCCCTCAGCTCCCTGCACCGTCCGGCCTAAAGCGGAGGTCATTGTCCGGTAGGCGTCTAGAGCTTCGCGAAGACGCCCGTGGAATTGATCGAAAATGGCGATTTGAATATCGATCAGGAAACGCAACTTTTGACTGAATGATGATAATGGCCGATATCGCTCGGTAATCGTCTCTAGTAGGTCATTCACTCGGATTGCAGCCTTGGTCGGTTTGGTGACATGGGGCTCCATTCCGTCATAGTCGATTTCGCCGCTGTTCGGTGTCTCGATGATATCTCTGTATCGAGCCAATGCGAACTCCTTCTCTACTTGGAGCCATCGATCGTACCATCCTTGCTTTGTGAGCACGTCCCAAGCTATGCCCTTCCAATTGTCCTCTGTGTACGGATCTGGCAAATAATTCCACGTCTCGCGAAGATCGGTGTCAAAGTTCATCAGCTCATGAACGAAATGGCTCAGCAAGTGAGGGTGATTGGCGACTTGAGGCATGAAAGTTTCGATCTTGTGCCTTAATAGTGGGAGCAAAGCCGTGATGAGAGCATGTGAAGCACTGTAGAAGTTCCACTCATAGTCTGGCTCCACGGACTGAGCTTTCTGGTCTAGAACCGGCTGGAGGTGAGATATGACAAAGCCACTGAACTGATTGACCAGGTCTGTGATATGGGCAAGGAAGTACTCCGGCTGAAGCAGACATCAATAGCTGCATCAAATATTGAAAAGGCCGAGAAACTTACCTTGTCAAGTCTGTTCGTAGGTTTGTCACCGCTAAAGTGATACTTGAAGCGAAGGTCAAGGGGCTGCACCATTACTTCCAATGGGAACAGAACTGGAGGCTCGAGGCTGTGGCTTGGACCGAAGGAATCGTGAGCCGGTAATTCCCTGTACAAAGCGTCAGAAATTCCATGCCAGCTAGTCATCATCATCAGCCGCTCGTCTTACGCACGGGATCTGTAGATCAATGAGAAGCTCGACATCCTGCCTCCATTGACTCAGCAAGCTTTCGGTGATATTCAGCTGTCTCGTCGGCCATTTCATCTGATCTAGGGTTTTCCGAAGTCGGTCTCCAAATATCCTTTTCAGGTCTTGTCGCAACGCCAAAGCCAACTTTTCCGTATAGTTGATGAGATGGGGAGCAGCACCTTCGGCAGCGGGCTGTGCCTCTTTGAGAGACCCGACAATGTTGCGAAGGTGAGTATAGGGTTCGAGTGCAGCGCGAGGGTCCGTTTGTATGTCGTTGAGGGCTTGCTTGCTACAATCAATTATTTAGCATCCGCCTCGCATTTATCGACTTTCGACAAGGACACACCTCAATTCCTCCGCCACCTTCAGCGTGCGCACGTAGCCTCTGGAAATTTCCAGTCGCTGCAGTCTCTCCATACTCTTCTCGAGTCGGCGCACTGCCTCGTCACTTGTGTCCGATTGTGTGATGGCTTTCAACCGGCGGTCAATGTCCGCTTGCTCTGCGGCAAAGGTCACGGCCCGTTGACGAGTCGCCTCGCTGTGATCGCTGGATGCTTTGGTCGCATTTTGGAGTGCTTCCTGCGCCTCTGCTAGCTGATTGAAAACATGGTTAGATTCAATCTTTCATATCTGACCACATGTCAGGGGAGGGGGGTTGTTGTGTGGGGAAAGTACCTGCTTGCGCTGAATTTGTTGCTGATCACGTAGACTTGAAAGGAGGGAGCCCAGACTATCTAAATCAGTGGGGACCTGAATCTTGTCATTCAGGTAGTCTTCGACTCGTGTGCGCTCGTGCGACGATAAAGCGGTGGGAGGCGCCATGACTGAGGAGGAAAAAGAACGGCCGAGACGCAACGGTGTCGCGAATGTTTGGGTCTCCGCCTTGAGGGGAGAAGGAGACTGACGTACATCTGGGGGTAGTGGTACCCTTTTACCTTGCGGTCACAGCTCCGCCGGTGGCTGCGGCTCTCTAGCTTAATACCTGAAGCTCCGGACAAGCTTCCAATCGCCCATTTTTCTCATTTTATTCTTCAATCTAGAAAGTTACTTATAATGAGAAATGTCTAGCCCAGCTAAGAAGCGCAAGAGAAACGCGCCGGATACTACTTCGCCACAGAAGACGCGCAGCATTGCATCGTTTTTCCAAGGACAAGCGGCCAAACAGAAGAAGCAAGCGGTGCCAGAGCTAGGGCCAGAGTCAGAACAAGAGCCAGAGACCCAACCGGGGATCGATCAGTCCGAGTTGAGCTTGTCAGATGAGGCTCTGGCTCGAAAGCTGCAGGCAGAATGGGATCAAGAAGAGCGATTGTCATCGGCAGACAAGAACGCTCATGATTCCACTGCCGGAGAACCCTCGTCAACCCTCGATGATGTACCAGACGAGAAACTAGCAGAGGTGCCTACGGGGAAGGCTCTAGTGCAATTGCAGAAGAATACGCTATCCTTGCAATCCTCTGCAGGTACAGAGGACACTGTCGCGTTAGCTGTTCCCTTCGACCAAAGTCCGCAGACCTTCAACGCGACCAAGTATGCGGCCGAGCTCCGGTCGCATTGGGCCGCAGACGGTGGCGATGCATCTTATGCGCTGCTGACAAGGGCGTTTGTCCTCGCCAATGCTACCACGAGCAGAATCAAGATTGTGGATACGCTCGTGAACTTCCTAAGGGTCTTGATCGAGGGAGATCCATCTAGTCTACTTCCCGCAGTCTGGCTCGCGACCAATTCGATCACGCCGCCGTATGACGAGAAGGAGCTGGGCCTTGGAGGCTCATCTATCTCGAAAGCGCTCAAGAAGATATATGGTCTTGACAGTCAAGGGCTCAAGACTCTTTATAACAAACATGGCGATGCCGGCGATGTCGCATTCGAGGCCAAGAAACGGCAATCTTTTACCTTGGCCAAACCGAAGCCTCTAAGAATCAAAGGCGTCTATCAATCACTCCTGAAGATTGCCAGCAGCAAAGGATCGGGCAGTCAAGAGGCGAAGCAACGTATTGTCGACAAACTCCTCCAAGACACGAGAGGCGCCGAAGAAAGTCGATACATTGTGAGGACCCTGGTCCAAAATCTTCGCATCGGCGCTGTAAAGACCACAATGCTCATTGCACTGGCCCGCGCGTTCCTATATTCCAAGCCAGAGGGGGCAGACTGGACGACTCGACCACGAGAAGAACTAGCCCGTTTGAAAAAGGATGAGCTGGCTGAGATATACAGCAATGCAGAAGAGCTTGTCAAGGCGTCATATGCCCGACACCCGGACTATAACGATCTTGTTCTGTGTCTTCTCGAGATTGGCGTGAATGAAGAACTACTAGTCAGATGCGGCCTGGCTCTTCATATCCCCTTGAGACCCATGCTGGGCAGTATCACCCGGGATTTGGCAGACATGTTGACAAAGCTACAAGGAAGAGATTTCAGCTGTGAATACAAATATGATGGACAACGTGCACAAGTACATTGCGATGCGAACGGCAAAGTTTCCATCTTCTCCCGACATCTGGAGCTCATGACCGAGAAGTACCCGGATCTGGTGGCTCTTGTCCCCGAGATCCGCGGAGAGGGCGTGTCAAGCTTCATTCTCGAAGGCGAAGTTGTTGCCGTAGACAGCGAGTCTGGAGATCTCAAGACGTTCCAAACCCTCACGAACCGAGCCAAGAAGAACGTCGATATCGGAGCAATCAAGGTCAACGTCTGCCTCTTCTCCTTCGATCTCATGTATCTGAACGGCGAACCACTCTTGAATCGCCCATTCAGGGAACGTCGAGAACTTCTCCGGTCTCTCTTCGTCGAGATTCCCAACCGGTTCACATGGGTCAAGAATCTAGACGCCACATCTGCAGATTCAGAGGCCGTCCTTGAATTCTTCAAAGGCGCCACAGACGCCAAATGCGAGGGCATCATGGTGAAAGTGCTAGACAACGCCAGCAGCTCGAACGGCGCAACAACAATAACAACAACCACCGACCTCGAGTCATCAGACGGTGCCCCGGCTACCGAAGGCGATTCCGCAAAGCCACCGTCAGACACAAAAAACAACAACAGCAACAGCAACGAGGAGACCAAGCTACTCAAAGAAAAGCCGACCCGTCGCAAAGCCCTTCTATCCACCTACGAACCCGACAAACGCCTCGAGTCCTGGCTCAAAGTCAAAAAGGACTACAGCACCTCCTCGGAAACTCTCGACCTGATCCCCGTCGCCGCCTGGCACGGCAACGGCCGCAAAGCCAAATGGTGGTCCCCGATCCTCCTGGCCGTGCGCAACCCAGAAACCGGCACCCTGGAAGCCGTGACAAAGTGCATGTCCGGCTTCACCGACAAATTCTACCAGGCCAACAGGGACAAGTACGCACCGGGTAGTCCCAACCTCATCTCCCGGCCGAGCTATGTCGAGTATCGCGGGACCCCCGATGTGTGGTTTGAGCCACAGGAGGTCTGGGAGATGGCGTTTGCCGACATCACCGTCAGCCCGACGTATACAGCCGCCATTGGTCTAGTGAGTGAGGATCGAGGGTTGAGCTTGCGCTTTCCACGATTTCTCAAGGTTCGGGAGGATAAATCTATTGACGAGGCGACCACGTCGGACTATTTGGCTCTGTTGTGGCGTAAGCAGGGGGAGAGGATTCAGGAACAAGGCCGGGGGACGGGTGACGGGGGACAAGAGCAGTCGGGGTGGCAGGAGGAGTGAACCCAGAGGCTTAGTACTGGGTCGAGTGGATCACGATTTAATGAACTGTGAGCTATGTGTGGCACGCTGTCGAAGCCCCAGTGCCCATCACATCAATCTAGTTTATATGGGACACAAGCGAACACTCCTGCACATTCAATACGGAATCAAAGTAGAAGGACAGTAGAAGTCATAAGCCATCATTTTCAGCTGTTCATTTGGCATTGTTGACGAAAGAGGCTTTAGTCAGGTCAAGGAGATTATTTCCCAGTTTGTAGACAGGTTGTTCTACGGGGCGACGCAAGTGGCGCGTCAAGCGATCGAGGGTTAGAAAAGTGCTTTGGGGAAGAGAGTCCCCCCAGTCAATAAACCCCTGACATCGGGGTCTAGCTGAAACAAGTATGGAACGGTCAACGGTTGTTGCACGACATGCAGTCAACAGGGAAAGGAGGTGTAGAGGTTAAACGCCATGAATGCAGAAGGGTAATCACCATGAGACAAGATCCAATGAAGAACGCGTTTCAATGGCAACTGCAGCTCGGGACTGAGCCAACAAGAAGAGAAGAGGCTTTGAAAGATGCAAAGAGATGAGGTGCCGCTGGAGGGGACCTATGTTCATAAAATAGAAAACGTAGAAAAATGTTCGTGAAGCGGTCGTGAGAGGATGCCGTGAAGGGAGTTAAAAGTGGCGGTAAGGGGTCAAAGATGAACATCGAAAGGCAAGAAAAGATGAAGAGTGCAGGGATGATCGAGGTGAGCGACTAAGGATGCAGCTCGCCACCCAGGTGTAAAGCGAGTCCAGCTTGCTTGGCTCGGAGGCGTGGACTGGAGGTGGTGGGAGGCACGAGGGCATCGAAATTGAGTCGCTTGCGGGCGTCCTTGGTGGAGAGAGGGGTCCGGGCTGGATTGCCTGGGGTACGGCCACCCCAAGCGGGCTGAGCTGGACTGGGAGTCACATTCACAAAATCCGCAAAATTGAATTGTTGGCCGGGTGTCCCCATGTTGGGAGTGAGTTGTGGAAGCATCGCATGCTGGCTAGGAGGCGTGGATGGTGGGAAGGCTTGCTGTGAGCCTCGTGCCACTCGGGCTGGGGTGGGCGAATTGGCCAAGTACAGCAAGAGATCGGCGCCATTCTCGTGGTGTGAAGGGCGGTCCCCCAGTACTGTACGAGCATGCTTGGGCGGCGGCGTGCGTGGGGGAGAGGAGCGGACCATGGAGGCGGAGGTTTGAAAGCTATGGACCGGGAGATCCAGATCATTCTCTTCATCTGACGTGACCTGACCTGGGGGGGAAGTCTCCTCAGGGATGGCTGCCTCGGACATGAAGGGGGCTGCGATTCGTCGGGATATGTGACGGTGGTTGAGACCGGGAGACGAGGCGGGTAGTTGGTGGGAGCTTTTCCAGGAGACTCGTGCGTTTTTTGCTGGACGCTCGGTATCTGAATCTGCCCGAGCACGTTTGCGACTGGTTGGCCATGTCGGTTGCATCAGATGGGCATTGAAGGTCACGGCATGTTTGTTGCGTGCGGATCGCGGTAGTTCCTTCGAGTAGGGTGCCACGAGGGGCGGCGAGGTCAAGGGTGTTTCACAGCGACTCATTGAGACATCTGAGGAGGAGTCTGACGGGCGGTCGCTGCTGGCTGAGTTCATCAACCCGTAGATTCGGCCATGTTGATACTTGAGCTTGGCCAAGCCAAGGCGGTCCTGTAGATTCAACGAGACCTGTATGGATGGAGCGTTGGTTAGCCTTTATGCCTCATTGAAGGTCCGGCCGTCATGATCTTGCACCGGTGTCCATCCATAGCAGGACTGCATGTGGCTGCTCATTCACAGGGCGACAGCGCCGGTGGTTCATGGCCGATGAGGGTTGAGGGGGGGGGGATCGTGTGATCCACCAAGCTTGGGGCTCCCCATGCTGAGTGACGTGCTCAAATACATCGTACTATTGCTGTGTTTTTCTTTCTTCCTTTCAAATTGATTTTCTCGTCGGGTGGATCCAGGTCTCCGAGAGCACGCATTCTTACCTGAGCGATATCCAGTTTTCGAATGGCCTTTTCTGCAGAGCCAGGCTGCGACAACACGGTAGACATGGTGGACAGAGTTTAGAGAGGCGAAGAAGGCAGGGCCTGACAAGGAAAAAGGTCTTTTGCGGGCAGCCAAGAACCCACGAAGGGTTGGCCAGGCAGTCGCTGCAAGGGCGGGCTGAGCAACGGAGGGTTCACGAGAATCGGAGCCAATTGGGCCCCGCTGGATCCCACAAGGAGTCAGACTCAGGTCCACTCGGCCGGAAATTGACAGGCGGGCACACTTTGAGACGAGAAGTGCCAGACACGGTCTGACCAGCCTTCCAAGTTCCTGGTAAGTGGGCAGAAGGGGGACTGGGTGGAAGGTGTGATTCTGAGAGTTGTGTGAGGTTTTGCGAAGAGGATCCAATGTGGGATCGATTTGGGACGACAGATCGTTCGTGAAGGGTAGTGGAGTCAACTTGGATAGCTGAATTCCCAGCGAAGGAAAGAAAGAGAATGAGTAGCAGAGACCACCAAGCAACGAGTGGGAATGGGGGATGGTTGGATTGACCAGTCAAAGAGATGAAACGCGTTCCGCCGGGCGCGAGACGCGCGCGCGTCGTCGTTTTTTTTTTCTTGGTTCCGAAGGTGCGTTAAAGTGGAAGGAACATTCCTCATGGAGACACAACAGCGGCAGGGACATGTGATATCCAGTACGACTTGAACTAGTCGAAAGCGGTAGAATCCAAGGCGATGTGATATTGAATTGATGATGCAGGTACGGCGCAGTGACTGTTTCTCGTGATGACAGGCGTTGATCATGTGATGTACATGAAACTACTTTCTACTCGAGGAGTCGAGAGGAAGGTATACCTTCCAGAGACTAGATTCAAGTCGAAGAGTTTGCATGTCGGATATTCCTAATCTCCTACTGGTACGAATAGGTCTGAAGGTCATCTAGGTAGGTAGTGTACATGTGTACATCATGGACAAGCGCGTGCTCATACTCAGGTAGTAGCATTCATTCTACTGTAACTTACTACTTGCTATACTTCATTCCGGATCGAATCTGTGCACTCATCTGAGGTATATTGGTGGGATGAGTTTGGGTCTGGTCTAGGTCAAGGAATAGCCACTAGACTAACTACTGTTGAAGTGTTGAGTGATGTTTATACAATACTACATTACCTTGTGCGTGTCGTGGAATTGATCTATGCATTGATAATGTCTATCTCGTAGGCTCGTACTCGTAGCGACCAGTTAACGCGACTGCGCCCATGTATCGTGTTCAGCACGAGATCACGTGGATTAGACCTCAACACGAGCCTGCGGAGGACTGTTGGTCAGGTCAGCATTCGACTAGTCAGCTCAGCAGCTATCTGGAATAAGAAGGTTCTCCGAATCGATCTGATTACTCCTGTGCAAGTGTGCAGGGCTAGGCCGGGATCGAACACCAACTCTGGCACAGAAAGTGAGCATCGGGACATGAGAGAGACACGAGCTCTTACTTATTCCTCCCTGTCTCATCACCCAACGTCTACTGCAACTTGCTACTTATCCTTCTGCGACCTTTTATCGTCCGTCTCACTAACCGCTCGTTCAGAGAAGAATCAAAATCAAATGGAATCATCCCTAACAGACACCGGTATTCCTTTCTTTGCATTGATCAACCCAATCCTGGTAGTCAGTGCATTCTGCTACTATAGTGTTCACTGACAGGTACGCATAGTCTCATGAATTTGATGGTGCAGATTGTTGTTTAGTGTCACGGTTGAGTGTTGACCACGCGAAACCCCGCTACAAGCGTGCTTTCCAACCCGACCACGGCTGGAGACTCGAGACCGAGAGGGGGCCTCTCATCCAATCCTTCCAAGTTCAAGCCAACAATCCACAGCCCAAGCCGGTTCCTGGTCAAGCCAAGCTTTTGATCTAAGCTGCTCATGGACAGACTACTGGGTCCCCTTCATGCACTACAGTTCTGCGCGAGTCCCGTCGCACCAGGCCAGGGCGAGATCCTGCATGCCAGCCCCGATAAGAGCTCCACTTGGCTTCCAAAAGTGCCGACCTGGATTTAATGCCAAGGAGAATGCGGCGCCACAGATGATGTCATTGCCAGATGAGCTTCATATTGAGATGCTTGCTCTGGTGCTGGTGATGGGTAGCGGGGGGTTCCTGATGTAGTAGAGGTGTCTACAAGAGAATCGCTCGACCAATCCTCGACTGTGTTTCTTAGATCAACACAGGTCGGGCGTCCTCAAAAGAGCCGCCGACTGATACGAAGCACCGAGCGGGCGGGAGGAACTTATGTTATGCTCCTGATGCATTGGTGGAATGCCGAAGGGCGATAGTGGTCTAAATAGACCAAACGCTCGGTCCAGACTCTGATCAGGAGGTGCCCGTGGTGCAGGACTGCACGAGCTATAGGCAATTAGGCATTCGGAATAGGTAGTGGACCACTGGACACTGCAGGTGGACAGTGACACTGAGGCTGTCAGTCACGGCAGGTGGAGAAACAACAATTATCCTCAACTGGCTGTACCTGCCTGTGACACGTACATCAGTGCTGGTGATGCCGAGTCCCTTGGTCGCGCACTCACTTGCCCAGCGAGACTTGAAGCTTCCTTGTCGACAGTGTCTCGACTCTCGACAGAGTATAGGGGGTTGGTGTGTGTACGCCGTGGGATCATTTACACCTCCCCCTTCGAGGAGATCTGTACAGTATGCCTATCCATGCATGGCAGAGTACTACTGTACGCGCGGCGGATATGCGATGCAACAGACGCACGGGAGTGGCTTAATTTGACAGAGGAACAAGTGCCCCAGTTCAAACTCGGGGAGACACCGATACTCGTTGTGTCATCGCAGGGTGAATGTAGTATATGGTAGTATCCAAGGTATCTATTATATACTGCACTTAGCACTATAAGCCCTACTGTGCAAGTATACAGTCCGATAAAACAGAAGAGAGATAGACACGCAGCATATCTGCGGTAAAGGGCCCCGTCGGCGCCAGCTTATGCTGATGGGTGCTACACGAAGGTGGAAAGACAAGGGAATGCACCAATCTGAGGCCCAAGATCCCTCCTACCTTACCTTGATCGGCACGGTTGGAAAATGAGAGACAGTCTTCTCATGTCTCCGAGACAGATCGAGGGCGTTACTCACGCTCCGCCAAGCTGATATGGCTCAGTCTCGATGAAGGACGAGGATACTTGGCCAAGGCGCCCCTTGGGGAGGAGATTGGAATCTGAATGACATCAACTGGAAATGGGCTTTCCATTGATTTGACATGTGCCGTAACTCCGCGCAAGGAGACCCTGGCAGAGAGAGAGAGAGAGACTGACGTTTGGTGAACTTGGCTGGTCAGACATTCCCCCTGTTCTTTGCCTTGCCGTCGAGTGGGAACCACGATGGCTCACGGGCCGTTTGCTTTGCCTCTTTGACCTTGGAAGGTGGTCGACTAGTGTCCGATCTAGCGTCGACGCTAGTCCGCTTAGTCTGAGAGAGAAAGCCCCCGAGAGCGTTAGTCGATCGTCCCTTTTCCAAGCCCCACCCGGTGAAGGACTGAAACCTGGCGACTGACAACTGGAAAGTCATTTGTGTCGATGACCTTTGGACCATGCGAAGACGACTGAAAAGTCAAGACTGGTGCGCTGGTCGACGGATCATGACTATCGTACTAAACTTAGTACATCCACGCGCTTTGTGGTGGTTCCTTTTTGCGGGAGGAGACACCAAAGTGGGTACTGGCTGCATTTCCAGCAGGTTTATGGAGGTTCTGTGTTGCCATGCTGCCGACATCCCCCTCGAATCACCATTTGGGATCGGGTCTGCCGATTCTTTATCTTTCTGTCCTCTTTGCCTGATTGTTGATCATTTTCCCGCCCCCCGAGTCTGACGGGAGTCACAGGACCGCTTACAGCTGCCGAGATGACAGTTGAATGGTCGGTGGATACTGGATACTACTAGACATTCATGAGCTTTGCACGCTCTGATACCTGGCAAACAGCACCGGTTCCAGAAGATGATGGTACCCAGCTTGAACGTTCATGTTGGACCGCGGGACGGGACGACACTTGGTGTAAGCGTCGAGAGAAGTTGGAAGGGCCCCAAACTTTCGAGATTCAATGCCGGAGCTACCTGAGGGGGCCCGTGAGCCCAGGAACCTGATATGCGTCGAATGCGTTTCTGGGTGACTGGAACAAAGGACAATGTGGTTGACGGTGTGGTCGCAGCGACTCAGCATCGAGGTGAGTAGCGAAATAGTAGTAGTAGTAGTAGTAGTAGTAGTAGTAGTAGATACCTACCTAACCTAGGTAGGTGGTGTACTAGATAGTGTGCTAGGTAGTAGGTCTTAGTGTGTTCACTGTGTACTGTTAGACTCTGTTATCATTGAAGTAGTATTCAATGTTTAGGCTTTATTATTCACTCTTCCCTATTTGCTTTTGACGATGCTCGCGATTCTACAGGTGTTTGGATACATCATCTCATTCATCAATCTGCTGGAGACAGAATGGAAGACTTGGCAAAGGCACGACTGGTGTCATTCGTAGCCCTACCAGAGGAAGACGTACGCGGCCCCCCTCAGGGCCTCACGGTCTCACCCCGAAGGGACATTGTCATTAGCGGGGTGGTCATCCCAGGTTGGCAGGTAGAGTGGCATTACGTTCTTCAAGTATGTCGAGTCCAGTCAATCGTTCAGACAGTACAGTCATCATAAATCAACTCGCCCTAGGTACTTCGCGTAGGAAGTAGAGGTAGTTTGAACTTTTTGAAGTGACCATTTGAGTCTTGAGTAAGTACCGGTAGTAGTACTAGACTACCAAGTCCAGTCGCTGTACTATTATTGTACTATTATTGTACTATAGTTGTACTCCTGCTCCCATCTCCACTTCCCGGTGGACTTCCTGGTTCGGCAGACCGTTGGAGGTATTTGCATTGCGTCAACTCGTCCATTTCCTGCAGAATGCCCTTCCTGATGCACCACGAGCCGATCTCGATTGGACCCAAGGCGGACAAGTAAGAGGGTACGCGACCTGGTCGGAGACGCCCATTCAAATCCGGGAAGTTGGTCCCCCCATCCAACCGCGTGTGTTACGGTGCTCATGTTTAATTCTACTGCACGGGCAGAGAACTACGCAAGACGCTCATACCGGCACAAGTCTACACTCTTGACTCTCCCAGTCTTGGATGGACTGCTATTCACTATTTCGTATTTACCTGCTCTCGAGTCTCTAGATTCTCTACTACTCTCTACTATCAGGATTGACCGCTCGAGCCACTACAGTACTTACTACTTTACTACTTACCGTCGGCGCGCTATTCACTGGTACAGCATCAGACTTCACCCAGCGCGCCCACCTCGTTGAAACCCGTCAAATCGCCTGGCTCACTGGCTCAGCAAGCTTGATCTTGGATTCCCGGATACAGTAGGAATCTAGAAGATATCGATTTGCCCCATCCTGTTTCCCCCCTCTTTCCACCTCTTTGGGCCCCGGCTGAGAGAAGACGTCCCTCGTTACACTATCGCACTATTCCAGAAAAACTGACTGCTTTTGTACTTGCACTTGCACTTCCAGTGCCCACCTGCCTGGTAGGGTTCCATAATAATCTTCTCCATCCTGACTGAGGAGAACAAGACTCCATTCATTCCCAACTCTGTTATCGCCCAAGTGTCTCCTTTTTTTTCCCTCTCATTTGCTCCTTCGTTCCTTCTCTCTCTTTCTCTCTCTCTCTCTCTCTGCTCCTCCACTCTCTTACAACTTTGATCGATGGGCGTCTCTTCTGTCCCAGTCTGATTCAGACCCGTCCCAGTCAGAGTGTATTCCCTCGTCTCTAATTGCCCATCTTCGGTTCCATTGCGGGGCCCAGGACCCAAAAAAGAAGGGAGAAAAAAAGGAACGAACAAAGTGCCTCCCAAGCTACCTCGTCATCCGCCGCAAACGGTCGCGGTCTGCGGTTCCTGACTTTCCAGACTTTCCATTTCACTTCCACCTCCTTTCCTCTCCACCCAATTCGATCGCCAAAGTCCATCGGCGGAAGCTACTGCAGGTGTCAGGAGCGTGCTTTCGAGGAATCTCTTCTCCTGGTGGGAAGAAATCGCTGGTCTGGTATCCGACGTGTTGTACGATCCGTCCAGCGCCCCAGTCAAACAATCAGTTCAGTGCCACCATGTCGTTCTTGAAGCAGCTCCGCCGCCGCTCCAAGGCAAGCTTCCACAGTGCGCCCCTCGACGCCAAAACTCCAGTGCCACAGGTCGAAGTCGTGTCCGCCAATTCCTCGTCGACGGGAGGAGATACAGCATCGCATGTCTCCCTGACGCCGCCTTCTTCGATCAAACCGACTCTTTCATCTCCAAATCTCCCCTCCTTGGTCGAGGCCCATGACGACCGCAGCACCGTGAGCAGCTCGCCGCTGCCGCTTCCTCCGCAACGGCCCGGCCTGCCCGGCTCTCATTCCCAGCGGAACAGTGTGGTGGTACGCATGATTCCCACGTGCGCCCGCCGGGCGCACGGTTTCTCTTTTTCTTCTTTTTTTACCCCGTTGAACTTCAGATCGCTGATCGCAAGGCTTTTTTTTTTTTTTTTTTGTCACCACGTATAGGGCAGCTCAGCTTCCTCCGTCAATGGAGCGTACCGGTCAACCACGTCATTTTCGCCTTATGCGCCAAGAATCATCTCCATTGCCGAGAACTCGTGGGTCGGTAATCTCACTATTTAGGAACCTGGCAAGGGCATCGCCTTCCGCCGGCACCTCTATACCGAATTCCGAAATCCAGCTGATCGGTCTGTCTCTCGATAGGTACATCAAAAGGTACTCCTGGTCTATGGTCAGATTGGAGACCCGCGTCAACATGCAATGGACGGCACAATCACCGTGTACCACCATCAGGATAATTTCCCGTCGACCGGCTGGCCCGTGACGGCATCGCATTTCAAGTCTCTCGTTCATTTAGTTCCCGGTCCTAATCGTCTGCGCTTCGATTTCGTCTCTCCGAAGCTGTCGTCAGGCAGCACAACGCCGGTCATTCACTCCACCTGGATCTGCATCAATTACCTGCCCCTAGCCAATGCGCCCCCCTTGCAATTGGTGGTTCTCCTCGGCAAGGATTCAGATGGCACTTACGATGCGGTTCCCGAGCGCGTGGAACGGGAGGGCAACGGCCTGGACATGGCGCTTCGCAAATTTCGCACCGCAGCATATTTGTGGCAGGCGTTCACGGGAGAGCAAATGTTCCGCAACAATCTTGGCCGGCGCTGTTTCCGCTTTGAGGAGGAATGGCAAGCCGGTACGCTCAGTCGGCGGGATACGGCAGTTCAGCAGATGCGCAACGAGGCTCGCATTCACGTCATTCGTTGCGACAAGACCGTCGCCGAGCTGCGGGATCTCAACATTGCTCAACAGTACGACGGAGCGAAGAAGAAGGATGAGCTCTTCAACATCGCCAAGGACGCCGTTCGCAAGTATTTCAATTCTCAGCCGGGGCAAAAACAATACGTGTCCGTCCTCCTGCTGGACTCCCACTGGGATACACAGTCACAGACGATCACGGGTCATGCTGCTCTTGGCTCTGGCGGCGACGATATCAAAATGGCCATCTTCGGTTCTCATTGTCTCCAAAGCTATCCGAGCTGCTTGGAGGAAGTCGTTGATGCCTTCTCCGACTGCACGCGCACAGATACCAACTTCGTCGCAAACGACTGTGGGGAGGCGGGATCAAACTGGGAGTCTGCCAATCTGGGGATTGGTGCCCACTTGCATGAAGTCGGTCACCTCTTCGGCTCTCCCCACCAGGAGTCCGGGGTCATGCTGCGGGATTACGTGCGGCTGAATCGCTCGTTCTTGGTCAAGGAGCCATTCTGTACGCGGACCAAAACCCAGGGACTCAAGGTCTGTCTCGCTAATGACGAGTGCGGCTGGCATCGGCTGGATGCCCTGCGATTCCGATTCCATCCCTGTTTCAGACTGCCTAGCGATATCTCCGTCAGTAACGACGGCAGTGTCCAGGTTTGGCCCGTGGAGAACGGAAAGATCCTGTTCACCTCCTCTTCTGGTATTGCATTTGTTGAGCTGTACGGCGAAGGTGAGGACCTCTGCCACCATTTCATCGAATACGTGAACAGCGAATCTGGTGGAAATGGATTGCCGAAGCAAGTCACCCTCACCGAGACGGAGCTGCGAGTGCAATTATTCGGCACCGAAAAGGAAAAGAAAAAGAAGATTCGGATGGTGGCTGTTTCCGGTAATTTGGGAAGCTATACCGTGGAAGATGTTGGTGCGCTAAAGTCCAAGAGCTCCGTGGTCAAGCTGCCCAAGGGCCAAACAGGATATAAAAGCGCCCAGTTGGGACACTCATCCATGGACGGCAGCACGCCCGAGCAATTGCTGCTGGAATACGCTTTCATCAAGACGAAGTTGTTGACTTCGATCAAGATATACCATGGGGACGCGGTGGATGGTCTCGAATTCTGCTATGAAGATATGACAAGTCAACTTTTTGGCAAGCGCGGTGGGAAACCGGGAGGGGATGAGTTTGTACTTGGTAAGAGAGTTGCAGTCGATGTTTCTTGCTCGAGTCTGTGATGTTGACAGTAGACCAATGCTGACTGTCTCTCAGATGTTCGCCGTGGAGAGATTTTGCTGGGTTTCTACGTCAGGGCTGGACTCTGGATCGATGGAATCGAGATTCTCACCAGTTTGGGAAGGAAGTCGGGTATCTATGGAAATGCTCAGGGGGGATCGGGGTAAGTCTTGCGGTTCTGCATCCCACGAAGGGATGCAAGCACGAGTAAAGACATGTGCTGACTTTGTGTTGTCCTGCAAAGTCACACTTTGATTCCGCCTCTTGGTTACAAGATTGCAGGAATCGCAGGCTCCAGTGGATCTTGGGTCGATGGGTTCTCGCTCATTGTCCAGCACTGAGCTGGCATTGAATCAATCTGATGAACATGCAACCTGCCATTGTGTCATGCATCGTGGATGGTGAATAGATCCTTCTGTTCGATCTTTCATCTTCTTCCTCGAACGGAATTGCGGGATTTCAACGGGTCTTCGCGCGAAGATTACCATTGGATACATGCTGTCATCGGCTGTGTTTGACTCCCTTGATCGACGTCGACATTTGCTGCGAGTCTCCGACCTGCTTTGTTTATATCTACCCCGTCGTCTATTTTTCGGCCAGGAGTCGTCCCTCCGGTCTCATCCGAACCACGAGTCTCTTGTGGTCTGCGTTGAATTTGCTGTACTAATTCTCTATATCCTCTGGGTAGGGGACCGGATCCGTTTCCGACGAGGCTACCCAACCTTACTCTTTGCCCTCGCTCTTGTGAGCATAGCCAAGTCAACCAGATCTACGGATTTTGGACTCTTCGAAAGATGACTTGGCTCCCGTCCGAGCAGCTTCGTTTGGCACTTTGTGTTTCCATATGCATATATTACTGGGCCATTCACATTCGCATTCGCATTCACCTTCACATCTACATCCGGGGGGAGGCTAGACGGGTGGGGGCCCTTTCTTTTTTTTTCTTCCACATATCTAATTCTTTTCAGCCTTCGACCTTGGGGAGCCAGTATCTCTGTGTGGTCTTTGCACGTGCAAATATATGATTTCCCATTCTTTTCTCTATCATTTCTGCCAGAACATTATGGCGCAAGTGTTTACAGGTTTCTTGGCTCGGCGCTTCGTGTTTCTTTGATGTTGTCATTTTCCCGCTTCACTGGTTGCCAATTCCGAGACCTTCCTTTGCAAGATAGCTTGAGTGGAATCGGACCACATTCCGCGTAGCACAACGGTCATGTTACGATGACTCTGCAGCGCTTTGACCGTGTCAATCGCGCGGGAAGAAACGCGTTCCCCAATGCGAACTCGGACTGATCTGACGCAGTATCACGATCAGTATCAAGTGACATGGACACCATACTGAACGTGTCAAATAGGATCAGATCGAGACCCAAGTGATCGTCACATATCATTCCTTTGCCGAGGAACTTCCTTACCGGAAATAGTAGTATACTTACGTATGTTGCGGTTCTTTTGGACGGTTGACCTGTACTTGACTACATCCAGTCCACCTCGCGCGGGGGCCCACTAATCGACACATGCAGGAGACTGGAGCGGGCGGAAGAAAAGTCCACAACGTCAATATCGCATAAGACATCCGTTCAATCACTTTGCCACTGATGGGGCAAAGAAATGAATATGCAGGGATGCTGATACGATACCTTCTCAGTGCATACTGCATAGTGCGCCCCCGTATACTAGTGGATGTTCTGTTCAATCATCAATGTCCCTCGTGAGTCCACTGTCCAGTGTCCACTGGTCCAGTGCCAGTGGCAATGTACTGCGATGATTGTCTGTAAATCTGTGGTCGGTGAGTTTCGTTTCTCCACGGTTGGGGGGAAGGGGGCACTCTCCATAGCAGCCGCAGGGATTAAACGGGAGCGAAGTCTATCATGATTTGCCGGAAGCAATGTACGGAAAACCATGGGCGGGGTCCTAATGCGATGGAAGGAACGGAGATGAGATGCGCTTTTCTGAGATACCAAACGGGGATCCAAGTGGGAAGGATTCGAGTCATGGTCGCTGATCGCTGATCAGATGTTTCCATTTTCGTACTGAGTTACATAGTACTAAGTACACTTGGTACAATTGTGCATCACTGCATAGTCATACTGCATACTAGTACTTAGTTCTGACTCGGGTACCGATAGTCTAGAATGTGTATGAATAATAATGATGTGTTGTCCTCTTCAGAATGCGTTCTATTGGGAGGGCTGTGGACCACTGGAGAGTAACTTTGAGCTTGTGATTGAATTGAGGTGGTGCTGTGGTGGGTAATCGACGCAGTGACTGGAGATCCCCATCCCGTGCGAGATGTCACCTCACGCGGGAATCCCCCGATGACCTGGGCTACGCTACGCTACGCCACGCCTCTCAAGCGAGCGACACAGGTAGATATACCGACTACCTACTACCGAGTAGTCGATTTCTATATGATGGGAAATGAGAAGCTCATCTTGTGAATGCAAACTCCATGCCTCTTTGGGAAATCAGAGGGGTTCATTTTGTGATCGAGTCCATATTTCATGTATACAGATGTACCCTACACATGGGTCATGTGATCACGCAATGCAGACTGTGTAGCTCGAGGCACACCCTGATGCCTTAGTGAGTGCCTTATCAGAAGGGCAGGTTAGTAATCTCCGAGTGCCGAGGATGCTGACACGCCACCTGGGGCTTGAGCATGGGTATGATCGTAGGAGGATTGTAAACGGTAGAATATCATTTGTCCAATTCCATAGTAGAATTCGACAAGCTCATCTCCAACGGCAAATCATTAATATGGAGAATCTGTCAATGAATGATGACGGTATGACAAAATGGGGCTGTGCTGGGGGAGCGATCGAGAGCCATTCGATGGGTACCCCGAGGCGTTTCTTTATTCGGACTGGGGGTACATGGGACTGTACGTATATTTCGACCTCGGAGTACTCGCTGCTGGTAGTCACATTTCGAATCATGAAAGTATTGATTCTGCACTGATTTCCACCTTTGATATAGCGAGATGTTTACCTGCTCGTTGGGCCTAGTAAGTTATATCAAGAATTGTATGGTGTATACTGAGAATATACAGAACTAGAGTATATCGACTTGTCCACTTTCTAGCGATTGCCCATGATAACCGCAATGAACCTCCATTGGAAAGTAGTGGGTATGGACAGCTTCACATTTGAATTGAATATATTGTACTGCTACTCATTCGAGCCAGTACTCCCTGCAGTACTGTACACTTACAAAACAATTTACTTTGATATGTACTGTAGGGAGCGCCCGATGCCAATATCACTGGCCATTCGGGAGGTCGCCGAGAGGAACGGGTATAATAGTATTAGTATGGACTGGATTACTCTATTGAGACTGTGATTATCAGTGGAGGGACAGTATGGAAAGAATACAGATTAGGCTAATTGGCTCCCAGACTGTGGATGTACATATCCGCCGCATGGGATTTGATATTGACGCGGAATACTTTTCCGCGCGAGTGAACTTTAAGCTAGTACCCTTGAGCTGCTCGGCGGTCAAAGCGCCATGTCTCGTTGGGAACTACCTACTGTGCATACTTATATATGTGTAACTTGTACAGTGCCAGTCTTGCGGTTGAGGATACATGTTAATAAACACATTAGCCAAAAAGAAGAAGAAAACGTCTTTTGGTACATTCATAAAAGGTCACGTATCATGTTATTGTTCAACGGGTTTAGACTTCGGAGCTCCCGTAGGTGTGGCTAAGTCTTGCCATCATCACCTGTGATGGAAGCAGTGAGAAATCTCGACGTCCGCATTATTTCATCTTCAAAGTATACTCACCTCATTCATAAGCGACTCTTCCTACTGTAACCGCCACATCGACACAAGTCGTATGACATGCACATCTATCAATCTTATTCGTCTCGGTTCGCCTGCATCCATTGCAGATGACCTTTCGTGTGTGTAGAATTGAGTATGATGACTGAGTCACTGACTGTTGTACCCCCGTGTGCCGTCTCCCCGCATCGATTTCGCCACACCTAAGCGCAAAGCTGCAAAGGCTGCTATCCAACCGGATCAGCACCAGCCCCAAGGGTTGAGCCACCGCGAGTCTCCAGTCTTTTCGAAGCAGGTCATCCAGTCGACTGCTAGTACTGTAGTCGGACTCAAAGCGGGTATGCATCCCTATGGTATCGACTCGCCTAAATAAGTTAGACAGCAAATCGCTCGCCCGATTAGGCGTCTCCCGAGGGGGGTCGACGGGGAGTCGGACGAAGAGGCGAACTGGAAGTCGATGACCCCGCACGGTCATGTGGCCGTGCTGCTTTCTTAATTCCGCCCGAGCTTCTCCAAAACTTCCGTGGCTCGACCGTGGCTCGTTGCTAACTCAACCACCTTTCCACAGCCAAGTACGCTCTGAAGTCCATGCGTTCGTCCAGATGTGGTGGTGATTTGATTCCTCTCTCGGACATGAGCGAGACTCAAGTGGATTGATCGCTGTAGGAATTTTTACAGATCACTCCTGCCTCTGCCTCTTGCTGCTGCAGACTTTTTTCTGCTCCTCACTTCTCAAGTTCTCACTCCTATTCGTACAGTACCTGGAACCACATCGAAGATTCATCGGGGTTTAATGGACAGTGAGAGTGCTCGGCGCCAGCTCAGAACAGAAGTAAGTCCACAGTCCGTGTGGCAACACCGGGTAATACTCTGACTGGCCACAAGGCAAGACCGCCAATTTTCATACAAAGTTCACCGGACCACGACTCTGGATGCAATGCAGCTCCAGTACAGTAGTAGTGACTGCTCAGCACTCAGTAGCTACTCCCGACTCACTGACTCACTGACTCAATTAGGTAGTCACTTGTCGCTGTGGCGAATGGGCATTTATGCCAAGGCCTATGGCAGTCGTACGAGAGAGCCTACTCCAAAAGCTGTCTCCAAAAGCTGTCTCCAAAAGCTGTGCAATGTGAAGTTTCACCAGCCACGCATGCACCGAGCCTGAACAACTGAGCCATCCTTTCAAGTGATCACAGGTCGGTGCCGTCTATCCGGTACATACTACCATACTAGTTCCTTGAATTAGACTGTCTGAGGACACACCCATACGTTCCTGACTTCCCACTCCACTCCCTCGAAAGAAGTTCATTTCCACTCGTGTGCTGACTGCCGATTGTGCTCACCGTTACTTGTAGGAGTCGTAACAGCCCATTTCCGAACAGGCATAGTAGTCTCGGTCGCTTAGACTGTTCGATAAGAGGACCATAGTCCATAGTCATACTCCACGAGTCCATACGGCTCATGGACAAGGGCCTAGATTGCAGCAAGTTAGCACTAGCGTGAAGGGGGCTTCGGTTAGGTCTTCCGGAGATTGTCTCAACCAAATTGGGTCGAGCGG